CACACACACAAAAAACAACCCCAAAGGGCGAGCGAGCCAATGCCCACAACAAACTCTGGTGCGACATGCCTTGCGAATATTCGCATAATAGATCTTGCTGTGGTTTCCACCGCTTCGTCCCAACGCTCTCCCGTCTCCGCCTCCCCCCCTGTCTCTCGCTTGCCCCCAGCGAGCGTGTTTGCGACACAAAAGCACTCGGACGTAGCTCTCTCTCTCTCTCTCTCGAGTACCATGCTCTTCACTGGCCCTGCCTTTGTGCGCCTTCTCGTCCTTGGTGCAGCCAACCCATTTTTGGACAGCCAGTTCTCCTTTCCAAGCGAAATCCGCCTTCTGCTTGGCGACCTCCCCTCTTCCTTGCCTTCACCCCTTCTGGAAGTCGACCCCCCTTTTCTCCTTCCATTCGGCCCAGACTTCCTAGTCTCTTGCTTGCCTCTTCCTTGGGTCTCCGCTCGCAAAGCAAGCTGGCCATCGAAAGCGTCAAGCAAACCTGACACCAGCGAAAAGCGCCAAAACATTGGCCTATTTTTTTTTTTTATTCTTTTTATTTTTTCTTTCTGTTGTTGTGATTGTTTCACGACTTCTGAAGCCGTCTGGCCTGCCGTCCCCGCCGCTTTGTGACCTTCGCAGCCAAGATCAACACGCATTCTTCTCCAGTGACATTGCGCCATGTCGTACCGCGATAGCTTTGCCGATGTGCCGCTCGAGCAAATGGTAACCACAACACTTTTTGATTTCATTTTTTTATTATTATTTTTTAAAACCTCCTTCGATACGTTCGAGAGTCCTGCGCCGCTCGCTGCGCTGCTCAGCTCGTCTCGATACCCTTCCGCTGCGCACGTTTGTATCCTTGAATGCCTCGTCCCGGGCTGTGGTGCCGCCAGTTGCCAAGGACTGACGAGCAGAGAGCGGCAAACCGCGCTGCAGATTTTCTCGCCTTTTTTTTTTTTTTTTTTTCAACTTCATTCAGCTCCCCCTTCTTGCCTATTGCTTTTGCTTTTGCTGTTGATTCGCAGCTTCCACCGTGTTGGAACTCGCATTCTCACAACATCATTACTTGAACCATTCTGGAACAGAGCGCCCGTCGTTCCAACGCCATGTCCCCGGAAGACATGTTCTTCCAGGAGCAGCTGCTGGCTGAAGCGTCCCGCCCGAGCTCGCTGCTCATTCCCCCGAGCGTCTCATCGTACGGTGGCGGTGGTGAGATTGGTACCGTGTCTGTGAGGTCGTCGTCGCCAGTCATCACACCCCAGCGCAGCCGCTCCAACTCTGCATACAACAACGCTCCGGTGGTCGATTTGCATGCTCCCACAGCCAATCCCCGCGGCAACTTTTCCAATCTCGGAGTTGTTGTGACTCCCCTCGAGCGCAAGCGACAGTCCCGAGCGATTGAAAACATGGAGCTGGCCAGTCTCGGCTACCACGCAGAAGCGCACCAGGAACCTCAGCCGGCACTTCAACCAGCCGACCACTCGGGCGCGGGCGTCCCAGCCGCCGAAGCCGCTCCGGCTGCTCGAAAGGGCAAGACGAAGGCTGTGGCCTCCGCTGCCCCGCCTCCGGAAGAAAACCTTGACGCGCCGAGCCGCAAATTGTTGCGTTCGCTCTCGAGCAACCACTTGGACGCCACAACCCAGGTGGAAGCGCGCGAGATTCTCGACATGCTTCCCTCAGAGCTGCGCTTCCATACACGCCAGCTTGAAGAGCAGCTTCAGAGCGCGGAGGGCTTCCACTCGCCGTTGGTGCAATCCTACTCGATCGGTGATACGGCCACCATCCTGAGCCAGCAGGCCGAGGTACGTCGCTTAAAGCACCGGCCTACTCTGAAGAACGTCAAGCGAACGCGCTCCACTGAAATGTACTCGGAACACGAGGTGGCGGAGCGCACGCAGTCGCTCAAGATGGAAATTGGCGCCACCAAGACCAAGAACCTGCAAAAGGAGCGCGAAAACCTGGGCCACAGCATGACCAAGTGGATTCGCTACCTCAAACATCGCTACCAACGCAAGAAGGTGTTGCAGAAGGACCCCGTTCCCATCTTCCGGCACTCCATCAAGGTTATCGAAGGTCGTCTCGGCACTGCCGTGGCTTCGTTCTTTGTGTTTACGCGGTGGCTGTTCCTCTTGAATATCGGCCTGTCCATCATTTGGCTGTCGCTCACCACCTTCCCGCAGCTCAGCCAGACCACTGGCAATTCATCCGTGGACTTTAACGCGCTCAACTTGCTGACCGGTGGCGTAAGTACCCAACAAAAATGCGAAGCAAGCAGTTTCCACCACCCGCCATTCCATTTCTTGACTCACCCGGTAAATTTTTTTGCTGCCTTTTGGAAATTCCCCCCCCCCGCGATTGTTGAACGTGCTCTTCAGGGTTATCTCGCCACGACTCCAATGTTTTACGCTGGTTACGACAACTCGGTCCCGCACTACTCCATGGATTTGTCCTATGTGATTGCCATCGGCGTCACCTACCTCATCAGTTTCTTTGCCATCTTGTACAGCCTTGGTGCCAAGTTTTCGCGAGATCGTGATCCCACCACTCTCGTCGCGCGTGATTCGACCTACCCGTTTGCCGTGGCCGTGCTTGGTTCCTGGGACTACTCAATCCGCGACGACAATGGAGCAGTCACCATGCATCTTGGTATTGCACACACCCTCAAAGAAATCTACAGTCGCCAAGAAACAGCCCAGGCCGTGCTTACGACCAAGGAGACGGCGAAGCGATTCGTTCGTCGTCTCATCAGCATGACTGTCAGTCTGCTGATTCTTGCGCTTTGCGCGTACCTGGTGTACGTCTTGATCGATCTGCAGGCCTCCCATGCCTTCGATGACGGCGCAATTCAACTCGTGGCGCCCGCTTCCATCTCTGCCATGAACATTCTCGTGCCGTGGATTTTTACCAAAATGCTCGAAGTGGAAAAGTGGAGCAGTCAGGACGTCGAGCTTCGAGTCACCGTCTACCGGTACGTATCGAGCAGCAAGAGACGAATGAGAGTTGCGCCGTCGTGTTTTGCTCACCCTTTGTGTCATTTTTTTTTGGTTTTCGGTTCGTTTGTTTTGTTTGAATCTGGTGCACAGCTCGTTCTTTGTGCGTCTTGCGGCTGTAATTGCTGTCATTGTTTCGATCTGGCAAACGCGACAGAGCAATCTCGCCACCCAGTGCTGGCAAAACCGCATTGGCCAAGAAATGTATCGTATGCTGGTGATTGACTTGATTGTAAGTGGAGGGTAGCTCGATTCTGTGTGGCGTTGTTGCGTTTTCGTGCCGCTGCCATTTTGCCGACTCATCTCCCGTCTGGTGTGGTTCCTCCCATCTCCAACAACAATGCGTTCCCAACAAATCAGGTCAGCTCCATCTTCACGATCGTCCAGCAATTTGGCTGGCGCTACATGAAGGACAAAATTCTGCATCGTGGAAACAAGGTTGACTTTGACATGTCCAAGAACGTCCTCGACATGACCTACCGTCAAACTTTGATCTGGTTTGTAGCATACGATTCCTGTTTAGCATCAAAGTTCTTTGGGGGCGATCGTTTTGCTCATCACATTTCGCTTGCTGTCTGAACATCCGCAGGCTCGGCTGTCTCTTCTGCCCAGTCTTGCCAGCCATTGGCAGCATTTCAATCATCATCACTTTCTACATTCGAAAGTTTGTGTACTTGCGCGTTTCCAAGCAGCCCCGCCGCTTCTTCTCCGCGGCTCGCTCCAACTCTTTCTTCTTGCTGACCCTTCTCATGACTCTGATTCTTGTATTTATTCCTGTGGGCTACATTCTCGTCGAGTACGTATTGCGCTTCTACAGCGCATGCACGCAGCGTCCGAAAGTGCAGAATTATCTCACCCCTTGTGTGTCTGCCAAACACGTTTTTCCCCCTGCAGTGGCCAACCCTCATGCGGCCCTCACAAGAACCTAGACTCCATTTATTCGATTGTTCCGTACTGGCTGCGACGAGGTCCGAGCTGGATTCTCGCCATCACCAACTACTTGTTCACGGTCGCATTCCTGGTTCCATTCTCCCTGCTTCTCATGTACGAGATGTGACTAACGTGTGAAGAGAGCCGAGTGTTATCGAGTGTTATCGTTGCTTATTCTATTTTGCCTGTTCTTGGTCTTGTTGAACAGCTCGGCATTGTACTACATGCACGCCTCCAAGAAGGGAATCAAGGAGCGCCTGAAAGAGACCACGCTGCAATTGGACATGGTAATGCTTCGGAGCGTATTCTGAGTTGATTCGATTGGTTTATTTGGGCTCACTTGGCCTTGACTCATGTCGATAGGAGCGTGAGGACAAGCGCTACTTGCTGAAGCAGTATCGCATTAATTAACTACTGTAGCATCAGTGTATCTACATGCACTTCAGGTTGTGTTGAGAGTCGTCGTTCGCTTTTTGTGTTTGCTTTTAGTTGCTTGTGTGTTTGTTGATTTTTTGTAAATCGATTTCATTGGTAGTAACACACTCCATCGCTCCTCCTTTAGACACACATATCCCTCATTCCTTGATTTGTGACTTCTCTGAGCACACAGTTAAAATGGCTTCGGCAGCGTCGTTTGCCGAGCTCAGCCGCCGTGTTGTCGCCGCTCTTTCGCTGGATGAAGAGACAAACGATCGTCAGGTATCCCATGCAATACCTCCACTGATAGAGAGGGAGAGAGAGAGAGAGAGAGAGAGAGAGAGAGAGAGAGAGAGAGAGAGAGAGAGAGAGAGAGAGAGAGAGAGAGAGAGAGAGAGAGAGAGAGAGAGAGAGAGAGAGAGAGAGAGAGAGAGAGAGAGAGAGAGAGAGAGAGAGAGAGTCTGCGGTCTTCGTGTCGCCCCGTGTTGTCGTTGCTGACAACTGCGTTTGACTTTCACAGGCTGCCTTCACTGCCTATCTGCAATGCGTCGCGGGAATCGCCCAGCATCTGCTGCAGTTTGACACACCGTCGTCCTCCGCTCCACCGCCTGCCGCGACGGGCGACGAGGAGCGATGCGTGGAGCTCAATCCTCCCACCGCGTCGTCGTCATCAGGGAGTGCAGATGATCAGGACAGTCCGAGTCCTGCACCCTCCACTGCATTGCGACAAGACAAGTCACGAACCAAGCTGTTTCTGCTCGCACGGCTGTGCATTGATCGGGCGGAGGCCATCTCCACCGTGACGTCGACAAACCAGTCCGAGCAGCCAAACCTGAGCAGCCAAGCACCACCCCGCTTGCCGACGCCAATCCAGGTGCAATCGCAGTCGCAGGCACCGTCACAGGCACCGTCACAGGCACTGTCACAATCACAGACACAATCACCGTCACAGGCACCGTCACAAGCACCTCCACCACACGCACAGTCTCCGTCTCAGACTCAGTCTCAGACACTGACAAATTCACACACAGCCGCTCCGAGTCATCAAATGCATGTGGTTTTACAACCCATGGAGCGAGCTCAGACAGCAAACAGAATCCTGCACCAAACGTTTCAGCTGCAAATCGCCAGCGTGCAAGACGAAGCCAAACGGTCGGCCATGTACCTGTCCATGATGCGCAAGTGCTACGAAAACTTGTCGACAGCCCGTCGGCAGCAGGCCGAGCTGGCTGCGAAAATCAAAGAACGGAACGATCGCATCCGCTTGGATACCCAGCGACAAGCGATCGAACGAGAGCACCAACTCGATCAGCAAAACCAGCAGCGCACAGCAAAGCCGGCGCAGCTCACCTTGCAACAGGTTCAAAAGGCTCTGTCGGACGGCGGCGCCTCCGCTGTCATCAACTTGCTCGCGAGCATGTCCAGCGGAGCCACGCCTGCCGTCATTGCCAACACTGCTGCCAACAATGGTGTCATCACTCGGGGAGAGGCCACCATGATTGCCAACGTGGCCGTGTTTGACGCGTCGCAGAAGCGAGCGAAAGAGAGCCTCCAAATGCTCCAGGAGATTGCTTCACATCCGGAGGAGGCGCGGCGTGTGGAGCAGTTTGTGCTGTTTGTGTTTGATCAGCACGAGCATCCGCTGAGCCGATGGCTGGCCGAGTCCTTGTACACGGTTATCACTGCCTTTAGCAAGCCAATCCAAGAAGCCGATGCCGAGTCCTATCTCGAAGCGTTTGTCCAGCAGGTCCACACCATTTTGCAGCGCCTCACCGAACTGCTGCCATTTGCCTATCTTCAGCTCAACAGCGAGACTGCGCGCGATCAGCTGTCGCTCACGATTGAGAGTCTAGTCTTCCCCCCAAGCATGCCCATTCTATTGCGGCTGCACTCTTTATCCTCCCAAGTGGCGCTGTGCGAGTATCGCCTTGGTCTGGACAAGCTTGAAAACAGTTCGCTGCAGTCGCTGGGTATCGATTCGAAGTTTTGGTTGGGTGCCTCGGTAAGGGGGTTTTGCTCGGTTTTTCGTTTTTCTTTTTGTATTTTCTTGTTTTTTTTTTTGCTGATGCGCTCTTTTGCTTGTCATGGCGTGATGATGTCGTTAGGGGAGCGAATCAATGTCGAGCAAGACTTCACCCTACGCAAGTGTCATTTCGTTGCTCCAGTCCTTGCCACAAGTATCAACGCCTTCCGCCAAACTGGACATTCTTGGTAAGCGTAGTACTGATGGCAAAAACAATCGAGCGCGCAACCTCACTTGACCATTTCACGCTCGGCAGTGCAATCCATTCAAGGTATTGTGCAACAGGTCGAAATCTACTGTCGTGCAAACAGCCTCAGCGTTTCTGCTCATGCCGTGTAAGGCAGGGAGTGATTTCAACCGACCATCGCCATGAATGTTGGCTGGCCGTGTTCATGTGACTCACTTACTGTTGTTTATCCCAATGTTCTGGCTTTTTTTTTTCTGTTTTTTGGTTTTCGCACAGCGGCGGAGACGAGCTCATGCCACTGCTCACTCATGTTGTCGTGCATGCAAACATTCGCACTCTGCCAACCGATTGCTGGATGATGGGCGAGTTTATGGATGACTCTGCCATGATGGGCCAGGAAGGCTTTTGCCTCTCCAATTTGCAAGTTGTTGTCGACCACATTCGTTCACTTGGAGAAACCCCCGAAGTGGCAGCGCCGTCATGCGCGTCATCCGATCCGCTCGCCAGCACCCCGTCTTCAACAGCAGGCATAGTTCCTCCCGCGTCGCCGGCCAGATTGCCCGTTTCGTCTGTTGGCGAGATGTTTGACGATTTGAGCGACGACGAGGGCCTGCCGAAAGTCTAGTAGCGATGTATTAATATGAATCATAGTTAACAATTTCAAATGTATCCTCGTAGAACGAGTTTCCAAGAAGAAACGAAGAAGAAGGGAAACAAAAAGCCAATAACAAGCCCATCGCTCGCTTAAAATCCAGACACGCGCGGCTTTTTCGACTGCGAGCCTCGTTGACTGTCTCCCGACCGCTTTTTGGAAACGCCGCTGGTCGACTGCTGAGAGGCTGGAAAGATGGATGAGCTCTGCGAGAATGACAGGCTTTGTGAGAGCGGCGACTCGGACGGCTGTGAAAAGTCGAGCGAAAGCGTGACTGCACTGCGGACGGGCGGGGGCGTAAAAGCACCAGAGCCTGAGCGAGAAACCGACTGAGAGAAGAGAGAGGGCGACGCTGCCGATGGAAGGGGGCTGCCTGCAGCGGCGACCGACTTGAAAGTGACGCCGCGGTTGGAGCGCGGAGAACCAACGGGCGAAGCGTTTCCTGCTGCTGCGCGTTGCGCTCGAAGGGCACTCTTCTTTCGACTGCTCTGGCTCGAGGATGTCTTGATGCGCACGGGCTGTAAATCGCCAAGCGTTTCGTCCATCTCGTCATCGACAGCTTCCGCGGGCGTTTCTGACGTTGCCATGGCGTCCCATCGCTCTTGCATGTACTGCCACAGAAGTGTCGATGACCCGAGTGCCCCGGTCGAATTTGGCACAACCATCGACTTGGTATCGGAAAGCAAGCGCTCGGAGGGCTGAAGAAGCTCGCTGGTGGTCAATGCATAGGCAATAGTGTGCCGGGCTTCGCTTGCACCAACCGCGTTATTTGAGGAGGAAGACCTTGACTCGAGCTCACGCATCGGATCAGGTCGCGAATGAAGCAAACAAATCGTTCCATCCCGCTCGAGGCGCTGTAACGCTGCTTGGAGCGAGGTCTGCTCGACGGACAGTGGCGTCTGACGCACTGGGAGTAACAAAGCAGCCAGATCGCGTCTTTCAAGAACGAGGCGTCAGCGCACGAGTATCAAGCAGATGATGACAAGCTCCCGCCCCAACCTCCCCAACCCCACACAGCAACTTACTCTGTGGCTGGACCAGTTTTGAGGCGGGCGACAATTTGCTCGTCCAGCGCGTCAAGCTCCTCCAAAGATGGCAGGGAGTCAGAGTAGGCGGGTGGGCTCAACATGTCTGCTCCAAAAAAAAAAGTACAACAGCAATTTAGCAAACAACAGGCCATGAAGGAAGAGGACCAACCGATCACAACATAGTAGAAAAAACCGAAAACGCACATTGATAGACCTTGGACAAGTCGATAAACTGATGTTCCTTGACGTTTGCCAGAGCCTCGTGCAAGTCACGCATCTGCTGCTCATCGGCGAGAACACTTTCATGCCGAGGAAGCGAGGGTGGCGCGCCCCGGAACAAGGTGACTTCAAGCCCTTCATCGACGCGGCGCTCCGAGGCATTCCTCGCAACGCTCAAGGAAGCGCTCAAGGAAGCGGAGGAAGACGACGCGGAGGGGAAAGAAGCATTCTTATCACTCATGCCCCCGGGCAGTTCAAACGGCTGGTAAAAGACGTCACCCCACGACGATGAGAGCAAAACATGCAGCCCACAGCACTTTGGCTCGTCATTGGGTCCCGGGCGCTGAAAAGGCCCAACAAACGCCAGTCCGTTCAGAGCAGCATGCAATCGATTGGGCGCACTGGTCAGCCGCTGAGCAAGCGTGGAAAGCGACAGCGTATTGTAACTCGCCACTCGGAAGGGAATCGCTGTGAATCGCGGCGGCAATTTGATGGTGGTGGAGATGCCTTGCGGAAAGGGCGCAGCGCCCAGCCCGTGGTTGGCATCATTGTGGCCCACACCGCCCATGAATGTGGCGGCGGCGGCGGCAATAACAGCAGCAGCAGCGTTGGAAGACTGCTGGTCTTCGGCTTTAAAGTCGCGTTCCGAGCTCACCTCCGATGAAGATGCTTGCGTATTGGCGCTCTTCAGGGATGAACCATCACCATCTTCACCGAGTGAGAGATGTGCAGGTCGCTCTGCCTTGACAAACAGGGCTTCTGATCGGAGGGCAAACCGCGCCTCCTTTTGAAGCGGCCTGAGCAAGGATTGCGTCTGGTGCGGATCAACACGCGCCAAATCATGCTGGGGGAGCGAGAGTCGCGGCGTCCACGGAAATGGAACAGGCGACCACGCTTCAGTCGTCGTCGCCGTATGAACAACAAGCCCAATTGCTTCCTGGCGGTGACGATTGGCTGCTAGCACAATGTGTTCGCGCGGGTCTTCAGGATTCACAGCCACCTGCAGAATGGTCGGCGGTTCGTGCTGCAAGTGATGGACAACAGACAGCAACGGCCGTTGCGTCATGCGCTTATCCAGAACGCAGATTGACGTTGATGTCGTGACGTAGAGTAAATCGCTCGCAGATTGGTCGGCTTGAGGAGCGGCAGCCGCACAGATGCTGGTGCCTAGAGCAGACAATTGGGCATGTGGCAATGTTAAAATGCTTGACCGGGCTCGTGTCGGATCCTTTTCAAAGGTAGGGGCACATGTCAAAGGTGAGTGTGCGGACAACAACCAAAAAAACAAAAAAAAAACTACCAACAAAAAAAAAAAAAACCACCGTTTCCAACAACCGACTTGTCAACCAAAAACGACGTCTGCGTACCCGAAAATCAAAGAGAGAAACGCAATGCTCATCGCATTCGTACAGTACGCGCGGATGATGCGTAAATAGAGCGCGACGCCACGAGGATGGCGAGGAGTGGCCAGCGCGTTCGACCGTGAGCCCGAAACGCGCATGCCACAATCGTACGGTGCCTTGATCTGATAGAATCACACACTCTGACGGAATGTGCGGATTAACGCAAACATCAGCAAGTTGCGTGTCGAATGTTTCGCAAAAGAGGGGTTTGAGCGGCGAGTCGTCTTGCAGCGCATCAATATCGAAGGAAAGCGCCCGGGAGGACGAGCGAGTGTCGGGGCGAGCGCAATGGGTCGCAACTGTCTTTTGGAGGTTGCTTGTATCAAACAGCAGAGCCGAATACATTCCCCGCACACCAAGGAGGCCCGGCTGGAATGTTGCATCTAAAGCAATAATGTACAAGCTCAGACAGCGACGAACAACGAGCCGCCGCCACGACCATCCACCTTCCCCGAGGCTTGCAACAACAGACAAGAGGGGCAGCAACAACAACAACTCTCGCTTACTGTGCTCTGTGCCACAGGCGAGTTGACGGATTGGACCGCCGCGCATTGCCAGTTGAATCACATCACCAGAGGCTCGACCACTGTCTCCTGTTTTGTCAATGTGATAGCGTCGTAGAGCTACTCGCGATGCAGATGAAAAGAGGATGAAGAAAACGATGTGAGTCATAGCAGCATGTTTGACTGACTGCTTTGCTCAAAATCTCAGAATGTAGAACGGAACGTACCGATTGTGTCTTGAAGCGGTCCACTCACATAGGCGACAGCTCGGAAAGCGGCCTCAGACTGAGTGGAATGGCTACCACGATGAGCAGCATTTGGGCCATCATCAGTTGGTGCCGTGACGAGGTCGAGCGGGAATGAAACAAGCGTGTTTCCAAGCCTGGGTGCGGGATGGGACGAGACGTGTTCCGGTTCTGGAGTCGCGGTATTCCCGTCGCCCGAGTCGCCACGAAGCAAGTCCTGTAGCACTTCTTGCGGAATCATGGCCGATCCGAGTGCATCTGGCAGCTTCAGACTCGTCGAGCGGTGTAGCTTGTCGGAAGTGCTGCTCTTGCCCGACCAACCACCGCCGCCCGGCTGGTGCTGGGAATGCTCAGCATCAATATCCATGTACAGCTTGGGATATGCGAATGGCAGCAGCGGGAACAGCGGCCGCACACCGTGCAGACTCCCGCCGACGGACGTGAGCGGTAGAGCGGCAGCATTGGAGGAGCGCCCAAGCAGCCCGCCGCGTCCACCGACCACCCGCAGTCCCGACGCCTTGTCCTGCTGCGAGAACTGCACGACTGAAGCGGCTGCCGCGCTCGTAGCGACTGGCGGGAGGGTGTCGTTGGCAAACACGAGCGCCTGCACCTGCCGCCTCATGGCCGATGACGACGACGATGGCAGCGACGATGGCAGCGACCATGATGACAGGGACGTCTGAAGAGGCGGCTCAGGGTCGGATGCAGGCGCAGTGGTGTAGCTGAACATGGCTGCCTGGACGCCATAGTCAGCCGCCGCTGAAGGGTTTGGCGGGAACTGCATTTGGGCGCGCAGTTGCTGAGACTGAGATTGAAGTGCAGCCTACTGACGCGCACAAGATACACGCACACACACAGACACAAGTACAAGTACACACACCGACACCGACAAAGAAACACTATTGGAAAAAAAAAAACAAGAAGAAGAAAGGAACAGAAGAGCAAACAAAATGGAGACTGACCGGATCAGATACCAGGCAACTCAGACAAGGATTGGAAGCCATCCCATCTATCTCGCTCGCTTCCCTCGCCATCCTCACTTGCGAAGTCGAGCTAATTGTAGACATGAAAAAGTTCGTACGAGTACGTTCTGCGTTTGGTTTCTACAGTACACAACTCGACCAACGTTCACTGTGAGCCGAATGTTGAATGGACGAAGCTATCGGGAGCAGATCAAAATCAAAGCTGTGATTGGCATGGGGGTTGCAACACAAAGCGAAGGCAATGCAAAGCAAGGGCAACGCATCGAAGCAGCATCCAAAAGAAGCGTTCCACAACCCCGAAACCGACCCGAAACGACATGGCAAACGACTGGACAAACGACTGGACTGGACAAACGACTGGACTTGACAAACGACTGGAACAACCCCAAAAGCTCATGCTCGCTCTCTCTCTACAAGACACCCTTGGTGCTGGGAATGTCATCAATGCCCGAGGAGGCGACTGCATAGCGGATGGCCAATGCCAGGGCCTTGAATGACGATTCGCTCTTGTGGTGGTCGTTCTTGCCCTTGAGGACGTCAATGTGCAGGGTGATGCAAGCGGCGGTCGCGAACGACTCGAGGAAGTGCGGGATCATCTCGCAGGACAGCGTGCCGATGCGCTCGCGCTTGAGATCGAGATTGACGTCTGCGAATGGCCGCCCTGAGATGTCGACCACAGCTCGAGCGAGGGCCTCGTCGAGCGGGGCGTATGCATGGCCAAAGCGGCGAATGCCCTTGAGATCGCCCAGGGCCGTGTGGAAGGCGCGTCCGAGCGCAATGCCGCAGTCCTCGACCGTGTGGTGGTCGTCAATGTGCAGGTCGCCCTTGCAGGTTAGGACGAGGTCCATCCGCGAGTGCTTGGACAGCGCGCTCAGCATGTGGTCCAGAAACCCAACGCCAGTGTCGATCGTGTGCACGCCAGTCCCGTCCACGTTCAGCGTCAGCTTGATGTCGGTCTCGGCTGTCTTGCGCGTGACGGACGCCGTCCGCGGGTGGCTGCGCTGCACACCCGAGCCCGAACCCGAACCCGAACCCGACATTGAACTGATCGTCCCGCTCGACATGACCTTCTACTGCACAACAATGAGAAGATGACTGGTCTGTTGTTGTTTGATGCGGTTCGTTTCTATTACAGTAAGATCTGGAATTCAGCATGCACTACATTTCTCAATGAGCTGAGTTGAGCGAGTTCGGAGCTGTCAAAGTCCCAAATGCAGCTGTTGTCGGCGTTTTTGACATGTTTGACTATTCCAAGTGAATTCAACAACATTGACAATAACATTGATATGAGAGACAGTCAGTCAGTTTCCTTGTGTTCATGTCGTACTCGTCCTTTGATCAGCTGTAACAAGAGCATTGAAATCCACTTGCAACTGCCTCCAAACGACCAGCACTCACTCTGATCCTGTGCTTTTTTCGAAACATGAACCAGATACCTCAAGCTCGTCATGCTGCGCGCAGAGCAGGGAAGGCCAGACTTTGCTCCAACCTGCGCCATTGAGGACTTGGACAATCTCATGGTAAACACAGTGCTCTGCCAACCCTAACCCCCTCCCCTCCCCGCCTCGGACCCGGTCCCGGACCCATTCCGAAACTCACTTGGCATTGAACTTTGCTATGTTGTCATTGGCAGGCCGCAGTGTCGAAGGCGGCGGCGCAGATGCACGAGCGAGCCAGCGCAGCCAAGCTCGTTTTCCCGCCATCGTCGAACGGGACGACCGAGACGGATGCTATGCCGACATCGTCATCATCGTCATCGTCATCGTCATCGTCGTCGTCTGTTACCGAGACAGCCATGCCGCGGACGACTGGTCCATCCACGTTGGGTGTATCCACACGCAGAATGAGGATGCAGACGGCCAACGAACAACCAGAGCAGGTCAGCGCCGCAGCTCAGAATCAGTGCACTTCTGATGATGCGTCTGACGAACACACGAGTGGCGAGTCAACCTCAGTGCCGGAGTTGGAAGGACGGCGAGCTAAGCGTTTGTCGCCGTTCGCGTCTACCAGACCAACGAGATTCGAGACCACTGCTCCTGCTGCTGCTGTGCCGCCAGCCAAGAAGGTGCAAGATGCTTCCCAAGGGCAGACACGAACAACACAAAGTACACCATCGCAGGTCAGAACGAACAGCACCGCTTCCAACGACTCGCGGCAAAAGCGACCGGCACCAGATCGGTCATTCCCCGCGCCAAAGGCTGCACGAACGATGAGCAGAGAGCCGTCACAGGAGATGGCGCAGCACGACCAGCGAAATAGCAGTATCGCCATGCCCGAGGTTGTCGCTGTGCCTTGGAACCCTGTCATCCAAATCTTGGCATTGCGACCACGACGCGCCGTGGCTCAGCCCCCTCGACGCATTGATCTGGGTGCAATTCACAGAGCCGCGCGTTCCTGGGCTTGGCGACCCAAAGTGGTATGTTGAGGACGGATGGATGATGCGCGGTGGTTTCCCAGGTGCGACTGAACGCTTTGTGTTGGTTCGTCTTGTACCTCACCGTTCACATTCTGGGCAGCAACGAAAGACGACAGAGCCTCAACTGTTCCTACGACGCAACGAACGACGCGCAAAGCATGATGCGAGCAAAGCCGAGCCGATGCAGGAAGAGGAGATCCTTCCCATTTCGGAATTTCTGCCTTTGCCGACAGAGCATCTCCCCGAGCTGTCAGAGCTGAATACTAGCACCGAAATTCCAATGGATGCGACGCCGTCGGCAGAAGGCAATTCTGGGAACCTGAATGTGGGCGAGACCGCCGTTCGCACAGAAACAACGGAAACGGAAACTACCGTTCATCCAGCAACACCAGAGGGGCAGCCGGTTGACACTCTCGTGGTCGAGACCGCTGACAATGCTGAACACCATTCTTCCGGAGAAAATGAGAGTCTGGAGACGCAAGAAGAGACGCAAGAAGAGACGCAAGAAGAGACGCAAGAGGAGGCCCAGAGCATGACGCCTCCCGGCGATTTTGCACCTTCCATTTTAGCTCCAGCCCTTTCGGTTCAACAGGAGCTGCCGCTGCAGTCCCTGGAGGACCCCGATGACCACATACAATCTCGTCACAGATCTCTTTCTCTCAGACGGTCGGTGGAGCATCCCGACCAAGAATGGACATCACAATCGGGCGCGGAAGAGCTGCCTCACGCAACAGTTGTTTCAGATTTGCACGACCTTATCAGCGACTTGCTTCCAGAGCAAGCAGAAGCCGAGGCCCCCACCGCGACCAGCACAAACTCAATTCTTTCAAGCTCTGCAGAACTCGAACCATTTGCGCCTTTTGATGGGGGATTGACTGGCGAAATTGTTCACGAACAGATGGTCGAATAAACGGATTGGCTTGTTGAGATGGGTTGAGAGGGTGGTTGTTTCATTTTTTTTGTTTGGTGGTTTTACTCAAGCAACACAAATCGAGCACAACACAAGTCGAGCACTGTTCAAAGGAGAACAAAGTAAGCAACAATGAGGACGAGAATTGGAATGCCAACAAAGTGCAAGTTCCGAACGTTGGAGCGAAAGTCGTGCTGAGACGCAGAGGGGAACAGAAACAAGAAGGTGTAGATCAGGAATGCCACGTAGGTGTGCTCGAGCGTGGCCAACAAGCCCATCTTTCCATACGTGGCCGCGTTGACGGCTGCAATGTGGCCGACAACAGGACGCTTGTTCTGCAAGCGCACCGCATTTGCTTGAGCCACCTGCTTGAAGGTTGCCATGAGATCAAAGGCATCTGTGATATCGTACACGAGTACTCTGGTGAGCACACGGCAAGCACAAAGTCTGTCTGACCGCTGGGACTTCTGTACCTCCATCGCTCAACGGCTGATCAATGTGCTCGGCCATCAATCGGCGGAATGTCGAACGGACAATCTTTGGGTCCCACACAGAAATGTTGAGTTCGCTGTCGCTCTTCAACGATCGCTCGGCAATGTTGCAAGACCCGACAATCAGGAGCTCGTCGTCCACAATCTGCCACATCCATCAACACGAGTCAATGAACGAGTCAATGAACGAGTCAATGAACGAGCGCGCAACAAGGAGGAAGAGGAGGACGCCAAAAAAAAAAAACAAAAAAAAAAACAACAACAACAAAAAAAAAAAGCGGCTCATACGCACCATCAACTTGGAGTGCACGTGAGGCGTAAAGTACAGTTTCTTTGAAGTGGGGTGATTGACTACAGGATGGGCCAAAGAGTTGTGCTCATTGGCGCAGACGGCGACCAGGCCAGCAGTCGTCGCACTGTTCAGTCTGCCCCAGAATTGGGAGTGCTACTCGAACGCCAACGCAACAAAAAAAGGAGGTCAGTGGTTGTCATGCTCGCAACACCGATTCACCAACGGAATCAATCAACGATGGATCGTACCGCAGGAACCAGAATGGCAATCCGCACTCCACGCTCAGTTGCCTTGACCAGCTCGGCGACGATCGCTCGCGATTGGATGGACTGGTTTTCAATGTAGACATACCGCTTGGCACGGGGGATGACGAGCATGTACTGCTCCAAAATGCTCATCTCGTATCGGGGCGGGCGGGTTACCGTGGACTGGGACCGATTGCACAGTGAGCGCGACAGGGTGATGGATGAACACAACAAAACAACCAAACTTGAAACAAAACGAGACAGGCAGCATCAGTCGTACCGAAAGGTGAGGATACTCGGGGAAGGTGCGAGTCAGCTGAACACGGATGCTTGGTTTGGCGCCGGGATTGACGGGTGCAAGCTGCAAGAGGGATGACGACGACAACAACAACAAACAAATGTAAGTGTTGTCGGGACTATCGATGGCAAAAACCAAAGCAAAACTCGCATCCAACGCGTAGCTGTTAAAAAAAAACCCGCACCAAAGTCTCAGGATCAAGAACCTCGGTAGCGGCAGCCTCACTGCGCGGAAGAGCCATTGCTGATTCGCGGTGAATGGAAGCTTTGTTTGTCACACAGCTGGCGCTGTTCCAGCGCTCGGCAAAGTTGTTCAGCGCGTCAGCCACGGGATCGCGGCCAGTGAACTTGACATAGACATCGTGCACGTCGCGCTCGCCGGGCGACACGAACGAGATGGCATTCTCGGCAACTTCGTGTCCCGGATGGGTCATGTAGCCGTTGGTAATGTTCATGCCACCAACAAACGCAATCGCCCCGTCAACAATCCACGACTTTTGGTGATGGCAGTGGATGGGGCCAAGCACGGTGCGCTTGAGGGTTTCGGGCGCCAAACGATCCCAGCGCAAGTAGAGCTTGCCGGTTTTCGTGGGCTTGGCCAGCACGTCCTCTCCATCCGCCAGGGCCTGCTGGACGGACGACGGGAGATTCTTGCCGATATTCTCAATCATACGCAGCCGCTCTGGGCGGTCGTTGCAAATGTTGGGATACGTTCCGAGAATTGGCTCTGCCCAGAGCAAGCATCGGACGTCCACACCTCGCTGCCCTCCCAGGATGATGCGGAAATTACAGACAAAACATATAGCAAGACAACAGTTGCAGCCATACGCAATCAGATACATGCATGCGAGCCTTTTTGTTGAAATGCGATTCCAGCAATCACAATTGCATTACCAACGCAACCGACCAGAGGTAGTCGAGCAGGTCGCCACGGTTGCCCGCGAGCTGCAGCCTGCCATCCGACTGCAGATACGACACGGTGACGACGACAGAGTGCCTGTAGCATCGCAAGTCCCCATCACAAGGAGTTTGCAGTTGGGGGGGGGGGCGTGGGTGAGTTTCGAACTCCGACGCGCTCGTTCGCCACTCCGAGACCAGACTCCGATGAAGAGCACACACCACACAGACACACACACACACACTCTCTCTCGTTCTACTTCTCTCCATCCGGAGCGACTCACTTGGCGTGATCGACCGCGTCGCAGATCGAGCTGAACGCGGCAATCCCGTCAATCAGAACCTCGACCGTCGATGCCAGGCGCTGCGGATAGGCCGACTCTGCAGAGGTCGTTGTCGTGGCCGTCGCCACAGGCACCGACGGCAAGTAGGACATTGTTGGTTTTTGTTGTATCTTGAATAAGAAAAGAGGAGTGAATGAATTGACTGGGGAAAAGTGGATTGAGAGCGTAACGTGGCTGACTGCTGTGAGGTCGGCTGTCATCACGTTTCGTGTCGCAGCAAAATAGAACATCAAACTCAACAACATTCCCGCTTTCATTCGGTTTGTGATGTTGTAATTCACGAAATGGGGTCGTCAGCATTCATGCAGCGCAGGTGGACAAGTTGAGGAGCGGTCAATGTATGCAATCACTGAATTTAGCTGAGTGTTTGTTCAACTCTTTTTCAATACAAGGCACCAGTCCAAGTTTAACATACCAAAAGAATGAGCTCAGATCGGCCTCCACCGCCTGGCGCCGCTGGTCGAGGCGGGCGCGACGACGAGTTTTCGCTTGTAAGTGCAATTCAGAGCTCGTTTCCCCGGGGCTTTTGGGCTTTTGCTGGCACGCGTGAATACACGATTTGCGATGATGAATCGTACTTGAGTAGGAGAGTGCGAGTGAGTGAGTGGCTTGGTGGGACGCGCGTGGTTCCTTGTTTCAGCCAGCTCAATCCCCGCCTGGCTCGTCTTCTTTTGACTTGCAGGATGCGCTCTTCCACCACATCCTCGTGCAAGCATTCCCAGCGCTCATCATATCGCCGCCGCCGTTCGGAGCGCTGGAAACCCCGCCACAGTCCGGCATCGACCCCGCGAACACTGCTGGCACTGCTGCCAATGCTGCCAATGCTTCGGCCGCACCGTCGTCGCCAGACCAACAGATCGCACTTCCGCAGTGGTCAGACACGGGAGTCTTGCCGCCATTTGCATCGCTGTTTGCCCTGCTCGGGCGACCCTTCCACAGCGACGACTGGGGCGCCTTCCCGCCGCTGCCCGACCCGCACAGCCTGGGCGCCGAGTCCTCACGCATTCGCCTGTTCTCGTCCTCGTGCACAGTCACCTCCACTTCCCAGATCAATCCAGATGGGGTAACAGCACACAAGCGCTTGTGAAATTGATTCGCTGTCCCGGTGAGTTTCAACACTGAAACTCATTTTCTGAGATGTTTGGATCAATGCATGCAGTCGGCAATTGCGACCCGCACGCTGCGCGATGACAATGGCAATGAAACTGTCTTCACGACCGAGCGCAAGATTGACGGAACGATCATTACGTCGCGAACTGTTCGGAGCGTTTATCTGCCATCCGAGACTGGCGCTGTTGCGTCTCTGCCTTTCGCGTCCAACTCGGATGGCTTCTCTTCGACATCGCAGAAACTTCCGTCGTCCACCACTGCAGGTATGTTGCGGGACTGGACCTTTTTCTTTTTTGTCGACCCGTACAGTGCATCGAACTGAATTTTCCCTGCCTCTCTCTTGCTCTCTCGCAGAACCAGCAGCACCATCTGAAGGCCTGCTTTCCAAAGTATGGAAGTATGTCACATGGCGATGAGCGCAGCCAACGCTGCCGACAAGCAAACCATTTTCTAGCCTTCTTTTGTTGATACTTTTATCCTCGCTTGATTTCCTCTTGTTCCGCAAAATACAAATAAAAAATGTACGCGGCCCAAGTTCTTGGAACGTTCACTATATTCTACACAGCACAGAGATGGCGCAAAAGAAAAAAAGCTATGCGACGTAGCGATACATGCGACGATCCTCGGGAGTGCGCTCGAGAAACTCGCGCTCAATCAGACTTTCAATGCGAGCCTTGATCGTGTTGGGGGTCGGTGCAAAGCGCGCTCGCAGTTGCGTGATGACTTCAAGAATAAGACTGTTGTGGTCGAGCACCTTGCGTGCTTTCATGATGCGAACGATTGCGGCTTCGATCTGGTGCTTGCGGTCGTCGTCCACCTTGGCACGCGTCTCTGTTCGCTCCGCCTCGTTTTCTTTCACAGCCACAGCCTGGATCTTGAGGCGGTGGAGCTGACATGTGAACTTGTCGTTGAAGGTGAACGAGTCGCTCTCCGTCACGTCCCTCGTCTTGGGCTCCTTCAACAAGACCTTGTACTTGCCACACGCAAGCGACTGCAGTGCTCGTTTGAGCTCGCCTGGAGGCACCTCTGTCTCTTGCGCAATTTCCTGATACGTGTAAGAGTCCTGCTGGTTGAATAGCATCAGCACCACCATCTGGAATGTGGAGACTGAAAGTTCGTGCCGCCGAGCCGCAAACGATGCGCGAATGTCTGCAGATCCCTGTGTGCATTGAATGCGGTTGTTGTCGAAGGGAACGGAAGAGAAATGTTTAGAATCTGCAAAAATCTCCCAACGAGAACCAGCAACGGAACAACAACCCCTCACCAAACTGGTTTGCCAGAAAAGCCGCCGTCCGCTATGATGCTTTGCATGGTAGGTTTGGAAGACCTCGCAAGCGTGCCTGGCGAGCAACAAATATCACCACCACGAATCAACAAGTCAGATCACTGGAAACCAAGAGACTGAAACGCTCTGTCGCCTACCGAAGCTCTGCGGGAAGAATGACTTTGGCAGAAACGTTTGACGCAGGCCAGTAGCCCATGGTCAAAACACGAATGTTGACTTGGAAGCCAAGGTTAATGTTGGAGTCATCCAAGAAGCGCTGGAAACGCTCCATGGAGTCGCGCGATAAGGCCATGTCGCGGAACATGCCCTCCAATTTGGTGGTAAACTGATAGCCGCATTCGGTCTGCACGGGGTTGGAAGGCACGCAAAAAACCCCAGTCAGTATCGATGGCAAGTGAACGGGGCAAAAAAACAAGGACCCAAAACGTACCTTCAGCTTGGCAATCATGGAACGCTCCAAGTCATCGGATACAGTCTTGGCAAGCAACAGGCGCTTGGCCAAATGCTGCTTGTAGTAGCGCTCAAACACATCTTTTTCTTGCACTTGGCGGAAGACGACGACAGCCTTTTCGAGCGTCGCATCGATTTCGTCTTCAGAAAACTAGCAACACAAAAAAGATCACGAGTTTAGCGCTTGATTTCAATGGAGTGGGCTTTTTTGTGACATGCAAAACAAGCCAGCCTTACTCCTTTCTGATTTTTCAAAAGCTCGTCCACATAGAGCGACAGATATTCCGGGAACTTGGGGTTGAGATTGACAAAAAACTCAAAGCACTGCAAAATGCCAGCCGTGGAAAGTAAGTACATTTGACAACCTGCAGCCCAACCACACCTCCCGCCCTCCTCGCTCAACAAGACGACTTGCGAAACTCACCGAATTGATGGTGGAGCGGAAGTTTCGATCGCCTCGGAAGGCCTTAAGAAGAATTGTTTCGTACTTGTCCCGCAAGTCGATAATCTGCTGAACGTATCGCGAAGCGTCTTTGACACCACCTGCATCTTTTGCTGTGGCCCCGGGAGCGGCTGGTACTGATGATGATGATGATGAGGAGGACGACGAGGATGCCGCAGCTGGCGGAGCTGCCGCAGCAGACCCGGCCTCATCGTCAGCAACAACGATGGCTTTGCCAACTTCCTTGAGATGGACATCGAGATGCTTTTGGATGAGCGACAACCCAGTTTCAACCCGACTGAACAGCGAGTACATGCGCGCCAGATCGTCGAGTCGATTGTGCACGAGAGCGCTGACGAGCCCAGAGTTGTCCATTTCAACCAGGGCAGTCATGTGGTTGGCAATCAGCTCACGCTCAACGACACGCTTCAACGGTGGCTCCGATAGGGCATCGAGATAGTGCGCAACGCGCTCGAGCTCTTCTCGAATGCGCTCTTCCACCCGTTTCATGTACTCGGAGGCCGTCAGCTCGCCAAGAAGCCGCTGGCTCTCCGCCTGGTAATACTGCTCCGTATCGGCAAGCAAGGGCCCTTCGAGATCATCGACATACACGGCATGGGAGTGGATGCCGAGCTCAATGAGCATTTGTGTCGCAGACTTGATGGAGCCGCGGTCAATCACCTCGCCGTCGCGTTCTCGTCGAATCAGGTCGATCAGTGTTCGCAACAAGTGCTGCTTGATGCGCGGATGCCGCGCAACCTCTTCACCAAAGATCGAAAGGCCGAGATCGTACACCTCGAGACGGTGCTGCTCGCGGCGCAAGTGCGGCGGGTCGTTTGCAGCCGCAGCACGCTCGCGGTTTTTCGACTCGACGTACACGCGGTCCATGTACATGAGAATGTCGCGAATCATCTTCATGGCCGTCGTGTGCTCGCTCCAAGCACGCGTGAGCCTTGCCAAAAAGTTGCCGCCAATCGAATTCTCAATCCGCGTCGCCACCGAGCGCAAATGCTCGGTAATCACCTGCACCAAGCCATTGTACAGGCGTCCGCCTTGCTTGTGCAAGACCAGGTTGTATGAATTTCTGCATGACATTGGAGTGAGCAAGCTGGAAAGTGGATAGGAAAACAGGACAAGCAATCAATCGTACCGGTACAAGACCTCGTAGCTCAATCCGGATGCATTCTGGTGCTGGATCTCAATAATGGCGTCTCTCAGCAGTAGCCACGTTCGGTCGACATACGCTGGCTCCAACGAAGTCTGATTGCAATTCAATGGCGCAATCGCAGCAACCAATTTTGTCAGCGTTGCCAAGATTCATGGTTGAACATCGTTCACAGTTGAGATCAGCCAATCGCCGCCCCCCCCCTCCAATCGTTTCAAATTGTCGCAACACATACAACCAAGCACAACGTTCGTTCGTGATCGAAATCGCCATGATCAAAACTTTTACGTTGTTTAGCTTTGGTCAGCAATTCGGTCAGCATTTCGCAGAAAATAAATAAAAATACAATAATAAAAATAAATAAAATAATAAAAATCAAAAATAGGCGACCAACCAGCAGAACCACTCCCATACAATGCTGCAGTGCACCAACGACCACCAACGACCACCAATTGCGATGAACACGCGCTGCTGGGTCGACATGTCCCGCCAGAGAAACAAAAAACAAAAAGTATGACCGCTTTTTTTTCCTTCCAAACTGTCGTTTTTTCCTCCCCCCTTGTCCACTGGCAGCCGACGGGCGGACGGAACAGCGCATGAGCGGCATGAAGCAAGACCGGAACGTCGGTGCGGAAAAGTCGAACGGCAGAGTTGATGATGCGACTCGTTTTACCATTGGAGTGTACGGCCGGATGCGCACACTTTTGGTCGCTGGTGTCAGTTCGCCGGTCGGTTTCATTGCGAGTCAGTCAACACACACAGAAAAAAACAACACACGCAAAAGAAATGAACTGAGCAAACGAAAAACGAAAACGAAAACGAAAACGAAAACGAAAACGAAAAAGGGACATTTTCGAGGAATTGTGCGACCAACGAACGTTGGCGATGGTGCAAAATCAGCAATCAAAAGATACATTTGTACAATAAACAGGTCAACAAGGGGAGAGAGAAGAGGAGGGGAGTTTGTCTTAACAAAAACATCAATCGTTAACTAGTTGAAGAGGGCCCTGCGAGAGTTAGAACCGCTCGCAGCGATACGGACGCTTGTCCGACTCGTGCTTGTTGCGCCAGAGGAAAAAGTCGGCCTCGCGCCACCACACAAGCTTCACACCAAGCATGTCGAGAAGCTCTCGGAGGATTTCTTCGGGATAGCCAAAGTCATCAGAGTGGTCCTCGAGATAGCGGACGGCGTCAAAGGTGGTGAGCTTGTCCATGACAAGCCGCGACGTGACAAAGTAAATGTCAGACACTTTCTTTGACCGCCACGCCTTGCCTGGGTCGTTGCAGGAGCCGTAGAACACGAGCGGATCTTGAAGCAAGGCACGCTGGAAGCAGCCCAGCTGCACTTCTTGCATGGTAATGTCCGGGCGCAGGCGAACAATCGTGGCAGCCGGGTGCATTTCGAGCCCGGTCGTGGCCAGAATGGTCGCCTTGGCGAGGCTGTGGACCATAAAGTACGTGTAGTGTTGCACGGCAACCAGATCTGCATTGACGCCGTCTTGATAGTGGTTTGGGATGTTGGGGAAGCGCAGCCGCCTGCTCTGATCGCGAACTTCCAGGTAATCTTCCATCATGATGAAGGCGTTTTGCAGGTACGGGCGGTGCAGCTTGGCGAGCTTGTGGATGCCATGCCAGTCGGAGGCATTCAAGCCGCCTTGCTCTTCTGGATCGAGCTCGTCGTCCGGACGCGGGTTGTTTTTGGTGTGCCACGTCTTGTCGTTGTGCTTTGGCTGGCTCCAAGTGTGCATGAAGAGCACATACGGGACGCCGGCCTTGGAGAGATATGCTTGCTGGTAGGGCGACGTGGCGGAGATGGTCCGCAAGTGTCCGGCCGAGTAAATGTAGATTGGCGGCGTCTCCTGGCCGTGCAACACAAAGCGCGTCGGGCAGTGGCCGAGGTCCTCGGGTCTCAGGCCGAGCGCCGGAACAAATGCCTGGCTTCCGCAGGTGCGGTAGCGCGCATGGGGAATGGCCGTCACGACCGAGCCTGGTGGAATGCGCAAGTCCTGGAGCGTGTCGTTAAAGTACTTGCTGACGGCCTCCTGGTTTTCCGCCGTCACGTTAAAGCGCACGAGTTCAAGATTCGCCAGGGCGTGTCTGTACTCGTCAAAGGTCACAGGTTGCTGGCTCAGGAGCCCGACCCACGGCGGCAAGATGGCCGCGGGCGGAACGGTGGCTTCCGGCTGGCAGGCCGAACAGCTCGACGGGCGAGGCGGACTCGAGGGCGACGCGTCGGCTGCGCTGCTGCCACCCGACGTGTCCTCTGTCGACTCAAACAGCGACGAGACCCATTCGCCCAAGACATGGTACAGGCGTCGACGGGAGCTTCCGCCCCGCCATTCGCCTTCATCGTCGTCCTCGTCGTCGTCGTCGTCGCCGTCGTCGTCGTGCAGATGCCCCCGGGGCGACTTTTTCGACACTTTCGCCGTTGCTAGTCTGGACGATGCATCCACGGACACAGACGGGGTCGGAAGTGCCGTCGCTGTCGCAGGCATCACCAGACTGCTCAACTCCGACAGCAGCAGCAGCGAAGAAGCATTGGCCGAGCGTAATGCGGCGTCGTGCTCAATGTCAATGTGCGAGGTGCGCGGGCACGAGAAGGTGAGCTCCTGGTGGTCAAAGCGGTCTGGCACCGGGAACACGAGGATGCTCAAGATGCTCAGCGCGGCGACGGCAAACAGGGTCGGCCGGAAGCAGTTCTTGGCGAGCAGGGCCTTGCGGTGCTTGGCGCAGTTGGCCTTCCGCCAGCAGCCGCCGAGGTGCGCCTTCTCCACCAGGAACGGCGTCGTGTCGTCGTTGTTGTCGTCGTTGCTGCTGTGGTTGTTGCTGTCGTGGGACGTGGCGGTCGTGGCGGTGGTCGCAGCGTGGCTGTGCTGCTTCCCTGCCGATGTTGAAGACAAGGCGTCGATGTTTCCCCACGTCGGCTGCTGCTGTGACTGCTGGTGCGGCTGCAGACGCGGGGTCCTGCGCACAGCCGAGGCCAAGCCAGCAGTGTCTGAATACCCAGACATGCAAGACAAATGAAAAACAGGAGCCGGGGGGGGGGAGCAGGGGGAGCAGGGGGGAGAAGCAGAAGGGACAGTGAAGACAGAAGGGACAGACCGATGACTAAAAAAAAAAAAAAAAAAAAAAAAAAAAAACCAAACAAAAGAGGGTTTAAGTGCAAAATCAAAATCAAAAAAAAAAAAAAAAAAAAAAAAATCAAGAATAAATCAAGCTTTTGTTTTTTGGGATTTTTGGGATTTTTCACACAAAGCCGTGCCATCAGGCCACCCTTCACTGTAACACCGTGCCATCAGGCACACTTCACTGTAATACCGCTATTTTATTCATAAAAAAAAGCGATTGGCTTTAAAAATAGTCAAGAAGCTCGGGCGTCGGCCGACCCACACTGTCAAACAGACGCGTCTCAAGATACTCGACGAGATCCTCGGACAAATCCAAGGTTGGTAGCACGCTGCGTGGATACAAGCTAAGCAGGCGGTATTTGCAGAGTGACTTTAGGCTGCCTTTAGCGGCGCGCTCGAATGCTGTAAACACCATCAAACAAGGCATTTTCAGATGCAAACAAACTACAGGAAAGCGAAAACAACCCCTCCCCTGCCTCTTGCAACACTTACCATCAATCATCTCGAGCAATTCGATTGTCGCTTGTATGCCTCCTTCGCTGAGGGAATTGGTCGGAATGAGATCTGCCGCAGCGCTGCTGGCATCAATTGGCCAGACGCCGCTTTGCAGCAACAGGCCGACCGCGCGAGGAGATCGCCGTTGCACGGCAAACTGGAGCATGGTTAGTCCGGATGCAGTCGTGGCACGCACATCGGCACCCGCATTGATGAGTAAGGAAACGCAGGCGACGCTGTGTGCGATGGCCAACTGCAGCGCGGGATCTGGTGGAGGTTCATTGCGAGCGGCTGCCAATTCAATGTCTTCCGGCGACACATTGACATTCGCGCCAGCCTCAAGCAGCGCCGCTAATACTAGTGGCGAGCCGCTGGAGCACGCCAGATCCAAGGCACTGAAGCCTTCCGCGCGTTGTTGCAACTGGGTGGTTCGACCGGCCGCGTCAGTGGCATCCAATAATAGCCGAATCACGGCAGGGTAGGTACTAGCGATGGCTGCGACATGGATTGGCATCTGCCCAGTGTTGCTTCGGGCAAGGGGACTTGCTCCCGCCTCGAGCAATTTTTCCACCAGAGGCGTGCTGCCGGGATCACCCACATCGCATGCAACGTGTAATGGTGTGCATCCATTCACATCGGACAGTGTGACATCGGCGCCATGGTCAAGCAAGAGTGAGATACATGTTTCCGAGCCTTTGAAGCACGCGCGCAAAAGCGGCGTTTGGCCGTTGATGGAGCTATGGTTGACAATTGCACCGCCGAGTGTAACGAGGAGAATGCCGGTATCCGCGCGGGCAGCTTCCATTGCCCACATGAGCGGCGTGTCGTTGTCATGATCGAGGTGGTCGACAATCGGCGACGACGGAGAGGCGAGCAGCGCATTGGTTGCGTCTCCACTGCCTTTGAGCAACGTTTCAATAAGCAGGCGAACAACCTCTACCGACGACGAGCGTGCGGCAAAATGCAGTGGCGTGGCTCGCCATCCGTGTGGCGCGGTAACCGAAGCGTCGGCAGCGATCAGCGCCTGGACACAGCGCAGGGACCCTTGTCCGACGTTGTGCATGCAAGCAAAGTGCAATGGCTGTGCCAAAAACAGCGGTGAAAGTGAGTTGAAGTTTGTGCGTCAAGGTCAAACGCGGAGAGACGCACGACCTAGGTTTCACTGTTTTCATCTCCACGAAGAAATCTCGCTCCCCCCCCCCAATTCATATCATTCACTCATTCAGCTGCAAGCTTACCGTGTTGGAGTCATTATCTAGCACACGAGGTGACGCACCGAGTCCAAGGAGGAGCTCAACGTTACCGCAGTGAGTTTGCTCTGCAGCAAAGTGCAGACCGGTATAACCATGCGACGACGATGCGTCATTCACAAACTTGCGGAACAGATTGTACGCGTTGGCAAGGTGCTCCGAGTGAGGTTTGCCTTGTTTACTTGCGTCGCTTTCCTTCCTTGTCTGAGCAACCACGTCGCTCAGTTTGGTCTCGATTTCCGTCTCCGCCACGCGTTCGTCCGCCAGCGTGCGCTTCAGGTTTCCTATCACTGATGGATGCACACACATTTACGCAATTCTCACGCAGCAACGTCAGTCAGGGAACATGGCCTCGTGGTTTGCAGACTGTGCCATCGTCCTCAGCTGCAGCCACCGCTTCAGCCTCAGCCTCGGCGGCAGCAGTCGAGCTGTCAAGCCCGGAGACTGATAGCTCAAGCAGCGCCACGAACGCGCTCAGCAGCGGTCGCGCGACATTCGCCCCGCCTCGCGCTGCCGCAATAAACTCGCGGAACAACCGCTCTGTCATAGAGAGCGAGTGTAAGTGAGACGACTGAGCTCCTTCCGAAGAACTCATCTTGGATTGTGTGTGTGTGTGTGTGTGTGTGTGTGTGGAATGACAAGCCAGTCAAAGTTTTTTGTTTGCCTTCTGGTTTTGGCAAATCGGAGCTCAATGGCGAAAAAAACCGCGTCGGACACTGCAGCCAGTAGTAACACTGCTGCTGCTGCTGCTGCTGCTGCTGGTGGTGGTGGTGGTGGTGGTGCGACTGGCGCAAAGGACGAGGCAAAGAAGCCAATTGCTGCGAAATCGAACACTGCCACTGCTGCTAGCAAGGGTTCGGCAGGATCATCATCATCCGTATCATCATCATCACCAGCGTCGCCGCAGAGCACAATCTGGATGCTGGTGGCTGCGCTGCTGGTGCTGGCGATCGCGGTCGGTGTCGCATTCATTGGAGCGCCTTCTGCGTCACTGCAGCGACTGCACGACAACGACGACAACGCCGCCGCCGCAGCAGCAGCAGCATCCGTGGCATTGCATGGTGTCTCGATCAACAAGGCTGATACAAAGGCAACTGCGCCTCCCGCGGCCGAGCTCATGCCGTCCACCGATCGGATGCAAGTTGCGCCAAGCTCGGATTCCATATCCGATCATGCAGATCCTGCTGCTGCGACTCGAAGCGCCGATGCTACTACCAAGACAGAGCAGGAGCACTCAGACCATGCCAGGGGTGATGCACCCGCGACGACGGCTGCACGCGCAACGCCGCACCACAAGACCGAAGCACCGACCGATTTGTAATGCATCGCGCAAATTCTGAGCAAACGAGAGATGCTTCTTGCAGACGATTCTCGTTCGTCAGGTAGGATGAGTGCTGACCTTGAATGTGTTTTTGATTTTGTCTGCAAAACAGAATGCCACCATCGCCCACTCCTGCGGAAGCCCAATCCACTTCCAGCGCTTCGACCTCCGAGACTGAGGAGCCGAGCACATCTGACTCGAACACTCCTCTTGCTGCGGCAACAGCCGACATCTCGGCGAACGCCCACGCCGGTGAAGCAGGCCGCTGGGGCTACGAGATCAAATCGCAACTCCGAGCCATCAACTGGACTCCGACTCGCCCACTGGACCAGCTTGCCCAACACTCGCGTCCCGTGGTGCTTCGAAATGGCGCGCCTTCGTTGTGGCCCGCAATGAAAACGTGGACGCCAAAGTATCTGAGCAAGTTCATTTCGCGCGAGCTTTCTGTTCACCTTCAGCCCATTGATGACCCCGTATTCATCTATCGAAACGAGAAGGCGCTCATGTCCGCACTGCCGGAGGGCGCTGCAAAGTCCAACGAACGCGTGGCCAACATGACTTTGGCGCAGTTGTGGGACACGTGCCGCTCGGGCAGCGAACGCGCCTACTTTTCCGGTCCGCTCGATCTGCTCCCCTCCTTGAAAGTCGATGTCGGAGACTCTGGCTCGTTCACGCGTGAACGCCCGTCCATCACCGAAGGCAATGTTTGGATGGGATGCAAGGGTGCAGTCACCCAGACACACTACGATGCCGCATACAACCTGTTCACCCAAATCCACGGCCGCAAGCGCTTTTTGCTGACCGCCCCGGACGAAGTGGAGCGTTTCTTCCTCTATCCGCGTCTGCATCCCTCGCATCGGCAATCGCAGGTCAACTGGATGCATCCCGAGCCTGCAAAGTTTGCCCATTTCATGGTGAATCGCCGTGGCTATGAAGAACCGAGCCAGCCCGGAGACGAGCCCGTTTATCACGAGTTTGGACTGTTTGGCCCGCCTGCTTATGATGTAAGCGATTGGATCCGTGGGTTGCTTGTTTGAAGACGGGGGGAGGGTTTTTTTGGTTTGGTTTTGGGGCGCGCGTTGCTCAACATTGGGAGCGGCGGTTGTCAGGTTACCTTGGAGCCTGGAGATACCCTGTTCTTGCCACCGTTCTGGTTCCACCGCGTTATTGCCGTGGATGACTCCATCTCAGTGAGCATGTGGGGCGACGCCATGGAGCTTGACACTCTGGATGAGATGCTGGACGTCGCTTTGCCGTTTGAAGACTCTTGGAGTACCGCGGAGAAAGTCCGGGTCCTCAAGTCCTTTGTCGTGCGAGTCACCCTCGGCGCAGAGTATGCGCTCGGATTGCGTGAGTAGTTGGAATGTCATGTGCTCTGTGCTTCGATGCCAGTCGTTCTGTGGTCTTTGGCGGTTGGACGCTCATTTTTTTTTTTGTTTTTGTTTTTCCTGATTCCGTCAATCCCAGCGGAGAATTCAATCTTGGCAACGGTCGCATTTACACGCTACCTGCCACTATTTGGTGCCAGCGACTGTATGGCCTTGAGCGAGTACTGCCTGACGAGCGAGGCCTCCGACACAAACATTCCAGAACAAACCCGAGAAAAGATTGCAAGCACGGTCGAGCAGGTTCTGAATGCTGCCACCGGGCTCTTGACACCCGACAAAGGTCTCTCGATCGCATTTATTCTCATGCAAAACTATATCGAGACGGTCATTGGTGCCGTGTTGCCCGTGAATGAGATCAATTCGTTCGTTCAGTGCTGCCTGCCCCGGCCGGCTCTCGAGCCTCCCTCTTGACCGGATTTTTTTTCCGCATTGCAACGACGGATGGCTCTATTGGCTGTGGCGTAGTGTCTGTTCCGTTCTGAGACCTTTTTTGTGCTTGTAGCAAACAAAAGTTGTTCAGATTTTTCTCCCAAACATCGCTACCTTCACATTTTGACCATTGTTACTTGTTCATCGCGAAACTGCGACTATGCATGACTTGCACAATGCTTTCCAATGCCATGTCTGAGATTTCATGATGTTCAGTTCAGTCTTTATTGAGCTACAACTCAACATGGCCGCACCAAACCACCAGCAGTTCTTCCAGCAGACGCAGCAGCAGCAGCAGTACCAGCAGTACCAGCAGCAGCAACAGTACCTGCAACAGCAGCAGCACCACGCACAGGCCAGCATGGACCCCAGCGCCAACTCTGTGATTCTCGTTACGGCTGGCTACGACCACACCATCCGCTTCTGGGAGGCGCTCTCGGGCGTCTGCTACCGGACTGTCCAGCATCCAGACGCGGTAAACAGTGTCCCGATTGTGCCTGTCTCGCTGTCCTCGCCCGGGGTGGTGGTGGTGGTGGGGAGAGTGCTTTTTGGATTTTGAATGCGCCTCCATTGCGCACCTGCACTTGGGACGACGACCATTGTCATGACCATTGGCTGATTGCAGCAGTAGATTCGTAATGTATGGATGGCTCACTTTTGAAAAAACACGCAACTGTCTGTTTGGGTCGTTGGTTTTTGGCAGCAAGTCAATTGTCTGGCGATCACTCCCGACAAGCAGTATATTGCAGCAGGAGGTAACCAAAAGCGCAATCCAGTGCATGTCTATTGCAGATAGCCATAAACGAACGCAAATGCAATGAACGTTTGATTCTAGAAGCCGGTTTGTGTCTCGCTCAACAGGTCAACTCACTTTTTTTGGCCTTGGTTTGTTGTTTAGGCAACCCGCACATTCGCATGTATGATATTGCATCGCACAATCACAATCCGGTATGAAGCTCTTCTTGCTGTTGTTGTTGGTATCTTCAAGCCACAAATCAGCGAGCAGTCACTCGATTTTTGGTTGTTGTTGTTGTTGTTGCTGTCGGTTTTGGTTGCAGATCACAAGCTTCGATGGTCACACCGGAAACGTGACGGCGGTTGGCTTCCGAGCAGACGGAAAGTGGATGTACAGCGGCTCCGAGGACACCACGATCAAGATTTGGGACATGAGGTGAGTGGCACGCTAGATTTGCTCGAAGACCGCTCGACGATTTATGATTTTCATCGTGCCATCACATTCTTGTTCCAATCGTGACTTTAAATGCGCAGAACTCCTGGGTGCCAGCGAGAATACGTTGCCGGCAGCGCTGTCAATTGCGTCACACTCCATCCAAACCAGGTATCGTCCGCTTCGTTGTTGTGGCTTTTGTTCGCAGGATCTCATTTGTTTCCCCTCCAATATCTCTTTCATAGACGGAGCTGATCTCTGGGGATCAAAGTGGTCGCATAAAAATTTGGGAATTGCGCACCAACAAGTGTGCCGAAGATCTTGTAAGGACCAGACCCTCAAATCCCCCTTTTTCATCGTTCATCTCACCAAATGTTGTCATTCACGTCAGATCCCCGAGCCAGACGTTCCCATCCGCAGCCTCACAATCGCACCAGATGCGTCGCAACTCGTTGCCGGCAACAACAATGTGCGTCGTCCATTTTGATGATTGTTTTCGTGGCTCTTGCGCCGTGACTCATGAACCATGACTGTCATTTTCGTTTTCGCTTTCGCTCGAATTGGAAACAGGGAAACTGTTACGTCTGGAAGCTCCAGCACCATGCCAACGAGCCCACCACCGCCACGCCAATCAAGCATCTCGCTGCCCATTCCTCGCATGTGCTCAAGTGTCTGATTAGCCCCGACGCAAGGTATGTTCTTCCTTGTCGAACTGGAAAGTGGGTTGTGTACTGTAGATCCATTGACACTGACTGACTTCAAACTCGACCATTTTTTTTATTAAAAATCGATTTGCGTTTGTGACCAAAAGACTGCTTGCTACTTGCTCCTCCGAGCTGGAAAGCTCTGTCAAGATTTGGAACATCCAGGCCAACTACTCCCTCTTCAAGACTCTGAGCGGTCATCAGCGCTGGGTGTGGGACTGCGCCTTTTCCTCAGACTCTGCCTATCTGGTGACTGCATCTTCCGATCAGATTGCACGGCTTTGGGATATTGCGCAAGGCGAAAGCATCAAGCAGTTTACTGGTCACTTGAAGGCCATCACATGCCTTGCCCTGAATGACTAAGTGGCCGGGCGTGAGCCGCACTGTTGCCGAGTGCGTTGACTGAAAAGAAAGCAGTGATGAAAAATGGTGTGCATATTAGTACAGAAAATGTTGGTGTTACACGCATTGTGGTTGCAAATAAGGGCATTAGTTGGCTCGCGCTCTTGGGACTTCGTCGTGGTTGAGCAGTTGCCTTCGCACTTCGTATTGCTGACGATGAATGCGTTCGCGGTAGCGTCGCGCTTGCTTCATCAAGCGCTGGCGGAAGGCGAGCGCAAGAATCAGGACGGTAGAGACAGGGTAGACGAGGCGGTCGAACAGAGCGAATGTGGACAACGACGCGCCTAAATGGTCCAAAGCAACAACCGTCAGAACACCGATACGAAAACGACAAATGGAAGCCAACAGGAAAAAAAAAACACCAAAAGCAACTCGAATGCTCACCAAAGACTCGGAGCAAAAGCACATGCGTGGCTACGTAGGGAATCGCAAGAAGCAGAGCCAAAAACCATGTAATGCGCAGGGAAAAGCGTGCAACGGCTGGAATCTCCGCCCAAGTGGCAACAAGGTGCTGAAGGGCCAAAGAAGCCAAACAACAATCCCGTCAGAATCAAGGTACTCGAGCTGCAACAAACACGAACATGCAATCCGAATGTCACGTCGTTACATGATAGAGAGCTGTCGGGAGTTGTTGATGGCCCAAACAAATCATCAAGCTCAGGACCAGCTTGATGAAGAAAAAGCCCGTCGTGTAGGTGCTCTGTTGGAAAACACAGCAGGGTGATTAGCAAACACAGCAGGGTGATTAGCAAAAAAATAAAAATCGACAAGTCGAGATCTCGGTACTGTCAGATTCACTCCAGTCTTCGACAACAAGCAAAATGAAGCGAGATACCAGCAGACCCGTAAGCATCGGAATGCCAGATAAAAGGAGGACGAAAGCAGTGAGCATCTGCGCAAAAGGCAAAAATGGGAACAAGGAGTACTTTGTCAGTCATGAACAGTGCCAAGCATCACAGAGAGGGCGACTGAGAAACGTACCGCCAAACCACGCGACAAGAGCGATAGAATCGGCATAGGACTGCGCCACATTGCCAAACGCACTGCCGATGCAATTGCCAGCGCACAGCAGACGACGCCAGTCAAACCAATCTCCAACACTTGCATTGGCGGCAAGCGAAGCTCAAACTTTTGAACCACCGCCTGGCTGATGCCCACTGTTGAGGTCGAAAAAACAAACAACAATCTCAGGTGAGCACGAGACACACGCACGCGCGGCACAAAACTACGAACAAGCGGGACGACGCACTGATGATCGAGATGACAAACGAGTACAGCAAGAAAAAGGTCAGCCAGAGAAGCCCGAGCGCCACGATAACGCGTGCCGCAAAGAACTTTGGGCGAGTGTACGGGACGTTCTGAGGACGACCGTCATCGTCACCGCCCGCGGCTGCAGCTGCGGGATTGTCCACGCCATTCTCATCCTCGTCATTTTCGTCGTCGTCGTCGTCCTCAAAATCGGCTTCGTCGAGAGCATCATCTTGAGCATCCACGGCGTCCAGTTCATTCTCATCGTCATTCGCAGCCTGGGCGTTGTTGTTGTTGTTGTTCCCAAGCAGCCATCCGTCCACCAGCTGGTTCAAGTCGAGAGGTGGTCCTTGCTCGCGTGGAGGCTGCGGCTCTGCTGCCTGTGGACGCTGGACATTCTCGCGAGCAGCATTCTGAGGAGCTGCAGGCTCGGCGTTGGGATCGTTGGCGACCATGGCGGCGACATTGTCACCGAAAAAGTACGCACGGAGCCCGAGAACGCTGCTCACAACCTCCAGCCAGACATCAACGCTCACCTCGACAACATAGTCGAGATCAATCAGCAGGCGCAGCAGTCGGAAGGATGAAATGTAAAACAAGAGCCCGATTGGAATGCCCAAGGTCATGTCCATCGCCTTGCGCAAAGACATATCGGGACCCGCGAGTGCGTGGTCTGGCATATCCAGCGCCAGGGCGTCATGAAGGTTGCTTGTTGCGTTCAGCTCGGCGAGATTCCACGCTTCGGAAGAAGAAGACGCGGTCGAGTTGACGAATGTTGCATTCGACGCGGTTTGGTGCAGGAATTCTTGCCAGTTGAACATCCAGCAGCTCAATTGGACAGGTAGCCACACCACCAAGAAAACCTGAATGCCGTAACTGGCCGCAGAGAGGCACAGACGACGCGCGTGACGGAAGAGGCTCAGCTGGATCATGTCGGCGATCGGCCGGAAGTTTGGGTCGCTCGGGTGACGCAAAAACCATAGCATGCCCGGCCGCACAATACTGTGCACGATGGCCACAAACTCGGCAAAGTTGAACAGCATGCACATGCCGAAGAGCCAGTGGTAGAAGGAGGAGACGAACGGATGCGCATAGAAGAAGGCCCGGCGGTCGGCCAGCGTCTTGTCAAACAGGGAGAGGGTGCAGAGGTCAAGCCACCAGCCCGTGAACAGTGGGAAGAGGAGAATTTCAGTCAGGGTGAGCAGGGTGACGCGGAGATAGGCGCGAAGAAAGACGAGCACTTCGACAAGCCTGGTGGAAAGCTCGGACTGGCTGTCAATCGAGAGCACGATTGCCAGGACAACAATTTCGCTGGAAATGGAGAGCGTCCAGCCGACGAGGAGATTGGCCAAAAGGGGCGAGACGGCAATCACACTGGAAAGCAAGTCGAGCTCCATACGCCGATTGGCCACAAAGAGAAAACCGGCTCCAAGATAGGCGGGCATGACGAAAAAGCAGCAAATAAACACAAGCGCACAGCCCGTAAACACGGTGGCGTTTGTGACGAGTTGAGAAATGTTGCCTCGCAGCCCAATCAGGTCTTCGAGTTGCTCCATGCCCCGCTCGTCTTCCTCGACAGCGAGCTGAGCAGCGAGCCGTGCGTCATCTTGCTCTTGCATCAGTTCATTGGCGATGGCCGCGACATTCGCTGCGTCGCCGGCGGCTTGCGCGTTCGCAGGCTCAGCATCAATATCTTCCCAATCCATCTCGTCGTCGTCGTCGGCAGCAGCGGCAGCAGCTGGCTGCTGATTGCCGTCAAGTTGGGGTGCTGCGGCAGCGGCAGCCGCTGCTGCTTGTTGCTGCGCCTCTCGAGCCTGTTGAAGGGCATCTTGCTCGTCGGGAAGCAAATCCACCGCTCGCAATCGGATGAGAGGCTGTTGTTGCACGTCTTCCGGGGCATCAGCAGGTGGGGCTGCAGCTGCGTCATCGTTGTTTGCATTGTTGTCTTCTGCTGCTGCTGCCGCTGGCTGCGGCTGCGGCGGAGCAACTCGTGCATTCTCGGCATGAGCCGGAGCGCGGCCATTTCCATGCACAATCTGCTGCGCACGCCGCAATCGCTCCATACGTCCCCTTCGCCGCTGTTCGGGTTGGTGCTCTCCAGCGTTCTGCACAGCAAACGTTCTTCATATTAGTGTACGCTCACAATCGATACACACTTAACCACATCCATTTTGTCAGTCCTCTTACTGGTGGATCATCAAGCTCTGGATTGAGCAAGTAGGGCCGGGAGTTTAAAAATTCGCGCATGCTGATGATGCTTAGCACAACGCCAGTCATCAACAGACACAGCATTCCTCCAATGCCGATAGTGCTGGTTGGAAAATCAAGAATTCATCACAGAGTGTCGTGAGTCGCCGCCGCCCACGCCCACACCCCGAACCGAAAAGGTCTCCTCAACGACCCATACAACAGCAGCGATCAGCAGCAGTCTTGACTTACAAGGCAATGTGGTGAGCGCCTGTCGATCCGGATGGCATAAATTCGGCCACCCAGCCGGTAATGTAAGGAACAAGACCGCCCCAGCAGGCGAGAACGAGGACATAGCGACCTCCCTTGAGACCAGCATTCCATGCATTCTGGGTGTAAGAAGCGAACGGTTAGCGAGGGGAGCGTGTTGGCGTGAAGCGCTTTACAGCTCAAAGTCATCACACATGCAGTTCCCCCCGGGGCTCTCTACGCCACCCAAGCACCAACGCATCTGCATGAGTATTTACCACGACAGTGCCATAGGCGAGTTCAACCGTGGACAGCTGTGCCGGGGCGTTGGACGCGTAGACCGGCCTGAACGAGAACCGAACTCCGCACAGCTCGCAGCGCGTTGTTCCCGCGTGCTCGAGCCACTGCTGCAGACTACCAATATGGTTTTGATCATCATTCACAAGCAATCAGAGAGACAGAGACACACACACACAGAGGGGACAGGTGAGCTCCCAATCGTCGCAATAGTCTCGGCAGCCAAATCTTCCGCACACACTTCCCCCACCACCACCTCCGCCTCAGCTTCAAGCGCGATCAACGAGGGAAGGTCGCAACAAAGCGAAACGCACCAGTCTGCATGGACGTGTCGGATGGATCCCGTGCACTTGCATGGATGGTAGAGCGGCATGGCTGGCGTTGCTTCCAAGCGGCACACTCGGCAAATGTCCTCGCCGTCCTGCTCTGCTGCCGAGGAGGAGTGCTGTCTGTGTGGAGGGTTAGGAGGAGGAGCAGCAGGGCGTGCACCCATGCTGGCGGCTGGACGTGGCACCACGACTGGCTCTGCACCGTCCATTGCGCGCGATCAAACAGCGAAAATCGAGGTGAAAGCACACAATTGCACAAAAGGACTGAATGCCATAGGGCACAATGTACATGACTTTCTGGTGGCTGTTTCACTGATAGGGGGTGCGAATCAGTTAGCGCTGGGTTTGGGGGTTGATCGTCGATGTCTGAGCAGCCCAGTTCCCAGTCCAAATTTGAACCGACTGGTCTTACAACAACGGGCAATACTGCAGTTGCGCTGCTCTTGCTTCCACAAGAATGGGGAGCAACTTCCGAGCGACTTACTACAAGACGCTCGGAATGAGTGGCGTCGAGGTCAAGCAAGCGTTCGACGCCATGCTCAAGGAGGAGCCCATTGGTAAACAACCAGCAAAACTCAACCTGAAACTGATGACAAACAATCGCGACCCAGTCGCATCGAGCAGCATCTTGTTGAAACTGGAGACACGCTGGTGTGCTGATTCCAGTTGTCTCACACACACACAAGTCGAGCAGCAGAGAGACACAGCAGAAGGGTGGTCGAAGCGACGGGCGATGAACTCGGTCGTCATCGTTTCAGTCAGCTCCCTCTGCTCTCTGCGCTTTGCTCTGCTGTTCCAGTTTCCGGGTACTCTGCGTCATGCGCCAAAACATCACAGTCCTGATGCTGGATTTTCAGAGGCTGTTGCTTGAGTGCATCGAGAACTCGGCAGCTTGATGGCCGAAGAGGGTGGTGGTGGTGTTGTTTGCGGTCTGTTGGTGGGTTGGTGGGTCTGTTTGTGATGTTGGCTGATTGTGGGATCCTGCTTTTGCTGATCTCCAGATATACGTGCGTTGGTCAAGTTCTTATTGCGACACGATGTGCCAGTGGCCATGCAAGTGATTGTCTGGAAGGTTGTACTTGGTAAGTTTGAAACAACAACCACAAACTGTCAACAACAACAACAACCATCGGCTCTGCTGCTGCAAAGCTCGCACGTCACACGTCGTATGGGTCGAACATCGATTGTTAGCAATCATGCGCTTTTTTTGACAGCGGCGGACATGCGGGAAGGATTTTCTTGCACGTTCAGTTTTTTGGCTCATTCGTTTATCATTCGTTTCTGCAGGAGTCCTGCCTGCCCATCGACATGCATGGGAACGAGTCGAACGACAACGGAAAGAGCACTTCGACGAGCTACAACGCACCACATTTGTCTTGTTAGGCCGTGTTGGGTAACGCATACTCTGACGAAAAACACATTGCAGCGAAACTTGGTGTCCGAGCCTCCGTTCTAAGCGTTGTTTTTTGACAATGCTTTGGAAACCACCGTGCAGACCAGAGCAAGAATTCACAACAGAAATAATTGCCAGCATGTGCGCCCTCAATCAGTCGTATTTCGGGCATCGTTTGGAAATGTCGTTCGAACATGTACGCCGTTGTTTTGGATTTTGGTTTTGGAAATCATTTGCCCACTGATCGCGTTCGCTCACTTGACTGCCTTGTAGCGATCCGATCCACAAGAGCTCGAACACACGTGCCATGTGGCGCGCATGTTTTGTGCGCTCTGCCCTGAGGAGTGCGACGCCTTTTGGCTCTGCTCGCAATTCCTGCTGCACCAAAGAGCCAATCCAGCCACATCAGAAGAGGTCGTGAAGGCCGTGCGTGCCATGCCCTTTCCAAAATTTTCACTGCTATACTATTTCGTTAATTAGATAGTTTTGTAATAACAACAACACTCAAAAGAAAAAGCAAACCAAACCGACTGAATCAACAGCAAACCTTTACACTGCGCCAAGAATGTTCTGCAACAGCGCGGTTGCATCCTGCTCCATCCGTTCACTAGAAGAACTCAGTTCCGTTGCACGCGCCTGGAGCGAGGCATCGGCTGTTTGGCCTCCGTTCGCACCCAGGAACCGAAGATACCGCTCAGAACGCTTCACAGCGGCGGCTTCTGGAATCGCCAGCAACTCGCGAACAGAACGGAGTGGACGGTCGCTCAGCGGCCCTGTGGCGGGAGTGACACTCGCGGGGCCAGGGCGAGACAGCCGCGCGGGCGCTGCATACGGGGTGGGCTGCGTCGGCAGCGGGGTGCCAGACGCGAGTTGCTTCTTGAGGCGTGGGTAGGCAGCAGTGCCAGGCAGTGGCTGTGATGGATGCGGAGCACTGGAAGGAATAACAAAGGAGACGGGCCCGTAGTTGCTTGCGATCGAAAACGCACCTCCAGTACCCGGCTGACGGAGGGCGAAGACTTGCGATCCTGCGCCAACACCAAACGGAGACGAAAACACGCCGTCATTGACAAGGCCACCGCCGATGCCGCCAATCGCGTGCGATGGTGGTACTTGGACGCTCGACGCGCTCTGTGTGCGGGTGACGATGGACGGCAAGGACGCAGGAGAGGCCAGGGCTGCCATTTCTTCTTCGCGCTTCTTCTTCTGCTTTGAAATGCTTTGTGGATTGAGGTGGCTGTCTGCGATGTGTGTCATGAGCTTGTTGGAGTATGTGTACCGCCTGTGAGAGAATTGAGTCCGCCAAACAAGCAAACGCAAGCAAGGACGCAAATCGGTGAGTCAACAGGGTCACACACGCACCAAATTGTCACGGAATCAGCCATCACCAAACAAAACATTCACCCTCCCGCAAATTTAAAGACAAAACTCACTTTCCCTCTCGTTCGCAATCCTCCCACTGGCACACGGCGTTTTGGGGATCAAAGTGCGTCTGTTCGACGTGGTCCAGGAGCGCCTGACGCTCCAGGAAAGGGCCCTTGTAGCAGCCAAGCCAGCAGCAGAGCATGGCGCTGGAGGACTGCAAGGGTGTGTTAAAGTAGGCGGCTGGGGTCGCTGCTGCGGCGGCAGCTGCCGGCTCGACCTTGCGAGAAGGAACGGGTGTCTTGTAGCCGCCCGCCATCAAAGAGTCTGCTGCGGCAGCTCCAAACAGCGGCGTCGTTGAGAGAGACATGGGTGTTCCGATGGGAGACGCCCCGATGCTAGCTCCTGTTGCAGACATTGCAAACCCACGCGGCGACGATGCCGACGAAGGTTGTTGGAGCGCCGAGGCCGCAGGCGGGGGAGCCTCCGCCAAGCGCGCGTACTTGACCAGATCTGCCGCCGAGTAGGCCATGACTTGCTGCACGGTCGATGCCATGGCTGCAATGTAGGCACCGCTGCTTCCGGACGGACCGGCAGCCGCAGTGTTTCGCGAGCTGCTCCCTGAACGCGAGGAGGCCGAGGCACCGTGCGCAGCAGGTGCGGCAGCCGGTGCAGCAATCTTGTCGCAAACAGCAACGACAGACAGCGCCGGCGTGTACTCTGTGCTGGGAATGGCGTCTGCAGGGCCGACAGGGGCAAAGCGCAAGGTTGCAACGGCGGTTTCCTCCGGGACATGGGCAACCAGAGGGATTTCGGCAGCCACCCGCAGTGAGCGCGCCTGAATGGCCTCGGACAGCTCCAACCGCAGGCGCTCGAGACTGGCTTGAAGGGCTGACGCTTGCTGCGTGTGGAGCGCCTCTGCAGCCTTGAGCGCAACCGTTTCATAGACACGCTTCTCAGAGGACGACAGTGCACGCCACAGCTCGGAAACGCGCTCGTGCAGCAGACTCGATGAAACGCCCTGGGCAATGGCAGCGCGGATTCCTGCATTGTTCTGACGCACCTCCACATCGAACAGAGCGAGCGGCGGCTGCACCCGGTTGAGCTTTTGGAGGGACTGCTGCTCTTGGGGATTGACCACAAACACGGGCGCCCCGACCGCCTCAGACAGCCCGCCTCGGACCACCTTGGTAGAATTGGTGACTCCGCCAGCAGCCAGCTGGTTGGCCACCAGATTCAAGTCGAGCTGCGCCGACTGCACCGACGAGAACAAGACAAAGTCAGTGTGCAGGAGGCGCTGGGGCTCCTCAGTCGACGGCAGCAGCGACAGAACGCCGTCCTCGGTCGTGGCAAGCTTGAAACGGCTGAAAAAGACATCACGCTCCGCAAAGCCCACAGATCGGCCGAGTTCGTAGTCAGCATGCGACAGAACGGAGATCTTGCAGCCAACCGCCGCCAGAGCGTGAGATTCTGAGCGGTGGGTCAAGAGCAACTCGCGCGGGTGGAGCGACGCGTTGCTCGATGCTTCCAACGTTGTCCTTGATGGTCGCACGAGCACAATGCCTGTAAACATGGGCTCGTTGCTGCAGAGAGTTGGAACGTCGGGAACAACGGTGAGCAAATAGAACGAATTCAGAATTCATGTGCAACATGCAAAGCGGTGGCACAATCGTTACCTTGAAGCGGACAGCCAGATGCGTGTGATTCGCAAAAGCGAACCGGCGCCTGGATCTTCGGTCGACCGCAAGTACACAACTTCGCCTGAGCCATGCGCGCACACACCAATCACAATTCAAAATTGAGTATCACACACACACACGCCAAGGGCAAACGCAACCGTGGTGCTACGTACCGACAACAAATCGCTGAAAATTGACGGGCAATACTCGGAAATCAATCTCATTCGCATTTGCTTGAGTTTGCGCCAACTCGTGCTGTGAATTACAAACGATCGCCAGGTCAGTCTCGCAAAGCGCAGAATAGAGACAGAAAGAAGAAACCGCACAAATACAAACTACTTTGCACTCACCCTGATATCCTGCAGGAAGAGCGGCATCGTTTCATTGGTCATTGCATGGAGCGACGGATACTTGGTATACAAGACAGAGTTCAGCTGGGATTCGTTTTCGGGCGACGGAACAAGATGGTCTTGAGTCGTGTTCCAAGTCTTGATCCGTTGGATGGTGCGAGACTTTTCATTGTACCGGCCGTCGCAGCAAAATACGTCGGCGGGAGCAAAACCGGGTGGGCGCATGTCCCGCAGCCACTCTTTGGTGAAGACGATCGTGCACTCGCTTAAAATGAGGTCGCTGTGGTACCAACGGGCAGTGGCAGCAGGCCCACGGAAGATTTCGTTGGCAAGGAAGGTGGTTTTGACCAGGTGGTACGTCTCGTGAGGGTACAAGAAGGGCGAGCCCCAAATGTAGTAACGCGGCTGGGCAGCAGCGTCCGCACCTGGTGGCGTGTAGCGGTAAATGTTCTCCACCCAGATGACACGAGGCAAGTAGCACTTTCCGTGATTAATTCGAACATAGCCGTCCTTCTTGACAAGGATGCCACGGAGAGTGGCGCTCTCGACCTCAACCAGGCCTTGCGAGGCAGCGTACTTGGCCAACACCTCTTGAATCTGCTGCGGAACGGACAGCTTGTTTGCAAGACCGTTGGCATCAGCAGCAGCAGTAGCAGCAGCAGCAGCAGGCGCAGTGCTGCTACCATTGCCCTCAGAAGCATTGCCAGAGGTCGCAGCGGCAGCCCCGGCGCGCTCCTCCTCTTCCTCCTCTTGTTCGGCAGCAGCCGCAGCCGCGGTGGCCTTGCGCTCTTTGCGATGGCTGGAAGAGCCAGCCCCTCGCTTGGACGCAGCATCTTGGAGTGCTTGCAGCCGGTCCAATTCCGGAAGCGTGCCGTCTGGCGGGGAAAAGCAGGCATCGGGCGTCGAGTCTGTCAGCAAGGCCTCAATCACGAGTTCCCGCTCAAAGTCAACATCGGTAAAGGGAATATGTCCCACGCCCGGCGCAAAGCGACGATTGGCATGCTCAATAAAGAGCTTTTGCAAGGCGACGGAGTCCTCAAAGATGGTCGACCCGGCCTCGTTAAAGATGCGTGCGTTGTGAAACATGAGAAAGATTTCGTGTCGGAAAGCAGCAAAGGACGAGTACGCATTCTCCTCGATGCGCGCCTTGATTGTGCTGAGGTCAATGGGCTCGGTGATGATGGTATAGTACTCGGGCAGCTCGTCCGGCGTGGGGAGCACAACAAAGTCCTCAATCAGCCGGCGCTTTGCCAGTTGGCCAGGGTGTTGCTCGTCTTCGTCGTCGACGGTTGCTGCTTCGAGGACTGCGCACAAATCGTACATGGCACACTGGAGCAAGCGCTTGGAATCCAGCAGGCCGTCGACGCCGGCATCAGAGCAAGCAGTTGTGGCGGCCGACGACGACGACGACGACGACGTTGTATCCATCGCGTTGCCAGGGGACGGTTGCGCCGTGCGGTCTGTCGGCCGGCGCGATTCTGTGCGAGTGCGACCGCCAGGGAACACGTCCGAGGCCACCTCTTCGTGGGTAGCTTCGGACAGCAGCTCCCGCAGCGCCTCTTCATTCAGGATGGTGAGCGACCCAGCCGTGGTGGTGCTGGTGGGCGACGGCTGCAAACGCACGCCGTACTCGTTCTCGTTGGGAATGAGGGGTGCGTTCGCCTGCTTGTACATTCGCATGTAGCGACGGCGAGCGTCTCGCGTGCGCTCGCGGGCAACGGCACGCACGGCAGCCGCGTCCGCGCCCTGTGAAGAGTCGGCGCCATAGTACCGCTGCAGCGCGTCGCACATGGTGACAATGTCATTCAACAGACTCTCGAAGGAATCGTACTGGCCTGCGCCAGCACGCTTCCGAATGGCAATGAAATCGAGCGGCGGATCTGGCGCGTACAGCTGGTGGTAGCCAGGATGCTCTTGCGCGGACGGCACAAACAGGATGGACTTGGCAAACGTGTGACTGTCCTCTGAGGACACGGCAGAGGCGATTTCAGCAATGCACCCCAGACACCGGCGGATGAGCTTGACGATACGCGCAGTGGTTGTGTGCCAGGAGGCGCCCTTTTCGGCGGCAGCCGCAGCAGCGTCGGCGGACTTGCTGCCAGAGCTCGTGTCCATCATGTCACTCTCTTCTCCAGCGCTGCCTGCACCGCCTGCACTGCCAGGAATGTTCTGGCGGGTGGCACGAGAGCTGGCGGCTGGAGGGGTTGAAAAGCGGTCCTTTTGCTTGGTGCTGCTACTACTACTACTGCTGCTACTCCGGGGTGATTGCGCCATCATGGGCGTGACGGCCGTCGCCGCAAAAGCCACATTGGCGTTCGTCCATGCTGCGGGCGATGCCAGCACAGTCGTGGCCAGCGCACTTTTTGTGGTCTCGTAGGCTTTGCGCAGCTTGCCGGCGTCGCGATAGATGGTCGAGCCGCTCTTGTTGTAGTATTCCGCGTTGACAAACACCTTCATCATGTCGTTGTCAAACGCCGCAAAGGTCGAGTACGAGCATTTCGCCGCGGTTGATCCGACGCGCGCCCCAAGGGTGACCGTGTCCATCGGGTTGCCAATGACGGCGTAGTAGTCTGGGAGCTCGAGCGGAGTGGGCAGCTCGGCGAAAATCTCGCCCACAAGCCTGCCACGCTCGCGGTAGGTCACGACGGCATTCAGCAGCGTTGTGCACAGCGAGTGCAGCGGCGCTCCGGCAACAACGCGGTCGAGCACGGCGTTGACCTGCGCCATCGCTGAATTGATGTAGGATTCGAGCGCAAATTTCGCAGCAGCCGCAGGGGCCGCGATCGCCGGCGTTGCCGCTGTCGGTTGCTGTTCTTGATGCGCATTACTGGTGGGTGCTAGACCTGCAGCAGCAGCAGCAGCAGCATCAGCAGTGTTCGCGCCATAGGTCGAAGAGGCATTCGTCGATTCAATCCTTGCGCGCTTCTCCTGCGCTCCTCCTGGCTGGGCGACGCCTGCTGCTGCCGCAACGTCCATTGGAATCGACTCGGACGCGTGATCTTGCAAGCCCTGGGTGGTGCCGTCGTCGTCGTACGGACGCTTCTGGCCGAGGCGAGTCGGATTGCCAGCATTCGAAGCGAGATCTCCCGCCCAATCCATTTTCAAGCCAAAAGAATGAGAAGAGAAGAGGAAAACGAAAAGAAGGATTGGAACAACAAAACAAACTAGTTGCAAATGCGAATTGATGTTGATGCTGCAGATCGATGAAGATGAAGAGGAAGGGCCTTCAAAGGACGATCATTGTGCGCTCTTCCCGCCTTCAGCGCAGACCAGCACACCTCCCTTTCCTCCCTTCCCCTTGACTTCCCCCTGACCTGCAATTCACAACAAAATCTTAATTTTTTTGTCAACAACCCGGCAAATTTTGAATGACAGCCAAATTTTGAACGCAGAATGACCGTGGGTGGGGCAATCTGCTCGTTTTCATCGGTCGGGAGACGGTGTTGTGGTCCCCTGCGACTGCTGCGCGCCGGTGCTTGACCTCCCAAAAGGCTCATTCGATTGCCTTGTCACGCATTTGCGGGATCACAGGCGGGAGTGGGACGTTCTCTCTCTGCCTGTCCGTTTCGCTCAGTGTGTGATTGACCCATGTGGCCCTCTTTCAACGTATTTATTTATCTTTTTTTTTTTTTTTTTTTCAATTTCCCCTGTGTCTCGTCCCTTCTGGTACGATTTGCTGTATCATCCTGTTGAAAATGAATGTCGGTTTTTTTTTTCTTTCTTTCTTTTGCTCAGTGATGCGGCTCTGACACACACGCAAATTCATTCGTGTTCGTGTGGCTCCCCACACACCTCATCGGGCGATAGACAGCAAACAACAACAACAACAACAACAACAACTGCAGCCGGCCTATGCAAGCGCCAACGTGGGGTTCGGTCGGGCGTGGGGTCTGCGGCTTTAAAAGGGCGGCCGCTCGATTTGGACGAGGCTCACTCTTTCAACTCTACCACAGAACAGAGAAAAAAAATGACCAAGACTCCCGAGACCGCTACTACTCCCGACGTCTGCATCGGCATCGACCTCGGCACCACCTACAGCTGCGTCGGCATTATGCAGAACGACCGCGTTGAGGTAAAGCATCTGTGCAAAGGAGGATGAACAAGAACAAAAGAAAAAAAGAAAAAAGAATCAAACCATGTGGCTCCTCGTTTTTTTTTTCTTTCTTTTCTGCTTTCCTGCTTCGTTCTTGCGCGTTGATGCTTGCTGCTGCTTCGAGCATCAGAGGCGTGTTGTAGTGATACAACACAGTCTCTTGCTATGTCGCTGCAGCGAGCATGGAATGGCGTGGAGTTGAAGAAGCGAAAGGGCCATCAAGGGGTCCACGTGGAAAGACACAGCGTGGTTTTTTTTTCTTCTTTTTCCTTTTTTTTTTGGAACAATGCATTTCCACTTGCCTTTGTGCGCTGGGCTTCTGTCTGCTTTGACATTGCAAGCAAAAACAAGCGACCCTTGTTGTTGTTGTTTGCCTTGTCCGAGCACTGAGCCTCCAGCGCGAGCCATGGTTTAACACCAGCTGGAAAGTGTTTTTTCTTTCTTTTTCTTTGTGTTCCTTTTTTTTCGACTTTGCTCTTTGTCTCTCTCTTGCCCTTCTTTCTGCTGGCATCGCACCTTCCTTGCTGTGCGTCTTCGTGCCTGGTTATCTTGGTTATCTTTTGACACGACTCGCCTTGTCGATGTTGAATTGCTGTACCACCAACCTTTTCTTTTTCCCCTTTTATCTTTTCGCCATGTGGTGGTTTGACTTTCCTTTTCCAGCATTATTGTTTTGTTTTTGTTTTACCCATTTTCCGCCATAGCATTGTTCACTAATCCTCGTCGTTTCTTTGTTGTGCTTCCAATAGATCATCGCCAACGACATGGGTTCCCGCACCACCCCCTCGTACGTCGCCTTCTGCGACAACGAGCGTCTGATCGGTGACGCTGCCAAGAACCAGGCTGCCATGAACCCCAAGAACACTGTCTTCGACGCCAAGCGCCTGATTGGCCGCAACTTCTCTGAGGCCACCGTCCAGGCTGACATGAAGCACTGGCCCTTCACTGTCGTCCCCGACGGCTCTGACCACCCCATGATCAAGGTTGAGGATTACCTCGGCGAGAAGGAGCGCCTCTTCGCCCCTGAGGAAATCTCGTCGATGGTCCTCATCAAGATGAAGCAGACCGCTGAGGCTTACCTTGGCCACCCCGTCTCCAAGGCTGTCGTCACCGTCCCCGCCTATTTCAACGACCAGCAGCGTCAGGCTACCAAGGATGCCGGCGCTCTTGCTGGCCTCGAGGTCCTCCGCATCATCAACGAGCCCACCGCTGCCGCCCTCGCCTACGGCCTCGGCACTGACGCTGTCAAGTCTGCCAAGAAGGAGCGCGTTGTCCTCATTTTCGATCTCGGCGGTGGCACGTTCGACGTTTCCCTCCTTCGCATCGACGGTGGCATGTTCACCGTCCTCTCGACTGCCGGTGACACTCACCTTGGTGGCGAGGATTTCGACAACAACATGGTCAACCACTTTGTCAACGAGCTCAAGCTCAAGCACAAGAAGGACATCACTGGCAACGCCCGTGCCCTCCGCCGCCTGCGCACTGCCTGCGAGCGCGCAAAGCGCGTCCTCTCGGTCGCCACTGAGGCTTCGATCGAGGTCGACTCGATTGCTGACGGCTTTGACTTCCAGTCCACCCTCACCCGCTCCAAGTTCGAGAACCTCAACGCTGAGATGTTCACTGGCTGCCTCGACCCCGTCCGCAAGGCCCTCAAGGATGCCAAGCTCGAGACCAAGGACGTCGAGGACATTGTCCTCGTCGGCGGCTCCACCCGCATCCCCAAGGTCCAGCAGCTCCTCCAGGACTTCTTCCAGGGCAAGCCCATCTCGAAGAACATCAACCCCGACGAAGCCGTCGCCTATGGCGCTGCCGTCCAGGGTGCCCTCCTCCTCGGCCAGGGCTCTGCTGCCACCAAGGACGTCCTCCTCCTCGACGTTACCCCCCTGTCCCTCGGTGTTGAGACTGAGGGCTCGATGATGTCCGTCATCATCAAGCGCAACTCGACCATCCCCTGCCAGAAGACCGAGTCGTACACCACTCTTGAGGACAACCAGACCGACATTGAGTTCAAGATTTTCGAGGGTGAGCGCCCCAAGACCGCCGACAACCACCTCCTCGGCGAGTTCATGCTCCGCGACATTATGCCCGCCAAGCGTGGTGTCCCCAAGATCACCGTCACCATGTCCCTCGACGCCAACGGCATGCTCTCCGTGACTGCCAAGGACGAGGCCACTGGCAAGTCCAACTCGATCACCATCAAGAACAACCGCGGCCGTCTCTCTGCCGACCAGATCACCCGCATGCTCGAGGATGCCAAGAAGTTCAACAAGATTGACGAGGCTGTCCGCGCTGGCCAGAAGTCCAAGTCTGAGCTTGAGGCTTACATTTACGACGTCGAGAACGCCATCCCCAACCTCACCGCTGCCAAGCTCAACGGCATCCCCGAGCTTGAGGAGAAGATTGCCGAGGTCCAGGAGTGGATTGCCGAGGCCAAGTCCTTCACCAAGGAGGAGGTTGAGCTCAAGAAGAAGGAGCTCGAGAAGGCCTACCACCCCATGATCAAGCAGCTCTACCAGGCTAACCTTAAGGCCAGCCGCCGATAAAGCGGTTGTATATTTCTGGAGCCCAGCTGCTGCCCGGAATTTGTGTTGTGTTTTCTGCCCAAAACTCTTTTTCTTAATCGCTGATTCCTTTATTTCCCCCCTCATTTTGTATTCAACCCAACATAAAAACGTTGAAAAATTTCACAGCTGGTTTCTTCATTTGCAAAAAGTTTTTAGAAGCGACGACGAAGTGGTTTGGGGTGATGCGAGCACACGACGTATCGAAACAAACTCAAGTCCCGATCAATGCGCTTTGCCCTGAGTCGCGGCGATATTCGAGCCAAGACGATCGCGGTCTTCGGGCGCAAGCAGATTGTCGTGCACCGACATGATACCCTTGAAGTAGCGGACTGTCTTGACCTTGAGTTCCAGGGTTGCATCCTCTGTTGGAGATTTTCAAAGAAAATCTGGTGAGTTTCGGAAAAAACAGACCACCAAACACATTAAAAGAATCAAATCCGCCCTCACCGTCGCAAACAAAGATGGCCCGTGGATGCATTTGGAAGGCACTGACTGTCCACATATGGCTCACGCCTTGCTCAATTGCTTGGTAGAGAGCGTATGCCTTGTGAGCGCCTGTGATGATGATGAGCACCTCTCGCGCGTCCATGACCGTGCCAACGCCAACAGTCAGAGACATCTGGAGAAGAGGAGAAGGGTGGTGTTGCAGGATGAGGCATTCAACCATGGAATGAGCAAAAGCAGCAAAACAAAAAGCAGCGGCGACCACAACAACAACCATTTGCCGGTAAATCGAGTTGTGTGATTTTGTTTTGCACCAACTCATGCCTCCTCACCTTGGGAACCTTGGTGACATCGTGGCCAAAGAAGCGCGCATTGGCCAAAATGGTGTCATAGGCAAGGGTCTTGATGCGGGTTCGCGACACAAGCGACGAGCCAGGCTCGTTGAATGCAATGTGACCGTCGGGTCCGATACCTGTCGGTCGGCCAGCCAATAACGACATTCATACCGCGGTTAGCTCTCAGAAGAACGGAAATGGCAAGCCCTAGCTTCAACACCAATGCAGCTGCAAATTTTTTGTTTACCGCCAAGGAAGAGCTCAATGCCGCCGTAGCTGGCAATTTTGCGCTCATACTCGTCACACTCCTTCTGCAGATCAGGGGCGTTGCCGTTGAGGATGTGGACGTGCGCGGGATCAATGTCAATGTGACTGAAGAGCTTGCTCCACATGAAGGAGTGGTAGCTTTCGGGATGCTCGCGCGGCAGCCCGACGTACTCGTCCATGTTGAACGTGACGACGTACTTGAACGAGATCTCGCCAGCCTTGTGCATCTCGACCAGCTTGGCATACGTGCCCGTCGGCGTCGAGCCCGTCGGCAAGCCCAGCGTGAAGAGGCGATCCGGGCCGGGATTGAACTCGCGAATGCGCGTCTTGACGTACATGGCGACCCATTCGCTGACTTCGTCGTACGCGGGTTTGATGATGAGGCGCATGGCGTATGTAAAATCGTGTGTGAGTGTGTGCGGGTGTTGAAGTAAAAGTTGAAAGACTGACCTGTACAGACAAATTGAAATCGGTCATCACAGTGAGAGCAGAGCAGCATTGAGCATCGCCACGCTGTCTCTGAGTGTGGATTCCAACACACGACACGCCAAACAAGCGGCAGCATGAAAGTCGCGAGCGGCGGAGAGCGAGAATGCAGGGAGAGAGAGCGACGTGCACCTCAGTGTGTGACTGTGGAATGATGCCCCGCACCTCTGGCAGCTATCGTCCTTTCCCCCCCCCCCCACCTCCGACTCGCCGGATTGTGAATCTAGCTCTATAGCAATCAAGTACGCAATGCTCGCTCAGCCGAGTCAGCCCCATAGTGTCCTTTTTCGCTTGATCAGCACGGCCACCGGGAAAATACAAAAAATCAATAATCTGCCCCAACAATAACGCTGCCGACCCGACCGCGCGCGATTCGGCAGAGTTCAAGTTTTGCCGGTGTTTGTCTGGTGCTTGGGGTCTTGTTCATGTTGTGCTTGCGATGGAACGCGACTTGACAAAGAGGGAGGGAGGGAGAGAGAGGGAGACAAAGTACAGCACTTCGGGGAGCAACACGCCACTGCTGAAAGTCTTCGCGCTCGACACGCCACGCCGCTACTGATAACAATCGTTCCACACTGCAGTTGTTCGTGTTTCTTTAAAAAACTCAAATCATACGATTTTAACAAGCAAATTTGAGTGACAGCGAATATCGCTTTTTTCGATTTTCGATTTTCACGATGACCTCGAACATTATTCTTCCATTCCAAGTGCCACAGGTGACTACGATCAACACGAAACAACAAGGGGGGATTATCGACCTACCAATGCTTGTTGACTGTCATCTTAATCGTCAAAACAAAAAGCTGATCAGTCCAGAAAACAAAACGAAGCAGCGGTGGCGAAATGTCCAAGCGGACAGTGTTCCCCGCGCAAGGCAGCAGTGACGGTGCGACTGCGACCAGCGACAATCGGTCGCGCTCAGCCTCATCTCAGGTCTTCCGACTGATTGGCGAGCGGTCGCATTTCGAGACAACGGGCGGCAGTGGTGCTGTGGATGCGGTTGCAGAGCAACTCGACAACGCGCACATCGACCACCGACCGTCGCATCACTACCTTGACGCCATCCCTCCAAGCGTGTGGTTTTCAGACGCCGTAATCCAGTTCTACAACTGCCGTCTCGTGCGGTAAATCACGCAGTCGCCTTTGTCTGCGCACGCACACACACGCACAAAGTCTCAAATTTTGCTGCCACAATCTCACAACTCGCTTCGCTTCGACTTTTGCACTCGATCAATTGTTTTGGGACAGAGACCAAAAACTCGTCCATGAAGACATTTACGTCCAACACGGCAAGATTATTCTTCCGCAGGCGTGGTTCTTTGACGTCCGAAAGCCGAGCGACATTCGGATTGATTGCCATGGCATGATTCTGGCGCCTGGGTTTATTGACGTGCAAATCAACGGCGCGTATGGCGTGGATTTCTCGTCCTGCACTGCGCAAGAGATTGGGCCAGGTCTTGCCAAAGTCGCCAAAGGTCTGACGCGACACGGCGTGACGGCATTCTGCCCGACATTTATCACCTCCGAGCCGAAAACATACCATGAAGTGAGCAGCCCAAGGCCACAGGAGTGTCTTTTTGGAGTGTTCTAAGTGCTGTGTTTGTTGTGGCATGGTGCTGATATTTTCTTCTTCTCCCCCATGACTTGCAATCGCAGCTACTACCCTTGTGCACACGCCAGAAAGGAACGGCGACCACTGGCGCCGAAATCCTCGGGGCGCATGTCGAGGGTCCGTTTATTAGCCACCAAAAGTATGGAGCACACCCTCCCGAGTTTATTCGGTCGATCGGCGGGGGAATGGCCGATGTTCTCGAGACATACGGCTCGGCATCGATGGGTAACATTTCCATGGTCACGCTGGCACCAGAGCTCGACGGAGCCCTTGACGCCATCCCCGCGCTTGTTGAGCGAGGGATTATTGTATCTCTTGGTAAGTTCTTTGTGATTGCAAAAGCAGGGGCGGCGTTGGCTGTTGCGTGAAGCTGATGTTGATGGCATGGTGATTTTGAACATCAGGCCACTCTTCTGCGGATATCGCCAAGGGAGAAGCTGCTGTTGCAAAAGGCGCGTCCATGATTACCCACTTGTTCAATGCCATGGTTCCGGTACGTTCCTAGCAATGGTTGCCAATTTTGAAGTCGTTACAACTCACCTTTCGTCGCATTCCAGTTTCATCACCGCGACCCTGGACTGGTCGGGCTCCTGGCCACGCGCCAACGACAAGTGCACTATGGCTTGATTGTTGACGGAATGCACACCCACCCAGCCGCTGTTGCGATTGCCTACCGCACAAACCGACCCAGTAAGAGGATGTGTGCTTGCGGAAAATCCTCCGACCGAACGAGAGGAGGTTTGATGTACTTGTATTCTCTGTTTCCTTGCTCAAATGTGTGGTTTTACCTCTGGGAAATAGGTTGCGTGCTAGTGACTGATGCCATCGCAGCTATGGGGCTTCCTCCTGGCGAATACCACCTCGGTGCGATGCGAGTTCAGATTGCAAACAACAAGGCAACTGTGCATGGCACCGACACGCTCGCTGGAAGGTCAGTTCGACTCGGTTTTCCCAGCGCTTGGCTTGAGGTCTTCGTTTTGTTTGTTTTCGTTGCTCATCCGTTTTTGGTTTGCCATCTGTAGCATCGCCACCATGGATCAGTGTGTTAAACTGTTCAAGCAGTTTGCAGGTACTATTGATGTGCCCATTGTTTTGTGTTTTTGTTTTGGAGGAGGGCAGTGTTCAAGGACTAACCTGCTTCAACAGAATCCACCATTGTCGAGGCCATCGACGCCGCCACGTTGCATCCTGCGTTGATGCTTGGCATCCAAGACCGCAAAGGCGTTCTCAAGTCCCAGGCAGATGCTGATTTTGTGTTTCTCAACGACAATCTCGATGTCAAAGCAACGTACATTGCTGGTAGCTTGGCCTGGTCGTCGGCGTGGTAGTTTTGCTTGACTTGTTGCTGAGGCTTGATCTTTGTTATTGATGTTTGCTTGCTCGATGACAGAGTGAGCTGGACTGGTTCGTTTTGTGCCAAATACAGCCCAGTCATTCTCTAATTCGTTCTTTTTGTCAACACGCACTTTTCGCAAAATGGAGTGGAGCTCATCATCATCGCACGCCAACCCAAGCAATCATTATAATGCGAATCTCACCCATGAGCGCGATCAGAGCGTGTATGGCTCCATGGACGCGCGCGCCTCGTCGCTGCTAAACACGGACGACGCGGGCCTTGCGACGACACTGCTGACGGCGTCCATCACCGACGCGGCCGCAGGGATTTCATTCTCGCGCAACCAGTGGTCGTTGCAGATGCAGGAAGCGACGGAAGCTCTGGAAGCGCTTCAGGTGAGCGGGCGCTTGTTGTCGGTTTCGTTTATTTTTTGGCGGGAAACCAGATGAACGCCAATTTCCAACTCGTTCGCTTTTTTTGAATGCGCATCGCTTACTGAGCTCACTTGCCGTGATCATCTACTTGCGGAATACCACGCAGAATCAATCCAGGCACTGTACGAGTGTGATCCGCATGCCGAGATTCCTGCTGCTTCAGAATCTCTGAGGAGTTCCTCATCGCTCAACGATTCTGTCTTTTGCTCCTCCCCACAGATCGTCAACTGATCAGCAGCATGGACCTGAACCATCGCAAGCTGGACTTTCGTACAGCAGAGTTCCGCTACCACGCCAAGCTCTTTGAAGTTGAGGCGGACAAGCTTCGCAAAGGTGAGGAGGTTCAATGCTGGCTTGTGGTCGCTTCTGCTGATCGTTCAGAGCAAACTCACTTGGCTGGTTGAACAACCCGCAGAGCATGAACTCAACTCAGAGGAGACCATGCAAATCACCCTGCTCCTGGAGCGATGGAAGCGAGAGTTTGAAGTTGAACGTCGGTGAGTTAAACAAAAAACCCGTTTGTTGTCGAAGCGTTTCTCGTTATGAAAACAGACAGCTCACTTCCATGCCTGCGCGTCATGTGTGTTGTGGATTTTCCCCGACCAAGGCGCGCGAACAAGGCTGCCGGTGGCAAGTCTGGCGGGACACTTTGAGCGACGAAAAAACAAACGAAGCCGATTGTGTTGTTTGGCTTGTGGTGTTCATTCATCAACAAGCATATCCAACGAATAGACGCTCAACCTAGAGTGTACCCTTCAACACCCGTGCTGCTCATCCAATTAAGTCAATCGCTTGTCAGAATCCCAGCACATGAAAATCTTGAGCAATCCTGCTGTTTCCATTCTATCCATTCACTTTCCATTCTCCAGTATTCCGTTTTGTGATTTCACTTCTGCGTGTCTGATTTTTTTGCTTGTTCACTCTTTCTTTCTTTTCTTTCTTTTTTTATTCTTCTTTATCTTCTCCTTTCGCTGTTTTTTCATTGGCGTGTTTCGAAATCAGGCGTTTTGCTCCACTTTTTAAAACACGCGACCTTTACCTCGCTCGTCTTCTGTTGCTTTTGAATTTCGAACATCAAAACAAACACTCACAAAACTCAGACAAAACCGAAAACATGGCCAACGAAAGTCACAACAAGTCGTCGTCGTCGTCGTCGTCGTCGGGCCGCGGAGGCGCTCCGTCGGCACTCACCATGCTGCTGATCGAGTGGCGCTGGCTGTTTGTCGTCCCGATCGTCCTGCCGCTGTCGTTCCTGTACGACAAGCTCTGGCAAATCCGCCAGATCTTCTACGAGCTGTTCCAGGCGGCGCCCAAGCTGCACGACCGCCGCGTCAAGGCGATCCAGGACCAGGTTGTCAACTGGAACAAGGCGGGTCGCCCAGGCGGCCGTCTCGCCACCGCACGCAGCGAGTGGCTCTCCATCTCCATCCGCCCAGAGGACTACAAGACCAACTGCAACAAGATCAAGATCGATCTGTACGACGTGCTCGCCATCGACACCAAAAACCGCACCGTTCGCGTCGAGCCCGGCGTTTCGATGGGCCAGCTCACCAAGGCCCTCGCCAAGCACGGATGGACCATCCCCGTGGTGCCCGAGCTCGACGATCTGACTGTCGGCGGCCTCGTCAACGGATATGGCATTGAGGGCTCGTCCCACAAGTACGGCTTGTTCTGCGACACTTGCACCGCCTACGAGGTTGTTGTCGCCAGCGGCGAGCTCATCCGCGCCACCCCGACCAACGAGCACAAGGACCTCTTCCACGGCCTGCCGTGGTCGTACGGCGCGCTTGGCTTCCTTGTGGCTGTCGAGATTAACATCATTCCGATCCAGCACTGGGTCCACCTCGTCTACCGCCCCGTTTTCGGTCAGGGCGTCGACGGCGTCACCAAGGCGTTCGAGCAGGCCATGACTGGCGGTGCCGACGTGCCCGATGCGCGATCGCCGTCCTCCGTGCCCGAGTTTGTCGAGGGTCTCATGTACGACAAGGAGACTGCCGTGATTATGACTGGCAACTTTGTGGACGCTCCGCCCGGTCCCTTTGCCCGCGTCAACCGCATCGGCCTGTGGTACAAGCCGTGGTTTTACAAGCACGTCCAGACCATCCTCCACAAGGCCATCGCTGCCAAGCGCCGCGGCAACGCCGCCCCCAGCATGCTCGAGCGCGTCTGCAGCGTGTTCTGCAACACGAGCCAAATCGATGCGACCAGCGTGTACGACGAGTACATTCCGATTCGCGACTACTACCACCGTCACACACGCTCCATCTTCTGGCAGGGCGAGCTGATCGTGCCCATGGGCAACAACCCCATCTTCCGTGTGCTCTGCGGCTGGATGATGCCCCCCAAGATCTCCTTCCTCAAACTGACGCAGCCCAAGTCGATTCGCGAGTACCACGACGAAATGATGGTCGTCCAAGATCTGCTCGTCCCGGTCTCCGTGCTCGGCGACGCCCTGACCTACTTTGACAAGACCTTCCGCTGCTACCCCATCTGGCTCTGCGGCCATCGCACGTACAAGACCGAGCCGCAAGGCGCGCTCAAGCCTGCTGCCTCTCTTCCCAAGGGCCAGAACTATGAAATGTACGTCGATGTCGGCATGTACTTTATCCCCGGTGTCAAGAACTACGAGGCCGAAAAGTCCCTCCGCGAAATGGAGTCCTGGCTGATTGACAACCGCGGCTACCAGGCGCTCTACGCCCAGACGCACATGACTCGCGCCCAGTTCCGCCAAATGTTTGACTGCACCCTGTACGACAAGCTGCGCGCCAAGCACAACGCCGAAGGTGTCTTTATGGATGCCTACGACAAGGTTTGCTTGAAGAAGCACGCTTCGCCCAACTCACGATGAGCTGCGAGCGAGTTTGTGTGTGTGTGATGGTGTATTGTTGCGCGCGCTGCGGCAGTGCTGCTATCGGTGTCGAGTGTGTATGTTTGAATTTTGTTGTGACAATCGATTGGGAAACAAACCAAAAAAACAAAAGAAAAGATAAATGAATGGCTTTTGAGCCCTAATCTCATTGATTCTCGCGTTCATATTCCTTCTCGTCCACGGCACGTCGTGCTCGCTTGATTTCTTCGTGCATAACGAGCAGTTCCTGATGAGACAAGAAACCGCCCCACCCCCGAAAGTGAGAAATACGGCAATCCGCTGGCAGAAGACAAAAAGACATACCCTAACACGGCCGTATTTCTTCGGGTCTCGTCGAATAATATTAATAAAGTCTTCAGTTTGCAACTGGCCGCGGGAGGAGGCGAGAACACTGGCCTTTTTGCACTGATTCGAAAAAAACAAAAAAAAAAATGAAAATCATTGGTACCGACGACGAGAAAAGCAAGCGGTTCGGCCAATCACACATTCAAAAACCCTCAAACTCACCAGATCGCCAATATACTCGAGTACCACGTCTTCCAATAGATCGGCCGATTCCGGTTGCGGATCGACCGAGTCTCCAAATCCATACATCATGACGCGCACTGCAGGACAGGTTCAGCCACGCCAACAAAAACGACACCAGGTGAGACCAAAATCAAAAGACACAGACAAATCCTCGTCTGCGCAAACAAACAAACAAAAAAACAAACAAAAAAAAAACAAACAAACAACAACAACAAAAAAAAACAAAAAACGAAACTCACTTTCTTTCGAAAAAAGACGCTTGCGTTGAGCCTCGCGCTCCTTGCGGAAACTACGAGGGTTGAGACTGGGCCGCGTGACAGCAGCAGCCTCACCGTCAGCGGGCGAGTCAAACTGCATGGGTGTGGGGCCAGAGGAAGCGCTTCGGGGTGGCCTGCCCGGGCCTCGTGTTGAGTATGCGCCAGTGCCCGGCGTGGACGCGGCGTTAGAGCTACCACCTGTCGCTGGCATGGTGAATGGCGCGGGCGATGCACCGGCGGGAGAGTTTGCGCCCGGAGTTCGCTGCAGCAGGTTTTTCCATGGCGGACGACCGCGCTTTCGCCCAGAGCCCGCCTGCACACGCTGGCCAGCAGATCCTGGAGTGAGCGAGCCAGAGTCACCTCCGAAGGGCGATCCAGCCTCGCCACGACCTGCGGGAGGCCTGCCAGGCCGCCGTGCCAATTCAGAGTCGGATTCGTTGCGGCTTCGGTACTCGTCATCCGACTCGGATTCGTCGTCATCGCGATCATCGAGGAAATCGTCGTCTTCCTCGTCTGTTGGGATGTCTCGGATGCGCGAAGGGGCAGCTGCGCGTCTGCGCGACGGTACCTGCGGCTGCTGCAGCTCGCCACCGCTGCCGGGCGAGTCGACCATGACGATGGCGCTCGGAGCCGTCGGCCTGCTGGTCCTGACTGGCGTCGACGCATCAGCGTCCTCGGCGTCCGACCCATCGTCATTGACGGCAGGCTTGCGCGGTCGGCCCGGGCCGCGACGTGAGCTGGATGCTGGCTGCGCGCCTGCAGGCGTTGCTGGAGCCGATGGAGCGGCCGATCCCGCCGCCGACCCTGCGGCTGAGCTTGCAGCAGTCGAGCTCGCATTATTGGCGCCCGGTGTGCGCGGACCCCAGCGACCCCTGCCTCGTCCTCGTCCGCGAGCAGGAGTCGCAGGACTAGCGCTGCTTCCACGCCCAGCGCCTCGCCCGCGCCCGCCGCGCCCGCCTCGTCCTGCTGACGGCGTTGCTGCTGCTGTTGCTGCGCCAGAGCCACTGGAGGATGCAGCGCGGGCGGCTCGTCCCGGGCGCGATGGCGGGCGAACGGCGGCGCTAAAGTCGTCGTCCTCGTCCTCGTCCTCGTCGCCTTGACCGCCGCCACCGTCCTCGTCATCGTCGTCGTCGTCGTCAATGCGTGGTCGTTTGTGTCTGTGCCGTGCTTGTTGCTGCTGCTGCGGCTGCTGTTGTTGTTGTTGCTGTTGTTGCTCCTCGATCTCGTCTTCGTCCGCTTCACCGCCGTCGCCGTCCTCGTCCTCGTAGTCTTGTGCTAGCTCTTCATAGTCGTAGAGCTCTGCGTTCTCGTCGTCATCGAGGAAGGCAAGGTCGCTCATGTCAAAAGTTCACAAAAGCAACCAGCAAAGAAACAACGAGAACAAAGGGAAGAGTGAGCTTTGGCATTGGGATTTTGCATTGGGATTTTGCATTGGTTGACTGGAACCAGGGATCAAGGGATCACTCGACAGAAGGTCAAGCACGATCCTTTTGATCTTTGATTGTTCCAAAGCGGTCTTCTCCATCTCTCAATCATTCACTTTTGGACCGACTTGGAGCTGCTCCTCTGTTGCTTGCTTTCTCGATCCTTCCATCTCCTTCGAACTCAATCCTCCCATCTCTGTGCACATTTATCACTTCTCATCCGACTCATCGTAATTGCATTTCACATTGGGGTTTCATTCAGTTCTCTTCTTGTTGGGTTGGTAGTCAGTTTGGCTTTGGGCTTTTGTCGCCCGTTGCTCTGCCCCCCCTCTGCACCCTCTCCTCCTCCTCCTGTCTCCTCTTGTCTCCTTGTCTGTGTCTTTGACCCCCCAATCCGTCCCTTCGACTTCCCCCCCCCCCGCTCAACCCTCCTCTTCCACTGCTTGTTACAAATCATTGAGGAGTGCTTTTTTTTTTTTTTTCGAGTTCAATTCTGTTTGTTTGGGTTGTTCATTCCTTCTCTCTCCTCCCCGTTTCCAACGTTAGCAGTGTTGCTTGATGCTGCTTCTCATGTCTTGTCAGAGGGCAGTGGGGGTGGTGGTGATTGGATGGAAGGGCCCTCTGCTCTCTCTCTCCCGCTCTCTCGTCTCTGCCTTTATGTGTTTGTGGTTTGTGTGTGGATTCTTTTTTTTTTTTTTTTTTTTTCGGCCAATTCTCTGAGGTGCCATTGTTTTTTTTCCATCCCGCTTTCTTTCTGTTTTGCTTTGCTGTCGTGCTGCTTCGACGGGCGCTCCAAAGGCAAACTCGCTTTTTGGATTGCACTCACTGAGTCAACTTTGGGGGGGGGGAGAAGTGCTCCAGCCTCACTGTCGCAGAGACTTTCGGGCGACGTGAAAAATCGAGTCAGTCAGTTTCAGCTCTCTTCCCCGTCCTCCTCCCTCTGCGCTCGCTCCTTCCACTCTGCCGCTGTCGTCATAGATCTCTCATGCCATCCATCCATCATCGTATCGCTGCAGTGTCCCGATCGCGGCGCTTGAAAATCAGCTGCGATTTGCCGCCTCAAAGCTTACTTTTTGTTTGATTTTTTATTTTTTTTATTATTATTATTATTATTTTTCGGTTTGTTTGTCTTTTCCAGCGCTCGTCCCTCGTTCAAAAGCATTGTCCACCAACCAACCAAGCGAACAAGAGGCCCACCAAGAAAACAAAGACACTTCCGACGCAAGGTGTTGACGCCAACAACCGTGCATTCGTGTTCCTCGTGCCTGAGGGAAAAGCGAAAAAGCGAAACCGAAAACAAAAAAGCGAAACGAAACGAAACGAACAATCGCGAAGCGCTTCGGAACAAAGAAGGGCGACCTGAAGCTCGGAACACTCTCGCAAAGCTAAAACAGCGAAAGAAGACAAACAATGGCAGAGACGGAAGCACCGGGAACCGAGGTGCTGGCAAAGCGACTGGGTGACATGAAGTCCAAGAACGACTTGCTGCTTCAGCGACTGCAAGGGCTCAAGTCGCGCCTCACCATGGACGACATGAGCGTCGAGCCAGCCTCACCGACATCGTTGACGGCAGAAGCTGCTGCTGCTGATTCTGCTGATTCTGCTGATTCTGCTGATTCTGCTGATTCTGCTGCAGACATCGCACCACCACCAGAGCCAGTAGAAATTGCCTCAGAGCCAACACCAGTACCAGACCCGTCTGCCGCAGAGGTGCCAGAGCCATCACTAACGAGTGCGTCAAGCCAGAGCGGAGATGCCGCTTTGACATCCGACCCTCCAGCAGCACCACCAGCAGCAGCAAGCACGCAGACGCAAGAGACAACAAAGGTCGCGTCTGTTCGACGGTCATCCTCAACAAACGACTACCCAGAGCCAAACGTGGCCGATACTGCCGTTGCGTTTCCTCACGCCGCATCGGCCTCGGTTGTCCGTCGATCATCGTCAAGGCGGCGCGAGGCAAACACAGCATTTCGCCGCAACCAAAACCTCACGCGCACGACGTTCGACACCGACGTGACCAGCTTGCGGCGTGCCTCCGACACAGACCCTCCCGAGGAAGTCTCTTCCTCGAGCGATGCCGACACTCCCACAAAGCGACGCTCCATGGTGCGCACCTCCTCCACATCCGAGCTCGGCGTTCGGCGCTCGGTTGATCTCTCTGCCATCTCGCTTGACTTGAGCGTCGACCCGGATCCCGAAGCTGCTGCAGCGGCTGCGGCGGCACGTGCGGCCAAGCGCGAGGCACGCCGCGCCACTGCACGTCGCGCAGCAGAGCTCCTCGAGGGCGGCAAGGCCGACTCGGCCTATTCGGACTCCAAATCAGTGACTGCGGCCCAACACGATGCGGCTCGTGCAGAAACGTCTGCGCCTGTAGAAACTGCGCCTGTAGTGCCTGCAGAAGCCTCGTCCGAAAAAACAGCAGAGCCAGTCGTTGCATCTCAGCCGCCAGTCGCGGAAGAAGTCAAAGCCCCCGCCGCATCGGAACCAGCACCAACTGTCGTTACGGACGTTGTGGAAGTCCCCGCTGCGGAATCAGCACCGGCTGACGCTCCGGCGGCTCTGGACGTTGCAGCGACGGAAAAGGTGGAGCCTGCTGTCCCGGTTGCCGCGGAGCCTGAAGCTGTGAGTGCTGCTGCCGCAGACAGTAAATTGGATGATGCTGCCTCTCCAGCGGCTGCCATTGCTGAGCCAGTGTCAGAAACTGCCAATCTGCCAGCCGAGTTGGCTGCGCAACCGATCGCATCACCACCTGTCGAGTTGCCCGCTCAACCCTCTTCGGAACCGCCAGCCGGTGAAACGCCAGCCGTTGACGCAGCCCCAGCGACCGAAGCAGCGACCACAGAGGCGAAAGCGGAGGCTGGAGCAGCAGAGGACGACGATGGCGATTCCACGCCGCCTCCATCGCGCCGAAGCGTGACCATCAACTCCCATGTCGTGCACGACGACGTGAACGATGAGCTTTCGGCCTTCCGCTTGCGCACTAGCAGTTCATCTCGCCTCAAGAGCTTGAAAATGCGCTCGCGTTCCAACTCTGCAGCAACTCGCGAGTCTGGCAATGCTGCTGCTGCAGTTTCGAATGTCAGCAAGCAGCTCGCTCGTTCGTCAGCAACAGAAGCTGCTGCGTTGTCTTCGGCTCCTCAATCACCAGACGAGTCGAGCACTGACGATATCCCTGCTGCTACTTCCGCCGAGTCGATTCCATCCAGCACTGACGATATTCCAGCTGCTACTGCTGCTGCTACTTCTGCTGCTGCTGACATTACTGCTGCTGCTGCTGTCACCACCGCCGAGTCAACTCCCTCCGCGAAGGAAGAAGCTCATTCCGAGGCCAAGCCCATCGTCGCAGACAAGCACCATGCCGTCGAGCCAACCCCAGCACCCGCGTCACCACCTACAGAAGCTGGTGCGCCTGCGGAAGCTGCTGCGCCTGCGGAAGCTGCGGCACCCACCACAGCAACGGTGCCAGCAGACGATGCCCCGACACGCGAGCTTGAGCCCTCTCGCAATGTCGAAGATATCAAGAGGGAAATCCTCGAAGCCGTGGAGACCCCAATGGCCGCAAAGCCCGTGGAGCCTCGAATCGGGGGCCGTCCAAAGTCAACGCTTGAGCGTGTGCGCTCCATCTCATACGACCCACCGACCATCTCCGCGCCCCCGCCGCCTCCGCTGGCAGCGGGTGCCACCACTGCGCCCAGCAAGCGACACTCGACGAGAACCCTGTCGTGGAGTCTCGAGCAGGGCGAGAATGGCTCCAAGACGTCCAGCAAAACCAACTCGCGAAGCGAATCTCCCTCTGCTGAGCCTGCTGTGGCAGTGGTTGAACGCCCGACATCACCCAAGCACACTTCCATCAATGTGGAGGACTTGGCGCTCAATATGGACGACTTTTTACCAATTTCGTCTCGTCGTCCTTCTGTTCAAGTTGAACCGACGGCTCAGGCTCAAGCTCCCGTTGCCGCTCCCGCTGCTGCCGCTGCTGCCGCTGCTCCTACTCCTGCTCCTGCCTCGGCACCTGCCACAGACACTACTCCATCGTCATCGCCAATCGTTCCGCGCTCAATCACCATCGTGGCCCGCCGATCCTTCAACGCGGGCGCGGCCGCGCATCACGGTCGCACGATGGAGCAAGCCGTGCTTGTGGGCTCTGCTCCCGTTGCCACCGGCACCACAACATCCCCGTTGCTTTCGCGCGCTTCGCTGACTTCCCTCGTGCCATCGCCCGAGTCGGAGCGACGGGCTGCGAGCGGCTCGACCCTTTCCAGCACCCCTCCTGCCGTGCCAGAAGCCAGCACTACTGCGCCGTCTCCCGCCGACAAGCACACCTCTCCACCCACGACTCGCTCCTCGCGCCTTGGTTCGTTCATTCGCGGCGGCGGCAAAGACAAGGACGACAGCTTCGCCACCCCACGAAAGAATTCGACAGCCAGCTCCAGCTCGGTTGCCTCCGGCGCCAGTGACTCGAACGAGCCGATACCAGCACCTGCAGCATCGACAAGCGTCGTCACAGCTACCACTGCAGCTGCTGTTTCTGCGCCGATTCCAGTACCTGGCCGTCGCAGCTCCATCATTTCGCTCGGCGGCAGCAAGAAAACCGCCAATAAGGACGATGCCAAGCGTGTCAGCAAGGACGTCACGTCTGTTGCTCACGCCCTGGCGGCGCAAAATCAGCAGAGTCCTCCCGACGACGATTCCCAGCTCAGCACATCGCCCGGCAAGGCTGAGAAGGACAAGAAAAAGCGCCCCATTTCCTCGCTGTTCAAGTCCGGCTTGAATCTCTTCAGCGGCAACGAGGAGAAGAGCGCGAGTGCCACACCCAAGCTGTCAAAGTCGAGCTCCAAGCGATTGGGTGACGAGACCAGCACAACACAGCTTGCCAGCACACCGCTTTCAAGCTCGCCTGGTGCAGCGACGCCCGTTCTTCCAGAAGACGACATTGACGATGACGAAGCCACCAACACCCGTCGACCAGCGAAGGCCGTCGCGGCGCAGCCCGCCCAGCCACCGCAAACTCCATTGGGCAAAGGTCGCTCGAACTCTGTGATCAACCTGTTTGGCCTTGGCTCGTCGGGCGAGGATGCCGAGGCCGCGTCTGCCAAGAAGGACAGCAAGGCAGCCCGGGCTCGTGCTGCCGTCGAGGAGCAGAACTCATTGGCAGAAGAAGGCGGGGATGCCGACCCGTTCAAGACCCCGATTTTCAACCGCACCGCCTCGAGCTCTGCGGTCAAGCTCAATCGCTCAACCTCCACGCTACTGTCGCGCTTCAAGAATGCGGGCGCCTCGACTCAAAAGCGCAAGGCTGCCCGCGCCGAGTTTGGCAAGCAGGCCGTCAAGGATGTGCTGCGCGAAGGGTGGCTGCTCAAGCGTGGGCGTCTCGCCAAGAGCTGGAAGAAGAGCTACTTTGTGCTGACAGAGCACACGCTCTTCTACTACGATTCCATTGAGCAGTCCAAGTCTGGCGAATACCTGGGCCTCATTCCCACCTCTGAAATTTCGGGTGTGGAAGTGGTTCCCACGGAAATGTTCAAAAAGGATCTCGTCTTCAAAATCAACGTGGCATCCCGCCCGCTGTTTTGCCGCGGCGCTGCCATCCACGATGTCATGGATTGGATGACCGCGCTCTTGTCCAACAGCGACAACCCCATCCCAAAGACCCCGACAGTTTTGTCCATTCCCGCGACGCCCAGCCGCTCATCGATCGCTTCTGAGATGGTGCTTTCGCCGATTGCCACGCCTGGCGGCGTCAAGTCCCCCAAGATTTATGCCGACCGCTATCGAGCAGAGCGAAAGCTCGGCGAGGGTGGTTACTCGAAGGTGAAGCTTGCCGTTGACCTGAAAACGGACAAGCAAGTCGCGGTGAAGGTCATCTCTCGCGAGAAGATGGAGGAGATGAAGATGATGGAGCGTGTCCTCCGTGAGATTGAGCTCATGAAGACACTCGATCATCCACATGTCGTGCGGATGTACGACGTCCACCACTCCGACTCGACCATTTTGGTTGTGATGGAGTACATTCAAGGCATGACGCTGGATGACTATCTTGGCGAGCTGGTGCGGCTCGACGAAGGAGACGCCCGCCGCTACTTTAAGATGCTCATTTCGGCGGTGCACTACTGCCACGAGAATGGCATCATCCATCGTGACTTGAAGATGGAAAACATTCTTGTGACGGATACCAAGGAGCTGCGGCTGATTGACTTTGGCTTGGGCAACCGCTACGACTCGCAAAGCATGTTCAAGACGTTCTGTGGCACGGAGGAGTACGCTGCACCGGAGATGGTCACCAAGACCACGTACTCTGGCACGGGTTGCGATGTGTGGTCGCTGGGCGTGCTGCTCTTCCTGCTCCTCACGAATAGCTTCCCGTTCGAAGACGACAATGTTCCTCGACTTTATGCCAAGATCCAAGCTGGCCATGCGGCAGTGACCTTCCCCGACTACCTGTCTGCGTCTGCCATCGATCTCATTAGGTCAATGCTGACGCCGGATCCGAAGGCGCGCGCCACTGTTCAAGACGTTCTGGCGCATCCTTGGATGCACGAAGCGTCCACGTCCAACGCCGCGTCAAACGACGCCAGTCTCAACAGCAGCTCGAACCAGCTTCTCGCCGATGCCACTGGCTCAACCAACGCGCTCGATTCGGCCGGACGCGTCACCTTCGACGCGGAAGCATCCACGCCGTCGCCGCGCACCTACTCGCGAAGCCGCGGCCCGCGCCCAATGTCCATGCCGGCGGGCTTCAACATTACCGACGAAGACATCGAGGCGATTGGCGCGAATCTCTCGCCGGTGGGCGACATGCTCTCCCCCGAAACGCAGCAAAACCTCAAAGCAATGAAAGCGGTCAAATTGTCGCTGGATCCGACCTTCTTTGACGAAATGATGAAAAAGCACATGGACGGCAAGTGATGCTTCTGATTTCAGGTGCATTTGTCGTCTTGAGATGTTGTCTCCGCACCCCTTCTGTTCGTTCGTTTTATTTCTCTGTTTCTCGGTTGTTTTCTTTTCGGATGAACACTCGCGATTATTGTACTTGTAGCAACAACAACAACACACACAATGATTCCAACGTTGAACCCTCGCTTGGTCACAGTGAATGTAGTCACGCTCAGAAAAACAAAGCTCGCTGTATGCTCATGCATGGATTGACTTGTACGAGTTGGCCGCATCAGAGTATGCAACGAGCATCCAGAGGATGGAGACGCCTGCAAGATGAGTTTTTCCCCAAAAAACGACGACACGTTAGTTGAAATGTTTGTCCGTCTTCTTGGCACAACAATGCAAGATGCATGTCAGCACCATTACCTGAGACGACAAGCGGTGAGATGGTCTTGCCCGTAATCTTTGCCGTTCGGTACACCCAAATCTCAGACACGAAGTGAACGTTCGCGAGGACAAAGCTAATGATTGTCAGCACGTAGAGACTTGGAACAACAATTCAGCATTCACAAAACACGGTTGAAACAAAACAGTGAGAACACGTCTGCGATGGCTTCGAGGTTTTGCTGAAGAGGGCTTTGAGTGAATGAATGGCATTGAGTGAATGGCTTTGAGAGCGGTTTCAGTTCCGACCGACCCGCTCCTCGCTCCTGTTGGCAAGCAAATCAAAGGCCAACCAACCAAGCGAACTGAAGCAAAAATCAATCCTTACGTTGTGTCTGCAGTGTTGATTGCGCTGGCGACGCGGAGTGCACCCGCAAGCAGCGTCCACACGCCAAAGAGCCGGGAAGCGAGTGGCGTGACTGTATCAGAGCCAGAGCCAGAGCGAGATCATGGACATGAGCATGGCAAAGTCGGTTTCAATAGCAAGCGATCGCAACATGGATGTGAGTGAGCAGCAAAACAAATGGAAAGCCGATTGTCGAGGAAGAGCGGATCAGCACGACTATTGAAGGCTGAATAGGAGTGAGATTGAGATTTCACCTTGAGTGGGATTGGCAGTGTAGAGCATGCGAGAAGGATACGTCGCATCCACAAAGCAAGTCGCGCCATTCACAATGGCAATGGAGCCGACAAGGCCAAGCCATGCACGCAGCGCAGTCAGAAACATTGGGGAAACTTTTGTTGGGCGAAAAGAGTTTGGCTGGAGTGACTGAGCGTTTGGGGGAAAGCGAGAAGAATCAAAGTGACAACAAAGACGACTGAAGAGCCCGATTTGTGGAAAACTCAGACAAGAAAGAATTAGAAACAAAGGATGGAAGACATGCAAGAAAATCCAATAGATAACAATGAATAAATTAGAAACAACCACAGCACAGCCACAGAACAAAAAAAATCAAAGCGAAGACAAAAAGTCCAGCAGAGAGGCACCGCCAGAGTCGGAGGGCGGCTGGCCGCCGGCAGGGGCCTTGCTTTGCACGAGGAGCGCCTTGAGAGACTTGCTCTTGCCTGCAGCGGGCTTGGCCGGCGCTGGTTTGGCGGGGAGGGTGGATGGTGAGCCGGCGGGTTTGCCGAAAGCCGGGGATGGTGGGACGGAAGATGTTGGCGTTGCAAATGGCGAAGCTTGGCGGGAGGTGAGTGCGGATGCTGGAAGTGATTTGGCGTGCAAGGCGGAGGCGACGGCAGCAACAGCCGGCACGGCAGACGATGATGATGATGGTACGGGGGACATGGTCCCCCCTGGTGTCGGCTTTGGAGATGCTGCAGGAGATTGCACCGCGCTTGCAGGTGCACTCCGAGCGACTGTGAGGGGTACAGCCGCGGTCGCTCGCTGCGGTGGGGGAGTCGCGCCAGCAGCAACAACAGCGGCAGCAGCAGCAGCACTTTGAGCCCCCCTCCTAGTAGGTCCAAAGCCGCCTGGATGTATGTGCCTGGTGGAACATGCACCACAGGTGACATGCAGATGGTTTACAGGTACAGGCTGCGCGGTGGCAGCGCTGTTGATGCCAAACGGATCGGTCAAACTAAACTTGAAGGGAGCTGATGGGCCGGCATTGCCCTCGTTGGCATTCTCCCCGGGGTGCTTGACAATAATGTAATCGCGCTGTCGTCGCCGTGCCTTGGCAGGCCTTGCGTTCGTCGAGGGCGTCGACGTTGGTGGCTGTCGGTTGGGTTTTCCGGAGGCATTGGCTGGCGTCGCTTTCCCAGGCTCGGACCTGTCTGCAGCCATTCCGTGGTGCGATCGCATTGCTCTTCGTCTGAGCGTGCGTTTGGAAGCGGTCGCCGCGGCGGGTTTACCCAATCCAGCGGCTGCATTTGTCGTAGTGTCAGAATTGGTTGAGCCTGACGTTGTCCTACCATTGACACGACTCGATTCTGCTTGTTTGAGCTGTGCCATGCTCTTGCTCTTCTTGCTCTTCTTCTTGATGCTGGTTGCGACGAGTCGGACTTGGGTGCCTGCGAGCCCCGGGAGCAGCATGTTGCCGCAGCATGTGCACACGCGGCGCGTCACTGCACCGGGCAGGCGGACGGACGCCGCGCGAGCCAGCGCAAGGAACTCGTACATCATTGTGCGCGCAACCGCAGGCGACGTTGCGCAGACGCTGTGGGCGGCATTCCACAGGTGGTCGAGCCGCGCCATCACTGCTGCGGCGCTGAGCGGATCCGCCGCGACTGCTGCTCCAGCCACCGACGACCACGACGACGACGACGCCATCAACCAAGCCTCTAGGGATGGCCAGATTTTTCTCTTCCAAGCAAGTTAAACTGGGAGTAGTCGGAGTTGGTCGGATACCTGTCGTGATTCACAGAGCAGAGCAAATACAAGGACTGGGTCAAGACTAAGACTCCCTTTCCTTTGGAGCGTTTTTAGGGTTAGTGATGGAGTTCGATAGCGTAGTAAAAAGCTCAGGAGCACTGTCGACCATTTACAGTACGACGACCATCATCATGACTGCAGCTGTCAGCTTCTTGTTTGAGATTTCGGTCTATTCGGGGTTTCCCCCCCCCCTTTTCTCAGCCACATTGTTCTAGATATATTGTTGTCTCAGTCTCTTTTATTCATTCCATGCACGATGGTTCGCATCTGGAAGTCCGAGTCCAAGTTTGACGCGTCGTTTGACGAGACGACGACCGCGTTCTGGGTCAAGTACAGCACTGGTCACCCGCTCACCAAGCACGTCATGTGCTCGGACGTGGTCGACCGCCACATTGACCCAGACACGGGCGTCCTGCACACGACGCGGATACTCGTCAAGACAAACCCAAAGCCAAAGTGGGGTGAAATGGTAAGAGTATGAGTAAGAGCGAGGGTAAGGGTTAGAGGGGTTAAAAGTGGCTTGGCGCTTACTAAAAGTGCAGCATGAAGCAAGGAAATGGTACTTGGAGACTCGTTTTTTTTTTCTTCGTTGAGCTCCCCTTTCTTCGCTGTGGCTCTCCTCATACGTCCCAATCTCAATGAATTTGCAACAGTGTGACCCTCGGGTGAAGGGGGGCGCTTTGGGACACATGGCAAGATCGCGCCGTCCACTCTCTCTCTCTCCCGTCAGCCCCAGATTGTCCCCTCGGCGCTTTACACTCTGCATTGTACTATGAAGCTTGTCTGAAGCTTGTCTTTGCTTGCGACTTGGATTCGAAGCGGGCAGCAGGGGTGGAGCAGGAGAGGCAGCAGTGGTACCAAGACATTCTCTCTCTCTCCCACTCTCTCCCACTCACTCTCTCCCACTCATCGCACTTGGCTCGAACAGCTCATATGGGACGTGCGCCAGTACACGTTCAAAAGTTAGCGCTCGCAGTTGCATTGGCTGACTTAACTTTTGTTTGTTCTTTTGCAGATTTCCGCAGTCACAACCGCGTATATTGTCGAGCGGACAACCGTCGACCCAGTCACTCGCACAATGACGACATTCACACGCAACGTCAACCACAAGCGACTCATGACCATCGAGGAGCGCTGCGTCTACACTCAAGATCCATCCTGTCCAAACACGTACGTTTTGCTTTTGTCTTGGCGGAACTTCCGCGCCATCCTGCTCCTCACTCAGCGTTTGAAAACTCACTCTTTGTGGTTCTTATCATTTGCAGAACTCACTGCAAGACCGAAGCGACAGTCACATCGAACGTCTGGGGATGGGCCGGCACCCTCGAAAAGTTTGGCGTAGATCGATTCAAATCCAACGCCGTCAAGGCACAAAACGCGCTGTCAACAGTCATCCAAATCGTGCGCGACGAAAAGCAACTCTTCAAGCAAGCCGCCGCAGACAAGCGAGCTTCCTTTAAAGCCGCCGCTAGTGCATTATTCGAGTACCGACCTCAACCCAACAGCTCGTCCTGAGCAAAAAGTTGGTCTGCACATAGATCCGCTACGAATGTGGCGGGAGGGCCTTCGCGTCATGAATTTCTTTTTTCTCATCATTTTAAACGAAATAAAACCAAATACCAGTCACTGTACAGCACAGAACTTGTTTTATATTGATACGTCCAATTTTTTTTTTTTGGGTGCTCACACAACTGTGCGGGCCATTTGCTCAACAACGCTGCGGTTGACCAACACGTTGCCAGAAATGGCAGTGAACAGCTTGTCGAGCAACTCGGTGAATGCAGCCGCGGACGAGGTGGGCGAGGCAGTCACATACACAACATTGCCGAGCGGACGAGCGTAGACGCCGAGCTCGCGAAGGCTGGCAACGACGCGCGAGCTGACGGTGGTGGCATTGTAGCCAGCGTGGTCTCCCGAAGACGGCGCCGCCATCGTCACAGCGCACAGTGACCCGAAGGCGACCACGCTTTCGACTTGGGCAAGCTTTGAAATGGTGTCGAGGCGCGCCGGATCCCACTGCTGCTGGAGATGGTCCTGCATGCGGTTGTACGTCGGCAGCTCGCGGTAGATGCGAAGCGCCTCGACTGCGGCGCGACAGCCGACCGGGTGGGCCGTGTACGAGTGCCCGTGAAGCAGCGCATCCGTCTTGGCGTCGCCGCGGAAGGCGTTGAAGATGGCGTCGGTCGCAAGGGTCGCTGCGAGAGGAACAAGACCGCCTGTCAGCAGCTTGCCATAGCAAGCAATGTCGGGCGTGACCCCGAGCCAGCGGCTGGTCGTGGGCACACCGAGCCGGTAGCAGCCGACAAACACCTCGTCGAAAATGACCGGAATGCCACGGCTGCGCGCGGCGCGCACCAAAACGCGCTGGAACAGTGGATCAATCATAATCATGCCGCCAGCGCCTTGGAAGATGGGCTCGAGGACGAGCGCACCAAACGCAGCGGCAGACGCCGAGGTGGGGGGTCGCAAAGCCGTCACACCGGAAACTCCACCACCACCACCATCACCACCACCAGCGCTTCCATCAACATCCACAGGAGCAACCACAGTGTTGTTGAGAGCAGCGGGCGCCGTGTTGCAGGCTCCGTCGAGTGCAGCATTCACAAAGCTCGTGTACAACGCCGCCAACGAGCTCGCGTCGCGTTGCAAGTCAAACGCGGCCTCGGCGTTGAGTAGAGACAGCTCAGAGTCCGGCACTGTGCGAGTAGACTGGGCGACAGGCGACGAAGCAATGTGCTCGGGCAGGACAATTTGCCATTGGCCGCGATACAAGCGCATCGTCGGGGGTGCAAACCAAAGACCACGGCCACGATACCAGTTGTCCTTTGAGTTGAACACGGTGGGATTGGCAGCGTCCATGGTCCCAATCGTGTCTCCGTGGTAGGCGTTGGTAATGCCAATGACCTTGAGCTCAGTCTTGGCGATCTGCGACGCCAGCCCGAGATCGTTGGCGCGCTTGCGAAACGCCATCTTCAGGGCAATCTCCATCGCAGTGGAGCCATCGTCCGAGAAGAAGACGCGCGTAGCCCAAGGAGCGAGCTCGTTGTCTGCTACCACATTGGTGCCGCCGCTGCCGCTGCTGCCCTGGGCGTCGTTGGCGTTGGCGGGCGGAAGCGCGCGCCACCAGTTCGCCGACACTGGCCGATTGACCGCATCCAAAAGCATCTCGGCCAAATCGACGGCAGGCTCGTGCGCATTTTCCGGGAACAAAACGTGACCGTAACGGCCAGCCGCGTTGGCTGCGGCGAGCACGAGCCGAGGGTTGCCATGGCCCACGCCTTGTGTCCACCAACTTCCGCAGGCATCAAACGTTTCAACAATCGTGGGGTTTGCAATAAACCCGGGATCCGCGCCCGCAGGAGCGGTTGGGCCCCTACCAGACTTGCTGGCCAAACCAGACTCGCCATCACGAACCAGCGAAAAGTGGTCGCCATAGGCGCTGTCAATCACGTTGATGGACGACAGCGTCTTGTGCTGGGTGAAGGGCCACCAGATGGACGCAGACGCACGCATGCCAAGGAGGCTGAGACTCTTCCAGCGCAGGTAGTGCTGTTCGCTCAAAAACTGCAGAATCGCAAGCGCCGTTGGCTGGGCGTCCCGCATCCACTGGCGCAAGTTGCGCGTGTCAATTTCGGTCGGGTTGAGCGACGCGCTCGGATCGGTCGCGGCCGGTGTTGAAGAAGAGGCGCCTCGCGTCGGTGGTGGCGAGGCCAGCGTGATGGGCGCAGGACGCGGTGGGGGTGGTGGCAGAACCCAGACGGGCACCTTCATGTGACGGAGCTGCTTTTCAATGGTCTTGTCGTTTTCAAGCTCGCGGTCGTGGAACATGACGACACAAGGGACGTCGTAGCCGCGAAGGCTCAGCGACTCGAACGCAGACAACGTGGCCGAGATGCCGCCCAGCTTGGAGTCGCCAATCAAGATTGCGGGGAGCCGCATCGGACGGAACACGTCTGCCTGGGGCGTGCCGGACGTTGCAGGGGATAGCACGCCGCCTGCCGATTCGACGAGGCACCAGCGCAGCCCGTCTGCTTCGTCGCGCAGACTCTCGCGGAATTGCGTCATTGCCGATGACACCGCCTGGACCAATTGTGCGTCTGTCACGGGTTGCTGGGTATCCTCCTCCATGGCTGCGGCCAGGTGTGGCGAGACTGGGGCGGCGTACTTGAACAGCGTGCGGGCCTCGATCTGCGGCGCAAATCGCGTGACAAACTCCTCGTCCGAGTCCGTGTTGGAGCCCGTCTGGAGGGGCTTGAGATAGAGCACACGCGAACGCGGCTTTGTGGTGCTGGTTGATGTAGATGAAGTTGTGGTTGAAGTTGAAGCTGAAGTTGAAGTGGTGTCAGAGGTGGCTGCGTGGCACAGGGCGGCGGCAATCAGGGTCTTGCCGACGTTGGTGTTGGGTGAGAAGATCTGGTGAGCCATCAAGGCGCGCAGCGATTGCGAGAGTGGCTGCGTCATGGTTGAGAATCGGAGACGTGACTCAGTTGGAGGAGGAGGAAGTTGAGGCAACAGGATCCTTAGACAAAGATGCAGTCGCCTTCGTCTTGTTTTTGTTGGTAGCAGCAGCAGCAGCAGCAGGTGTAGCAGACCAGGATGGCCAGATCAATGCGTCTTCGTTGACGAGTGCGCGGAGTGCTTTCAGGCCTGCAGTCACGAACGGTCGCTGGACGAGCGGTTCCTTCTGTTTCTTCTTCTTCTTGTCCTTCTTGTTGTTCTCCGCGGACGTGTCTGCTTCGTCCGGAGACTCGGATGATTGAGACTCTGTCTTGGACTCTGTCTTGGACTCGGTCTTGGTCTTGGTCTTGGCGGGGTCCTTGCCAATGGCCTTCTTTAGGGAAACCCAGCGCTGGTCACGCTCGTCTCGCTCCTCAAACACGGCGTCTTGGTCGCCGCGGACGAACAGGACAAACAGATCGATGCTTGCCTGCTTCTTGGCGTCGTAGAAGTTGCCCAGACAGGGACCGAGCTCGCCTCGCCAGCCGCTCTCCTCGTGCGTCTCGCGCTGTGCGGCCTGTGCGCTCGTCTCGCCAAAGTCAATCTGACCCTTGGGCACAATCCACTCGCGCGGGTGCGACAGGGACTGAATCAGCAGCACGCGTAACTTGCCAGTGCTCGGGTCGATGCGAATGGGAAGACAGCCGCCCTGTTGCCGCATCCACCGAATGAGTGAAGTGAATGAACCTGAGTGAATGAACCGAGTGCAAACCCTGGCTGACACAAAAGTCCGTGACTCGTCACAAGAACAAGAACAATTAAAAAAAAAAGAATGAACTGAAAAGTTTGGGACGGAATTGCTCGATGGTCTGAGAAGGGAGGAGTTGGGGATGGGTTTGGACGAGATTGTTCCACTCCACTCCACTCAAAGTTCACCACCCACCTCCATTACGATCATCTCTTGCAAGAGCCAATTGGCCTCTACCGTTCGTTCGGGTGGAACCAACGTTACACAGCTTGGGGTTGGAAGCAGTGCCGTCGTTTCATCTCTGATCTGATTTTGAAACCAAGCCCTCCGCTGCTGCTATTTCTCACGAACTTGAAGTTGGCCGAGCAGCTACTCGGATCCTAATGTTGCCTCTGCAACTGTGATATGAACTCGGTTCTTCACCCACCTCTGCTCGACTCAACCATACAATCTGAACGTTGGAAAAACCAGCGTGGAAAATCTCACATTGCTTGTGCTTTTCGTGTTCATGTTGTTACAACTCGCCATCAATCTCCTTCCGCAATGCTCGCGCCTGTCGCAAGAGCCTGTTCTTCTTGGTCGGATCGGTCTCTTGGCTGGCCTGGCGCTCGAGGGTGTCTGCGCGCGACGCCTTGCTGCTGCCGGAACCGGAACCCAGGCCAGACGACCGGCTCGATCCGCGCGCGCGCCGACCGGACGAGGCCGACTGATCGCCAATGCCACGCTCGCCTCCGGGGCAGGTACACGCGTCCTGCTGCGATGCCAAGAAGGAGCTGCAGCCAAAGCCCGAGGTGCTAAACAGGAAAAAGTCCTTGGAGGCGTCGCAGGCGGTTCGGTCCTGGTCGTTGTCGACGCGGTCACAGACCTGGCTCAGGCACTTTCCGAAATCCGAGTCGCACGTGTCGCGCACAGAGTTGCACGTGTGGTAGCAGTAGTCGTGCTCGTCGCAGCACGGCGTGAACGGGAACTTCATGTCCTCGGCGCGGATTGGCAAACTCGCTGGCCCGCAGCCATTCGAGGTCGGCTTGTGGCCCTGCTTTGGCAACGGCGCTGCGCCACTGGGGCACTGGTGCTTGCACGAGCCATCGCCGACGCCCGGCGTGCCTCCCGCGTTCATGAGCGTGGCGAACAGGTTCCCGAGCGGGTCGTCTGCTGCTTGAACTGGGGCAATCACCAAGCTGGTCACCATCAGAGCAGCCAGTGCAGCCAGTGTAGCGAGTGTGTGGATGGGCATTGAAGAAACAGTGCAAGACGATGATGCTGCTGCCGATCGACGCGACGGAGCGGCAGTAATGCGCATTGTATAGATTGTGTTTTGAGCTCTGAGCTGGCAAGTTCGGATTGGATTGGGAACTGGGGTACAAAGTGGAAAAAGGGGGACTGGGCGTCGATGTTGGTTGGGACGACATCTGAGTAAATGTGATGATGATGATGATGATGATGATTGTGAATTTGTTGAATCTGTTCAAAAAGCTGCTGAAAATGTTCGACCAAAGATGTAGACAGTCTGACAGTTGCTATGGTGTCAAATCTCGCTGTGTAGACCGAATGTCAAAGTGGATCAACCAAAACAAACAACCACTTGTATTGGGATCAACCCGCTTGCCAGAACAAAATCTACGAAATCATGCAATGTTTGGTGGCTTGCGAACATCCACACCGTATCGGCGCAACGCTGCAGCCACATCTTCACTTGCTATGTTGCGACGCTCCTTGATGTTTTTCAAAGTCAGCAGAAGAATCGACACGACAACAAAAAAACAATATGTTTGTGACAACATACCCGGTTGCCTCGTCGCTCTGTCCGGATTTGAGAGTGATTGGCGGCGTCGTTGGCCACGTCTGTAACAAACTTTTGGGCCGCAAGTGCGACAATCCGAAGGCTACAAAGGGAAACGAAAGAGAGCACAAATCAGTGATGAAAGTTTCACTTTCGCAAGAAGAACCGCCCCGCCGTTGCCACGTACAGCTTCGGATCCGATGTATTAAACCCGCCACGAGCAAGATAGTATTGCACGACCACATCTGGGATCTGCCACAGGGAACAAGTGAGCAAAACAATCACTGCTGGTGCATTGATTGCTAAAATGGTCCAGAAATCTCCCACCCCCGACTCCCTCGCAGCCTTACCGCTGGTGTAAAGTTGCCCAGATCGCGCATGAGCTCAACGAGTGCCTCAATCTCCGAGATCTGCTCGACGCGGGCCTCTCGCGCCAGACCCTCGAGCGAGTGTCCAAAGGCATTGGGCTGCCCGCCTGCGTCCTGCGAGGCCGATGCACCCGCTGCCCCTGCGCCGGCTGCGGCTGTGGTGCCAGCAGCATCGTCGCTCCGTGACTCTGGTCGTTGAGGCGGCTGCAGTCTGTGATACGAGCGAGGAAGCGCAGGCAGAGAGCGGTCAGAATACGCTTGGCTTTGCTCTCACTCACTCGCGCTCATCCATCCCTCCGAGAGAGCAAAGCATGGCGCACGCATGGTAAAAAACACAATCCAACACAATCTGCATTTACGAAAAGACCGGTCCGGCCGCACTCCCGCCCTCGTCCAAGCGGACTCGCTTGCGTGGATCTGCCATTGATGTGTTGTTGCTTCTGAGAATACCAAGACTGATCCCAATGGAACATTAACATAGCATATAAGCAACAACAAGTACTGTATGGCAAGAATTGAAAGTAAAATATTCAATAAACCAAAAGAAAATAACACACACACACACACGACGCTCACAAAACTCAAGTCGCGACAACAACAAAAAGGCGCTCAGGACGGAACGCCGGTCCGCCGAGCAGGCTCCGACTGAAGATAGGGCACAATGACGGCCAAAAGATGGCGAAGAACAACCTCGGAATCGAGGATGCTGATATGCGCCGCTCGACCAAGCATGGAATCCATGTTCTTGCTGGGAAACTCGTTCATGATGTTGAACCGAACAAACGAGACGTCCCGACGTTGCTTGAGAGGCTCGAGAAGATGGCCCAGCATTTCCATGTACACAGGACCTGACGACAAGCGCGGGGAGCAAAAAAAAATGTGTACACAGCCAAAAAAGAGCGATGGTCAGAATGACATTGGGGGGATACAGTTGGAAATCTGCTCATTCACAACACACAACACACACTTACCAAGCTTGCGATCCTTGAGCGCCTTCGGATTCATTTCAATGCGCGCAGAGTGGTATGGAACATACCGATCCTGCATCGACGCGACCAGCAGCACGTTCGAGAACATGGCCAAGCCTGCCTGCATGCTCAGGCGGTACAGGAGGGATTGGCGAGGATTGCTGCTATCGGCAAGCGCCAGCTCGGCCAGCGACGAGCCCTGATTGCGGTGGAAGGCGCGCATGGCCCGCATGCCCGTCTGCACCGCAGAGCTATCGCCGAGGACAGTCCCCAGGTGTGGGGCGCTCAGACTGACATAGGTGTGCAGCTTGTCGCGACGACACAGCAGCTCGGGACGCGTCAGAGCGTTGCGAATGACAATGTTGCCCAAAGAGTGGCCGACAAAGCTGATGAAGGCCGGCTGCACCTTGACGTGAGCCAGATACTGCTCCAATTCCTTCACAAGATTGTCAGTCATCACTTCAAAGCTCGAGTACGTGTCATTCTTGTTGGAAACGGAGAGGAAGCAGTCAAACGTCGGAATGGTCAGCAGCAACGCGTTGCGGAAGGCGAACAAGTCCACGTCGCTGCCTTCCAACCCATGCACAAACACGACCAAATGCCGCTGGTTGGTCACCGGCGGGACAATAAACGGGTGAGAAACAGAGTCAGAGAGCTGCAGTTCGCTGTGGAAGAAGCCCTGGATGGGCAGCTGTGTCTTGAGCGCCTGGCAGGCGGCGGTTGTTCTTTGGGTTTGACGATCGCGCGCAAGAGTTTCATCCTGCTCGCGCGCATGTTCGTCAAGCATGGAAACGAGGTTGGTCTGACTACCATTCCGCGAGTTCCTGCCACTTTGAGTGCGGCTATTGGTCAAGCTGTGGGAAATGCTCCCAGAGCGTGTTCGAGCAGCCTTCTTGCGCGACTGCGCCAGCGAAACAAGCGAGTTGGACGAGGCGGACAACGAGCGCGATGCCGACTTGTGTGGACTCGACGCAGCGGTATTGGCCACCGAGAGCGCCCCTGTAGGAACATTTCCCATGCTGTTCCGGCGGGCGCCGCCACCATTCGCACGCACTGATAAAGTTGACGAAGACGACGACGCTTTCGGAGGCAGGTCGCCAGGCTCGTCCTTGGCATCGGAATCGGTGCTTCGAGATCGATTCGACGAGAACATTTTGGAAGCCATCGCTCGCAGCTTATCGCGCTTTCGCATCGAGCTCGTCCCAGTCAGTCCCTCGTTGGAGGAGGCCGATTCGTTACCACTTCCAGACATGGCGTCGGTTGGAGAGGAGGGGTGGGAGGCTAGGGAGTAGAGTGAGACTTGCTCGGAAGCGCTTCGGGTCAAGCGACGCTCGGTTGGCGAAGCATCCTCCGAAACCTCAATGCGAGGCGTTTGCGATTGCGGTTGTTGCGACGTTGGTTGGGCGTCAGCCTCTTCGTGGACAACCCCACCGACGGCATCTGACCGGAGAACCGTTGGTGTTTCGGTGTTTGCCAATGCAGCTGCTTCGTCGGCCGGCTGGACAAACGTAGGCGGTGCGTCGATTTGCACAGTCGGCACAGCAGGAGAAGCGGGAAAGAACAACGTCGCGGTCGCGTCCGTCGGGGTGACTTGGATGCTAAACTGCGACTTGAAGCGTTGCAGGGACTTTCGCGTCGAGTTCTTGCGATCCATGCGGCGTGGGCTGCGCTCCGGGGCCAAAGGAGACACTGGGCGGTCGGGTAACGTCAGTTCCACGGGAGCTAAACGTGACGAGGACGTCCCAGGCGAGCCGGATGATAACGACGAGGAGTCGGGCGTGACGGGAATCGTGCTCACACTTGAGGACGAATGCCCATGCCTCATCACGAAAGCACGCTCCACGCTTTCGTTGGTGCTGCTCAGCTCATCCTCTTCGAGTTCGGCCTCGTCCGGAATTTCCTCGCTTTCTTCCGACACCTTGCTCATGTGTCGCTCAAAGCGGACCGCAATGGGCTGCGATTCGGCAACTGGGTGAATGCCCTGCAGGAATTGGTCTTCGAAAATGATGGGCGGGCGCTTGACGATGCCCAACGGATTGAGGAGCTCGTAGTTGGAACGGGTGACTTCGCGCACAAACTCTGAGGTTTCGATCAAATTGGAAAGCGTGGCCATATCCTTGTAGCTGGAGAGGGTTGTTTGTTTTCAGAAACAGCAAACACACCAGATCACCGGTTGAGCGTGAGTGCGATAGATTCCGAATTGGAAACAAAAACGGATCATTTGGCGCAGCACCCTACCTCAAATCGATGTACTTTTCGCAATCCTCGCGACTAAACGTTTGCACAAAGACACGAGCGCGGAGCTGGCCGCGCGCCTGGAGCTCCCCTTGGACAAAGAGCCGCTTGCTCACAAACTCGTCGAGCGCAAAGCACTGCAGAAGCCGTCCCCACAAGGGTGTGACCTAGATTCGGGACGTGGATGACACACTTCGAGGTGAGTAAATCGCCGACACACTGGACGAACGAGCTGTTTTGGGTGTCGAAAACGCACCTGTTCGACGATTGGCTGAAGCGACTCGATGATGGCAATCGCGGCCATGTCTGGCTGTAGCGCACTCTGCTTGCAAAAAAGATAAACCCCCCCCCCCGGCTTCGGTGAGATGACTGTTGAAACCCTCCCGCCCGCGCCACCAACTCGACAACACAAGGACGGACGGACGGACAACAAAAAAAGCCCCAAACGCGGTACGCACCGAAATTTTGGATTTGAACGCCTGCTGCAGTTGTGTCAAGACGAGCTCGTCGGCTGGAGAAACATAGGCGGGCCGCGGTCCTGCCGTCTCGATTGTTGGCAAAATCGAGCTGGCCTCGTCAGAAACGAGCATGGACAAACGGTTGGCAAAAGCCACCGCCGGATCCTCAAACTGCAAATCAGCCAGCGGCGCGTTGGTGAGTGCATCGCGCTCGCCGGGCGGCCGAATTGCGACAAACTGCTTGAAATGCTCTCGCAACGAGCAGTGGCAGGCAACCAGCACAAATGCAAGCTGGGCAAACACGCCGCGCGCATCGTCTTGCAGGGTTTCAGACATTTGCTGCTCCGACAGGGGCTGTTCCTACAATGTGGCAATGGTCCAGTTATGTGTTAGTCTTGGCTCCGAGGCCATCAAGCGAGATGGTGTGACAACAGATTCACGCTTACGCCTGCACTCGAGTCGTGCCCCAGCCCAAACACACTGGCGAGAGTCAATTTGCTGCGGTTGGGCGTCTCGACTCGCTTTCGGAAGAGCCGGAACAGCGATTTGTTGGTCGAACTGCTGGAAGATTGCATGACAGGCCTGTGCAGTCGAAAACAAAGCGAAAAAAAAACCATGCAATCATCTTGAGAGTCTTGAAACAGCACTCCACAACTGCGCAACACTAGATACGGACCTATACTGGAAGCCAACGAGAGTGCTATGAATCGAGACGACGGTACTCATGCAATGCCGCCGATCAAAGTTGACCATTATGCTTTCATTCAGACCTGGGAAGGCGACGCGTCGCAACCGATACGTCCGACGGCAAATCAGCCCCATGGATGCCACCGCATCGGCAATAGCCCTGTGTAAGTTAAGAGCAACGAGAAGCGGACGGCAACAAACGGGCGGTGGAAATGGCACGAGTCAGAACAAACATGAAACCAAAACCAAGAAAACACACACAAAAAAAAAACAAAAAAAAAACCGGCGTTCTGTCTCTCGACGCAGTTGAGCCATCAGACTCACTCAATGTTGTTCGGTTGCGCGCAGTCGGGCTCGGGACCATAGTGCAGATCAAAATGAACACGCGCGATAGCATGCTCGAGATCTTCCTTGGCGTGGGCTGCCGTGAACGGGATGTTCAGCAAAAACACTGCGGCGTCGTTCAGAAGGCGATGCTCGTGTGACTGGGTGATGACCAGCGTTCTGGAAATGTACGATGAAGTCGTCGTTGATGCAAACGGCCGGAAGAAGGACGTTTCACCCGCGTTCAAGAGTTTGTTTTCTGCAAAATAACAAAATCCGGTGAAAACGTTGCGGTGAGTCCAGATGGAGGGATGAAACGTAAAACGTCCATCTCCAACCACCCGCCAGCATGCGGATTTTGTGTAGCAGCCTTTTTGGGATGGTGTATGCGAACATGATTGGCGCACGAACTGAGACCCGTTCCAAACCCCTGGGGCCGCTTACCTCTTCGCTGGCCGAGGAGGGCAAGATCCTCCGGCTTGGCGAGAATCCAATCGCCCTCTTTGTACTGCGGCTGGTGCATCGACGAGGAGGACGGGACGAGGAAGACGTTCGAGTCTGCCGCCGCCGAGGACGTAGCGACCAAGCCGGGTTGCGAATCCTCCTGCAAACCAGCTGGTGCTCCCCCGTCTGCACTGTGGCTGTGGCTCTGGCTGTGGCTCTGGTGCTGCGATGAGCCTGGTGGATGATGATTTGCACCATCTGCGGCTTGCTCGACCAGTTGGACGTCGAGCGAGCTCGGGCTCTCCACCGAGCAACGGATGTGATAAAGTCTGTAGCAACCAAACAACCAAGCAAGAACATGGTCAGGATGCACTTTGTCGCCCGTATCGTATCGTGATTCTTGCTCGTTCACATGCAGTGCAATCAGACGGGGACCCCAATGGACAATGAACGGCGTTGGCAACAGTGGAAGGGGTGGCGAGGCGAGTCCTTGTGTTGGCGTTTTGCAGTGAAATTTCGGGCTGCCACCCGTGCGACCCGGAACGCGATGGGGGGCCAGATTCGCAGCACACGCGCAAAAGGGGGGGGGTGATGTGGTTGACTCACCCGCGCTGTGTGGCGTCGTGGTTGGTCAGCGAGAAGAGCGACACTGCGAGCTGCACTTGAGCAAACAACGCCATGGCTGGAGACCCAAATTTCTGATCCAACACCCCGAAGTCTAGAGCTTGAAAGAAGAAACAAAAAACTGAGTATCACACTACGAAATCACAAACGAGAAAAAGAATGAGCTTTGGACATGCCTTTTGGTGTGCGGAACAGCATCACGGAAGGATTGCTCTGCTTGGTTCAAACTCCAATTTCGAATTCATTCAGGTTCTTTTGGATGATTTGTCCATCTCATGATTCTCAGTCCTCAATTTATTCCTTTTTTCCTTTTGTTTGCTTTCGTTGCCCTATTTTCACAAAGCACAAGAATGAGTGAGGAAGCGACCTCTGGAGAGGCGGCAGGAGCACTGTCAATGTCGACGGAAGCAACAGCTCTGCCTGCTCCCGCTGCGACTCCGTCTGCGACACCAGCGGCCGCGCAGCCTCCCGCGACCATGTTCTCGATGGACCAGGTGCAGGCCATGATTGCGCAGGCGGTGGCTGCAAGGGAGGCAACCATCCGCGCTGAAGTCGAGTCGATGCTCGCCCAGCAGCTGCAGCAGCAGTACCAGCAGTTCGCCGCAGCCACCACCGCCGCAACCACCGCCGCTGCCACCGGCCTGTCGACTGCCGATTCCTCTGCCGTCACCAGCTACACAGCAGCTGCAGCAGCACCATCAAAGCCTGCCCAAGGTGAGCAGCGCAATCAACCCCGCTCTTCTTTTGTTTATTTTTCTTTTATTTTTTTTATTTTATTTTTTTTATTTTTTTTTTTGTTGGGTTTTTTTTTTTTCTTGATAGCAACAAGAAGCGTGCGGCCTTTCTTCTGTCTGAGCTCCATCCCACCTTTCATCTCGCCCCGCTTTTGTAATGCGTGCGACATGAAGTGGTAGTGCAATGGAAGAGGCGAGGGAAGACTTGCCAAAGAAGGGGGGGGGGTTTTCCGCTCGCTGTTGTCTGGGGTTTTTTTCAAACGACCCTGTTGCGGGGTTGTGGGTGAGCACGGAGACAGAGACAGACAGAGACAGACAGAGACAGAGAGAGCACAGACAACGGGTCAATATTCCATTGCATCGATGACCACAGCACAGAGTCAAACACGAATCCAACCATCGTTTGATTGTTGGTTTGGGTTTTTGAATCTTGGTTTTTTGATGCAAATGTTTCATTTCCTCATGCAAAAAAAAAAAAAAAAAAAAAAAAAAAACCTTCCAAACTCCGAAAAATTCAATTTTCCTTTTGCTTTCGTTGTTTCTGTTGATCTTTGAGGAACTCTGTTGCCAAACGATTGACGATGATGCTGTTTGTCATTGCTCCAGTTTTCCCCCGCAAAAAGCGTATGACTCACTTCTCTTGTTTTCTTGACACCCGCTATTTTGGCTTGTTTGTTTGTTTGTTTGCTTCCTTGTTGACGCTTTTGACTCGATATTTCCACTTCACACTCGCGTTTTGGGAACAGATCACGCAGCGAGGACGATGGAGACCGAAGGCGAGGGCATCACGGACGACTCGAGCACAAGCTCATCGACAGAGTCCATTGCGGTCGCGCGGTACGCTGCGGCACAGCAGTCCACTGCCAACCTGGTCTCGGCGCTGCACCAAGTCATTCGCACTGTGGACGGATTTGTCTCGTCCTCGGCGTCCGCCATCCACGCGGGCGGCGCTGAAACCAAGGGCTCGACAACAGACGAAGAAATCGACGACGACGACGATGATGATGATGACGGCGACGACGACGACAAAGCTGGTGGTGGCGAGGACGTCCAAGTCCAAGCAGCAGCGTCAGCAAACTCAAACCGCAACGACCAAACAACTCGAGACACCTCAACAACACCCGCGGCTCTGTCAGCCTCCTCCTCCACCCTTCCGCAACCCACAGACCAACAGCACGCACCTGTTGCGGTAGAGTCGGCAGCGTCAGCGGCAGACACGCCAGACGCCGGTGAAGAAGCGACGCCGGCCTTGACGACCGCCCCTTCGCCAACCAAAGTGGTGACTCGCTCCAGGAAGTCGAGTGTGAGCGGGCCGACCGTACTGGCAAGCACGATGACGGCGTCGACAGCGGCAGCACGGTCGCCAGCGATTGTGGGCGACGGATTGCCTGCGCGTCGGCGAAGCCACCATCGAACAGCCTCCTTGTCCTCGCTTCCCATCTTCTCACAGGGCCGAAACCACGGCGACGGGACGCGCGAGTACGCGTCGTCTGCAATGAACTTGGGTGGTCCTCGGTCGCAAGCCGGGAGCCGCCGCAGCGTGCACGACGCCATGTTTGGCGACAGTGCGTACCTTTCCCAGCGAGAATCTCTGAGAGCCGTCCGAGACTCGAATATTCGCATGTTGACGGAAATTCTGGACGAGCTTGATTCGCGTGCCATTTTGCGTCAGCAGCAAGTGCTGAATGTGCTCCTGCCGGATTCGGAGCCAAAAACGGCCGCCCAAGCCTTTGGCCCAACCGGCAAGCCCATCATCCCTCGCCCCTTGTCCACGACTCACGTGGCGCAACACCGGGACGGCTCCAAGGAACCGTCGCCGTCAGGTTCTCCGCGCGGCTCGCAACATCGCCTTTCCTCCCTTTCCTCGTCGTCGCTCGGCAAACTTCATCATCATCATCAGCGCCAAAGCAGCTTTTCTCGATCCTCAGGGGGCGGGAATGTCGAATTCCGCCGCCTCAGCCTCGGTTTGACCAGTGACGACGAGCAGGCAACTGCTGTCGGCACGCACGGCTCGCTTTCACGATCCAACTCAAACCGTGGCGTGGGCTCGACCAGCGGCTCGCTGTCCAAGTCCAACTCGGCCACCCGGCTAACTGCGGCCGTATCTGCCATCGCGTCTGTCGCAGCAACCACGGCGCCAGTCTCGGTGTCGGCGCGCCCACACGCACGGATTCGTGACGTCCGCGATGTCAGCTCCTCGGACGACTCGGACGATGACACTGTTGGCACCCAACGAAAGCGAATGCACTGGACAGACATGCTGAACGAGGATCCGCCAGAGTACATGATGAAATCCAGGCAGGCCCAGCTGCAGCAGCAGCAAAAACCCCGTCGGGCGTCCGCTGCCTCCCGGCTTGCCAGCAAGGCCCAACATTTGGCGCGCGCCATGACTTCTGGCTCGCGTAAGCAGAAGAGCAAACCCGACCAGGCGGCAAAGGTTCCCAAATCCTCCATGAAGGCGCAACCTCAGGACGCTCCATCAGCGGTGTCGTCGTCTTCTGCAGCTGCGTCCTCGAGCGCGGCTCGTCCAGCACTGTCCTCGTCTGTCACTGCAATTCCGCTCACCACCCCTGCACTCGCGGCTAGTGCTGCTGCCGCTGCTGCTGCACAGCCTGCAACGACGACGACGACAACGACGACGCCCGTGGTAGTGCTGGGATCGTCGCCACAAGCGGCACCCGTCTCCACTCCGTCCACCCCGACCCCAGCAGACCCGTCTGCACCCGACACCGTAATCCCTGCTCAGTCACAACCGCCCCAGCAGCCTTCATCCTCACCGGCATTGCATCTGGTCCCTGCCGCTCCTGCTACGACTTGGAACCTCGTCTCACCGCTGGCCAACCCCTACAGCGGCTCAAGCACTTCGTTGCAACCTCCGCTTGAGGAGTCTGAAGGCCTGCAACACCCCACCCCTGCCATTGCACATCTGCCATCTGATCCGGTGGCTGCGAGCACGCGGCTAGGGATGGCCATTGCTCGGGGCTCGTACGACGTGGACGACGAATCGGAAACGGTTGCGCGACGACCGGGTCCTCAGGCTCGGCCTGCGCGGGTTTTGGACAACCACTATGACAGCTTGAGCAGCGATGGTGACGATGAGAGCGATTACGATAACGACGATGACGACCACCCCAGTGTCAGCAGCCACCTGCGGTCATTCAGCGATACGGAGGTCTCGCACAACTCGCGTCGGCGTCGCCGACTGTTCACGGTGGCCGAAATGCTGGCAGAGCTCGAGCGCGAAGCTGTCTTGCGCGAGCGCATCCAGGCAGCCCGCGACGAAGCCATCGCCAACTCGGTCAGCCTTGGCCTGCCATCCGCGTTCCGATTCCGCGTCGACAATGCGTTTTCCAATGCCATCCAGACCCTTCGTCGTCGGCTGTCGGCTCACGATGCCCACGCGGTAGCATTGCCTCCATCCGTCGACGAACAGGTTAGCACTGAGAACATTGCCATGGCTGCGCAATCGTCGGCCGCGGCGGCACCCTCGTCATCCTCGCGGGATCCCAGCACGTCCACTTTGCCCTCATCGTCTTCTACTTCTGGTGCCGATGTGACGCTTTTGGCGGAAACTACTCCCCCGACAGAAGCCGCCGCCGCTGCCACTGCTGCTGCTGCTGCTGCTGCTGCTGCTGCTGCTGCTGCTGCTGCTGCTGCAGATGAACCCTCGACAGTCCAGGAGATTAACGCTGCCCTGCGGCGAATTTTGTCGGAATCAGACGTTTCCCAATATCGAGACAATGACTTGCGCAATATTGCCAGCATGTTGGAAGAGCTGCGTGTCGCCGAGCTCGAAGCCAGGCAACATGCACTGCTCTACCCGCCGATTCAAGGCAAGCGTGTCGCTACTCCGATGGGCGTCGCCACGCCCGTGGACAAGAAGGCCCTGGACCGCAGGCGGCAGGAGCAGCGTAAGCAGTTTGAGCGCGAACTGGCGATGCGGCAACGGCAAGAGCGAGCGGAGGCCAAAGCGCGAAAGCGTGCTCTGCGTGAAAACGACTCGGCTTCCGGCTCGGCCCACGCCTCTGGAAGTGCAACACCGGCGGAAGGAGATGTGTCTGGCGTGTCCAAGCAAAACATCGTGACTCGTCTCAAGAAGACGCTGCGACGAACGAGCGAGTCGGAGGCTGCGGGCGGCGACGAAGCTGCTGCACGGGAATCCGAAGTCGCCAACAAGAGTACGAGTGCGCTTGCAGCTCCTGCAGCTGTTGCAGGTGATACTACCGCCCCAAGCACACGACCCGACACTTCCGGTTCGGTCACCCCCATGTCTGCAAGCTCGGTACGCTCTTCGGGAACCGCCACTCCCATCAGCCAGTCGCAACAAGCGGCAGCAGAGAAAGTTGCCGCCGACAAGGTTACCACAGAGAGCGCTCCTGTTGTCACCGACGGCGACGCTCCGCTGCGCACTGCGTCGTCTGTCGACTCGGTTGCAAGCTCTGAACGCGACGACGACGTCCCGACCAACTTGGTCTCCTCCAAGCCGGTCACCACTGCAAGGGCGCCCCGACGCTCGAGCACGTGCAACATGACGTTTGAGGAAATGCTCACTGATATGCATCCCGAGGACGAGGCCCTGACTGCCAGCAACCAGGACCTGTACCGTTCCTACCGCCAGCACCTGTACGAGCATGTGATGGCAAACTCTACGAATCGCCTTGATTCTCGGTTGGGCCCGGAGGCAGCGGCCTTTGCGCGTCGTGAAAAGGATCTCCGCGATCTCGAAGAAGCCGAGCAGAATGAAACCCAAAAGCCGAGCTTGGTGGGGCGTCTGTTGAAAAAGTCCAACAGCAAGGGCTCGGTCGTTGCTCATCAAGTCGATCCGCCCAAGGAACCCGCAAAGTTGAAAAAGTCCGGCAGCAAGGGCTCTGTTGTCAACTATCATGTTGCTCCCGCGACCGGAGCCCGCGGCGGCTCGCGCGTGGCTCAGCCGGACGAGATGGATCCCGAACTGACTGCCATCACGACTGCCATGGCTCAAGTCGACCGCAGTGCCCAGGGGATCATGATTGATCAACTGGGCGACGACCAGCTCATTTCTCTTGCCGAGATGATTGCGGAACTAGACGCGCGGGCTGCGCTTGCCGAAGGAATTGCACGCGAACGCGAAAAGCAGCGCCGTCGGTCTGTTCAAGGCATCTACTCTGCCATTCGTGGCAAGTTTGTGCGAAAGGAAGGCAAGGTGCCCACCATTGCACTGGCTGCCCAGCGGTACGAGGCCGAGCAACACCGCAAAAAGTCCCTGGAAGCAACGAACGCCATACAGCTCGACAGTCCTCCTTCTTCAACCGCCGAGCCCTCCAGTCATGAGCCTGTGGTCTCCATCTCGGCCAGCAACGTGGTCGGCGCCAACGCGGCCTCTGGTTCGTCACTCCAGAGCACATCTACACCCATTGTAGCCGTCACAGTGACGCCCACATCTCCAGTTGCTGCTGCTGCCGCTTCTGCTCCTGTTGCTGCTGCTTCCGCTCCTGCTCCTGTTGCTGCTGCTTCCGCTCCTGCTCCTGCCCAGGCCGCAGCCAGTGATAGCGACAGCGACGTCGACGACGGCATTCGAGATCAAGACTTGCGCAACCTGGCCGCCACGCTCCGAGAGCTCGATGCCAAGTACGAGCGCATTCAGCAGGATAAGGAACGAAGGCGCCTAATGCGAGAGCAGGAGGAGCTGCTTCTGCAACACCAGCAGCAAAGCAAGTTGTCGCATCGTCTGGCGTCGAAAGGCAAAAAGCTCGTGTCGGTTTTCAAAATCTCCACGGCCAACACGAGCGGAGACCTCAACAGCCAGAACTTGCTGAAGCCGTCAGACCCCTCTCTTCCCGACGCTCCGACTCCTCCAGTCTCTCCTCGACACAACCTTGTCGGCCAGCGCAAAAAGTCGCAATCCCCACCCCACAGCCCTCCACCAACCAGCTACGTTCCGCCCGCAACCAGCAGTTTTCCGCTGCTCTCCCCTGTGCGAGAAGCCCCGCTTTCGCCTCGTGGCGACGAGTCCGTGTCGCCAACCTCCCCGACCTCCCCAGGATTTCCCGCATCAGAAGCCCGGCCTCCGTCTCAGAACGGCCTTTCCGCGCCGCCCGTGCGACGCTTGACTCTGGTTGCCGAGGAAGGAGCTGGGCGCAGTTTGGATGTTTGAGGGGTACCAACAAAAGGCGTTCTCTTTCCCTGTACAAAAAAAAGCTCGAGTTTTCATGATTTTGTTTTCTTCCTTTTTTTTTCTTTTCGTGCTTCAATCAGTCTTTCTTTTTCTTTCATTTCTTACATCCTTTTGAAGTTAGCCCGGCGCTTGTCTATGCGTTGATTCTCGTGAATTGAATGAGCAGTGCTGTCACCCGTGTTCACAATTCGCCACGCTGGTTTCACAAACGCCCGTTGTTTTGGATTTGTGCTTTGGCACTCGTCGCTGGAATCTACCGAGGCTTGCAAATGAATCATCGTGTGATTACTCGAGCTCTTGTTGGCCTTGTTGCGCTCGCTCTAGGGGTCTATCTTCTTGCATGCGCAGGTACAGACGTGTTTCAGGTGTTGGTGCAGTGAAAAAACATCCCAAGATCAACGCTCCTCCGAAAACCCGTTGTTTGTTCTGCATAGGTTTGATGATGGGGGGATGTCGACTCACCGGTGCCGTTCTTGGCTTCGTGATGCATCCAAGGCGTGTGGGAGGCAACAAGTGGGGTGAGCTTTGTGGTGGGAAGAGGCGATCAAAGTGAAGCGTCTGCCGAAACAAAACTTCCTACTGTTTTGTGTCCGGGTTTTTCTTTTTGTCCATCTCGCTCGCTTCACGGCTGCCTCTCTCGCCACTTTACACGCTGTCAACTCGAATCCAGTCAAAGTCCATCTCACGCATTTCTTTTTGCTGTTGGGTTGATTGCTGATGTGTTTTCGCACCCTCGTGCAGCGCCGTATTCTGCGAACGAGTCGGTCGCGACTGCGCTTCTCAGTGACCCTCAAGCTCCAAATTTCGCACACTTGGCAAAATCCCGGGCGCTTTCAACAATGAGCCAACAGCAGTCCGTGCCTTTGAGCAGCAACACATCCGAAGTTGAGGAGATTGGCCGCGCGCATGCTCGTCCGAAAAAGGTGCACCACATTCAGCTCAATGAAGTCGTAGATCAAACCTTCAACGACACGGCATCATCGTTGCCAATGGACAAGACAACCTTGGCGAGGGGTTTTGTCAACAGTCACATTTTCCAAGGACTTTGTGGTGGCAAAGTGGCTAGAAGCAAACACCACGCCCTCTTTCCCAGATTCCCGACCGTCAAGAGACGTGTTGCTTCACTTACGGCGGACTTTGCAGACGATGAATACTTCCAGCGCGTGTTTGGCTTTATTGTGCCCAAGGTCACGGGAATGTACAGGTTTGCGGTCGCGTCTGACGACACCTCCGAGTTCTGGCTAAGCACGGACAACCTTGCCGAGCACGAGCGCCTGCTGTGCTTTGTCGGACGACCAGAGGATCCAGAAAACGAAGTCTGGACCCATCCTGGCGATTACAGCCGGTATTCTTCTCAAATATCGCAGCCTGTGCACTTGGATGCCAACCGCGCGTACTTTATGGAGCTTTTCCACAAGCAAAGCGGTGGAGGGGCGCATGTCTCGGTGGCTTGGCAACCTCCCAGTGAGACCGAATTTGCAGTCATCGAGAAGGAATTTCTGATGGGCTACGAGAATGGTACGCTCGCTCGTCTCTGAAAGTGTGTGTGTGTGTGTGTGTGTGTGGGACGAACAGACGAACGGAAACAATTGACCAATTGCCCTCCTCGGCTACGTTGTGGTACTTGCCATTGTGCTGCTTTTGAATTCCAGAGCTGGATGAGCTTCACAGTGCCACCGATGGCCACGATCATGGTGCAGCAGCAGCGCCGCCTTCGCACCGCCACTACTTTGAAGTGGAAGCTGGCACGGAAATTTCCCCGTCTCCCGCGATGGACCCTCGAACAGAGTTCTGGCGCATTCCACGTGTGCCACCTCAAGTGACCCTTCATGTCCTCGAGACGTGCGAGTATCATCCGAGCTATCTCGCCAATCGGAAACTCAATCGCTACGAAGGAGTGTCGATGGTGGAAGTTTCGGAAGTGTTTCCTGACGATTCGACCGGGTTACTTTTCAACCAACAGCCGGAAAGCGCCAACCCACTTATTCCGACCGATCAAGCCAAGGCAGTAAGACGGTGGTTTTTTTTTCTGTTGTCTGATTGGAATGGCCGAGGCCATGCACTCATGTGTGTGTGCTCTCTCTCTCGCTCTCTCTCTCTGTCTCGAACTCTCCGTAGATTGTGGTCGAGTACCTCGATTTGCTCAACGCACGGCGTCCAAACGATACGCTCGTGTTAAAGCGAGTGGTCAACATTGTCAACAAGCGGGACCGCGCTCGCGGTGCGCTGCGGACACTTTTGGAAATCGACGTGGCACCGTTGCACTCCCCGGACAAGGTGCAGCGACTGTCTCAATACGTGTACCGGCCGTCGGCTGCCGAGGAGCTGTGCTACCCCAGTGGGATGGTGTGGAATGCCACCGCAACCATTCATCTGGTCATTCCTGTGAAAAACCAAGTCGCGTGGGTGGCGCACCTGATTGAGAATCTCGAAGCGCTGTGGATCGAGACTCGCGACGAGCACGTGAATCTTGTGCTTGTTGACTTTGACTCGACCGATGGCGACTACGAGGCAATGCTGCGGCGCAGTCGCATCCCGCACTACACGTTTGTCCGCAAAACGGGCAACTTTGAGCGCACAACGGGCATTCAGGCGGGTGTCGACACCGTCCAGAATGCCAACGACATTGTCTTTACGTGTGATCTGCACCTCGACATTCCCGCGACGTTGCTTGACGACATTCGCAAGCACACAATCGCCTCGAAGCAGGTCTATGCGCCGCTCGTGGTGCGACTCGGATGCGGTTTCACCCCTGCACACCCGAACGGATTTTGGGAGCATGCTGGATACGGATTGCTGTCAATCGTCAAGCGGGACTTTGACCGCATCGGAGGCATGAACACTCGCGAATTTGGCGACAGATGGGGCGGTGAGGACTGGGAGCTGCTTGATCGGGTGCTGTCTGCCAACCTCGAGGTGGAACGCTTGCGCCAGCCTCGGTTTTACCACTTTTGGCACTCTCGAAAGGGCATGTGGTCTGGGACGGCATGAATGGTGGGTTGTTTGTTTGCTTGTTGTTTCGCAAGCTGCAGTACTGGTCAGGGTCAGGCCACATACGGGCCTTGCGCACTGTGGTTTTTGTTGCACATCTCACCGCCTCCCCCACCACCACCTTCAACCAAACGAATAAACCATCGACACAATGTGGGCCAAGAAGAAAACAAGTGAAATTTGAATTTTTTAATTGTTTTGTTGCTTTCTCGCACGGACATGGGCGACGAAACGGGTAAAACAACTAAACGCCCATCAGTCAGGACACAGGATCAGACGGACATTTACTTGCCCTTGCCCTTGGGAGCGGGGGCAGCGGCAGCCTTAGCGGGGGCAGCCTTGGCGGGGGCAGCGGCGGCCTTAGCGGGGGCAGCAGCCTTAGCGGGGGCAGCGGCAGCCTTAGCAGGAGCAGCGGCAGCCTTAGCGGGGGCAGCAGCGGCCTTAACGGGGGCAGCAGCGGCCTTAACGGGGGCAGCGGCGACGGGGGCCTTGATGCCACGGCGCTTGTTGATGAGGGCGTCGCGGGCAGCCTTCTGGCGCTGGGCAATGAGGGTGGTGTACTCCTGCTTCTGTTGCGCGGCCTTGGTGGCACGGGCAGTCTGGAGAGCAGCGCGGTGGCGCTTGCGCTGGAGGGTAACCGAGGTCACGAGGCGCTGGATGCGGGGAGCCTTGGTGGTTGGCTTCTTGCCCTCCTTCTCAATCTTGCGGCGGATGACGTACTTGCGGACGTCGTCGTCCTTGGACAGGTTGAAAAGCTTGCGGATGCGCGAGGCACGCTTGGGGCCAAGACGGCGGGGCTGGGTGACATCGGTGATGCCAGCAAGCTCCTGCTCGCCCTTCTTGACAATGACAAGGTTGAGGGTCGACAGGTTCTGGTCGACAATGCAGCCGCGGACGGACTTGCGCTTGCGCTCACCAGCGCGGCGAGGGCGGTAAGTCTTGTGGCCTTCCTTGAGGAGCAGGCGGACACGGCCGTTGGTGAGGACACCCTGGACCATGGCGAAACCCTGCTTGTCGTTGCCGCCAGAGATGCGGAAGACATAGCCCTTGAACTCGTCACCGAGGAAGTCACCCTCGACCTCCTGCGAGATGCGCTTGTCGTAGAAGGGGCGGCTGTTGAAAGGCGGAGGCAAAGAGCGAAGAGAAGAAGAAGAAAAAATGAGAAACAAACAACAAAAAAAAAAGCATGCCACGATGGACTACAAAGAAATCAAACCCCAAAGAAATTCCCCCCCCCTGCGCCTCGCACGAGTGGCGCCTGCGCTGTCGACGGGCGATCGAATATTGCTGAAATACGCTACGTGCTGGCACGGACAAGGCGATGGAAGCGAGCCAAGCCACGCAGCAGGACTCTAGAGATCTCGCATTGCCAGCTCCATCCAGAGAACGGAATCGCCCCATTCCCGTGTTCCCCTGCCCCTCCAACTGCCCTTAACACTGCCCGACTGAATGAACGTCTTCTCAATCATTATGCCGAACAGGAAGCGGAGGCCCCTCCCCTTCGAATGGACGCCGACGCCAACAAAATAATCGAAAAAAAAAACCAACGAAAAAAAAAAACTTACAGCTTCTTCTCGTCCTCAATGGTGATGGACTTCTGCGAGCCGGTGGCCGGGTAGGAGATGTTGAGCTGTTCAATGCCAAGTCAAGGACAAGGCGGCAAAGGGAGCAGGAACGGGCAGGACGGCAAGGGGGAAACAAAAATCGGTGAGCGCCTTGGTCGCACAAAACAGCCCAAAAGCCCTTTCGCCATCCCTCGTCCCTCCACTTTGCACGGCCGTCCTGGCGCCATCCGGCCGTGCAGCAGCCCCATCCACGCCCCAATCCGATGTTGCGTATGAATCTGTATCGGATTCTGTTGAGAGACGGACCTTCACCATTCCGGAACAAAAATAAAGAGAGAGCGATCACTGAAGCGGGACGGAAATGGGTTGAACTTTTTTTTTTCGGTTTTGATTTTTTTTTTTTTTTTTTTCAGTTGGTTTTGGATTTTGGCTGAGCTTTTGGCTGAACATTGCTTTTGCCAACGCTCCCAGCAGGGGCCTCCTGAAGCTTTATCATTAGAAAGCTTCCATTTTTCATTTGCAGGGTCTCTTTTTGTTTTTCCCCCTTCTACTTGTTTTGGTTGGGATGAGTGTGAATGGAAAATCATTGAAAAACGATCGATTCAGCACTTTCGTCTTCCAATTTGCTGCGTGTGGACGTTGCTGCTGCCACCCACCAACGCATCAACAACCGCATGGCTTGCAATGCCAATTCCATGCCCAGACACACCTCAGTCTGCTTTTGTTGCGTTTGGATTGTGATTTTGTCGGTGTTGCAGCGTTGATTGTGGGGCAAACGACACAAACACCTGAACGCATCCCCAAACCCGCCTGCACCATACACCTACACACACAAAACACTCCCGACCCACGTTACAAATTCAGCATGAGCGGCAACGAGCTGAGCACCGCGGACGCTTGCGATCAGTTCTCCGACAAAGTCCAGCTGGTCGATCCTACCATCCAGTGGCGGTGGTTTGGCCAGAAGCGGGCCATTCGCGGCTTTGCGGCAACCGTTCGGTGTCTCGAGGACAACTCGAAAGTGCGCGCAACCCTTGAGCAGCCGGGCAACGGCCGAGTCCTGGTCGTGGATGGCGGCGGCTCCTTCAACTGCGCGCTCGTCGGCGACCAGCTTGGCCAGCTGTGCATCACCAACAACTGGGCTGGCATTATTGTCTACGGTTGCATTCGCGATGCAAACGTGCTCAACGCCATGGACGTCGGCGTCCTGGCGCTCGGCACCAATCCTCGCAAGTCAAACCGCGCCAATCGCGGCGATTGCCAGGTCCCGGTCACCATTGGCGGTCGGGAGTTTCTTCCCGATGCGACGTGGGTGACGGCGGATGGCGATGGCATTCTGCTCTCGACCAGTGCCTTGTGATGGGCTGCGAACTTTTGTTGTTGTGTGTGTGTTACTTGTTTTCGAAGAGTCAAAATCTTGTGGTCGTCTGAACATTTTCCAATTTCAAAATCCAAATTTCCCATTCATGCACATCAACAAAAGGCCCAGTCTTCCATTCTTTCTGCTTCACTCGGCTGTTTTTCGTGAGCACTAGTCAAACAAGTCTCTCATTCTCTTTGTCTCTCTCGTCTCTCTCGCGTCGAATTTCGTTCGGTTGGGATGGCGGACGCGGGCCTCATCTACGAGGAAATCCCGACCGCAGCAGCAGCGACCACCGCCGCGACCGCCGCCACGGCCGTAGAGCATGGCATTTACGACACGCTGCAGCCACGTCACGGCGAGGCCTTGTATGACGCTCTAGAGGCGATGATGGAGCCAGCGCGGGCGGCTGCTCCTCCTCCAGCTGCTCCACTCAGCAACAAGTCGGTCAAGAGCACCACCACCAGCCCAGCGCCGTCTCCACCAACCAGCAGGCCGAGCAGAGGCCCGTCCCCTGCCCACGCCATCGCAGCCATGAATACTGCTCCACAGCCGCGTGCGTTAGCAGCTGTGCGTCCGACTTCCACTGTGGCGGGCCCCTCCCAGCCACAGCAGCAGAATCTGCACACCTTTGTCCCACAGCTGTTCAAAACACCGCGGACGTGCTCAATGTGCAACGGCGTGCTGTGGCGCTCGGCCATGTTCTGCAAGGGTATGTTTTGAGTTGTTCATTGCTTTGACTTGTTAAGTGTTTGCTTTGGCTTGGCTTGGCGCGGTAAAGAAAGGCGGGAGATTTCCTTGCCGCTTTTTGATGGGATTCACGTCCCTACGCATACACACACACACCCCTCCAAACCCCAAGTGTGCTTGGCTATGAACGGAATCCCTCGCGACACTCGGAAACCCCATTGTGATTTCCGTGTCCAGGTGTTTGGTTGTGCCACTCGACGATGCTTTCACGAAACTCAATGCTAACCTGCCAAATTTGAATCATTCTTCCCCCTTTGTGCGACAGATTGCGACTATGTCTGTCATACTAAGTGTGAAGTCAAGGTATGCAGCCGCCGTTCTGCCTCCATGCAACAGCATTTTTCTGTTTTTCTTTGCGTGGTTGTGGAGTGGTGGAAAAGTGCTGTCCAATCTAAAACGATCAACAACCTTTGCCATTCTTTAGGTCCTCACCGGCTCGGATGCGGTCTGTCGAGGAGGAGGAGTTGCACCTAATGGGACAGGACCGGTGCTCCCATCGACACAGATACGCTCGGGCAGTCGCCCTTTCTCGATCTTTGGCCGGTCGTCGACGCTGTCCTTCATGTCCCCCGAAAACTCGAACGAGGTACCATACCATGCTCTGCTCAGGCTAATGGTTGTGTTTATTTGTGGGGCGCGGTGTTGCTTTTTGGCTGGCGTATGCTCACTGCTGGTCTCTGGGCACGCCAGGTTCGTTCTGTGCTCGACGAGCCCGAACCTAGTAACGGCTCCACCGCCGACACAGGTGAGCTCAGCAAAACAATTCAAAAGAAGACCCCTTCTCTTGCATGACTATGACCTGATTCTCATCGCCAACGAACGCTGTGACTCTTGGCTTTCAGGAAAATCGTTCGTTGCTCGTGACTCGTTTCGGAAACGGCCTTCGACCCTGATTTCGTCCATTCGCTCCGCAGTCTCAAAGCACGTCCATTTCTGTGTCTCTCTGGGGAGATGTGTTGTTGCTCTTCTGCTTGCGTTTTCTTACTTGTCTATGGCTGCATAGGAATCGTAATCGGTTTGTGACGGAAGATTTTGATCTGGATCTGACCTACATTACGCGGAACATTATCGGTATGATTGTCTTTTTGTTTGTTTGTTTGTTTGTTTGTTTTTGATGCGAACAGGGTGCTCGCGTTTGTGCAGCATCCTTCTTTGCAACTCACCTCTTGGGGACGGGATGCAAATTTTCAGCAATGTCGTTTCCTGCGACTGGTTTGGAATCAACCTACCGCAACCACATGAACGACGTCGCCAAGCTTCTCACGGAAAAGCATCCAGGACGATTTCTGGTTTTTAATCTGTCCGAGAGAGGCTACGACATTTCCAAGCTCGACAATCAGGTTTGGCTCGAACAGTTGTTGCCTGTTGCACTTTTGCAGTTTCCACGCCGAATGTTCCGACTCGATGAAGCGCTCACTTCGTCTCTTATTGCAACCACATAGGTTCTGGACTTTGGATGGCCAGATCACCACGCACCTCCGCTCGATTTGCTCTTTGCCATTTGCAAATCGATGCATTCATGGTTGAAATCCGCACCCGGTCATGTTGTGGTCGTGCATTGCAAGGTGGGTGTTGCTGTTTTGTGGATGATTGTGGTGCTGTTTGCTGATCGCCTAGTCACCGCTGGTACTGATCTCTGCGATGTTGCACTTCAAGGGTGGGAAAGGGCGTACTGGCACAGTCATTGCAGCCTACATGAACTACTGCCGGCTTTTCGAAAGTGCCGAAGACGCCATGGAGTTGTTTGCAATGAAGCGATTCGTGAATGAAAAGGACGGAGGCATCACACAGCCCTCCCAGCGACGGTGAGTGTTGAATAGTCACGAGGATATGGTTGGTCGTTCTTTTCGTCTGTTGATTGATTGGAACCCCCATGGATTGATTCGCGCGCAACAGGTTTGTCCATCTCTTTTCCCAAATCGTGACAGGAGAAACACAACTCGAGGAGCGCTCATGCCCGCTCGAGCGCGTCATTGTTCGCGGAATCCCGAATTTCGATGGCCGAGGCAATTGTCGGCCGGTACTTCGCATCTATCAGCGCTTCAAGCTCATCTACGAAACTCCTGCAGAAAGCCTGCGGTATGGGGATGGGAGATTGGATGTTTGCAGCTGTTGTCCGGTTGTGCTGATTATTGGCCTTTTTTTCCTTGCTTTGTTTTTTTGTTGTTTTTTTTTTTCTTGCTTTTTTTTTCTTGCTTTTACTACCCTTTTTGTTGATCGTAGTGTATTCCATGCGGACCAAGCCTTCATGTTCTTTGAGTTTGATGAACCCATCATACTGCGGGGCGATATTTTGGTGAGAGTTGAATTCGGGCGTCTCGTTGTTCGTGTCGTTGGGTGGTTGTCTCACTTTTTGGCTCTGCTTTTATTTGTTTTTTCTCGTTCTTGTTCGAAATCAACCGCCGCTAGATCAAGTGCGTGCACGTGAGCACACTTGGCGTGCGGGAAACCATCTTTCGCTGCCAGTTTCACTCTACCACCGTCGACAATCATTTCGTGCGCTACGACAAGAGCGACCTGGACGATGCCAGCCGAGACAAGCGCTTTCCTGACTTTGGCTACGTCGACTTTGTGTTTCGCGCCGACGGGCATCAACATGGTGCCGACCAGCAAGCCGTTGACGCGCGGCAATCAACCACAACGTTGGTCTCGGACCTGCTACAGTATGAAGCCGAAATCAGCGGAGCTCAAGTGGCTGCACTACCCGTCAGTCGAGACTCTACAACGGCGGCTGGGCCGCCGTCTGTTGTCCCGTCGAGAGAAAGCCCAATAAACCAAACCGCCGCCGGGGAGGTCCGACCTCGCAAAGCGAAACCGGTGCATGTTGTTGAGGCCTTGCTACACAAGAGCCCATTCGAGGTTGATTCGATTGTCAACTCTTACCGGACCAACAGAACCGAGGAATCTCAGCGATCGTCAATGATTGCAAGCGCGCCGTCGTCTGCCGCGTCCTCCTCGCAGGTCCGCCGACGGAAACCGCTCACTCATGCCGCCTCGAGCGACAGCGCGGATGACGCCATGCGCTCGCGTCGCCTCAGTGTGCGCGAATTTGCTGCAACAGTGAGCCCCGCGCCTGAAACGCCTGGCAACGACGAGTCGCTCATTTCGGTGGCCGATCTCGCCGCGTCCGCGCTCGCTCATGTGGGTGGGATGCAACTCTTCCATGACATGGATGCCTATCACGATTCGCAGCGACTGGAGCAAGAACACCAGCAGCAACAGGCACAGCAACAACAACAGCAGCAACAACAACAGCAACAACAGCAACATCAAGCGGCTGGATCACCGCCGAGCTTGCGCCGCGGACTCTCGGAGAATCTTGGGCCATTTTCAACTGCGGCGCTGTCAAACTCCTCGATGCAGTCCGGTCATGCCAGCAAAATAACCTTCGAAGCGGCCACGGAACCGACCTACGACGTTCTGACGGGAAATGGCATCAGTGAAATTCCTGCCGTTGTTGATGACGTCGCGCTGGACGCGCTCATCGATCGACTGGAAACCACGCTGCCAATCCTGCGGCAACAGCAACAAGAGCGAGAGTCTGGTGAATTGCACGGCTCGCATGGGGCGACTGGAGGCGAGCAGAAACGCCAATCGGACGCGCTCGAACATCAACAGCTGGTAGAGGAGCTCGTGACGCTCGCCTCGCAGGCCACAACACCGTCCCGGCCTACAAGCTATGCACACGTCCCTGGCGACAGTGGCGGTGTCGGTGGTGGTGGCGGCGGCGGCGGCTCTCCTCGCAGCACAGCAGCGGCGGCGATAGCTGCTGCGCACGACACGCAGCAGCGACTGAGCAGCGTCACCATGCTGCTCGAGCAGCTTGCGTCTGTTGAAAGCGTCAAGAAAGGCCCGGCTGGTTCGCGCATGTCTGACGAGTTCAACACCCTGGTCGATTCCTTTGCGACAATTTCCCGCTACCTGGATCGCGCCGCCAATGCGACCAAACTAGCTGCGGAAGATGTTCGAGAGACGGATGATTGAGCCTCGGTTGGTGTTTAAGATTGTTTTCGTGTTTTGCTGTTTTGGTTTTCGTGATCTTCCAAAAACAACCCCAAACAAAAGAGTTGATTAGATTGTTCCCTCAATGTGTCGCATTGCCATGCTCACCAGCTTGTTGCGGACGCTTCGGGTATGGTTCAAGATGCTTCTAGAACGAGTAGGAAGCATCTAGGCTGGTCTTTGCGCAACAGCTCCCAATAAGGAATCGAAGGGCCGCGATGCGCGTGGAAGAGACTGGAATCTTCGATTTTTCGATTTTTGGTATAAAAGGCGAATTTTTGGCAGAGTTTTCCTGTCACTCTTCTTTTTTTGCAACAATCAAAACTTTCTCCTCTCTCTCAACATCAACACTCTAACGCATCAACAATGCCTTCTGCTACACGCAAGTCACAAGCCATCGGCATTGACCTTGGCACGACTTATTCTTGGTAAGCCATCTGCGCTTTTGTTTTTTGGTTTTGTCGCTCTTTCTGTTTCTTCGTTTTCGTTTTCGGACGTCCCTTTCTGGCTCGGCCACCCGTGGGCTGCAAATAGGCGCACCGTTTGTACAGTGTGTCCTGTTGCATTATTTGCTCAGCTTTTCGTGCGAGGTGTCTATTCCTTTGCCATCGCGCTATGCACCGGCAAGCGTTCTTTTTGGCTTCCACGACATTCTGTGTCGTTCTTTGGAGTGGTTAACTGCGCGCCCCTCCCCCTTCCTTCTCCCCCTCCTCATCAACCTCCCTTCTCCTTCATCGATACTTTATTTTCACTCTGCCTGTTTGATCAGGACCGCAATAATTTTGTTTGAGGTGCTTTTGCTCACTTTTCTGTTTCTTTGCTGCGTTCATTTGACTGTTTTGGTTTGCTTCTGATTTCAATTTCACAGTGTCGCAGTGTTCCAGCACGGCAAGGTCGAAATTATCGCCAACGACCAGGGCAACCGCACTACCCCGTCGTATGTCGCCTTCTCAGACACGGAGCGCATGATTGGCGACGCCGCAAAGAACCAAGTGGCCATGAACCCCGAAAACACCATCTTTGACGCCAAGCGCCTCATCGGCCGTCGCTTTGACGACCCTGCTGTCCAGTCAGACATGAAGCACTGGCCCTTCAAGGTGCTCAGCGAGGGTGGCAAGCCAAAGTTCCAGGTCGAGTACAAGGGCGAGCAGAAGACCTTCACACCCGAGGAAATCTCCTCGATGGTGCTGCTCAAGATGAAGGAGACTGCAGAGGCCTATCTCGGCACGACCGTGACCGACGCCGTTGTGACCGTCCCCGCTTACTTTAACGACGCGCAGCGCCAGGCCACCAAGGACGCTGGCACGATTTCCGGTCTGAACGTTCTCCGCATCATCAACGAACCGACCGCCGCCGCTGTTGCGTACGGCCTCGACAAGCGCGGCAGCTCCGCCAAGGAGCAGAACATTCTCATCTTTGATCTCGGTGGCGGCACGTTCGACGTGTCCATTCTGACCATTGACGACGGCATGTTTGAGGTCCGCGCCACCGCTGGCGACACCCACCTTGGTGGCGAGGACTTTGACAACCGCATGGTCAACCACTTTGTCGAAGAGTTCAAGCGCAAGCACAAGAAGGACTTGGCCTCGTCCTCGCGTGCGCTTCGTCGCCTGCGCACGGCGTGCGAGCGTGCCAAGCGCACCCTCTCGTCCTCGACCGAGGCTTCGGTCGAAATTGACTCGCTCTTTGAGGGTGTCGACTTTTACACCAAGATTACCCGCGCGCGCTTTGAGGAGCTGTGCGCCGACCTCTTCCGCTCGACCCTTGCCCCCGTGGACAAGGCCCTGAACGACGCCAAGATGGACAAGAGCAAGATTGACGAAATTGTCCTGGTTGGCGGCTCGACTCGCATTCCCAAGGTCCAGAAGCTGCTTCAAGACTACTTTAACGGCAAGGAGCTCAACAAGAGCATCAACCCCGACGAGGCTGTCGCGTACGGTGCCGCCGTCCAGGCTGCCGTCATCACGGGCGACAAGCACGACACGCTCCAAGACGTCGTTCTTGTCGACGTGGCCCCTCTCACGCTCGGCATTGAAACTGCCGGTGGTGTGATGACCGCCCTTGTCAAGCGCGGCACGCGCATCCCGACCAAGACCTCGCAGGTGTTCTCGACGTTTGCCGACAACCAGCCTGCCGTCACCATCCAGGTGTACGAGGGCGAGCGCGCCATGACGCGCGACAACAACATGCTCGGCAAGTTTGACTTGACTGGCTTGCCCCCGGCGCCGCGCGGCGTGCCCCAGATTGAGGTCAGCTTTGACATTGATGCCAACAGCATTCTGAATGTCTCTGCCGTCGACAAGTCCACCGGCAAGTCCACCAAGATCACCATCACCAACGACAAGGGCCGTCTGTCCAAGGAGGAGATTGACCGCATGGTTGCCGACGGTGAAAAGTTCAAGAAGCAGGACGACGAGCAGCGCGAGAAGATTCAGGCCAAGAACTCGCTCGAGGGCTTTGCCTTCCAGGTCAAGCAGGCTCTCGACGACGAGAGCATTGCCGGCAAGATTCCCGCCGACGAGAAGCAGGCTGTCTCGCAGAAGGTTGAGGAGACGCTCAGCTGGATTGAGTCCAACCAGCTCGCTGACAAGGAGGAGTTTGAGCACCGTCAGCAGGAACTGCAGAAGGCGTGCGGCCCAGTGATGACCAAGCTCTACCAGCAGCAGCAACCCGGTGGTGCCGGCATGCCCTCTGCTGGTGCTGCCCACTCCTCCGGCCCCACTGTCGAGGAGGTCGACTAAAAGCGCCTGAAACAGCTTTTGATTTATTGTTTCCCTGAATTGTTCTAGTATTTGTATTGTACTGTACTGCACAGCTTGTTTGTTGTCTGGTTTTAAGCTATTCCTGTGAATACACACACATTTTTTTTTCGTTGGCGCATTCAATGGCACGGAGTGGTGCGGAATTGAGAAGGGTTTGATTCGTAATGAAAAGATGGTTTTTATACACAATTTCAGAAAGAGGGAGGAAAAAGTCCAATAGCCACCAAAAATCGCTTGTTTAAGCAAAAACATCGTCGTCGTCGTCGTCGTCGTCGTCGTTGTCGTCTTCAACCAACGGTTCGGTGTCGGCTTGGCCGGTCAACTTGTGGAATGGTGGACCCGCGCCGTGAGATTTGGATTTAGACTGACTGCCGACAACTCGCTTGACAAATGTGGTCATTGCCATCACCGCACCCGGCGTGGCTGAGGCTTGAGCGAGCTCGTCATCCAGGAAGGGCGATGGTGGCGACAGACTCGTAATGTCACCATCAGCCTCGCCGCTGCTCGAGCCAGAGGAGGCTGAGCCGATGCGTATCCGAGGTGGCGAGGCCTTTGTTGACAAGGCCTCTCCGTTTGACTCGCGAGGACCACCGGGGTGGGGGCGACGGACCTTGGACCGTGTGAGCAACAACCACAACGACACTGCAATGCTCCCAAGCGCCACGCCAGCAACCGCGGTCAGCCAGTACGCCCAGGGAACGCACTCGGGATTGACAAACGAGTTTGACCCCGAATCCGTCGGCGTGACGGACGGTGTGGCAGAGTACACGGGGCACGGCGCCGGAATCGCCTGGCAGAAGGTGCCATTGCCATACTGCCCCGCGTTGCACGAGCACGTTCGGCGACCAGGCCCGGCATAGCTGCACGTCGAGTTGATGTGGCATTTCGCGGGGCCCACCGCGTAGCTTGGCGTTGCTCGCGGGGTGTGCGACGACGGGGTGACGGATGGAGTGGCTGATGATGGGGTGTGTGAGGATGGAGTGTGTGAGGATGGGGTGTGTGAGGATGGGGTAACCGAGGGGGTGGCCGAGGATGGAGTGTGGTGATGAATGGGGTGGCCGACGATGGAGTGTGTGAGGATGGGGTGTGTGAGGATGGGGTAACCGAGGGGGTGTGCGATGAAGGAGTGGCCGACGATGGAGTGGCCGACGATGGAGTAGCCGACGAAGGGGTCACTGAAGCAAGAGCACTACTCAATAGAGCCGCGGCGGTAGTACTTGCTGAAGGAGGGTCCTCACGACGACCCACCATCGCGTCGGGTGCAAAGTAGAGGCGCCTCCGATCATTGTCGGGAACATCGCCTCCGCCAGCATCGCCTCCGCCAGTGTTGTCCGTGGGTAGGGTGTTGTTGTGCGTCGCGGCATACCAGTCAAGGTAGTCCTCGTAGTCGGCATCGACGCAAGGGTCGACGGGCACGGAACAGCTCGGCGGGCGCCAGCCAAACTCGCAGTCGCAAGTGCCCACCGTACCGTCGAGGGCGTTCTGCTTACTCACGCCGCGACAGGTGCCGTGCCCAGAGCAGTCGACTGGATCGCAGCGGGCGTCGTGCAAGCACACAATCGTGGTGACGGTGCGTTCGCACTTGGTGCTTGGGTCGACTTTGCACGTGTCGGATGGGTAGCTGACGACTTGGTTGTTCAGCACAGAGGTCATGGAGCCACCTCCGTCAAGATTGATGGCATTCCGCACACCGCGTTTGATGAGCAACTCGGCCAGTTCGTACAAATTAACGCCGCGAACGTTCGTCTTCCCATCCACCTGGTACAGCACCACTCGGCCGTCGGCGTCGTGCCCTAGTGCTGCGCGCCCCGACCTGACTGACACAAAGGTGATGCCCGTCTCCTGGACGGACATGTCCTCCATGGCGCTGGACTCGTCAATGTACGGTTCGCCATCGCGCACCAGCCAAACCACGCCAGCAACCAGCTGCTGGAAGGGGTTGTCGCTGGCCTCAATCTCGGCAATCTCGTTGGAGGTGAGGTATCCCACGACAATCGTGCCGTCGCGCCGTATGCCAAAGTTGGCGTTCTGTCGGCCCGTGTTCTGGACCAGTTGACCGTCGGAGATGAGATTTCCATGGCACATGCCGTTCGAGACCCCAAAGAAGCCAGCGTTGCCGGCAATGATGCACTGGTTGTGCTTGGCAGTGACGGACGTCAGCTCGCGGTGGTTGCTCGTATTTGAGCAGCCCAGCACGGGCTCCTCGATCGAGAAGGTGCGCAGCGGATCGTCCGCAACGGAATAGTGCGCAGGGACGAGGCGACCCGAGCTCGGCACGGCGTCCTCCAGATAGCTGATTGTCGGCAGCACTCCCTGGATGACGGATGCGCGGAACGTCTCGAACAATGGCGGATCGGCAGTGCTGTCACCATCCTCCACAGTTGCAGCCGTTGTAGCATTGTCCTCTCGTCGGCGGCGGCGGCGCGCTAGTCGCTCGCGCTCCATCCGAACGAGCTCCCGGCGCGCTGCCTGGGCACGCGGGTGGCTCTCGTGCAGGCCGTGTCCGGTTTCGTCCAGCTGGGCATCCGGGTACGGCGGCAGGTCGTGTTGCTCGCCGACACGTCCAGGCTGCTGCGGCGGTGGTACTGGGACCGCACCCTCCAGCAGCGACTCGCCACCCTCAGCAGCTTTCGCGCCACTGACACGAGCGACTGAAGCCACCGCCAGCATTGCAATCGTCAGCGCAGCGGCCGCCAGCAGGATGCCAGTTCGACGCCGCGTCGCCTGCCGTCGTAACGGTCGCATGTGACTGAATATGTTGTGAGAAAAAAAAATAAAATAATAAATGAATGGACGACTGAAAGCTTCAGGGAATGGGAAATGGAAAAGGAAGTGGTCAGTGCGATGGGTGGTTTGGGGAGTGCTCGACCAGGTCAACAACAATGCCGAGCAGAATGGACTGCAGAAAGCTCGAGAGCGGCTCGTTGGTGCTCGGATTGCGGACTTCCGGCGGAGGTGTGAGACAGACTCGCCGAGTACTCGGATCTCAGACTTGCCTTTCAACAAAGGGGCAAGGTAGAGCAAGAGGTTGGAAGCGTTTGGAACAGGGAGGACAAAGCGGCAAGTTTTTGTTTTGGACAACATTGTACAAGAAACACAACCCTCCTTCACCGAGCAAAGCAATGCCAAAAGATTGACAAGGAGAAAACGAGAGAGACGAAGGGGGGGGATGTCTTGCAACGACTAACTTATTCAGCGGGCTTCTCCTTAAGGACGATCGAGCCGACGGCAACAAGCCAGTCAACGTACTCTCGCAGGGAGACGTGGCCATCGCCGTTCGAGTCGAGCGTGCTCAGGGCCTGCTCGACAGTGCCAATCCTGAAGCCGTTCTTGAGCAAGTCCTTGTAGAGCGCCTTGAACTCGTTCGCGTCAATTGTGCCGGATCTGACAACAACGAAACATCGGCGTGACGAAGAAGAAAAAGTCAGCAACAAGCACCCAAAAAAGTCCAACTCCCCTCCACCATAGCTCTCCGTCAAGATAGCAGCGAGCAAGGATGAAGAGGAAGGTGGATGGTGCGAATGACAACTTGGTCTGAGATTGCATACTTGTCCTTGTCAAAGTGCTGGAAGTACTTGACAGCGGCGGTGACGCTGCGAATCTCCTCCTCGTCGTATGTCAGCTTGTTGAAGCGGTCTTGCTGCTGCCACCATTGTGCAAACTCGTTATAGCTACGCGAGCACCAAGGCGAGACAGTTCAGGGTCAGTGATTTTTTTCAAACACGGCAGTGTTGGCAACGGAACGCGGAGAGGGTCGCACCTGATTTTGCCGTCGCCGTTCTCGTCCAGCATCTTGAGTGCCAGGTCGAGCTCAACCGGGCTCAGCGGGTGGCCCAAATCGTACTGTGGAATGCACAACACGTCACAATAATCACAAAAATCACAAAAATGAGAAATCGAAAAATCGAAAAATCGAAAAAAAAAAAAAAAACCAGACGTCACAGTGAAGCACCAGATTGGGAATTTTTGCTTTTTTTTTTTTTTTTTTTTTTTTTTTTTGTGCCTTTGTTCGTCGCTGTTGTGGTGCAGCGGCCTCTGAAGCAAGGACGGGTGGATATCGATGCGAACGCAGATACGGAGCTGAGATCATTCACCGCCAATCAAACGCTTGAACGGCAGCAAACCCGACGCTCGCTCTCTCCACAGATCAACAGCAAAAACGCAGATTCAATTTTTGCTGCTTCTTTTTTCTTTTTTCTTTTTTTTTTTCGTTTCAATTTCAGCACTCAATCCAGTTTCCTTACGCAAAGGCTCTTCAGCTCGGCGCTGTCGAGAAAGCCCGACTTGTCCGTGTCGAACTTGTCGAACATGATGCGCACCAAAGGCTTGCGAGCTCCGCTAGTGTACATGGTGAAATTGAGTGCGTTGCCAACTAAAAAAACAAAAAAAGGACTGCTGCTCAGTTTGGAAGGGTTTTCGTTTGTCTCCAATTCTCAGTTGTTGTGAATGTCGTTTTCTCACTTTCTCTCAACCTACATGACCTCATGGGGGAAACGTCTCTGATTTTTTTCACGAATCCTCTCGGTACAGAGCATGAAATTTGTCTCAACAGCTCGTTTCCAAACCGGTCGCTTTGGAGTTGCTTTTCGGCGTGATCTCGACCACTGGATGAGTCTCGCGCGACGTCACTTGGTTTGAAATATAATATACAGTACGAATTGCGTGAGTTTTGTACAATATCGCCGAGATGTCGGGTCGAAATTTTCATTGAAAGAGGAAGCGTGTTTTGCGCACGCTGTGTGGTTTGTGTGTCAGCTCCAAACGCATCAGCCTTTTAGAGTTAATGTATCTTGTTATTATCTTGGTTACTGTGGTGTGTAATGTGATCCAGCGGCAGGATTCAAGAAATGCTCAAAATTAGCATTCTATGATGCTCTGCCAGGTAATTTGGACAGCTCGACCTTTTCCGCCATTTTTACACCGTAGATTTTCTGAGCTACTTTCTCAGCATTTCAAAACACAAATGAACTCTACATTGGTTTATACAAGATTTTGGGGTCCTGACACTTGATGAGTCTTTGCAATCCCACGGGTTGGGTCTTTGCGCGATTGGTTGGCTCACTGTTTTCTTCCCCCCCCCCACGACTCCTGCGATATGACCGTTGCAGCAATATGGCGAAAAACCAAACGCTCTAGCATCTATGTACACGCACTGCTTTCTGGCACAAATCCTTGAGGATGGGACGATGAACGTTTTGTATTCCATCGACAACCAACGCATATGCACTGCACTGACTCAAAGCTGTTCACACATGCTACTTTTTAGGCTGACCAAGCTCGCTGGCGCGCCGGGATGTTGCCTCGATGCAGCGAGCGACCGAGCCACGGAACTTGTTGTCTTCCAGGCTGAGCAAACCAGCAATTGTGCAGCCACCAGGGGTTGTAACAGAGTCCTTGAGCAACGCAGGATGTTCCCCTGAATGACATTGATTCATCACCAATGTAACTGAGAACTGGAGTTCGCCCTCCCAAACCAAACAGAAACGAAACATTCAACTCACCCGAGTCAAGCGCCAGTTTTGCCGAACCAAACACCATCTGGGCAGCCATCTCAAGAGCAATCTTCCGTGGCATTCCCATCATGACGGCACCATCTGCCAACGACTCGATAAACATGCTAGAACACACGACCGCGAGGGATGAGCGTTTCAACAACGTCAAAGCAAGGACAACCAAGAAAAACAAACCCCAGTCCCAGCCTCCCCCTCCTCCAGCCCTAACCCTAGCACAACCATTGCTTCTTACAATGCGAATGCAGGCCCAGAACCAGCAAGCGCAGTGACAGTGTCGAATTGGGTTTCTGGCAGCTCAATGCATCGTCCGACATTCTGGAACATCTTGACGGTGAGCAGGACATCCTGCTTGGTCGCAGCGGCGCCGCCGCACACGGCCGTCATGCCTTGGCGAATGCGCGCAGGAGTGTTGGTCATTGCACGCACAACGCGTGTGTTTGGGATGAGTGCCGCAAACTGGGCGAGCGTAATCCCAGCGCAGATGCTGATCAGCAGCTTGCCCTGAAGCGCTGCGACGATCGCCGGCTCGCTCAGCACAGTGCGTACGTAGAATGGCTTGATGCTAACGCAGAAACAACGACAGGATGACCAACAGGTTTCGGGTTTTCAAGATGATACGAAACAATGTCATGTCAGTGTCGAGAATTTTGGATGCGTCACAGAAAAAACAAAGTAACGCAAACAAGCCTACGTACCAGAGAAGCACAACGTCAGCGCTCTTGATTGCAGTGATGTTGTCGCGAACAATGGTCGAGCCAGGAAAGTAGGCGCCGAGTGCGCTGGCAGAGTCGTCGGACGCGACGCTGGCGGTAACATGTGCTGGAGCGACAAAGTTGTTGTCAATCAGCCCCTTGACGATCGCCTTGCCCATCACACCGCAGCCAACCACAGCGAGGCGGTCGAGCGTGAGTGGTGCTGTTGCAGATGGAGCGGCCTGCTCGCCGGCAGCAGTTGGTGCGGAGGTCGACATGATGATGTTGTGTTTGACAGAATTTGTAAGGACTGAGCTCTGTAATTCTCGAGCGAGATTGAACCGCCTTGGTTTAGGAGTCGACAAAGAAACCAGATCGACATCAACGACAAAACAAGAAACCATGTACCAATTAAACTAAAGGCGGAGGGACGGAGCGGAAAACCAGCAGAACTCGATACAAGTATTGGAACAACAAAAAGAATGACAAAAAGAATGACAAAATCAAACACACTCACAATTAAACACGCATCTTCTCATACATGGCAATGCCACGCTCGATTGTGACAATGTCTGCTTGAGCAGTCTTGATGCGCTCGTCGTTGGTCTGGCGAATATTCTCGGGGACCTTCTGCTCATAGTCTGAGGCGGCGACAAGCTTGAGCAGCTTGTCGAGGCTTTGCTTGGTGGTCTTGAGGCGCTCGTTGAAACGATCAAGCTCCTTTTGAGCATCGACAAGGCCCTGATGTCGACAAAGACAATGAAAAACGAACAAGCAACCAACCAGAGGCGTTAATGCCCGACTTCCACACAAACCAGCGACATCACAGCGGAGCCTGAAACCAACATACCTTGACCATGAGGTGAACCTCACCGCTGCCAGAGAGGGTCTCCATGGCACAGCCTTCAGGAACAGCAAAGCCTTCGCTCTTGGCGACAATGGTGAGCGACGAGCTGGCGGACAGGTTGGCAATGACAGCGCGGTACTGGTCAGCGGCTGCCTTGAACGCGTCGTTGGTGGAGACAACATAGACTGGAGCCAGGAGACACAGCAAGAGACATCAACGTCAGTTCAGGGCAAACAAAGCAAAAAGCAAAAAAAGAAGAAAAAACAACAACAAAAAAGCAAAGTGACCCGAATCCATATGCTTACCATCAGCCTTGGCCTTGACGGGCAAGTAGGCAGTCTTGAGCGAACGAATCACACGCAAAAGCTCGAGAGCAGAGCTAAAGTCGGCCTCCAGAGCAGCGTTGCGGTAGCTGGTGCTCTCGGGATAGGCAGCAACGCAGATGCTGACAATCGACTCGCTGGCACGGCGGGGCAGGCGCTGGTAGAGCTCCTCAGTCACGAAAGGCATGATCGGGGAGAGCAGACGCAGACCAGTGTCCAAGCAAGTGTACAGCGTGTCGCGGGCAGCGCGGGCGGCCTTGCGAGCAGCAATCTTCTCGTCCTCACTCATTGCGGGTGCGGTCGAGGTGCTCGCCGAAGCGGTGCCGTTGGCAGCCTCCTCGAGACGGAACACGGGCTTGATGGCTTCCAGGTAGACGTCGCAGAGCTCGTACAGCCAGAAACCATGAATGCTCGATGTCAAGAGCGGGAAGTCATAGTTGCGCATGCCATTGTTGGCCTGTTCGATGGCGTTGGCGAGGCGACTCAAGATCCACTGGTCAATCTTGCTTTCGCCAGAGTCGGCAGTGAGGTGCGACTCGGTTGCAGCGGGGACAAAGTCCTTGCCCAAGTTGGCCATGGCGAACTTGGTCGCATTCCACAGCTTGTTGCAGAAAAAGCGGTAGACGGTGACGCGGGTAACGTCCAGGTTGATGTCACGACCGGCAGTGAGGTAGGACAGCAGGGCAAAGCGGAGAGCATCGGTGCCGCACTCGGGAATGCCCTGCGGGTAGACCTCCTTTTGGTTTTTGAGGGCGCGCTCGTACTCCTTGGGGTCGAGGTTGCCTCCAGCAAGAGAGTCGTTCAAACCCTGCAGGCTGATGCCCTGGATGACGTCGACGGGGTCGATGACGTTGCCGAGCGTCTTGCTCATCTTGCGACCTTGAGCGTCACGAACGATCGGGTGGAGATAGACATCCTTGAAGGGCAGCTTGTCGGTCAGCGCCAAGCTGAAAAAGACCATGCGGGCAACCCAGAAGAAGAGAATGTCCGCGCCAGTCTCGAGCAGCGAGCCAGGGAAGAAGGTCTCGAAGTCGGCGCCGCCGTTGGGCCAGCCGAAAATCGAGAAGGGGAAGAGCGCCGAGGAGAACCACGTGTCGAGAACGTCGGGGTCCTGCTCGAGCGTCAGCGAGTCTGCAGCGACACCGAGCTTGGCAGCCGCAATCTCGCGGGCAGCCTCGGGCGTGCGGCCGACAAACCACCGCGTCGAGTCGGAGCCAAACTGGTGGTTGTCGGGAGTCTCGCCAGCAGTGCGGACATAGTACGCGGGAATGCGGTGGCCCCACCACAGCTGGCGCGAAATGCACCAATCGCGAATGTTGTCGAGCCAGTGGTACCAGGTCTTCTCATGGACGGCGGGCAGGATGCGCAGGTCGCCATTCTTGACGGCAGCAACAGAGCGCTTGGCCATGTCGTCGCAGTTGCAAAACCATTGCGGCTTGATGAGCGGCTCGACGACGTCCTTGCTGCGCTGGCAGATCGGGACAGACATTGGGTTGTCCTTGACCTCCTTGAACAGGCCAAGGGTCTTGAGCTCAGCCATGACAGCGTTGCGCGCGTCAAAGCGCTTCATGCCGCCAAACTTGGGAGCGACGCGGCCGTCGATGGTGCCGTCGTCGTTGAGCATGGTCAGGAAGGGGAGCGAGTGACGCTTGCCGACCTCGTAGTCGTTGTGATCGTGCGCAGGGGTGATCTTGACGGCACCGGTACCGAAAGCGCGGTCGACGAAATCGTCGGCAATGATCGGAATCGTATCTGCGCGGAAGGGGTGGACGGCGCGCTTGCCGACGAGGTGCTTGTAGCGCTCATCCTGGGGGTGCACGGCGATGGCCGAATCACCAAGCATGGTCTCGATACGGGTGGTGGCGACAACAATCTCCTCGCCAGAGCCCTCAATCTTGTAGGCGAACGAGACGAGCACGCCAAACTCGTACTTGCGATCGCCGTGGCCGGGGACGCTCAGCATGGTGCGGCCGGGAAGCTCGAGGGCCTCGACTTCGAGATCCGAGATGGCCGACTTGAGCGAGCAGCTCCAGTTGACAAGACGCTCCGAGCGGTAAATGTAGCCCTTCTCGTGCAGCTGGACAAAAGCCTCGTTGACGGCGTTGGACAGCTTGGGGTCCATCGTAAAGACGTTGCGGTCCCAGTCATACGAAGAGCCCAATCGGCGCAATTGAGTGCAGATGCGGTCGCCGTACTGCTCCTTCCACTTCCACACCTCCGCAACGAAGGCCTCGCGGCCGAGTTCGTGGCGGGTGATCTTCCGCTCCTTGGCGAGCTTCTTCTCGACGACGACCTGGGTGGCAATACCGGCGTGATCCGTGCCGGGGTTCCACAGGGTGGTTTCGCCGCGCATGCGGTGCCTAAAGACGCCCAAAAGGGAGGGGGAAGCGGGGAAAGGGGGAAAGGGGGAAAGGGGGAAATGGGGTGAGCCAGAGCACCGAGAACACATGTTGTGCTGTGAAACCACACAACACAAACGAACGACAGAACAAGACGGTTCAAGTACGTACCAGCGCACAAGGGTGTCCTGAACGGCGTTGGTGAGTGCATGTCCAATGTGCAGAGCGCCAGTAACGTTCGGCGGAGGAATGCAAATCATGAACGTGCCCTTGGGGTTGTTTTGGTTGAGCTTGCCAGTCTGTGACGTGACGAGTGTGCAATGGGAGGAGGTGTCAAGTTTCGATGAGATGCTGTGTGCAACGCATACGGGAGAGCGGGCACGAGAGCAGGCTGTTGGGAGAAGAAAAAACAAAACAAAAAACGTACAGGATACTCGGGCTTGAAGAAGCCAGACTTTTCCCACCACGAGTACCAGGACGACTCGACGATGGTCGGGTTGTAGCCATCCAACATGGGGATGTTGGCAAGATCTACGAAGCACAACACGACAAAAACAAGTTGGCGAGGGACTGATGAAAGGCGGCAATGGCATGACATCACATCGTCATCCTCCAAGTGCTCACCCTTCTTGGAGCCAGCCGGGGTTGCCTGGACGAGCTTGAGAATCTCCTCGTCGGAGGGCTTGTCAGACGCAGCGGTCGTCTTCTTCTTCTTGCCCTGCAGTGTCATTGCCCAGAACAACATGCAAAATGCAATGTCCGAGGTACAAAGTGAGCCACAGTGAGGAACGCGTGTTGGCTGCTCCAACTCAAACACATTCGGGGGGTGGGGGTGGTGCTGCCCGTCCCAACTCTCAGACAAAAGCCAAGTTTCAGACCACACGCCCAGCGCAACAGGCACTCGGGTTGACGACAACAGCAGCAATGTCCAGGGAGTGGGGGAAAGAAGAAAAGAAAAGAGAAGAAGAAGAAAAAAAAAAAAAACGTGGATCTCTCTCTCGAGTCCGAATGCAAAACGGCCAATGGAGCGAGTGGCAAGGAAGATGGAAGAAAGCATCATCACATGCGCTCAAACAAGCACTCTTCTTCCTACCTTGGCATCGGCAGCATCGGCGCCGTCGGCGGTGACGGCAGCGGCGGCTTTGGCAGCAACAGCAGCAGCCTTCTCGGCCTCCTTCTGCTTCTTCTGCTCGGCGCGGGCAGCAGCCTCGGCAGCCTTCTCCTTCTTGCGAGCCTCGCGCTCGGCAATCTTGGCAGCCTGCGCCGGATCAACGGCGGCGGCAGACGTGGTCGCAGCAGCAGAATCCGCCATGTGAAAACTGAAGATGCGAAAACGAAAATATGGACTGAGACACTACTTTGAGACTCTGAGACATCCACACATCATCGATACCCGTGCTTTATCTTATTTCAAGTCCACAAACTCTTCCCTGCACTTGGACATTCGGAAATGACAATCTTTTTTTTGTCGTCTTCAGTCTTTTGTTGTCTCTTTCTGTTCCTTTTTTTTTTTTGCCCTTTCCCCAATGAATCGCTGGTTTCGGGTGCTCCTTCACGTCGTGCTTCCGATTCTGCTGCTCACAGGTATGATGAACACCACAGCTTCATCTATTTGCTGTGGTCCCTCTCGCCCCCACCCCCTCTCCTGAAGTCTCAAGTATTTGGAAGGCGGGAAAACTCAGACGGGTTTGTTTGTTTACTGATTGATTGCTGTTATTTTCTCACCCTGCCGTTTTGTGTGTGTGTGTGTGTGTGTGTGTGTGTGCGACCTTGCTACGCTTGTATGACATTGACATCCATATGGGCCGTCCTGAGCAGCGGCGGTGCTGCGGATCAACGCAATCTCGTTGCTCTACCTCATTGGCTTTTTCGCTCTCGTGCTTGTGACGCCGAGTCGCCGGCAGCGTCGCGACCAGTCCCAGTCCCAGTCGCAGTACCAGGCCCAGTCGCAAGCCCAGAGCCAAAGTCAGACTGCCAGCGATGCAAGTGCTCGAGGCTCGGATGCACGGGCGCGCACGACCCAACGCGATGCCATCTGGGAGGAGGACAACGAGGACGATCGCACTGACGCCCCGGCCGTGTCGCTCCGTCGACCGCTGCTCGCACGCGGCAGTGCATCAAGCTCGTCGCACCCAATGTCCAACGTTGCGACTTTCGAGCGAGGTCGCCGAGCGGGACCGGGTCACGCCTCCCGAGCAAGTATGTCAAAAGCACCACTTGATTCCCATCATGTCATTGACCAATCCATAGAAGAAGGAGGAGGAGGAGGAGAAGAAGGAGGTCGAGAACCAATCTTCTCAATTGTCTCCGAGTTTCAAAACGCTTGTTCTGCGATCGGTGTGGTCGGATTGTCCTTTGCTTACTGTTAATTGTTTGCTCGGACAGCCGATGTCGCCATCCTTCAAGATCTCGCCGTGCTGTCAACAGCAGTATGCATCGCACAGGCCATCTTTCAGATTGTCATTGCGGCAGACACACCGTACGGATCGTCTGTGAGTGGCTCGACTGCGAAAACGTTGGCCTATCTTGGCCTTCCTGTGCTGGACTCGGATCCCGGTTCCATTGTGCGACTCATTGCCCCAGACATTGTCATTGCCATCTTCACTCTGAGTTTGAGGGGCTGGCAAGCGCGCCAGCTCCGCATCAAGCGAACGGCCACAGCAACTCCGTCATCGGCATCGGCAGCGCGCGCGGAGCGACCAGTGTCGCAGTACTCTGTCGCATCCTCGCGAGGCGCACGATTTAGTGGCAGCACTGCCCTGAATAGTGCATCCGTGTCTCGCAACGCATCCACCTTAACAAGGCAAGGGACACTGGCGCGGCAGACAAAAGTCGCAAAGCACAGTCTCGCCGCGACGCTGGGCAGCACGTTTTGGGATGTGCTGATGTTTATCTCGCTGTTCCTGGCGGCAGTTGCTTCACCATCGCTGCTGGCTGCGCCGTTCCTTCTCCTCGTGTTGTTTGGCGCCTGTTGGTACGGCCTGGCGAGTCTGCATGTTCGCGCCCCGGACGCGGCGGCACCCCGCCCGTTCAAGTCTGCCAGCTTGGAGGCCATCCCTCCAGCGTGGCAAGTGTGGCTCCAGAACAGATTCCCATCGTGGACAAAGTCACGGTTGACGATTGTGGGAGGCCGACTGTTGGCCGGGTATGTGGCGTTTTACACCCTGCTGACGTACCTCTACCAGTTCCAGTTCTTCCAAAACGGCAGTGACGCGCAAACGGTGCAGTGGGTGGGCTTGTACCCCGTGGTGAACACGACCTCTGACTATTCCGTCCCGCAAATGACGCTCGGATCCATCGACTGGTGGTGCTACATTGAGTTGGTCGCCTTGATTGCTCTCTACACCACCACCTGCTGTCGCGTCGTTGTCGAAATGCTCGTCCCGACGGTACCGACTCGAGCCCGACCCGTGTCGACGCTTTTCGGTCGCATGCCTGCTCGAATGGCTGCCATCCGCCTGCCTTCCATCACAAGTGCGCCAAAGCTTTCGCTCGGCGAGTTTCTGCGTTCTTTGGTTCAGATGCAAGCCTATCTGGGGACGTTGATTCTCATGCTGTCATGGGCGGTGGCATATCCGAGCTGGCATGGGTTTGTTCTGCTTGTCTGGTGCTTTCTTGGCTTTCTTTTTCCACGGCAGTTCCTCTTGCGGTCATTGCCCCTGCTCGTCTTGTACACTGTCGAGATGGTCATCCTCGAGTATCTCATTGACATTCCGTCTTTTCCGAACATGGACGTTGGGTTTTCGGCCAGCAGCATTCCGTGCCTGAACCTTGGGTTCAAATTGATGGCATGCTGCATCATTGCTCTGAACTGTCGGTACCGCAATTTGCCGCTGGAGGATGACGGCGGCCTGCTTATTCGACTCCGTCCATGGTGGCAGCGCGTGAGCCTGCGACGCGCGCGCTTCATCCAGGCGTTGCAAGCCCAACAGCAGCAGCAGCAGCAGCCGCCGCCCACGCCCTCCAGCACGGGGCAGTCTCCTTTTGCAGCGCCTTTCCTGGCAGAACCGCTGGACGGTCATGCTCACTTGGTGGTCGGGCGTTCTGGAAAGAACAGAATCAGTGCCATTGTCGAGACAGATTCGGCCGCACCGAAATCGCCATCTCCGACTCCCGTCACCGCGAAAGACTCGACCAATCCCGTTCCAACGCCCTCACGACTGGAGCGCGTTCGGGTCGTGCTCGGGAAACTGATCATCGCCGTGTACAGCTGGGTTTTGTCGTATGCCTACCAGTTTGCGCTCATTGGCATTTTTGTGGCAGCGCTGCAGCTGATTACACTGTTTAATGCAGTGTATCTGCTTGTATTTGTCCTTTTCTGGTCCTTCCCGCAAGCGGCTGCCAGATTTTGGGTTTCCCTCGTGCTCTACTCTCAGGCAATCATTGTCGCTTGCTACGTTGCGCACTTTTCGTTTGCGGACAGCGTGTCTCCGTCCACCGCTCAGCTTATTGGATTGCGCAGAGACGGCAATCAGTCCTTGCCCGAAACGCTGAAATGGAATTTGGTCATTCTGCTGTTTTCGACCATTCAGCTCTACGCCTATCGCTTTGTGGATCATCTCATCGAAGAAAAGCAGGGCCTTGCACAGCTTCAACAAGACCATCCTGCTGCCTTCGAGTCTGCCGCACCAGGGTTGTCCAAAATCTCTGCCACGACGGACGGGGTCACGCCTGCCGACCCAGCGAACGCTGTCGCTGCGTTGCCATCTGCCACATCCGACCCCGTTGCAAAATCGGCTTGGTCTGTTGCCCGTTGCGCCAAGCTGCTGACCTGCGTATTTGAGGACAATTGGTGAGTTCTATTTTTTTCGTTTCGCGTCACAACCTGTTGTGTGGGGCTGGAGCGTTGAAGGAGTCGGAGCGACAGTTGTTTCCAAAAAACAAAAAAAACCGACTGTCGATCTTGGAGCCTGTCGTCTCATTTTGTTTGGCCCTTTGTTGTTGTCTTCGTCCTCTTTGAACCCCCCCCCCACCACCACCTCTCGTAGGATTTACGTCTCCTATGTGCTCATGTTGGTTGTCAGCTTGTCGGGAACGCCAAGCTTTTTGCGCATCTCGTACTTGGTCTTGTTTTCCATTTACTTGTGCATTTACGAATGGTTTGCGGTGCGTCGCAAGTTTACCCTCCAGATCCAAGACAGTGACCACGCGTGCTGCGACCCACACTTGCAATCCATTTCGCCAATCGTCATTCCTCTCCGCAACGCCTTCCGCGTGGCGCAGGTCTGCACCGGCCTGGTTCTCGTTTTCATGTACCTGTACCAGTTTAATGACATTGCGTCGCGATGGCAGTCACAGCTCGGAGACTCGTACGTTGCTGCGATCGGACTGGAGCAGCATTCAGGTACCAACCTCTTTGTGTACTTCCTGGGACCGGTGGCAGTCTTCCTCGCCACCGTCCTGCAAACGCGCTTGTTTGAATCACAGCTTCGCGTGCATTCAGAAGTCCAGCTTCTCCGAGACGGCTTGCGGAACGGCCAGAGTTACTCACGAACGTACTCCCGCGAGTTTTTCGACATCCATGAGAGCACCAGCGTGTACGAGCCCTTAGTCGACGACTCTATCGAGGATTTGCGGGCGCGGCATGCTTGGCGCCTCGAGTCCCCGACCTCCTTCCAGACACCATGGATGGCCTATCTGATTCACATTGTCGCGCTTGGGAAGAGCTCAGCCAAGTCGCGCGAAACGCTGTGGCCTGCGGCGATTGCGCGCTTGTATAAGCGCACGTTGGTGTTGATTACTCCGCGTGCTGTGCAAATCACGCTCTTTGTGGCCGCAATTTCTCGCGTGGACGCCTTTGCCGTTGTCACGATGCTGCTCCTGCAACTGCAGGTGGCGTCGCGTAAGCTCCGCTCGGTCAGCATGTTTGTCACGACAGTCTGGTGCCAAGTCGTCCTGATTGCGTCTCTCATCATCAACACGGGTATCTTCAAGGACTCGGACATTTGCTTTTCCGGCGACTGTCCGTCCAGCGAAATCAACGGCACGGCCACCAACGTTACGGACGCATCCAACGACGCCCGGTGGCTCGGGCTCGTCCAGGACGACGACATTAGCGTCCACCTGCTGGGTTACATTTTCTCTCTGCTCTTGATCGCTCTGAGCGGCGCCGCTTCCCGCTGGAATGTGGAAATGCACGAAGAAGAGCGAACCAGTCGCGGCATCTCCAACATTCGCAGCTTGTACGAAACTCCGCCGGCCTTTGTGGCCTCCAAGCTCAAGACAGTTGCCGAGGGCACGCAGCTTCAAATGGACGCCGAGTGCGCGCTTCCGCAGTTTTTGGATGCGGAATGTGCCGCTCGCCGTCTGCCTTCCCGCTCTGGCGCACCCACTCCCCTGTCCACTCGAATGCGCTTGCTCTCCATCCTAAACCGGCTTCCGTTTTATCTGACCTACGACCTGTCCGTGGGCCTGTGCGTCATTGCCGCGTTCATTCGCCTCAACGTCGTCTCGCTCGTCTACATGCTCTTTGTGGTGATCTTTCTGGCCGCCAAGGTGGAAACAGTCTCGCGGCGGGTGTGGAAGCCCTTCATCTTCCTGATGGCCCTTGTCCTGTGGCTTGAGTTTTTGACGGTCGTTGGTTGGATGCCATCCTTGCACTACGTCTTCCCATGGCAACACTACACGCAAGCCTGGCAACAAGCGGCGGTCCACTGGTTGTATCTGCCTCCAGATCAAGACGTCTACCCACTGATAGGTATGTTTGGTTTTGATGAAGATTTTTTTTTTTTCCCGTTGAATGGAAGAGAGAAAGAGAGGCCCCTCAATTTTGCAAATGACTTGTCGACCAGTCGACTTTGTTGTGCTGCTGGTGGCAAGCATCCAGCTCCAGATTTTCAGGACAGCGCGGTCGACTCAGTCTGCGACGGCTCGAGTCGATTCAAGTCTAGCTGAGGCACTTGATGACAAGTATGCAAGCATTCATATCCTGCGTTGTGGCTCTCGTATTTTGCTTTTTGATGCGTTTTCTGACCCGTCTTTTGGCCTGGTGAATCTCTTTGCTTCTCGCAAACCCCGCCAGAGGCTTGCTTTCACGATTCGCCATGTTTGTCGTTGCACACTTCTTCTGGGTGGTGGTGACCTTCACTTTCATCACGGGCATCTCGTCAAAGGACTTGCTGCACCTCGGATACATTGTTGGCTCGTTCTACTTTTTCAGTGTGGGCGATCGCGTGTTTGCGGGCGACGACCGCATCCGCACGCGCAACTGGAACTTGTTGATTGCCTACAACGTGTTTGTCATGACGGCTCGCTTGCTGTTCCAGCTGCCGTCCTGCATCATTGACTTTTCGTCCATTACGTCGACGGCAGATGACGCCCTGTCTGTCATTGGCTTCCGGCATGGATTTGCCGTCGACTCGTCAGGCTCCGACTCGTTTGGCTGCGCATCCAACGCAGACAACGTTTGGACGCCATCTGGCGCCGTGTTTGAAATCGTCCTGTTCTTCTTGCTGCTCGCACAACGCCGCTTGTTTGATTCGACCTTCACCCAAGCTATCGTGCAAGAGCGCTCGCAATCGACAGAGAAGGCTCTCAAGCACGCCATCACCCTGACGCTCCGGCTTCAAGCGGCGCTCGAGAAGGAGCGCGCAGACGAGATGGCGGCGCCAATCCGCACTCGCAAGCGTATCGCACATCTCGCTCGCAAGCGCATTGACGCGATTGAACGGGGCGAGCAGACGGGGCACATGCTGTTTGCCACTCCTGCAGACATGTATGCGGACGAGCACGAGCTCCATCAGTCGCAAACCTTTTCCCGACCGCCGGGAGCCAGTGCTGCGTCGGCTTCGGCCGCCGTTCCCGGCACGCCGCCGCGTTCTGCGTCCTTCCTGCAGGGCGATGGTGCCACATCCACAAGTCCAAGCACACCATCATCGCAGCAGCAGCAGCGCCGCACTCCCCGACCACTCCAGATTCAGGGTGGTAGCTTGCGGGACACTACCCTTCTTCGTCAAGCGTACGACACGTCTGCAGCATCCACCGCTGGCGCCGAAACAGGATCGTTGGCTGGCCATGAAAGCGACGCGTCGCATGCTCGCAACCCTCGTCGGTTGACCTCGAGCGCTTCAATTCTCTCTGAATCTGCCATATCGATGCAACGCGTCCGCGAGATTGCCTCCATCCCTGCCGATCTAAATGAGAGTGTCGTTCAGATGCGCGCGCGCAGCGCCTCCAGCGCGACTGCCTTGAGCCGCACCTCGGCCGCAACGTCGTCGTCCTCGTCGACTGCCTCAACCATCAGGTCTTGGTTGAATGTCGAGCGCATCATCGAGCTGCTGCAACGTTTGTCTCTGCGCCTCGATGTGGACGAAGATCAATATCCAGACGGTCTCGTCGTCGCGGCAGCCTCCAAAGCGCCGAGCGACGAAGCTCAACGTGGTCACTTGCTTCTGGAATACAATACCCCGCAGTCCCCGAAGAGTGCTGCCATCCCCGCATTTTCGCACGCCACAGTCCCATCAATCCGCTCGATTGAAAAGCCCGATGACGCACAAAGTGACACGGCACCTAGCAACCGGCCTGCTCGCGAGGATGGCGCAGCAGCAGCTGCCGCTGCACCGGTTGCGTCGCAAGCGGTTCGCTTCTGGAGGGCGCTGTATCTTGCTTTCATTGCTCAGTCCAACATTGTGTGCTTTACAATGATGGTCCAGGACTTTTTGGTCAACGAAAACGTGCTGTCACTCGTGTACCCGATTGCCATCTTTTTGGTGCTGCCGCTCTATCGACCACGCGCCCCGCCAATCTTTTGGAAGTTTTTGATCTACTACACCGAGTTTATGATTTTGATCAAGTTCTTGTTCCAATTCGACGCATGGTCGTTCAACCTGACAACGGATGTATCGAGCGCAGTCTACATCATTGGCATTGATCGCTCCACCTCAAACTACTATGCCGCTGAGCTGTCGGCCGATCTGCTGGTGCTGTTGGCGCTCTTGTTACATCGCGGCAACTTGCAGCTGACCGGCTTTTGGGCGACTCAGCAAACCTTCCGCGAGTATCTTGCTTTGTACGGCGCATCCTCGCAAATCGATCCTCGGCTCTTCCAAGGGGACCCCAACGCCACAAGCCAGGCAAGCCATGCCACACTGGATGCAGGCACTCACACTGACTATGACGAGGGCGATGATGACGATGATGATGATGATGATGATGACGACGACGACGACGACGAAGACTCTGAGCATCTCAACGAGTCAAGCATGCTGGAAGACGGTAGCTATGGCGACCAGGAACAGCAAAGCCTCGAAGCCGACGAGGAGCTTGGCCACATGGACGAAAGCGATGAGGCTGACGCATCTGGCCAAGCAACAATGATGGACGGCAATGATGCACAGGACAAGATCAGCCGTCGGCCGCGGTGGACCGACCCAATCGTGGCATTCTGGACGGCTGCGTTCGACACGCAGTTCCTCCCCTCCAGGGACTTTTATGCACCCATGATTGCGTTTGACGTCATTGCCTTTATTCTGATGGTGTTCGGCTGGTCGGCCTTCGCGCCAGACGACAACACCTTCTCGTACTACCTGTCCACAAACCAGGTTCCGCTCACGTTTGTTCTCGTGCTCATCCTGCAGTTTGTGCTCATCATTGTGGACCGTGTCATCTACTTGCACCACTCCATTCGAGCCAAGCTGGTTCTCCAGTGGATTGTCGTCCTGACCGTCCATGTTGTCATTTTCTTTGCGCTCCCAATTGCCGTCACCCACCGAGCTGCATCCACGTCGTCCATCCTGATGGCGTGGTACTTTTTCAAGTGCGGCTACTTGGTCATGAGCGCGTATCAGATCAAGCACGGCTATCCGACCCGCATCTTGGAGAACTTTTTGACCAAGCACCCTGGAACGGTCGGCCACTTGCTCTTCAAGGTGTACCGAGTGATTCCATTCTTGTCGGAATTGCGCGCCATTACAGACTGGACGGCCACCCGCACGACGCTGGGTCTGTACCAGTGGTTTAAGCTGGAGGACATGAACAACATTCTGTACAACAACCAGGCTCGCCTTGATGAGCTCAAGCGGAACCATCGGCGGCTCGGCGCACATCGCTCGAGACTGCACAAGTTTGGCGTGGGCGTGCTGGCGATCTGCGCCATTGTCTTTATCATTTGGCTACCGCTGCTTCTGATTGCGCTTGTCACGCAGACATCCGAGTCCAATTTGCCGACAACCGTGTCTGTGACGTTGGAGATTAGCGGATTCGAGCCCTTGTTCACCATGACCTCGTTGCCGCAAAACACCCGCTCGCTCACCGATACCGAGCTGCAACACATCTCGTCCACGTATGGCGACGACATTACCAATTATGACGCAAAGGATGTGACGATCAGCGTGTTTTCGCCCGAGGCACGCAGCGTCTGGACGGTCAGCCCGCCTGGGCGGCTCAGCCTGGTGCAGCAGCTCCAAAACTCCACGACTGACATGCAGCTGGTCTTCTCTTGGGCGGTGACTCGCGCCAATGCGGCGTCCCAAGTCGCGTCGCAAACCGTGACTGGCAGCCAGCTTTCGCTTCTCGCGCCCAACTCCACCCTCCGGCTGCAATTGTACGACATGCTGGCCGGCAGCGCCACGAACAGCACCATTACTGCTGCGCGCATTGACCGGCTCTTCCCCATGTTTGTCACAGCGAGCGCATCGGGCGTTGCGTCCGGTTTGACGTCACAGGGATATGGAGATGCATTTGCTGATTGCAATGTGACGATTTCTCGAGCCAGCTCATCGAGCTCGTTGCTCAGCGGCCCACCAGACAGCAGCAGCAGCAGCAGCAGCAGCAGCAGCAGCAGCAGCAGCAGCAGCGACGCGCTCCAATCTTTGCAAGACACAATCGACATCGAGGAGTGGTGGTCGCTGCGCGCCAACTCGCCCCCGCCCGTACAGTTTTCGCCCTCCGTTCCGCACAAATGGATTTACTTGTTTGTTCTCAACGACAAGACCGCCAATCCAGAGTTTACCTTCTTGATGAGCTATGGCATTGTGGGCTTGTACGTGGTGGTGATTACTGTCATTGGCAAGTTTGTCCGTCTCGCCATCGACAATGCCTCGACGAAAATCATTTACGAGGAAATGCCCAACGTGGACCATCTCATGTACCTGTGCAATGACGTTTACTTTGCTCGCGAAACGGGCCACTTTGATCTGGAAGAGGTTTTATTTACCGAGCTCGTGACACTGTTCCGCTCGCCCGAACTGCTCCTCAAGTGGACTCAGCCGAGTGGTCTTGATGAAGCTGAAGATTCAGCTTTCTAGGCGGTTGGGTGTACATTGACCTGGATGTTTTGTTTTTAAAAAATATGTTGTTGAAAGGGCTTTTGTTTTGTTGTGTATTGGTTTTTGTGTTTGTGTGTGTGTGCGTCGTGTTGCCACAGGATTACATCTTTTCAAACGTCACACTGTGCCCACACGCGCAAGTTTTTGTCCAGTTGTCGTTGGCTTGATCATACACTTCGCTTTCTGGCGGAAATTCGTGGCGATGAATCTTTTGCTGTTTGACCCACGTTCCCGCGTTGGTTGCTTTGCGCAATTCGCGCATTTGCTTGTCGTACTTGCGCTGCTGCTGGTCTTCGCGCACCTGCTGTCGGCGTTCCATCTCGCGCTCCAGACCCTCCTCGCCTCCAAACTTTTTGAAGGCAACGGCCTCGACTTGGGCGATGCAATAGAGTTGCATCTCATGCCAGCTGGCGTGGCGCGGGTTTTTCTTGGTGATGAAGGGCAAAAACATGTTGTTATGCCCGAGGAAATCCTCGTCCGCGAGCAGGTAGAGCTTTCGTGCATCACTCTTTGTGATCAGCGCGTATTTTTCGTCCTGATCGGCTCCCCGGCACGTGTTGCACACGTTGAGCTTGAAATTCTTGGACAGGAATGACTCAAAGAAGACGTCGTTGCACTCGACACATGGAGTTCCAAACTCGGGAGCTGATGAGACAAGCCGTGGAGAAGTGAGCAAAAAAAAGTTTGGAAACAAAACCAAACCAACAAAAAATTGGCGTTTCTTCTCTCACCACCCTCCGGCTCAGGAATGAATGCATGTTCTTCGATCGGTGCTGGCTGATCTGCTGATTGTGCTGGCTGATCTACGGATGGTGCTGGCTGATCGACTCCCGACACGACCGCAACCTCGTCGCCAGAATCCGTCCAGACCTCGCTCTCGAGATCGGTGAGTGCTTTCAGCTCTGCTTCGACGGAAGCCAAGTCTCGACCCTGCAGTCCTGCTTCTGCCACCACTGTGGTCGCGTCTGTGGCAACAGGAGTCGTCGCGGCTGTCTTGCCATTACGTGCAATCGCCTCGACTGCGGCGAGCAGAGCGACTCTTCGCTTCCGAATGGCCTCCTGTTGGTCCAGACGTGCTTTCTGGTGCTTGGCCTTGCGCTCTTCAATCTTGCGCTGCCGTTCGGGGTCTGGCAGCATGTATCCCGCGCGAGAATCGCGAAAGTAGTCTGCCTTGACCGGAACATCGACGACCTTCCCGCTATTACTACCACTACCACCACCACCAGTCAGACCCGCAACGTTCGATGACGGCCACGATGCACGCTGCTGCGCAGTCTGAATCGCGCCCGCAGTCGACCATGGGGATGTCGCTCCCGCGTGCGCCACTGATGACGCTGGGCCATCTGCGTCGCCCATCACTTGTCTCGCCGACAGTCTCTGCGCAAGGGCACACACACGCACACACACAAACGCGTTAGTTAGAGATCACAAAGAACACCACCTGGTTTCAAAAGCAAGTCTGAGAGCGGGAGCGTTTACTGCTTGTCGGAGTTCCAGCGCGCGCAAACGGTTTCGCTCCGCACGCGCTACATCGGCCGGTAGCAAGCTCGCCATTGCTCCACAGTTGAGGCGTCGGGGGAATGCCAAGTCACAGGATGTTGTTTTGTTGTTTCTGGTGAAAAATGCAGATGCGAAGGTTTTCGACCACTTTCTGAGTCGACAGGATTTGCAACAATTCACGACTGGGCTCCAATTTGGCATTTCAAGTCCGTTTCTGCTGTACATTGTTGCTTCTGTATTTCCATTCGTACTGTACACCCTCTCTGAGCACATCCCTCTTTGTATGTAGCGGATCGCTCGCTTCCAGTCGTCTTTCTTCCCCCCTAACAGCCATTACAAGCGACCATCCACAAAACCCTTCCTTCCTTCCTTCCTTCCTTCCTCGCCTTTCCCCCCCCCTTTCATTGCCATAAAGCATATACCATCATGGGTCTGTTGGACGGCTTGCAGCAGTCGGTGCAGGAGCTCGCCCAGCGGCATCCTTGGCTTGGTGCCGTGCTTGCGTCGAAGGCGTATCGCCGTGCGCTTGCCCTCTCCGCCGCCGCGCTCGTGATGCTCGTTGGTCTGTACATTCTCCTTGCGTGGAGTGGCGCCGTGGTCACCGTCCTCGTCGTCGGCGTCGCGCTCGCTGCGATGGCTCTCGTTCTCCGTCAGCAGCCTCAGGTTTGTCTCTCTCTGTCTCTCTCTCTCTCTGTCTCTCCCGCTCTCTACTTCTGTCCTTCTCGCTCCATTTCTGTCCTGTCCTTCGCTCCCTTGTTTGTTTCAGTTCGTGGCTCTGCAACGCGCTCATCGCAGAACGAACAACTGCAAAAAAGCAAAAAAGCAAAAAAAAAAAAAAAAGCGATTCATTCCAAAAAAAAAAAAAAAAAAAAAAAATCAACCGTTTTTCATTTTTTTTTTTTCGTATTTTTGACCGCCTTTTTTTTTTTTTTTTTTCTATTTTTCTATGATTGTTTTATTTTGATTTATTTTTTTGGGTTTCTGAGTTTTTTTTTTCATTGTTTATTTCGATATTTCGATTCAACAAAAGTCTCTTTTTTGGTCTTCTTCTTCTTCTTCTTCTTCTTCTTCTTCTTCTTCTTCTTCTTCTTGAATTGTTGTTGTTCTTCTGACTTCTTACAACGATTGTTGAATCGTTGTTGTTCTTCTTCTGACTTCTTACAACGATTGTTGAATTGGTGATGTGAAACAGTCGGTGCGCAGAATGCTCAAGCGATGGCGGGAATCGTCAAGCTCAACACTGCCGTCAACAACCAACGCTGCCGATCTGATGCAGCACCGCTTCCAAACAAGCCCACAGGGAACAAGCTCTGCTGGCTTTGTTGCAGGAGGTCTTGAGGCCGTCGCTGTTGGTACTTTCGGCCAGCTGCAACAGCAGCAGCAGCAGCGTCAGTTTGCTCCCGCGTTCGCGCAGGGACCGTTCTCCACCCCAAGTCATCCCGGATCGTCGGCTGCAGTGGCATCGGCGCCGTGGATGGTGCAGTCTGGCCCGGGGATGCACGCCTCGCCTGCTCCCAACCAGGGCGCATCGCCGTATCTCTTTGCTGCTCCCGCTGCTCCCCAAACCCCGCAATCGGGCTTGTCTTTGCACCAGCCACAATACTCGCCGCTTGGAACACCCATTTATGCTGGCCAGCAGCAACCGCCATTTGGGCCCACGCAAAGTTCGCCCTACCAGCACTTGCCGCCGCAACAGTTTCAGCAGCCACTCCAACAACCGCAGCAGTTTCAGCAGCAGCAGCAGCAGCAGCAGCAACAACCTCAACAACAACAACTACCACAGCAATACAATCAACCTCTGCTTGCTCAACCTTCGCAAACGCCGATATCTACCGCACACCAGGCGGCCGCTTCTAGCTGGCAGAACGAACAGGATGGCTTTGAGCCCGTTCGCCGCTCACCAAAAGCCCCTGCCGCTTCGAATTCTGCTGCCGCTTCGAGCTCTGGTGCTGACACGCCATCATTCGCGCCCCTCGCACCGTCGACCCAATCGCCCACTCCGGCTGTTGCACCAAAGACCGCAGCTACAACAAAGGCACCAACCGCAAAGCCAGCGACCGCGAGCGCACCTCATGCTCATGCCCCGGTTGCTGGTGCCTCGACCCGTGTGCCTGGCTCAGCCAAAGCAGCTCAGCCTGCTGCCTCCGTCGCCGCTGCTCCTGCCGCTGCTGCGCCAGCGCGAACCACTGCAACGTCCTCAACAGCGACACAGGCGACGACTCGCGTTGCATCACCGTCCGCAACACCTGCGACCAAAGGCTCGTCAAGCACGCCTGCAGCGGTGTCCAGCACTTCCTCTGCCTCTCCAGCGGCACGAACGGCTACAGCCAACGCGCGTACTGCTGCCTCATCTCGATCCACCACGGTCGCCGGACAGGCGGCACCAAAATCAACCCCTGCCTCTCCTCTGACAACCAGCAACAAGGCTGGTGCTTCCACAGCTCGGCCTCACGCCGGATCACCGAACACCGCTACTGCTCCGAATTCGAAATTGGCCCCAACTCCGACCACGCCAGCCGGAGCAACGCCTTCTCCTGCTCGCGCGCGCACTACCTCCAGCGCAACCGGTGCGGCTCCGGCCATCTCTGCTGCCACGCCCTCGCCTTCAAAGCTTCCGGCCCAAAACCTGGTCAAGCGACTCGGCGGGCCTCGCGCAGTGGAGCAGGCCAAGGAAGAGGAATGGAGCGACGTCGAAGTGTCCTCGCTCGGGAAGAAATCCGCTGTGACGTCCCGTGCACCAGTTTTACAAACGCGCGGCGCTGGCGCTGGACGTAACGTCGGCTCAGTCGTCCCCACGGTCACACGGCTTGGCGATCCGGCCAAATCCGGCGTCGTGCAACCCACCGATGCGCACGAGTGGGACGAACTCGAGATTCCCTCGGCAGGCTTCAAGCTGTCTGCGTCCGTCCGCGCCTCCGACTCGGCCATTGGCGACTCGCAAACGGACGAGTCCGAGGACTCGGACTGGACACTGTCCGCCTCCATGCAAACCAACGCCCGTCGTCGCTCCAGTCCTCCAGCTGCTTCTTCTGCAAAGCAGGACAATGACGACGAAGAAGTCGATTGGGGTGACGACGAGCCTGTCCCCGCGCGTCCACGAGCTGGCTCGCTGCGCAATGCAGCTCCGGTTGCAGAACCCATCACCCCAGTCTCCAGCAACAACAAGGCCGCGCTTGCTGCCTCGCTGGACAAGTGGCGCGACTCGGAAGAAGAGGACGATTTTGGCTTTTCCAGCGACCGATTGCAGCAGGTCCAGGACACACGTGCTGCGGCGCAAGCGGCGGAGGAGGAAGAAGACATGTCTGCGTTCGACTCGGAAGATGACGAACCAGCGCCGCGCAAACCCTTGCTTCTTGTCAACAGCCCGCGGCCGTCATCTGCGGCTCTGCCAGCCTCCGTGCCCGGCATGACTGGCGCGGTGATCAACTTTGCCGAGCAGCGCCGGCTCAAGCAACAGGCCAGTGCGCTGTCGTCGCCCACACCCCTGACTCCCACCACCATCCCTAAACCAGCAACAGCACCCGCGGCTCTTTCGACCCCGCACAAGGCGGGTGCTACCCCCTTGAAATCAGCGCTGCGGTCTGCTTCGCCCGCGCTCCTGACTAGCCCAGCTGTTGTTCGCAATGGCGCTCCAAGTACCAGCGCCAACGGCAGCTCCCACGCCAGTGCCAACGCCGTGACGGCCCAGTTGATGATTCACAAGCTCACGGCCAAGCCCGCACCTCGGCAGGAAGACGACGATATTGAGGATGGCTTTGACCTGCCTGCCAACCGGCGATTCCTCTCGCTGGCGGCATTGACGGCCCATGACAACGAACAGCTTGGCTCTGCCAACTCCCAGCGGGGCAACGCAAGTCTCATTAGCGACGACAACGAGACGTGGAGCGACTTGGATACAGACCCCGAGCTCGAGGCTAAAATGTCCATGTCCTCCGTGTCACGCACCTCAACGGCATTTAGCCAGAGCGAAGAGGAGGAGTTTGATGATCTCCAGCTGCCGACGAATGGTCATCTTCAGCTTCGCCGAGGCAATGACGCGAATGACGCCGACGACGAGAACGACTTTGACAGTGACGGTCGTTCGCATCCGACGCACGATCCTTCATCCAAGAACTGGGACGATGTCGAGCTGCCTGAAGGCGGCTTGTCTGCATCTCTATTGCGACAGCGCGCCATACGCGGAGAGCTGCCTTCCGCTGCGCGAGCAGTGTCACACGTTTCTCCCGCTGTTTCCATTCCCCTCCAAAATGGTACAGTCATGCGTTTGGTGTTTGACTTGGATGGATGTGTGTGTGTGTGTGTGTGTGTGTGTGTGCGGTGGCCATGTCGAAGTGAGACTGACTCCATCCCTCATCCTTCCCCTTTTTGGCCCACCGACCCCGACAGTCGCAGAAGTATCCTTGCCGCCAGAGCTCGAGCGTTTGCGCCAAAAGCACATCGAACAGGCGGGGGATGAGCTGCTACTAAACGAGGAGGCGGAAAATGGTCACGGGCTGGGCGACGCCAACGGCTTTGGCCGCATTCAGCTCTCTCGAAAGCGCACCAGTACCGCCAACGAAGCAGAGTTGCTCATGCTCGATGATTTGCCGGTGGACGTAGAGCAGGAGCGGAAGGCGTTGGCGGCGAGTTTGCCCATGCACGAGCACCTTGATTCGCAGCGCTTGCCCTCCACACCGGGTGCACGTGCACTGTCGAAAGCCAACACACCCATCCGGCCTGCCGTGGCCTCTGCCATTCGCAGCAACCTGACCACCCCGACGGCTGGCACGACGCGAAAGGACTTTGCGTCGCCCGTGCGCAACCACGCCAAGCCCAAGCAATCACCCACCTTGATTAGCGATCGCACCAACCGATGGAATACGCGTCGCAATGTCAGCGGCATGGAGTTTGACCCTGTCAACCTGCGTTGGGTGGGCAACGATGACGACGAGTCGGTCAAAAAGTTTGATCGTGCCGCTCCCACGCTCATTTCCAACTGCGGCCAGCGTGTTCCCCGTGTTGTCGGTCAAATGGTCTTTGATCCCATCAAAATGTGCTGGACTGGCAACGACGATGTCATGGATGCGTTTGCTGGCATGGACGATTTGACCGAAGGTTTGTGACGACACTTTTGGGGTTTTCTTTGATTGCTTGTCGGGCTTAAAATCTCGGTCTCGTTCACGTGTGGGCTTGTTTGCTGACTTTGTGGTCCATGTTCGCTTGGTGTTTTACTCTTGGCATCATTTGGCAGACTCGACATTGTGCGAATCGGATTGCTTCCTCGTCACGCCCGAGCTGGTGTCGTCGTTTGCGAGCAGCGCCCGCGAGCACCAGCACTCTCTCGGTGGCTGGCCTGGCAGTCACATTGCCTCTGCCGGCGCGCAACCACGGGGATTGACTTTGTCAACGCCCGCACCTCGCGATTTTGAGGCCTTGTACGCCATCCGCCGTTAACGATTCTTTTCTGGTTGCCCTTTTGTTTTTTTCCTTCATTTGGAGTTGTACCATCTCTTGTTGAACCTGCTTTGTTTCCTTGTACTGTATACTATCAATCCAAGTTTATATTCCCCACGAACTCACACATTCGTTTGTCAAATTTCAAATCCAATTTCAAATGTCGCTTCCATCACCTGCATTTCCAGCTTTCATGCCAACAATGGCCATCAATCCATTTCTCCACCGCTTGATTTCCCCCGAACTGAATTCTAACAAGTCTGAGATTCGCCGAGTCTGAGATATTCAGTCATCATTTCTCCATCAAGCACAAGTTTGGCCACGTCATCTTGGCGAGCGAAGACAAGCTTGTTTACGCGAATGAGCGCAACACGCCACCACTCGCGAGGGACGTCGCTGCGGCTGCGATTCGTCAGACTGGCGCTCGCATTGATGCTCGTTGCAGCTGCGTCTGCCGTCTGCTGCAGTGCTGCTTGGACGGGAGGGACAGGAGGGACAGGAGGGACAGGAGCAGGACTGGGAAAGCGCGGCGCCACTGCTGAACGGGCGTCCTTTGGGCAGATTGGCTCGTCCTTCTCGTCAGCCTCGTCGTCCCAGTCAGAGTCCAAGCCACACAAGAAGCCGACAATCATGCTCATTCCACAGCCGGAGCGCCAAGCACAGCCGGCGAATCGACCAGGCGCGTCATCATCTCACTCGTCAGGAGCGCCGAACGCGCCAATCGAGACCACCGATGCCGCCGGGAAGCCGCCCGTGTCGCGCATGACAGACAGCTGGCCATTCTCGTCGTCGTCGTCGTCGTCGTCGTCGCCTACAACGAACGATGCCCTGGATACGGAGGCGTCCGTGTCGGACAGCGACATGGATGACCTCCACGATGATGATGATGATGACGATGACAACGATCGATACCACGTGCCCTGGAGCAGTCTGCGAGGCCCTGATGGAGTGCTGTCATTGCATCCAAGCAATTCAGAGCCAGGAAGCGAGGGCGGCGTGCCAGACTCGCATCATGTCGTGTTTGGATCGGAAACTGCTCCACCACCACCGCTCTTTGTGCGCACGATGGACGGCTCGCTCCACGGGGTTGATGCGTAAGTGCAGATCGCCGCATTGGTATTCACTCTCAGCACCATTGCACTCGCCCTGCATGTGAGCGTTGGTGCGCTCGACTGATTGCGAGAGCCTCATCTCCGTTTTGTGTTTCGTTTGGTTGCTTTGCAGTGCCACGGGTCGCACGCTTTGGTCGCACTTGTCTGGACCAGTGTTGCAGGTCTATTCTGCTCGCATGAATACGACAAGTGTTGACATTGCGTCTCCTTCACCCAAGACAGAGAGCAAACCATCGACCGTTCACCTCCATGAGGACTCTCCAGACTTTGAGCGAGTGCACCTTCAGCCGCCAGTAATATCAGCGCAGCAAGCCATGGCATTTATTCCCGAGCTTGTTCACGGACACCTGTACATGTTTAGTGTACGGTCGCTCGATTGTCATGGGACCAGATTGGTTTTTGTAGTGTTGTTCTGAACTCATATTCTGCCCCACCTTCTTTGTCGCTTGGTTTTTGTTCTAGTCCGACGGCTTGAAACAGCTTCCCTTGAGCATCCCACAGCTAGTAGCTACATCGCCACGCACTCAAGGGAATTTGCTATATCTCGGAGGGCAGACCTGTGATGTGCTCACACTTGATCCGTTAACGGGTCAAATTCTTCGCTCTTTCTCCACGTCCGGGTCGTCCGAAGGTATGAATCGGGCTTGAGATGATAAAAATGTTATCGGGTTACGAAAAACATCCCCCCGGCATCTGACCTAAGGGATATTCGCTCGCAGACACGGTTGTCAAGTTGGCTGCTTCGTCCTCCCCCGACTCTGTCTTGGTTGCGAGAACCATCTATGTTTTGCGAGTCATTGACACGTTTTCGTCCATGGAAATGTAAGCAAAGCGGCCGCCATTGCCCCGCCCCCGCATCTTGCGCTACTATCGTTCGTTTGTGTCTCAATGGTGCATCCTTGCTCAATCCCTCACTCTGATCGATTGCGTCTGATTGGTGATTCACACAGTTGGAATGTGACGCTTTCGCAATTGTCCGTGGTCGGCGTTCATGGCCCAGCCTTTGCACCCGCCAATGACCGATTCTTTACGTCGACAGACGATCTGGTTCTCACCCTCGGCAATCTCTTTGCTGGAACTGCGACCTGGAGCAAGACTTTTTCATCCCCAGTGCTGAACGTTCTTGGATCAAATGGACTTGGCGAGGCCGTTCCTTTGCCGCTTGTGAGGATTGTGGAAGATGCGACTCAAGGGGATACGTTTGAGCCGTCCAAGTCGTACTCTCCCCCTCAGGCTGCAGAGAATCACATTTTAAAGCACGTCGTGCTTGTTGGCAAAACTGGCAATACTGATGGATACTTGTTTGCAAAAGAGTTGCTCACGTTACCCAAGCGTCTTGTCATCCAGCGACTACTGGCGTTGTCGCATTTGACGCATCCCGACTCGTACGCGCAGCTCCAATCGCGTTACCCTCTGTTAGCGGCCGTGGCTTCGGCGTCGTCTGCCGCTTCCGGGGGCGGCCACCAACATGCGAGCAACCTTGACACATCGGTCGCACTTCACAACCCTGCATCGACCGACGCTGCTTGCTCAATCAACTCGCCGTTCTTTCCAGATTGCGTTGTCGGTCTTCACAACATTCCGCCGCTGGCCGTTCGTGACATTATTTCGCGAACGGGAAAGCACTCCTTCCCTTTGTCGACCTACGTCGATCCGCGTGGCCGGCTCGCGAAATCTTCCGCACAAGATGTATTGAAGGCCTTGACCGATGCAAGAGAGGCCATGACTGGCATTTCTACGCTTTCGCCCGCGACGCTGATTGGCAGCGTCATTGGTGGCGTGCTGATTCTGCTCTTGTCGTTGATTTTGATCTTGTTGGTGGTCATTTTGCAGCGCATGAACCAGGACGACCGCAAGATTCTTCTGTCGCTGCTGCAACGTCTGCTCCGTCTGGATGGGGCCACACAGCAGGCCAGTCACGACTCTCGGGCGCCAGGTTCGGCCAAGAAGAAGAAGAAGAAGGTCAAATTCAATGCAGGACCCTCCGCACCAAACTTGTCGGAGGACCAGCCGTCCCATGCCGTTACCGATGGCGAGGGCGATGACGTCGATGACGAGCCAGCGGAGCACGACACCCCGCAGTCGGACGGCGCAATCACTGGCCAATCTGGTCTGCTTCCAGCTGGTCATTTTGGTCCAGCCTCGTTGACTGCTGCCGCTGCTACTGCTGCTGCTGCTGCTGCTGCTGCTGCTGCTGCTGCTGCTGCTGCTGCCATCCCTGGACAAGAGGTGGTGGGCAAGCTGCGCATTCATACTGAAAGCGTGCTGGGCGCCGGCAGCCAAGGCACGTACGTCTACCGCGGCTCGTTTGACGAGCGACAGGTGGCTGTGAAGCGCATCTTGAAAGAGTGCGTCGCATTGGCCGACAACGAAATCCGAGGCCTGCTGGAAATTGGATTTCACCCCAACGTCATTCACTACTACTGCAAGGAGCAGGACGAGCGATTCGTGTACCTGGCACTCGAGCTCTGCAATTACTCGCTGGTCCAGTTGGTGGACGAGGCTCCCGTAAACCTGACTCCATCGGATCGTGTTCGCATGTCGATTGAAATTCTGGCCGGTTTGCGGCATTTGCACCATCTTGGCATTGTCCATCGCGACCTCAAGCCGCACAATGTCCTCGTGACTGTCACTGAAGACCCCAGCCATCATCCGCACGTATCTGTCAAGCTGTCTGATTTTGGATTGAGCAAGAAATTGCCTCCGGGCCGGAATTCGTTCTACTCTGCCAAACCCACAGGCACGCTGGGCTGGATGGCGCCCGAGTTGCTTTTGGCGATGGAGCCTGCCGGGCGATCGCCCAACCCGCTCTCAGAGGGGTCGAGTACGTCTTCTTCGCCGTCCAGCAGCTCGCTGCAACAGAATAGCAGTCTTCCGAGAAGCACACCAACCGTGGCGGATGAGGGTGTCAGTTCACACTCTGGCTCCGCAGTTGCTGCTCCGGGGTTGGCCACGCCATCAGAGGGCTCGTGGCATCGCGTCCCTGGTGCTGCCGCTGCTGCCACCACCACCACCACCACCACCACCTTTACTTTGCCTGCCGTTTCTCGCACAAAAGCGGTGGACATATTTTCGGCAGGTTGCACCGCCTTTTACTTGCTCACCAATGGAAAGCACCCGTACGGTGAACCATTTGAGCGCGACAGTAACATTTGTCGCAACCACCGGAGCCTGCTCACCTTGGCCTCGCTTAGTGGGAGTCACGAGGCGCTGCACTTTGTCGAGCAAATGACCCAGTTCTCTCCAACGGCCCGCCCGACTGCTGACGAGCTGCTTGCCCACCCATTCGTTTGGTCGGGGGCAAAGAGGCTCTTCTTCTTGCAAGATGTGAGCGATCGCATTGAGACGAACGGCGACGAGCTGGGAGCCCTGCTGGAAGCGAGTGCAGCGAGCGCGATCGGATCGGACTGGCGAGCCCCGATGCACCCCGAGTTGGTTGCGCAGCTCACCAGCTTCCGCAAGTACAATTACGCCTCCGTCAAGGACTTGCTGCGTGCCATCCGGAACAAGACACGCCATCGTCAGGAATTGACGCCGAATGTTCTGCGGATGGTCGGCGAAACGGACGCAGCCAACATGGAATACTTTGGCGCGCGCTTTCCACCGTTGCTCATGCACGCATACCATGTGGTCGTCACGTCGAAATGCGCCACCGAGACGCTGTTTCTGGACAAGTACCTGACCTTCCGGCCCTTCTCTCACGGCAACTGAACGCTGAAAAGCGAGTTTGCCTTGGTCAGGCTTTTCGTTTCTCCAGCTCTTTGCTTCCGCCCGTCTTCTTCCAATGCAATATTTCCTTTATCTCCACAAAACAGCATGTCTTACATTTTATCAATACAGAATTACCGCCATTTTGTTTGTTTGTGTTGTTTCGTTTTTCCTCTGTAAAAACCATTCAACTTTTTTTTTTTTTTTTTTTTTTTTTTTTTTTTTCCCTTTCTCACTTTCCATTGTAGCGCATGGCTTTGCTCGCCTCTCAAGCGTCCGGGCTTCGCGCCCTCGTCCGGGCAGCCACATCGACCTCCTCCTCTACTGCTACTGCTACTCTTGCTACTAGTATGATTGCCGCCAGAGCGACTCCCGCTGCAGTGTCAGTGCGCTCGCTGAGCTCCCTGCAGTCGTCGGTCGCGCACAGCCCAGCCATGCTGCTTCACGCCATCCGCAGCGGATCGGCGCTCGCCCCGGCCGGCTTCGCAACTGGAGCAACAGCTGCATCACCGTCGACGAGCCTGGCGAGCGCGGCGGCAGCGAACGCGCACGCCGTCGGATTGCTTTCCGGCGCTGCTGGATCTGCATTGGCCGTGTCGCCCGCCGCATCGCCCCTCTTGGCGCAGGCCGTCCGCTGCGCACACAAGCGCGTCTTGAAGAAGCCCCGCTTGTACAAGCTAAAGTCGCGCAGCGCTGTCAAGCGGCGATTCCGTCTCATGGCCAACGGTCGCTACAAGCGTCGCCAAGCCGGCAAGCAGCATCTGAACATCCACAAGTCGCGCAAGCGAAAGAACCGTCTGGCCAAGACAGTGCTCACCACAAACACTCACACCAAGACCATCCGTCGCATTCTCGTCAAGCGGCGGTAGTCGGCCTTTCTGCATTGACAAGTATCATTGGGGTTGGATTCTACCATTCCCAGTTGTCCTGCACACACCACACGCCTTTCATTCGCGCTGTGTCGATCCGTCCTTGTTTCGTTGTGTGACGAGTGATGCTGTTGGTCATCTTTGTGCAGTTTCTTTTTAAAAACATTTGTGTTGTCACTGAATCAAAAGTACATAACCTGCCGTCACCAAGCACAGCAACGAAACAATCCAGTGCAGTCGTATCCCAATCACAGCAGCTGCAAATAGGGTACATGGTAGTAGCGATTGCCATGATTTTACCCCCCCCCCCAAATTGTCAAGTTTCACACACCAATGCATGAGATTGCGAACAGTGAGTGAAACCGTGTTGAATTGAACTGGAGCAACAGCAGTAAGCGAACGACGAGCAAAACCAGTTGGCGGTACCTTTGGAAAATGTGCCCAGGAACCCTTTCTTTTCGCTAAAGATGAGACTGTTGAGACGCGGGATGCGTTTGCCGTAGGCGCAGGTGCAGATGAAGAGCAGCACGGCAATGACCATCCCGTCGAACGAGTACGCTGCCACACACACAGACACACAGACACACACAAGGCCGAGGCAATGGGGGCGGTTAGCAACGCTGCAGGAAAGCAAAACCAACAGGGAAGCGGAGGAGCGGAGGTGGGGGAGGGGGAGAGCAAGGGAGCTGGAACTTGGCGCGTATGGCGTTCTGAGTGGCTCACCGTTGGTCATTCGAAGAGTGTGCGTGTGTGCTCGGCTTTTGACAAGCTGAGTAACAATCACAAACAAGACTGGACGTCACTTATTGAAAAGACCGAATTGTGTCAAGAGTGGGAGGAAATTATTGTTGAACAACGTCGATGAGAACTGCGGCAACTAAGCGGTTCACTTGCTCAGAACTGCACGAGTTATCATTTCAGAAATGAGAACGAGGATTCATACAACCATGCTAAACACACGAAAACATGCTTGTGGCAAGCAGACACACACACACAAGAATAATCTGTACAATGTTCACGAGAAAGGCCCGATTCGACTTCAAATGAAAGCGAATCCAATGGTCAAAGACAGGGCAAGGAGAATAGGAAGCGGCCTGCAATCGAGAGAAGAAGCAGCACCAGTAGTACCTGTCGCCTGCAGGCCGGTTGACGTGGGACCAACGACATCTGGCGTTGATGCCGAGAATGATGTCTCAGACGCATCGTTGACAGATGACGCAGAAACCAACGAGGCTTCTGATGCAAGCGATGCCGCTGACGCCGAGGCAAGCGATGCGCCCGAGGCAAGCGAGGCGCCGGAAGCCCGAGATGCCAACGAAGCTCCGGACGCCAACAAAGCTTCGGAGGCCTGTGACGCCTGCGACGCCTGCGAGGCTCCGGAAACCTGCGACGCCTGCGAGGCTCCGGAGGCCTGCGACGCCTGAGAAGCCTGCGAGGCTCCGGAGGCCTGAGATGCAAGAGAAGCAAGTGAAGCGACTGACGCCTGCAAGTCAGTCGTGGAAAGGGCGACACTCGCTGCAGTCGACGCAGAAATTGACGCAGCAGAGGCAACGCTGGCAGATGAGGCAGATGCGAGAGAAGCACCCGAGGCAAGTGACGCGCCAGAAGCCAAGGAGGCGCCAGAAGCCAGCGAGGCACCAGAAGCCAGCGAGGCACCAGAAGCCAACAAAGCTTCGGAAGCCTGTGATGCCTGTGACGCCTGTGAGGCCTGGGAAGCTCCGGAAGCCTGTGACGCCTGAGAAGCCCGAGATGCTAGAGAAGCAAGTGAAGCGACTGACGCCTGCAAGTCGGTCGTGGAAGGCGCGACACTCGCTGCAGTCGACGCGGAAATTGACGCAGCAGAGGCAATGCTGGCAGATGAGGCAGATGCGAGAGAAGCGCCAGAAGCCAGCGAGGCGCCAGAAGCCAGCGAGGCGCCAGAAGCCAGGGAGGCACCAGAAGCCAACGAAGCGTCGGAGGCCTGTGACGCCTGTGACGCCTGTGACGCCTGCGACGCCTGCGAGACTGCGGAAGCTAAGGATGCCATTGAAGCACCAGACACCACAGATGCCATAGAGGCTTGTGAGGCCCGACTCGCCCGCGAGGCAACGATCGCCGCAGTGGCGGCAGAGGCAGCGCTTGTGGCCGAGGCCAATCCAAACTCGCTCGAGGAGGCCGCGATCAGCGAAGAAATGGAAGTAGCCAAGACGGCAGAGGTGAACGAGGCGAGAGGCAAAGAGACCGAGCTCGCCGCTATGGATGACGAAAAAGACGAAGCACGGAGGAATGAGGAAGCCTCGACCGACGACGTTGAAGCGACAAAGACAGAGGAAGCAGATGGTTGGAAGGCAGAGGATGAGGAAGCAGCCACAAGCGAGGAAGCCGAACTTTCAAGCCCAGAGGCGACAGAGGTTGTAGCAGCGATGGAAGAAGACGCCGACACGAATGAGGCTGAACTGGCCACAACGGATGATGAAGCCGCGGCAGCGCTGGACGACGATCCGGAACTGGCAACGACGGTGGACGAGGATGCCGCAAACAAGGACGAAGCAGAACTCGCGCTGATGGTCGCCGTTTGCACGGACGCGCTAGAAAGAGAAGACAGGGATGACAATGATGCAGCGGAAGCAGACGCTAGAGACGTGAGGGATGGCGATGCAAATGCAAGAGAAGACAAGGATCGCGATGCAGCGGAAGCAGACGCAAGAGAAGCACTCGATGCAAAGGAGGCGCTTGATGCAAGGGATGCATTTGTGGCCGCAGATGGAAAGCAAAACCCGGTACCAGCCACAAAGTCCAAGTAGCAACTCGCGCACAAGTTGATTGTGGTGCAAGTCAAGCATCCATAGTTGCAACATGCCGATCCGTCGACCAAACAGGTTGCACAGGCACTCGGACAAGCTTGCAGCCAAAGCCAAGTACAGAGATTCGGGGTTAGTTTGTTTGTTGCAAAACACCCAGCGCGCTGTTTGACGTACCCTGAAGCGCGCCCATACTGTTGTTAAAAGTGCTGGGAGGCACATTGAAGCCAAACCCGTTGAAGCTCAAATCAGTCGAGACGAGTTGCGTCAGTCCTTGGAATAGCCCTGGCGGCAATGTTGTGACGAGCGGGTTGGAGTCGAGGTCTCTACAGGTACGAGCAGTCAGGCGAATTTGTTTGCGCCAGAACCCAGAGCTCTGACAGAGACACTGCAACCTCTTACAGGGTTTGCAGCTGACCGAGCCCTTGGAACAATCCTCCAGGGATGCTCGTCAGCTGAGCATTCGAGCCGAGATCACTACGCAAAATACGCGAAAAGCATGAACATCAAATTCGGGAGAAATCGGAAGGCGTTCAAAGCGTTGTCACGTACATTTGCGTCAAGGTGCCACGCCCGAGAAACAGTTGAGATGGCAACGACATGATCGATGTGCTTCTCAGGGAGCTGTCCAAGTGCAAGAGATCGTGCCAAGATGAAGCACCAAATGCTGCTTGTGTCGTTACAGGCACAGTGACTTACAATGTGCGCAGTTGAGGCAAACCCTGGAGCATGGTTGAGGGCAGAGCGGTCAGGGCGGTGCTCGATAAGTTTCTACAAACCAAGCGATGCACATCATCAACATTTCTCGCGCGTTGACCATTTATGCAAGTGATGCAGCTGTAGCAACGACCTTGAACGACTCACAGCAGTTGAAGCGAGTTCAACCCCGAGAAGGCGGACGGCGCGACATTCGTCAGCAAGGGATTTCCATTCAAGTAGCTATTGGCCAAACGATCGCAATGCGTAAGCGGGACACTCTACTGCAACATTGTAGGCTTGCCATATCCAACACATTCTGCCACGACGGTACAGGCTAACTAGGCTGGATTGATTGACAAAGATACCATCTCGAAGTTGCGTCAGCTGGTTGAATCGCAAGTCTCTGTGCCGGACAAGCACATCATCAAGCGGTCAGCGGCAGAGCCTGTGTCCAGTCGCCTGTGTCCTTAGCTGGCACTTTACAAAATTACAAGACTTGTGAGGTTGGTAAGTTCACCAGGTCCAAAATCAGCAATAGCGTTGGAAGACAAGGACCTGCCAAAATGCCAAAAGACACAACGGTTCAATAATTGGGTGAAACAAGAGGGGCTAAAAGTGCTCGTTCACGCTCGCAATGCAACATGGCATGGTTACAGGATGGTAGTATTGGCGGGTATGCCTGGAGGGATGGATGACAGGTTGCGACCTGCACAATTCACAGATGTGCCACCGCAGTCACATACAGCGCATGCAGTGATGTCCTGTGCGTCGTTGGGACTTGAAAGTGCGATGACAAGCAAAGCCACGAGTAGCCATGACGCAAAAAGTGCGCCACGAGGGTGAACATGTGCGTCGCGCATCGGAATCGGCTGCTGTTGTGCAAGAAAACGTTGAGGCTGTGTGAACGGGAAAAAAATGTGGTCAATAAAACCCAAAGGCCGAGGTAGGTGTGAGATGGACAAAGCTTGTACAAGTAGCGATGCAGCCATTGAAGCAATTTAGGATAACCTTCGAGCCACAAAACGAAAAGTTGGCAAACTGGTTTCACCCCGAAAAGTATGAAGCACGATTCTCTGGCTTCCCATGGAGGACCCAGATCATTCGGAATGCAAACCCAAAACCAAAATCAACAACGCAAATACAGCAACACCGAGGGGGCAGTGTGGGGCGATGCTTCCAGTGATGGCGAATGGCAGAAAGCTCATTGCCGGATTTGGGCACTTCAAAAAACAAGATCGCCGTGGATTTTGTTGTCAATCAACAACTCTGCCGCCCCGCCAAAGTTCCTCACGCTGGATCGCAGCACTGCCTGCTCAGCGAAAAGTTCAAGCTCAGTTTGACTTTTTGGAACCAGCGAGTGCGTGGAAAGTAGTGCGGGGGGACGGGAGTAGTGCATGGAAATGTGAATCTCAGTCATTGCTCTCAGCAGGTATGGTGAAAGGACATGATGCGAATTGTCTGCACAATCAAGGCTGTATAGTTTACAAAGAACGAAGACTGAGGCGAACGAGGGGACCTGCGAGCTGTTTATCAGTGCAAGAATGAGATTCGCACCGATGCAGGCGAATCGCTCATTCCGAACATCATTGCCCATCCAAACAAGGACCCGAAGATCGGGCGATTTGATCGAGAGCATCAGACTTCTCTGAGAATCAAAGGGAAGCAAACTCAAACAAACCATTCTTTTTAGGGGGTCAGTTTTGAATTTTCGTGTTGGTCATTTTGTTCTTTTGTGTTGACTCGGGTTTCCTGTCGATCGGCTTTGGTCCATGCTTCAAGGGACTTCACAGCGCCTTAATTCAAGCATGCACACGGTTTGCATGATGGAAAGGTTGACACTCAAAAGCACATTTACTACAACCAGCCATGCAAGTTTAAAAAACAAACAAACAGAAACAAAAACCACCAAACTACCCGAATTCAAACACAATCTGCTACCTCGAAGTGAGCAAAAGTCATCATCAGAAGAAAACACAGCAACAGACCACCAGAGAAAGGGAAGAGAGCGTTCTCTGGTTAGTTCGGCGGTTGATTCTCGCTCAAGCTGTTCCAAGTGAGAAAGCCATACCGTCAAACAGTAAGTACCACGTGCATACACGACAGTATCAGCATCAGAGAAAGGGGACCCATACTTGAGCGAGTCAAGTGCAGAATTCTGGCTGCGTGCTGCTGCCATCACTCGCTGTCCTGCTTCGCTCATTTCGTTATACCACAAACTGTTTACATGCGAGTGAGCAAAAGCACTGCAGAGCAGCAGAAAAAACACATTCATTGTTGATCTCAATCTGGTTTTATACCTGAGCACTTTGAGCGTGGTATTCCGCAGGAGCGCTTCTGCCAACCTTTCGGCGCCAGCATCGCCAATATGATTCTTTCCGAGACTGTGTACAATGCAGTGAGTAACATGCAGCTTGTTTAATGACCAGTGCGACACGAAATAGCAGAAAAGCGAGAGGAACATACTCGAGAGTCGTCAGTGTTGTGTTCTGCGAAATCACTGCCGCCATCGCATTTGCACCACTATCGCGAATAGAATTGCGGGACAGGCTGCTCTCAAAAGGTAAGTGTAAGTATCGTTGCTCATCAAGCGACATGCTCAGCATGCAAGGTAGCAAGCGAACGAAAACCTACTCGAATGAAGTCAATCCCACGTTTTGCTTCAGTTCCTCCGCCAGCGCCTGAGCTCCTGCACTGCCAATCCAACATTCGTACAGGCTGCTCAACGTGTGAGTATCATCAACGCAGTGCGTCAAAAGGGCGCAATAAGCAAGGGCAGAAATAGCCATTTCGTACTTTAGAGTGGTCAGTGTCGTGTTCACCCTGAGTGCCTTGGAAATCGCTTCCGCTCCTGCATCTCCGAGCTGAGTGGAACTCAGACTAGAATCGTGTCGTGATTGAACAAACCCCCGACATGGTCGAGCTGCGATTAGTTGACGACTCCAAGAACGACAATAATCAGCAAGCCAGCGCGATGGAAAGACAACATACTTGAGTATAGTGAGCTTGGTGTTTTGCATCAGCGCTTCTGCAATCGCTTGGGCTCCAATCGGGCCAACCTGACTGGAACGCAGACTGTTGTCACGGTGAGCGCTGATGTGCTCCCACCAAAACTGAATCCGATCGACCACGGACGCCACGGATGCCACCCCGCCACCCCACCACCCCTCCTCCCTCAGAACAAAGAACATCAGCGCGAAAGAAGCAAACAAACTTGAGCTCGGTCATCCAAGAGTTCTGCTTGAGTGATGTTGCAAGCACTTGCGCTCCAAAGTCGTCAAGGCCAAAGCGAATCCTAAACAGTGTCGTGAACAACAATCAATGTGAGTTGCAATGAAAGTCACAACACCAACCGAACACGAGAACTTACTCAAGCTTGCTTGGCTTGATCAAACTCAGAACCTCTTGAATCACTTGCACTCCAGCAGAGTCAACAATGTTCTCACGCAAGCTGTCCGCATAAACTGAGTTACTTATATCCATCGAAAGAAGCATCACATGCGTCGTCGTCATAGAAGGGGGAACAACAGGAGAAGGGAGAAGGAACATACAAAAGCCTGGAAACCCGCGACAGGGCTTTTTCGAGTCCAAATCCATGCGGATTACGCACCTGCGGCAGCAGACTGTGACCACACGGTGACAAGTTGCGTGAGCGACCACCTCTGGCCACTTCAGAGTGAATGTCAACTGCAGGACAACATACCGCTCTGTGGTCAATGGTTCTGACATTTCACGCTCGAATTCAGGGTCATAGCGCTTCATGTCGCGCAACCTGGAATCACGCCGTGAGTAATCGCATCAGAAAGAATCATTTTATGCGCACACGTGAGATTTTGACCGGCACGAGGGATTGCAACCTACTTGAACGTGGTCAGCGTCGTGTTGTGCTTGAGTGCGGCTGCGATCATTTGCACTCCTGAGTCAACAAAGCGAGCCGTCACCCTGTGATGCCATCACGGTGAAGAAAACAAACAACCAAACAAGAAAACGAACCATGAATCATCAATTAGCACTTGCTATCGCTTTCGGAGCATCAAACGACACACAATGAAAGGTGACCGTACTCGAGGGTGGTGAGCTTGGCGTTTTGCTTCAGCACAGTGGCAATCGAGTGCGCTCCAGCTTTGCCAAGCACGCCGTTCCCTAGTCTAATCCCAGAAACAGTGTCAGTTTCAGTGAATCAAGCATCGAGGCATATCGGCGTGCGACTTGGTATATACTTGAGCGAGGTTAGAGTCGTGTTCTGAACAAGTGCGGGTGCAATTGCCTGCGTCTCAGCATCGCCAATGGAATTGCCATCCAACCTGCTCCCACATAACAAGCAAAGTGATTACAGTGAGGCATGACACCAATCACCGCGGAAGATTGAACATACTCGAGCGTGGTCAGCGCAGCGTTCATTTTGAGCGCCTCGGCAATAGGTTTCACACCAGCAGTGCCAATGGCATTGTTATTCAGACTGCAACCACGTGCTAAGTAAGAATACCAACAAGCAGGTCGTCCGCCTTCAGGTGTGACATCAATCAGCAAACAAAGAACGTACCGCAGCGTAGTCAGAGTTCTATTCTGCTTCAGGGCCTCGGCAATCGCATGCGCTCCAACGGCGCCGATAGGGTTGAAGGCAATCAAACCACGATCATTGGAAGATAAACTGATTGAGCAATGCGGTGAGCAATAGAACGATCAAGGAGCAGCGAGTGTTTGGGAGTGACAGAAAGGTGTTCGAAACCCTTACTCGAGTGTCGTCAGCGTGGTGTTCTGCTTGAGTGCTTCGGCAATCTCGCGCACTTTAAAACAAAGTTGACTGCAACTCAGACTGTTGGCTGATCGTGAGTAAAAGCAGCAACAACCAGTTCCACAACAACAGGAGCATAGAACGTACTCGAGAGTGGTCAAACTTGTGTTCGACTTCAGCATTTCGGCAATGTTGTTGGCTCCAACATCGTCAATCGGATTCATTGAAAGACTGCGTTTTCAAGTGGTAAGAAAATGAATCACCAGAATATAGCTTCGCTCTCTTCCAGACAAGAATAGCCAACAGCATCGCTACCAAACGTACTTGAGCGTGGTCAACGTGTTGTTCTGCGTGAGTGCTCCACTGATCGCTTGGAGTCCAGCAGTGCCAATCCTGCAATCATTGAGTCTTGATTACCATCAAGGTTAATCTTTGGCCTTTGCAGACAAGAAATGGACCAATGTGCGGCTGAAAAACATACTGCAGAGTGGTAAGCGTCTTGTTCTGCCGAAGAGCATCCGCAATGGCCTGCGCGCCGGCATCACCAAACCAACTTTCACCCAGACTGTGCTCAAGCAGTGAGAATTCCAAAGCACTCTGATAATCAAGAGTGATAGCGTCGAACCGGCAAAACATAATGCAAACATACTCGAGTGTGGTCAGTGTGGTGTTGCTCTTGAGTGCTGCAGCAATCGCCTGCGCGTCGGCTAATTCCAGGAAGTTACGCGCAAGCCTACTCCCAAAAAGTGAGTCATACCATCGAAAGCGAATGCATACCGCCATAAAGCACGGCATGCATCAACACAAAGAGGGCAGCTCTTACAAGAGTGTCGTGAGCGACGTGTTTTGTACAAGCGCTTCTGCAATTGCTTGAAATCCAACGCCTTTTAATCCATTTTGGCTCAGGCTACCAGCAACATGTGAGCACGCGGTATTCGGCAGCCGCGATTGCCTCCGTCCCCTCGCACAAAAATGAGCAAAGAACGACATAATAAAAGATAGGAGCTCGCACGTACTCGAGCTCAGTCAGCGTCGTGTTCACTTGGAGCATCCGTGGTATCGCCGCCTGCGCACCTGAGCCGCTGGAATTGTTTTTCAAGCTGCGAGCATTACAGTCAGCGATATGACGAATGATCCATCGCTTGCAGTTACAAAAACATGAATTCAGTCAAAATGAGAACGGAGGATCATACTTGAGGGAGGTCAACGTAGTGTTCTTCTCGAGCGCGTGAACAATCGCTTCAACTCCAGCATCTTCAATCGAACACCAGTACATGCTGTGGCAATTGATGTCAGCGAGGGCATAACAACGCAGCAGTGGAACCCAAGGCCACAACATCCATCCGGCGGAACGTACGAAAGCGTGGTCAACGTCTTGTTGCACACCAGAGCATCAGCGATCGCACGTGCTCCAGCTTCGCCAATATCATTGTTATTCAAACTATTTGAATGAAGTGAGCAACACACATCACTGCTCTTCTCGCATGACCTCAAGCAATGATTCAGCATGAGAATGGCACTGACACAAGCGTAGTCAATGCGAAGTTGGTCTTGAGTGCCTCTCCGATCGCTTGCGCTCCAGCGCTGCCAATGTCGTTGCAGATCAAGCTGGTGACCATGCAATGAGAATAAATAATCCAATATACGATTCAACTTATCAGCGAACAAACAACTAGCTGACGAGAAAGAGAGTGGTGGAATCCTTACCGGAGCGCAGTCAAAGTGGTGTTTTGTTTCAGCACTTTTCCGATCGCTTGAGCTCCAAAGTCTCCAATTCGAGGACCATACAACCTGACCCAACATACAGACATGGTTAGATTGATGTTCGCAATCAGACGCGGTAGTGGTCAGCATGAGAGGGAAGAAGCATACACGAGCGTGGACAGGGTCGAGTTTTGCTTCAGGATGGCGGCAATCGGGTTTGATTCTGCCGAGTCGAATTTACCCGAGTGTAAACTGTTACCACACAATGAGCGACGCCATCGAAACAAATGGAGCGTTTGCAATGGCAAACTAGAATGCAATCAAAGTGCGAAAGCGGTGCGTACTAGAGCGTGGTCAACGTGGCGTTTTGCGTCAGTGCTTTTGCCATCGATCGCGCTCCATTGGCATCGAGGTAACCCCTGTCGTCACACGGTGAGCCAATTACCTCACATAAGCAACACGGGCAAATGGTGCAACAACAACTTACGAGAGTTCAGTCAGTGTGGTGCTTTGCGTCAGTGCATCAGCAATCACTGCGTCAATGTAATTTCTAGTCCTGTTATCATAAAGCAAGGTAGTGAGCGAGGGGGACATTGTACAGCTGCCATGACCATGGCATCGGCAAATGGATCCAGCTTTACATACCGGAGTGTCGTCAGCGTTTTGTTCTGCACTAACGCTGCCGCAATCGGCTGCATTCTAGCATTCTTGAAGTCAATCACACAGTCGCCCAAGCTGATACCATACGGTGAGTCAAGGCATCAAACAAACATGGAGTTAGCAGAAGCCGACAAGTACATACTCGAGCGTAGTCAGTGTGGTGTTTTGCAGGAGTGCTTCACCGATCGCTTCCTCCCTGCTGAGCTTCTTGCTGTCCTGGTTGTCGTCGCCGTCGCCAGCAGTGTCGTCGTCGCAGTCCTCGTAGTCGCCGTCGTCAGCATCCGTTTGACGAGCCTTCTTCTTGTTCTTCTTGGATGTTGAGGTGTTCTCCCCGGCCATTTCAGCAGCCCGACGCTTGCTGCGGATGGTCGTGGGGACGCCACTACTGGAAGTTGAACTCGTCTTGCCAGTACGCGCAACTGCAACCTGAATGGGTTTGCGAGCACGAAGATGGTAGCTCACAGTCTGAGATCCTTGGTTGGTTGGTGCAGTGGCCTTCTTCTGAGCGGTCTGGCGTTATGTGAAAAATCAAACAGTAGGAATCACAAACGAAGCGAACAAGATGTCAGCGACGAGTTAGTGGAGTGGCATTACGTCTCACAACTCTTGGGCAGGCGGCACCTTGCTCAGCGGCTCTGAGATTGAAGAGGCAGGGACAGGTGCGGCTGCCTTGCTGGTCCTGCCTCGCGGAGCAGCAATAGTAGTAGTAACCACTTGTACTGCTGGTGTAGCAGCAGTGGCAGCAGCAGCAGCATTGGCAGCACGGGCAGCAGCTCGCTTGGGTTTGGGTGGATCGACCTCCATTGGCGTGACCACACGATCGTCCTCCGCTGCGTCGGTGCTACCGAGGCTGCCGCTGGTCTTTGGCTTGGTGGCTCTTGTAGCGCGCATGGGAGTAGGAGTGGGAGCAGGAGCAGCCGAGGGTACCGCCTTCTTAATCATTTAGGAAACAAAAAGTTCAAAACAAAACAAAAAAAAAAACCCCCCAAAAAACCAAACCAAAACAAAAGACTGAGATGTGATACAAAACAAGACAAAGGAAAACTAAGAGAGGATACACACTTTGCTTATGTTCATGCCTCAAAAGCCAGTTATTCGTGGCAGCATTGGCACCATCTCTCTCTCTCTCTCTCTCTCTCTCTCTCTCTCTCTCTCTCTCTCTCTCTCTCTCTCTCTCTCTCTCTCTCTCTCTCTCTCTCTCTCTCTCTCTCTCTCTCTCTCTCTCTCTCTCTCTCTCTCTCTCTCTGTCTCTCTCTCTCTCTCTCTCTCTCTCTCTCTGACATCCTTGCCGTCGCCTTTCTACTTGATACTGTAGATTTGCATTAAGTTTACTCAGTCTCACAAATCCCAGTCTTTCTTTGCATTTTTTTCTTTCTTCTTCTATATTTTGATCTTTGTCCCCCCCCCCCAAGGCCCCTTGTCAGTTCCATCCGTCAGCAGCAATGGGCAAGGAGAACGCGGCTGGAGTGTCGTCCACCAGTTCTTCGTCCTCAGCCTCAGCAGCAGCAGCAGCAGCAGCAGCAGCGGCCCCCGTGTCGACTGCCGCATCGCCCGCCTTTGCCACAACGCCCGCCCAGCTCGATGATCTCCGCCGCCGCGCTTCCGCGAGCGATGCGCATCCCGACTCGACCAGCGACGCGATCGAAGCCCAGTTCCAGCTCGGCCTCGCGCTGCTCCAGCTCGCCCAGCCCGCCGTCCCGCCCGCCGCCCCACCAGCGCAGCCATCCACATCCACATCCACATCCACACCATCGTCGTCTAGCACCGCTGGCAAAGTGATGCCCGACCACCCGCAGGCGTTGATCTGGCTTCGTCGTGCAGCAGAGCGCAAACACGCAGGCGCTGCGCTCCAGCTCGGGTAAATCACCGCCCCCCTTCTTCCCCCCGCCCTGCCCCTGCCCCTTCTCTCTCCATTCACACACAGTGTCCATTCTATCACTCTGATTGAAGCCATCACTCTGTGAGCGGCTTCGTTTCAAGCTGATCTCAAAAATCCAACCAAACGCGTCTTTTTTTTTTTTTTTTTTTTTTTTTTTTTTTTTTGACGCATGTGCTTTTGCTCCACACAAACACAGCTCAACTTTTCAAATCTCAACTTGGTTTTCTTTGCATCAAACCGACCGTTTTGTTCTTGAATCTGACTCTGCGCTTTGTTCCGTTGTTTGTTTCGCAGGTTGCTGCACGAGTATGGCGCGGCAGGCGCACCGAAGAGCGACCAGGAAGCCGCCGCTTGGTACCAGCGAGCGCAGTCCATGAAGCAATTTGGCACGGTGCAGCACACATCCGAGGCTGCAAGGCGTTATGCAAGCCTGTGCCTGGTCGGCCGCGGGGTCAAGCAGAGCGTCACAGACGCCATCGCTTGGCTCAGGTAACAAACCCAAAGCCACTCACACTCACTTTGTAGCTCAGTTGACTCACTCTCGCTCTCTCGCTCTCTCTCCACCATCTACAGAATTGCGGCAGAAGCCAATAACAAGTTTGCTCAGTTGGACTTGGCACTGGTGCTGTCGCGGGAATCGCCGCTTGTCGACCGCGACGGCACAAAGTCAAACCCTCGCGACGAACTCGAAGCGTCCAAATGGCTGCACCAGGCCGCGCTCAACGGGCTGACGGACGCCCAGTACATGCTGGCAGAGTTTTACTTTGCCGGACGTGGTGTCAAGAAGGACGTACCCGAGGCTCTGCGCCGACTGAAGGTGGCGGCAGCTCGGGGTCACAACCCCGCGCGCGTTCGGCTTGGCGCGCTCTACGACAAGGGCGAGTCGGGCGTGCTGCGAGATCGCGCAGAAGCCTTCAAGTGGTACATGCAGGCGGCCGAGGCCGGCGACGCCGTGGGCGAGTACGCAGTGGCGGGATTTTACAAGAAGGGCATTCACGTCGCCTTGAACGACCCGGAGTCTGTCAAGTGGCTCATTCGCAGCGCCGAGCACGGGTGTTCGGACGCACAGGTTGCGCTCGGATCCCGCTACATGGATGGCAAGGGCGTTGGGCAAGACCGCAAGGCCGCCGTGCACTGGTTTCGAAAATCGTCCGAGCAGCTCAACCGCTCTGGCCAGTTCTGGATGGCCAACATTTTCGCCAACGGTCGGGGGCTCACCAAGAACGACAAGGAAGCCTTCAAGTATTACAAGATGGCCGCAGAGCAAGGCCTCGCCGCCGCGCAATACACCCTCGGTCACATGTACACCAAGGGACGCGGTGTCGCGGCGAGCCAAGCTGAGGCGAACAAGTGGTTCCGACGGGCAGCCGATCAAGGCAACCTGCACGCCAAAGCCGCGCTCGAGTCCACGGCGGCCGAAGAGATTGAGATGGTTCCGCAGGAGGACGAAGACGACGAGCTCAGCCAAGTGGCCGTGTCGTCGCAAAAGTTTGCGTCCAGAATGGGCTCGGCTGCTGTTGATTCGAGCGCCGGAGGCTTTCCGTCCTCCACGAGCGGAGGGGTGAGCACTGGCTCTGGCGGGGCATGGAGTCAAGGAGCGGGCGGTTCCTTCGATGGGGACGCTGCTCCTGGAACCGAAGGCGCTGCAGCAACAGCAGCAGCAGCAGCAGCAGTCGCAGCAGCAGTGGAAGCGTTATCAGCGTCAGGAGGCGCTGCTGTTGCTTCCTCAGCCATCCCGTCCGCGACTCCCGTCCCTGGCGTCACGTTCGGCCATATGGAGGCCGTGGTGCAACAGCTGCACGCGTCGGATCTCCATGCCAAGCAGCTTGCCGTTCAGCTCGACGCTGCCAATCGACTGTTTGCCGAGTTTGAGACCCGATACCGAACTCTTGAAGTGCAAATAGCGACTGTGCACCAGCAGCTGCAGGCCCAAACGCAGCAGGCGCTCCAGGCTGAAAATCGCGCGCTGGTGGCAGAGCAGCAGCTTGCGACTCTGCGACCAATGTACGAGGAGGAGACCACACGTCGGAGCCAGCTGGAGCAAGCAGTGACGACTCTGATGCAGCAAATCCAACACCAACAACAGCAGCAGCAACAGCAGCAACAGCAAGCTAATTCTCCCCATGCAACAACGGGCGCTTCGTCCCAGCAGCAGCGTGTTGTTCCAGTCGAATTTCCTTTCGAGATGCTCTCGAACGCCACTTCTGGCTTTGCGCCTGAGCAGAAACTCGGCCAGGGCAGCTTTGGCGAAGTGTACCGGGGTGCCATTCAGAACAAGCGTGTGGCTGTCAAGCGTCTTGTGGATATGACGCGTTCGTTCGAGGCCTTGCAGGCTGATCTCACCCTTGCCGCCAAGCTCCGTCACGCCAATCTCGTTCTTTTCGTTGGGTTTGCCCGTCCCGCAGTCCCGACTCCAAACTGCACACTTTGCATTGTATACGAGCCTGTGATCAACGGAAGCTTGCGCGATCGCCTTGATCGCACGTCGCTCGACTTTCCCGCGCTGTCCTGGGAGTTGCGTCGCTCAGTTGCCTTGGGCGTGGCAAACGGCATGTACTTTTTGCAGTCTGCATTGCCAAGCGAGCCCGTCTTCCACCTGGGACTCAAGTCGACCAATGTGCTGCTGGATGCGAGCTTTGTCCCGAAAATTTCAGACACTGGCTTTGCTCGAACCCCCAGCCACCAACTCTCGCCGTTCATGTGCCCTGAATACAACCAAACTGGCTACGTCTCGACACGCACGGATGTCTACTCGTTCGGCATTCTGCTACTCGAGCTCGTGACGGGCAAGGTGACGGTCGACCAAACACAGCGCGACAGCGCCAAACTGTGCTGGCGTCGTCAACGCTCGTCGCTCGAGGCGCTTGTCGATGCACAAATCACCACCGCCCCCGGCTGGGGTCCAGAAAGGCTGACTGACGTGAACGAACTGGCCGCTCTCGCCATGCAGTGCGTGGAGGATTTCCATGCCGACCGACCGACATTTGCGGCAGCTATTGCCCGCCTCGGCGGCGGCACAGTGCCCGAGCGGTATCCCGCGACTGGCGACACAGAGTGCGTTGTATGCTTCCAAAACCCCATCTCGCGCAAGGTTCTCCCATGCATGCATGCCGCATACTGTGCACGCTGCGCCGACGTCAACATGCTCAAGGCCTGCCGCGTCTGCCACACACGCGTCGAGCATGTTGCACCCGTGTCGTTCTGATGCACATACCGAGGTTCAAGAGGAAGTAGAGAACGGTGTACGGGTGAAGGGTGCCGATGTATTTTGCATTTTGGCGCCGAAAAGTGATGAACAAACATTTGTAAAAAAAAAACACGACCGCTATTGCAAATGATACAAACAACGCCAATTCAGATGAGGGGTATTGGTAATTAAAAAAACAAAAATCAAAGGGCAGTTGCTTAGTCCTGTTTGCTGGGTTTGCCAGCAGCAGTGGTCGCAGCGGCGTCTGTTGGTGCAGGAGTGGCACCGATCGATGCAGCTGCAGCGGCTTGCTGAGTCGCGTCGTCGCCGCCTCCCATTACCAGCATGGCAACAAACATGATGGGGAGAACACAAACGGCAAAGAACATGACCGGGTGGTCATTGTACAGATTCTGCAAGAAAATCAGCAGCAGCAGTAGCAGCAAGCCCAAACAAAAGAGTAAGAACAAGCGCAATCCCAGGGAGAGAAAAAACAAAACAAAACCAAACGCCTTCTTTCCATCCACAAATCAGCCATCAGACTGGCCTTACACCAAACACTGAAAGAGCAGCCTTGCCAATCTTGCGACCACGCTCCAACAAGCCATTGCCGCCGAGAGGCTATCGCATCAAATGATACGCCAAAGTCAGACAGTCCTCAAGCACAAAACAAAACAAAAAAAAAACAAACAACCAACCAACTCTCAAGCACAAAACAACAAACAAACAAACAAAAAACCGAAAAAAACCCAGCAAGGCCACACTCACGGGAATGCGGTTTGCACGAACATCCTGGACAAACTGGAGAATACCCTGCTTGGTGTCGGTGGGGGTGCCGGCAGGAGCGCGCCAGAATTGGGCCGTGTCGGGGTTCCAGACGAGAATAAGGGGCAAATCCTTGTCGGGGTTGACGTCAAAGCTGTCGCTCACAAAGCGGTTGAACAGTTTGGCGTTCATCCAGACAAACTGCGTATAGGGCTTGGAACCGTCAGCCTCGGACGAGGCGAGCGCCGCCTGACGGGCTTGGGCGAGCAACTTTTTCGAAGGGCCGGACATTTCGTTGATGGTACCTGCTTGCTTCATTGCTCCATTCACGAGAACGATCGTCAGCGGCTTGCCTTCGGTGGTCAGCGTCGGATAGGTGGCCTTTTTGTTGTTTGTTGATGCAAAACAACAACAGCAAGTGGAGTGAGCATCTCATCCCCCAAACAACACATGCCATCACGCCGACGCTTACCGAACTCAACTCGGCCATGGCAGGGAAGCGATTGGACGACACAAAGAGCTCAAACCGCTCCTGGTCGTCCAGGTTGATTTTGTCGGCATCAAACACCGAGGCTTTGCCGTCTTTGAGGACTGCGAGGAACGAGCCGGGAAACTTGCTGGCGAGATCGGCCTGTGAAAGCGTGGCAGCGTACTCTGCGAAGGCTGCTCGTGTCGCAACAGCGAATGCGACCTGTGTTTGCAGCGTCTTGGCCGTGTGGAGGAAGACTCGCTCGACATCCTCCTGCTCGCACGGGTTGTGGTCGACCAGGACAAAGACGGCCTCTGCGCCGTTTGCCAAGACGGTGATTGCCGCGCCGTTCAGCACCTGAGCAATCGAGGGCAGCGACACGCGTTCGGCAAACTCGAGAATCCCGTCGACAGTGCGCGCAGCACGGAAATCCGAGACGTACTGGCCAGCGCTAAAGTGCTTGATGGTCGGGTAGCCGCGGATGCCAAAGCGCTCGCCGAGCGCCGCCTGGGCAGTGCAGTCGACCTTGCCCAGCCGCATCATCTGGCCGCCTGCAGCAGCATTAGCGGGCTTGTTGCTTGAGGGCGTCGTCGTCCAGAGCTCAGAGTCGCAGGAAAAGGCCGGCTTGGCGACCGACTCCTGGGACTTGGCGTTCGCTGCAGCCGCCGCGGCCACGCCAGCCATGTGCGACGGGAGCTGGGCAGCAGCCTGGATCCAGACGGGCGCGAGCGACTTGCAGTGGCCGCACCACGGCGCAGTGAACGAGATAATCCAGTCGCCCTCGCTGGTGAGCTCGTCAAAGTTGGCCTCGGTCAGCTCCACCGGCGAGTGGGCAGCCGCAAGCTGCATCATCATGGGTGCAGCAACGAGCGCCATGGCCAGCAGCAGTGCCAGTGGCAGCGATGGCGATTGGCGCAATGCAACCATTGTCGATAGAAAGTGAGAAAGAAAAGAGTGCGGCCGACCAAGACCTCGTAGAATCTCAGAAACTGTGGCAATCTATTGGCCATTGTTCTCCAAATGCAATAAACCTTCCCCTCTATGAAAACGCGCGAGGCAACAAAAAAGCCTCACCAACTCGCAGAGTCAAAGCCAAGCCAAAACGCAAAGCCACTCAATGCAATGCTCAACACTCGCTGAATTCACGTCGTCTTGATGGTCACTCCTGTTTTGTTTTTGTTTGTCTCTCGTTGTTCATTTTTGCAACCATGGTGAGTTTGGTGCTTTCCATTGCAATTGAATGGATTGAATGGTCGTGAAACCAATAGGGTTTTGCATTGGAGTGCACTCACACACAACCACTGCCCGTCTGTGTCCTCTTGCTTTGCAGATGCGCATTACGAACAACGTGGACACCAAGCACGAGGACATCATCCACGACGTCGCGTACGACTTTTACGGCAAGCGGATGGCGACGTGCTCGAGTGACCACCGCGTCAAGGCAAGTCCAGCAAGGAGCCGTCTGGCATTGGGGACGGGGATGGGGTTTGCTGGGCTCTCAGGTTTTCAACTCGGTGCCACTGGTTGGGGGGGGGGGGTTGGGAGCTCGACAGGGGGAAGAGCCGGGGGGTGGAAGAGCAGAGCATTGAGATCTCAATGCTAAATCCATACAAACGACCCTCAAGCAGTTCCGAAACCGAAAACACTGACTCGACGTCGCCGTTGGTGTTGGATGTCTTGTTTTTTGTTACGTTGTTAGATCTGGGACTTGGGCGACGACGGCAGCTGGAATTGCACTTACACGATCAACAAGGTAAAAACCGCTTTTGCTTTCTGAACCCTTCGCCCCACTGCGTCCACGGGTTGCTCATCGAGATCTGTGCTTTTCATCTGTACTTGACCAAAACAGGCACACAACGCGTCGGTCTGGAAGGTCGCATGGGCACACCCCGAATACGGCCAAGTCGTCGCGTCTTGCTCGTTCGATCGCACCGTCAACATTTACGAAGAGCAAGTAGAGGAGGATTCCAAGAAGGTGAGAGCAGCAGCAGCCCGTCCATTGAGCAACCGCACCGGGGGACCCAGTCGCTTAATGGACTAAAATGAGCGACTTTGCGATTCATTCTGACCTTTGCGTCACTGCTCTGTTGCGTTTTTCACAGCAAAGCACCTGGCTCCGCAAGGCCATGTTGGTTGACAGCCGAGACACTGTCAGGGATATCAAGTTTGCTCCCAAGCATGCTGGTTTGAAGTTGGTAGGTGCAGAAATTCCAGCGAGAACAAAAACAAAACAAGCCTTCACTTCTCCATCCACTCATCGCTGAATTCCCACACATCCCACAGGCCACTTGCTCAGCGGACGGCTACGTACGGATATACGAGGCAAACGATGTCATGAACCTGACATTCTGGCCTCTGATGGAGGAGTTTGAAGCACGCAAGGAAGGCTGCAATTGCATTTCATGGAATCCATCCAAGTATCACTCTCCCATGATTGCAGTCGGTAGCGACGATGTGCTCATCCGCGTGAGTAGCCATGCTTGAACTTTTTTTGTTGGTTTTTGCTCCTTTTTTTTTTTTTTTTTTGACTTTGGGGTTTGCTCAAATCATGGATGCATGTTCTTGTTTGACTGCCGTTGATGACAGATCTGGGAATACAACGAGACTGTGCGTCGTTGGCAATGCTTGGACACACAGATCGACCACAGCGCAGCAGTCTACGACGTTGCTTTTGCTCCCAACGTTGGCCGGTAAGATTGCTGCTTGATCACCCTGCGCAAGTCCCATGTTGTCTTTTCTCACTCGTCACCACAACCTCAATCTCACCATCTTTTGTATGCTGATCATAGATCATATCATCTTCTTGCGTCCTGCTCGAAAGACAAGACAGTCAAGATTTGGAAGCTCATCCCACCAGGCGCCGCGGGTCCTGGCGCCGATGTGGTTTCTTCTGGCAAGCTGACAGTGCAGCTTGCAGCCACCTTCAAGCATGATTCCGAGGTACAAAAAAAAAACAAGAGGAGTTTGCCGAATAGGGGATGTTTGGGGATATTGACAAGATGTGTATCTCACCTGGTCGTCCGCCAATGCAGGTTTGGCGCGTCGAATGGAACGTGACTGGTACCATTCTAGCTTCCTCGTCCGACGATGGCACCGTTCAATTGTACAAGCGTAAGCTGCTGCTTTACATGCTCTTGATTCAAAGCCTGCATACAAACCCACATTTCCCTCATTTGTACCCTTGGTTTTGTTTTGTCTGTTACAGTCGGAATGCAACCCGATGAATGGAGGCGCATCTCAGTGGTCAATGGCACACCGGTCGATTAAATTGGCGTTTCAGCTGGAATGGCTCCTTGATTGGTGCTCATGTTTTTGTTTTTCACTTCTGTTTCAATCTGCTGTGTCTGCGCTCGGCAATCTCAGCTGGATTGTCTTGTCTACATGTTAACGAAAAAACGAAATGCGAGAAACACGCGATTGCAATATCGAATGAGGCAGGTTGAAAGACCTCCTCCTCCAAAAGCGCAGACGCGGATGCGAAATCAAGCAGGCCGGAAACCCATGCTTTTGAGGAACAGATATTGAATGCAAGTAGTACAAATGGAGGGAGGAAAGGGGTCAAGACAAGGAACAAAAAAAGCACAATCAAACGATCAACACAATACAGCAAAACTAGTCGTGGAGGAATTGACATCCCCATCAGAAATGAATACACGTACAATGAAAAACCCAACAAGGGAAAGAAAAAATCAAACAATCAAAACATCAACAAAACTAGTCGTTGAGGAAATCCTCCAAATCGGCGTCCCAATCGGTGGCGGCAACAGCGCCCGCCGAGCCACCGACTGCACCACTGCTCGGGTTGTCTGTCAGTCCAGCAAGCACGTAATCAGTACCAACACAAATCTATCGTCAATCAAAACTCGTGCGACGCGCGCGGGGGCCTTTTACCAGCTTCGAGATCATCGTCCAAGTCCAAGGCCTCACGAAGTTCCTTTTCATACGCATCAAAATCCACGGTCGTGTTACTAGCGGCGGCTAGCGAGGACGAGTGGTTTGTCGGAGGAGTAGCCGGACTGGAAGTCGAGTTGGGAGTCACGCTCATGCTGGACATGACGCTCGAGCCTCCTGAAACAAGGGAGAAGGAAGACACGGACGAGGCCGACGACGATTGGACGGGACCGACCGTGTCCGATTCCGGCAGGGAGGATTTGCGGAGAGCTGGATCGGCGGCGGTGGTGGTTTCAAAGCCAGCGGCAAACTCCTTGGGCTCGCGAGGAGAGAACGAAGGGAGTGAGGTCATGGAGACCGCCGACGTGGTGGCAGGCAGAGCGGATGCATGAGCAGCACCAGCCGACGCATTGGTGCCATCCCCATGCGCAACGTTGGAGGCCACAGCGACAGCCTGGTTGATCTTGGCTGAGATTTTGCTCCGCAGCCCCTGCGCGAACGCCGAGATGGACGACGATGCCGAGGCTTGGGCCTGCTTGACTCGCGCGGCCGCTTGTTGAGAGACTGACGGTGCAGTCGCCGATGGCGCGTCCTTGGATGGCTCTGTGGCCTCTTGGGCTGCCGCATGCTCTGGTTCGGCTGTGTGCGCTGCTGCTGTTGCTGCTGCTGATGCTGCGGCCGCCGCGGCCAAAGCTGCCTCTGCTGCTGAAACGTGAGCCGTTTCGATACGCGCAGTCTCATCCACAATGGCACGGGTCTTCTCCAGCACATCCTTAGAGCTGGCCGAAATGGTTGGGGCACTCTTTTGGCCGGGAGCGTGCAGCGCTTCCGACACCAGTTCGCTCGAGCCGCCTGCCCGCTTCACCGCCAACTGTCGCAGGTAATTCCTCTGGCCATACGAGTCAATGTCGCTCTTGAGGGATCGGGCCATGGTCGCTTCGCGGTCGTCCTGCCAGCGCGCCACGGGATTGTTGTCCACATCAAAGTCGAGCCTCACAAGAGCAAAGTTGCTAGTTTTGAGCGATAGGCCAAACGCAAGGAGGCCGGCAATACCAACGTCGTTGGCAGACAGGTCGAGGCGCGCAAGCGTCTTGTTGTCCGCAAGCGCCTCCGCCAGGCCGACAGCGTCAGCGGGATTCATGGCCGTGGCGGCAAGACCCAGCTTGATGACGGTTTGGTTGACGCGGAGCGCATCGGCAAGCCGCGCAAGCCCCGCTGCACCCAGCGGGTTTGCACCCACATTGATGGTGTGGATGTGGCAGGTGGGGGCGGTCAGCAACTCAAACAGACGGTTGCCCGCCAAGCTGCCCAGGCCGCAATCCCAGAGCACAATGTTCTGCAGGTTGCTGGCAAGCGTCAAGCGCGTGCACAGCTGCCGGAGCCCTTCGTCGCGGAGCGGATTGGCGCGGAGGTCGAGATGCACGAGCGGGTGGCAGCCTCGCGCGGCTGGCCCTGATGATTCGGTCGAGGTGCTGCCGCCGGTCAGGATGGCATCTGCATCTTCAAAGAGGGACTGTGCAACAGCCTTGCCGTCTGCCGGAGTCGACCCAATCAGGGAGACGAGGTGGCGGACGTCGTTGCTGCCAATTTTGTTGGCGCCCACAAACAAGCGCTTGAGCGCAGGCGTGAAGGACAGCGCAATGCAGAGGGTGTCGAGCATGTCGCCCGAGATGCCCGTGCCAGTGACATTCAGCTCCTGCAGCGTCGTGTTACGTCGGAGCGAGCGTGCCAGGACGGTGACGCCCACTGCATCCATCGTGTTCTGAGAAATGTCGAGCGAGATCAGCGAGTCGTGCTTGAGCAGCAACTCGGCGAGCGCCGTGCATCCGCGGCCTTGGAGGGCTCGACTGGCGTTGCTTGCCAATGACAGCCGTGCAATGCGGCTTCGTGGACTGTACTGCAGCATTTCGCACAGCTGCACAACGCACGATTCGTCCAGGTTGCATTTGGCAAAGACCAGCTGACGGACGGTCGGAGCACCTGCCGCCCCCGCACTGCCCGCGCCGAGCTCGGCAGCAGAGCCCAGCAGTGCAGTTGCGATGGATGTCCGAGCGGACGACGGGGCCGAGGTGGAGGTGGAGGTCGTGGGGACGACGGCCGAGTCGAATACGCTCGAGTCATCGACAGCAGCAGCAGCAGCAGCAGCAGCAGCAGCACTGCCGTTGGAACCATCCGCGTGGCCATAGTTCACTGCTGGTGCTGGTGCTGGTGCTTGTGCTGCAGTGGTGGGCGCAATGCAGTCCTCCAGGCGGCGGAAGAGGTCTTCAAAGGCGCGTAATCCGGCCGAATCGACGCGCGTGCCTGGCGCGACCGTCAGCTGGACGACCGGCTTGCGCTCGCTGAGGCACTGGCGCAGGTGCGTTGTGATGGATGGCCATGGCGCAGTGTTCTGGGCGGCGCAGGACGACTCGTACACGTTCAGCGCCGCCTGCATGCTGGCAAAGTACTCGTCAGCTTCCGTCATTTTGTCTGTTTGCTTGTTTCCCCCTGTTTGCGAGTTCAGCGCGTCAACAATTTGGAACGAATGCGACTGATGTGATGGATGAAATGGATGAAAAGAAGGAATATGACGCTAGAAATCGCTAAAGAGGAGCTGTTGTTGCTGAGCTGTAAAATTTGTGAGCGGTTTTGCCGGAAAGCAAACAGCTGCGCGAGGCTTCTCAGAAGCGTATGAAAAAGAATCAAAAAATAGATACTGTACTGTATAGGAAATAACAACATATCGGGATTAGAATAGAAGGACTAACTGGTGAGAAGCGGGTCGAGCCGGATTCGCTTGTTTGGGTCGCCGCTGTCTGCAACGGCCGTGCGATCAGGCTCTGGCAGAGCGGTCGATGCGGACAAAGACTCTGTTGCTGCCGCAGAGCCATGATGTATACTCTCAGCTCCCAGATGCTCGACAGTAATGGTGAGCGTGGGAACGCTGGAGTGCGAAGGATGGGTGAGCGCAGAGAGCCTGCGTCGGTAACCAACACTTGAGCTGCCAGCAGGTGCAGTTCCCGTGGTTTCGCCCGAATATGAGACAGGAGCATCGTGAGAAGAACTGTCCGTAGCACCGGCGGCGACAGACAGAGAAGGACTTGAATACTGAGCGAACGCAGCGTCAGCGACAGCAGACCCGCTCGCATCGTCCGCAGCACCGCTATGCCGTCGCTTGGATGGGACGACGGGAGAAAGACCTGAATTAAGTGAGGAGGCAGAGGAGGAGGAGGACCAGGCTGGCAACCGCAACTCGAATGTACTGCTGCCGCCAGGCTGCGGAATCGGTGCGCTTGAAAGGGGTTCCATGCTGCTTGTGCTTCGCGCACTGGCAAATCCTGAAGAAGGGGCCAATGACGTGGCTGATAGTAAAGACGGCGGTCGCGCGCCACCCACGACACTCGGCCCTCCCGCCCCTCCCTCTGCCATGTCTTCCAACAAGCCGGACGGAATGCTGACGATCGGCAACCTCGCTTGCTGGCTCTCTGGAACGTAGCTGTCAAATGGGCCGGTCACGAATGCAAGAGTGTTAGAGGACAAAAAAAAAGTGCAGTAACAAAAAGACAATTCCAAGAGCAAAATTCATCCCAACCTGCGATACAACTCGAACGAGTTCCACAGCGTACGCAATTGCTGCCGAAGCGATGCGTTTTCCTCGTCCAACGAAGCATGCATGAGATCCAAGCACGTTGGCGCAGGTTCACTCGACGTACTGGCATCTCCCAGCCGCTGCGTGCGGCGCTCTTTTGCGCGTCGATTCCGAAACCACTGTTGAATCCTCTGCAAAAGTGCGGCAAGTAGCAAAGTGCAGAAACAGAGCCGCCAGAGTCAGTAATTCTAGACACACCCACAAAGCTCCTATACATCAACACACACACGCACCGCTTCCCTCCCCCCTCTCTTCTTGCTTACAGCGCGAGACTCGTCCATTTTCGCGGCGAGCGCCTCTTCGTCCGAGGGCTTTGGGAACTTGTTCTGATCGTAAAACGACTCGAGCAATTCCAACTGGTCGCTCAAAAAGTACCGTTTGTTTGTACTTGCCGTGCTTGTCGATGACGATGCTATTGAAACTGGAGGCCAAGGATGATCATACATCCAGCGTCGTCAGAATGAAACCAACGCAAACACGAGTCTGAATACTGCGAAATTTGGCCAGAATTGTGTCCACTACTAACGCTAGTATTGCCGCCACTGGCAGCCTGAGGTATGCCTGCGAGCATGGTTTGCGGTAGTTGTTGTTGCGGCTTGGTGTGCATCATTGGGATTGGGTGTGCATCATTGGGATTGGCTGCTGCAGTTGCTGCAGATGCATCAGCTTGTCCAACGCCGTAGTACCCTTGCGCAGCCATGAGCTGGGCAATCGACTCTTCGTCGTCGTCAGCGATGCTGAATGATGGCGCGCGTCGGAGGTCTCGGCCTGGTCTGTCCTTGCAGCCACAGCCACAGCCGCAGCCGCAGCCACAGCCGCAGTATGCTGGCTCTGTCCTTGTCCTGCAAATGCGACTGCCTGCTGCAGCAGCGGGTCGCGGTGGTGCTCGCCGTTGTCCATCGATTGGGTCGCTTGCTCGCCTGGGTGCAGCAGCTCCATTGGCCACCGATGCGTTTGCCTCCCTTCTTCAAGTCGTCGCTCGAGCGGTTTCGCCAAGTTGTAGTAGTATACAGTCTAACAACAAAGGGGTCGCCTGTTCCTCCCCCCCCACTTTCAAGCGGAACAGCAAGAGTGAGAAAGCAACGTTGTTCGCTCAGAATCAGGATTGAAAAAAGACTGAGATTCAATGCTACAACTGCAAGTCTGAGAATGTCGACCAAAGTGCCTATGCGTCACAGTCGCAAGCCTGAGATTTTCTCTTCTCAATCAAAGTCACCATGCATGCATGTCTGTGTCATGTTCAGTCGTCCTTTCCACCATGTCGGCGGCAGATGTTGTCGTACCAGCACTCAAAGCCGCGTGCACGGTGCGCCATCCATCCCGTCCCCCCCCCACTGATGATTACCAAAAAGCTGAATGTTGCCGAGTAGACTAATAAAGGACCTGCTCGGTCGCACGGCGTCGCTCATCGGCCATGTTCTGCTTGCTCGTTTGACAGGTCTTCATCATGGCGGGAACGGGCGTCTACCTCGCCAGGCGCGGCGTCATGAACGAGCGCGTCGTCAAGGGCATTGGCGAAATGGTCGTCCACGCTCTCATGCCCTGCATGCTATTTGCCAAGGTGAGGGCGTCCGTCGTGCGGTTTGAGGTGGCGGGGGGGGTATGCGGGGAGCCGGCACAAAGCGATGCGTGTTGGCGCCAAAATCCGACGCCACGTCACACACACACGCTCCTCCTTGCTGGATTGGAAGCGTTGCTTGGTTTGGATGAACAGTTGAAACTCAATCGTTGCCGTATGGTCTTCCCATCAGGTTGTTCCGAACGTCTCGGTGGACACGCTCGACCACCTGTGGCCACTGCTTGTTTACGCGATCATCCTCGCTGCAGTCGGAATGGTAAGCGTGCCGCCAATTATTGTTGCGAGGAGTCCATGTTGGTGATCAGGTTTTGGTTGTCTGCGGGCAATGGTCGCATGGGAGAGGGAAGGGGGGGCGTTTTGGACCAAAGCGAGTGGGTGGAACGCGTGACACAGCCCCGCACGCATTTGCTCAGACAAGCTCTCAAACGTTACAAATTGCAAAGCATGATGGCTCCACACATCACTCTCGCCAGTCAGCGGATTTGCTTTTTTTTTTTCAACACTCCCATCAACTTCCCTCACTCTCCCACTCGGGCTTTGTGTCACGTCACGCCTTAGGGATTGGGCGCTATCGCTCACAAGATTGTTCGCGCAAGCCCAATCATGCGCAACTTTATGATGGCCACGATCGGATTTGCGAATGCCACATCCATTCCGCTCGCTCTGTTCTACTCGGTGGCCGAGAACGCGGACGCCTTGCAAATAAACCCACACGATACCGCAGAGGACATTCAAGCTCGAGGGTCGTCGTATATTTTGATTTACACTATTATGACGACGCTCATGCGATGGACGGTGGCCGACCAGCTGCTCACACCGCCCGACGACTGGGACCCGCTTTCGTACCGCCGATTGCCGGACGAGTCCGTGCTAGCGACCGACGATGTACCGCCACCCTATCCAAGCTTTTCAGAGACAGCAAGTACGTCACTGCACCCTACCGCATCTCGACCCGATGCTGCTGGGGAGAATATTGCAATGACGGTACTTCCACGTCGACTCTCGCTTGACGGAGAGGACGACCTGGATGGCACCGACATGACATCAGTTCCCGTTGAAGCGAGCGATTCCTCGCATGCCAATTATTATCCGCCCTACTCTTCGCCAGAAGTAGCCATTCTGGCGGCTGGCGATGCGGCCGACTCGCCACCACAAAGGAATACAGAACCAGGGGGAATAGCGTCGTCCCGAAAGTCTCCAATGACCATGCTCCAGCGCATCCGCAAGTCTCTCAACCCGCCCATTTATGCAGCCATCGTCTCCGTCATCATTGGCATGATTTCACCAATTCGCGAGCTCTTCTTCCCGGCCTTGGGCAGTAGCTCATCCGCGCCGCTCAACTTTATCACCGATGCGGTTCATACAATTTCGAACGCGGTCGTTCCCCTCACCACCATGATGCTTGGCGCGGAGCTTTCTTCCGGGCCAATGCCCTTGAGTAGCTTGAGGAGTACCACGCTGACCTACAGTTCCGCAGTCGCGCTCGTTGTCGCCAAGTTGTTCATCATGCCTGTGCTCGGCACTCTCATCACGCTTGGCGCACATGCCGCATCCATCATTCCCGATGATCCCGCCTTCCGCTTTGTCATGATGCTCGAGTCGTGCGCGCCGTCGGCCATCAACTTGATTGTGATGTGCTCGTTGCACTCCTTCCTCGACAAGGAACTGTCCACCATTCTGTTCTACATGTACATTCTGTCCGCGTTCACCATGACCGGGTGCATCATGGTGTTTTTGACACTGTTGTGATGGGGGGGGGGAAGGTGGATGTTTTGATTGGCTTCTGTTTTGCATTGTTGCATGTTGTTCCCGCTTCCTGTGGGGGCTGTAAATCCGTGCCTACCATCATAGGCACTAAACAAAATTCCATAATGTTCGGAAAACACGGAAGTCAGTACTATGTCGAGGGCTGTTTTATCGATTGGAAACGGCTGAGGGTCGAACGAGAGGGTTTTTTTTTTTTTCAACAAACAAAACCAATTACAAAAACAAGCTAGCTGTTCATCACAATCCGTTTCTGGCAGCTCAATGCTCCTGTAATGTATATCTACTGTTTCCACTCTTCGAGAGGAACACGAGCAAATGAACCAATCGTGGCTCCGATAGTCCAAAAACTACTGCTAGAAAGCTCCGAGATAAAGAGATTCGATTAGCGAAATTCCGAAAGATTTGCTGGGTAGAACTTGAACTTGCCAACCCTTGCGCAGTTGTCGGATGAAGGGATGACTGGCTGGCCGGATTGTCACGAGATTGAGGTTGGAATCGACAAAAGTGGCGTTTGCAGCGCATTCATATCGAACAACCCCTCCCTTATCGCGGACTACCAAATCAAAAGTCTTGCCATTGGTGCTGTAAGGAGGATCCAACCAGTGCTTCTCGTCCCGAAGCACCTGAATGGCTTTCACACGGACTGAATTTCCAGCGATGCCCTGAGGGACTGTGACTGTTAGAGCGCCATTGGTGGTCCCGTCATGAAAGTGCGATCGTTTGGTGTGCTGCACGCCTTGCCAGTAACAGGCTTCGTCCATAATTCGTTCAGCAAGCTCGACTGGAAGTGCAGGTAGAGCAGCGGGCTGATCCTGCAGCTCTGGTCCGCTGACCAGCCAGTGAAACACTGTCTGAAGGTCTTTCGCAGTCGCTAATCGGGGAAGTAAGGAGAATGCGAGAGGGTTGATCTGGTTGTCGATGCTGTGTAAGGAACAACCAAGAAAAATAAAATGAGCAAAAAAATGCAAGCGGGACGACAACTTGATAGTTGGCTCCACGTCCCAGACAAGCAAAGCGTGAAGCAAACTTACCTGCAATAGGTCAGCGCTTTGGTCGCGTTGCGTGCGTCATCAATGGCCTGCGCTCCATCATATCCAATCCGATTCCTGTCCAAACTATCGTCCGCCCATCCCATCCATCAATGAGCACTCTGCTGAACCACCCACTCACATCGGTACAGCGCGATGGACTTACTGAAGCCTAGTCACCGTCGTGTTCTCTCTGAGTCCCTCAGCAATCGCCTTTGCTCCAGCATCCCCAATTAGATTTTGGCCCAAACTGTCCAGACAACAGTGAGTATTCTCCATGCCCTCTGCTGGAATCACCAACTCGTACGCATCAGTATGTCCAAGATGACAAATTACTCGAGCCAAGCCAAGGTCTTGTTCACTTTGAGTGCTTCAGCAATTGCCTGCGCACCAACATCGCCAATCTGATTCAAGCCCAAACTATCCATCCCCTCTCCATCAGTGAGCCACTCTGAATGACCCTCTGCTTCAATACTCCACACAGAAGCATCAATGGCAGCGAGCTGCCTGACTTGAGCTCGGTTAGCGACGTGTTTACTCGGAGTGCCGCTGCAATCGCCTGCGCACCAGCATCGCCAATCTGATTTTTTTGCAGCCTATCCATGCGATCAGTGAGCCCCTTTGAATGCCCTATTCAATGTCGAATCATCCACTCGCATCAGTACAACAAGATGTACTCACTGGAGCCTTGTCAGTGTCGTGCTCACTTTGAGTGTCTCCGCAATCGCTTGGACTCCAGCATCGCCAATCTGATTCTCACCCAGACTGTCCATCCCTCTTCATCAGTGAGCACGCTCAATTGCCTCTGCTGAAATCATCCACTCACTTGCATCCGTCAAATTGAGAGACGACCTACAGGAGCGTAGCCAGAGTCAGGTTCACTTTGAGCGCCTCAGCAATCGCCTTCGTTCCAGCATCGCCGATCGGATTCTTTTCCAAACTGCTCATCCCATCCATCCAGTGAGCACTCGGAAGTACCTTCTGCTGAAATTCTCAATATCAAAGTGAGACCGATGAACTTACGAGAGCGTAATCAGCGTCGTGTTCACTGTGAGCGCTTCCGCGATTGCCCGCGCACCAGCATCGCCAATCTGACTTTCAATCAGACTGTTCCATTGCTCAGTGAGCCACTCTCAATTGCCCTCTGCTGAAATCACCATGTCGGCGATGAGATCGACGGCCGTACGCACCCGAGTCTAGCCAGCGTCGCATTCCGCTTGAGCTCCTCGGCAATCACTTGCGCTCCAGCATCGCCAATCCGCCGGTGGATCAGACTGTCCCATTCCATCCATCAATGCGCAACTCTGAGCTGTGGATCACCCACCTCACATTGAATCAGGCACCGCGAGGATGATGATGACTTACTCAAACCACTTCCCCTCCGAGTTCATCTCTGCTTCGACCGCCGCTGCAAACGCCAATGATGCTCGGCTGTTTCCATGTCGTCAGCACACGAAGCGTGTCCCACATTGCTACAATGCATGCTTTTGCGACAGATCCGTCGTACCTGCTGGGCTGTGTTTCCGACATGGAAGGTAGATCTAGACGATGTTTTCTGAGACTGGCGCTCCTCCTTTTCTTGTTCAACAAGAAGAGTTTTGTTCAACAAGAGGAGGAATAGGAGAGAGCCATCGGTCGGACGGAGCAGTATGAGTTAAGTTGGATTGAGATTCTCAGCACTGGAACGCTGCGCTGGAACGCTTCGTTGTTGGAATTGTACATGTATTTGATTTCCCATTTATTCAGTTCTTCGCTTTCTACTCTTCTTTTTTGCCATCATGGATTTGGAATCGCGTGGGCCCGAATCCAAGCGCCTCATCGAGTGAGTTGGTTTTCGCATTGAGTTGCTTCGCTTTTGGCTTGCTTCATCGTCACTCACACAGTCCCGTCCACGCTTCGTAGCAACCAATACGATCCCGAGGGCGCTCGCTCCAAGTTCTGGTCGTCCAAGCGTCTGCTCCTGGCGCTGCTCGCCGTGGTCCTCGTCGTGGTCATCGTGACCGTCTCGGTCGTGGTGACACAGGACGACAATGTGAACGACCGTAAGCCGTGGGAAGCTCCCCCCCTCACCGCGCTGCTCTGGCATTCCATATTCTAATCGGAATAAATGGAGCTTCCTGAGAGAGATGGAAGAGGGCGAGAGAGGCGGAGAGGCGGAGGGGAAGGAAGGCGAACGATCAGCTGGGGCTGTCGGAGCCACATGACAGAATTCTTAATATTAAAAAAAAAAAAAAAAAAAAAAAAAAAGTCAAATTGAAATTTCCCATTCGTGGCGATCATCGTGTGGTGGCTGCATTTCTGAGATCAGCGCTCTGAGACTAACATGCATTGTGAAACATGCATTTTGAAACATGCTTTTTACAAGGATTTCAACAAAGCTTGTTTTGTGCTCATCAACATCGAAAGTCTGCACCAAATCTCACTCACTCTGCTGTTCGCATCGCTATGACAGACAACCCACCGCCAGTCTGGTCGGACATCCGCCTGCCAGCTAGCATTACCCCTTCCTTGTATGAACTCACCGTGCAACCGGATCTCGTCAACGAGCCATTCTCCTTCCAGGGCACTGTCGTCATCCATCTGCATCTCGCTGCAGCGACAACAGACATTGTCGTGCACATGGTCAATATCAACATTGATGCGGCTGCGCTGCGCGTGGCGAGTGCTCAGGACTGGCGTGAGCCTGACGACATTGTCATCAACCATGTGCAAGAGTATGTCGTTTTCCGCTTCTTCCAACCCGAAAAGCTGCAGCCCGGCGACTACCAGCTGCGCATCGACTACAACGGCCTGCTCGGACAAGACTTGCTCGGCTTTTACAACTCGAGCTATGTTGATGCTGATGGCGTCACCCATAATATTGCTACCACCAAGTTTGAGCCGACCTACGCTCGCCGCGCCTTCCCCTGCCTCGACGAGCCCGCAATGAAGGCTTCGTACATTGTCAACAGCATTGCCAACATTACCCTGACGCCGACCGTGCTGTCAAACATGCCCGAGGCGAGCCGCAAGCAGATCAACGGCGACATTTATCAAATCACCTTCCAGCCGTCTCTCGCCATGTCGACCTATCTTGTCGCGTTCATTTTCTGCGATTTTGTGGGCACGTCTCTTCCTTTCCACGGCGGAGGTAATACGGCAGTCCAAAGTATGGCTCGGGGTGTTTTTTTTTTTGAGCTCTGATTTTTTTGTTTTGTTTTCGTTTTGTTTTTTTTGTTTTGTTGTTGTTGTTGTTGTTGTGTTTGCCATGCACGCAGCCAAGAACGTCACCGTGTGGACTCGCCCAGATGCTCAAGCCCAAGGCCTCTTTTCGCTTCAGGTTGCCCAGAACTGCACCGACTTTTACGAATCGTACTTTGAGATTGACTGTAAGGCGAAAATTTCGTTTAACTTTTTATTGGCTTTTTTTTGTGTGTGTCCTCTCTAGCACACCAATTTTCCTGCTCATCACTTGCTCTCTTTCTCGCCGCATCCTACACTGCAGTCCCTCTGCCAAAGATGGACCTGATTGGCATTCCGGATTTCATCAGCGGCGCCATGGAGAACTGGGGCCTGATCACCTTCCGCGAAACCTCCTTCTTGATTGACGACAGCCAGTCCTCGGCTTCCGACAAGCAGCGCACAGCTCTGACTGTCTGCCACGAGTTGGCTCATCAGTGGTTTGGAGATCTCGTCACAATGCGTTGGTGGAACGACCTCTGGCTGAACGAGGGCTTTGCGTCCTTCCTCGAATACCACGGTGTTGATCACGCCTTCCCCGACTGGCAAATGAACGATCAGTTCGTCACGGCCGACATGCTCAACGCCTTCGATGCCGACTCTCTCCCCGTCACTCACGCCATCAGTGTCAACATTACCAACCCCGCCCAGATTAACTCGCTCTTTGACTCTATTTCGTACGACAAGGGTGCTTCCATTCTTCGCATGCTGTCCGCTTTCCTGGATTCCCTGCATCCCGGTCAGGTATCGGTTTTATTTTCTTCGATTCGTTAGGCTCCAATTTGTTGGTTGTTTGTTTGTTTCTTATTTCTCCTTCCACAGCCTTCCGTGTTCCAGTCAGGCCTGGCTAATTACTTGAATGAGCACAAGTACAACAACGCCGAAACGTCAGACTTGTGGGCGTCTCTCTCGGCCGCCTCGCAACAGGTAAATTCCCTTTGTGGTTTAGTCCTCGGTTGAACAACAATCTTTGTTGCCTGTGCGATTGCTCACTCGTGATTTTGATTTTGCTTGTGGTTTTTTTTTTGAAACACAGCCCGTCGCTACCATCATGTCGGCTTGGACGGACAGCGAGGGCTTTCCGTTCGTGTCCGCCCAGCTCACCACGCCCAGCACGATCGTTTTGACCCAGGAGCGCTTCTACCAATACCCCCAGGCTGGCAACTCGACCAACACGCCTCAGGTGTGGTGGATTCCGCTCAACTACCAGACCGACACGGATGCCAACCCGGTCTCGTTCCCTATGCCCCTTGTCCAGCAGTCCAATCCTCTGGCTTTCAACTCGAGCTGGATCAAGTTCAACGTTGGCCAGACTGCCGTTTGCCGCGTTCGCTACGATTCGTCCCTGCTCCTCGCCCTCAAGAACACGCTCGCTGCCGATCTCAACGCCCTCGCTCCGGTCGATCGCGCCGGTCTGGTGGCTGATACTCTGAGCTTTATGCGCTCCCAGTACGTGACGCCCACCGATGCGCTTCGTTTTACCAGCGTTCTTCAAAACGGTAGGTTTGGCGCTTTCTGTTGGTCGTTCATTTTTTTTTCTGTTTCTCTTTTCTTTTTGGCCCTTTTTCCGGATGTCACACTCTTCACATAGTCCTCGTGCTCATCTTGCTCTCCTCGACAAAAACAACAGAAACCAACTATGTCGTCTGGCAGGCCGCAGTGCGCTACCTGACCGTCTTTGAGCCGCTGCTGCGTCTGCAAGAGTGCTACGGCCAGTACCGTGCCTTCATCCAGTCGCTTATTCTCACCGCACTGAACGCCACTGGCGGCGTGCCTTCGGCGACTGTGCAGGAGGATCCGCTGAATGATTCCCAGACTGACATTTTGCTGCGCTCGCTTGCGATCGACACTGCTGGCCGCTTTGGTCACCAGCCAACGCTGCAGGCCGCCCGTGCGCTCTTCTTTGCCGACCTGGCCGGGACTGTCACCATCTCGTCCAACCTGCGTAGCGCCATCTACAACGCCGCTATGGCCAGCGACCAGACGGATGACAACGACACTGTCTACCACAGCCTTATTGTTCGTTACATTGCCGAAGCATCTGTGAGTGCATTAAATTGCATTGCCGTGTTGATGATGAGTGTTTCGTTTTTTTTTCTTTTTTTGCGTCTGAATCTCTGGAGTGCAACCCATGCTGACTTGCCGAGTTCCATTATGTTTTGTTTGGCGTGTTGACAGAACCCAACCGAGCGAAACCGAATCATCGCAGCCATGGCTCGCAGCTCCAAGCCATACATTCTGTACACTGTGTTGACATGGACTCTGGATCCTTCACTGGTTCGCGTGCAAGACGTCATCAGCGTGGTTGTTGCCGTGGCAGCCGGCCAGCAGGGTTTGAATCTCGCCTGGGACTTTTTCCAGCAAAACTTTGCCTTCTTCAACAGCAAGTTTGGTGAGCGCATGGCGACGCTTGTGACCGGCGTCACCAAGGACTTTACCATGCAGGCCAATGCAGACGAAATCAATCAATTCTTCCAGCTGCACCCGGTGGCCTCTGCCGCCCTTGCTGTGCAGCAATCCACCCAGCGTATTGCTTCCAACGAGGCGTGGATTTCCAAGAACGCCGATGAAACCTGCGGCTATTTGTTTGCTGCTTAATTTTATGTTTCGCTTTTTTTTTTTTTTTTTTGTTGACCTTGCATGAACTGCCACAATACATACAACCATTTCATTGTTTACGAGCGGGATTCGCGAAACACGGTACATCCTTTCACATAACACAACTAGGACAAGTACATGCGGTAGTCAAGTCGACTAGGCAACAATTGCAACAACCAGAAGAAGAAGAAGAAGCACAACACTCACACACACTTCACAACAGAGACTTGCTATTCGTCATCATCACTGTCTGCATCGACAGCAGTCGAAGCGGAAGCCGCCGCAGACACTGTGGCCAGACTGTCCGCGGTGGCGGCCAGCTTTAGGGCCTTCAGCCATGCATCCAGCTCTTGCGAACTCGAAGCCGCAAAGCAGTAGGTGCGCATGCCTGCGTGCGTGAGCTTGAACGAGAACTGCGTGTTGGCTCCATCGTTGGCGGACACATCGTAGCTCGGCACAATGACTTTTCTGCTCGCTTTCGCATGCCAATCTGGCCGTGACGAGTCCTTGATGTCCTACGGGCAACGCATGACGTTAGCAATCGCAAGAGTCATCAGAGTGTACCTCCCCCGACATGGTCACTCACCTTGGAGCTCTTGAAAAAGTAAAGGATGGAGTCTCGCAACACGAGGTAGCGTTTTTGCCAGCCTTTCTTGTTTTCGCCCTGCTTTTTCAGATAGCCAGCAAAGGTAATGCCCGGCGTTGGTTTGCCTGTTGGCGCCTGCTTGTCATTTGTTCCTTTGAGCAGCTCAGGGCTGTGTTGCCAAATTGCAGCCAAAGCAAACAAACGAACAACCGAACCAAAAAAAGAAAAAAAACCAAGAAAAAAATTGAGAAGATGGCTCCAACCCCAAAACATATGAAGCCAGACATGCTAGACTTTACGCATATTCTTCCAGCGATTTCATAATGGACGCCGAAGTCGCACCCGTCGAATCGGGCAGGCGAACATCAGCACCGTTTTGCACGAGCAAATGAGCAAGCGCCGTGAAGTTTCCAATGGCAGCAGCATGCAGACAAGTGGCGCTGCCTTTGAGATCGCGGGCATATTGCGGACTGCCTCCAAGGGCAATCGCGTGCAGGGCCCATCGTAGGTCGCCCACAGCAGCAGCATCGTGCAGAGCTTCGTCAATCTGCTGTGGAGTCGATGCCGTCTCTAGATCTGTGGCAGGGTTGGCGGCACGCAGAGCCAGGACATTCTTGTGGCAAAACCGCTTGTGCTCGTACTTGGATCGAATAAACTCTTCACGAACAGCAGAAGGCGCATCCGTGGCGGGCCGAGTGACACCTTGGCCAGCGAGACGAGCCTCAAAGACCGAATTGGCGAGCTGATTGCCCACCGAAGCCATCATCCGAAGGAGGCCAGAGCCCCACTTGTCGAGCGTGAGCGAGCGCACTTTGGTAATGTGCACGCCCATCCGACGATGCACACCCGAGCACTCGATGCAAATCAGGATGCCGAGATTGATGCTGGCCCAATCAGGATCGGCGCGGCCGCAGTCGGCGCAGTGGCCATTGCCGGGGACACCACGGATTTGCTGCATCAGGGCCTTTGCTGCGCCCGCGTCGCGTTGCGCGCTGGGGATGGTTTCGACCTCGAGGCTGGCCGCGATTGCATTTTGAAGCACTGCAATCCACTCGGCGACCTCGTCGTCCGAGTCGGCTTGCAGAAAAGTCTTCTCGCTGGGCGTAATCACCTCAAAGACATGCATGCGATCCTTGTGTGCCGCAGGGCGAACAGAGCAGAGAGACATGTTGCTAATGAGCACGGGGCTGTCAATCTCCAACGGCAGCAGAGGATCTGCGGTCAGTGGCACAATGGCGGGACTCGATGTGCCTGGATTGGCGGCACCGGGCAGAATAATGGCCGCCGGGGGATTGATGGCGCCCTCGTAGAGGTCAAGGGACGGGGCGGGAGGGTCTACGGAATCGTGTCGGTGCATGGACTCGTGCCGCGAGAGCGATTTCCGGGGCGTGATTGCGCCAGAAGACGGCGGGGAGGTCGCAATGACGTTGCCCTCGCTGCGACTGTTGGCCATGCGGCGATTTGGCACGGCTTGCAAATAGAGCGACGAGACAGGTGGTGAGGAGGAGAACGAATCCTCCTCGCCAATGGGCGACGCTTCGGACGCACCCGGGATGATAATGTTGGGCGAGCAGGCGGCACTGTCGGGGGTGAAATCCGCTGGTCCGGCCCGCAAACCTGGGGTTCCAGGCGGCGAGCCCTGGCCAGATTCTTCGCCATCGGAGAAGGCACCCGAAACGCGGGAGGACGAAACCCCGGTCAGACCGCCAGTCACGCGCGCGGCCGCGGTGGCAGCGGCTGTCTGTCGGAGCATGGACGATGTGCGTTGGCGTGCAAATTCCGCCTTGCCCTCCTTGCCCTGGCCCGACACGCGCGGTCGTGTGCGATAGACCAACAGCCCATTGTCGATGGAAAAGTAGCGGCGGAGCCAGACTTCCTTGCCGTCCTTGAGGACCTCGCGCTTGAACAGCTCGCCCCAGATGAGAGCATCGGTCGTTTCAAACTTGATGGGGACGCCTTCGGGACGCGTGCGCTGACGCTTGATGCGCGAGAGCTCTTGGGTACGGATGCGTTGAAGCTGGCGGTCTGCGGCGCTGAGCTCAGCGGCCTCCTTCTGGCGCAACTGTGCCGAGACTGTCTCCAGCTGGGTGAGCTCGTTCTGAATGCCTTCGATGAGCGCAAGGCCGCCTTTAAAGTAGCGCAGCTGACAGTTGAGGTAGTTGACGAGCGCGTCGTACGACAGGGTCTGCTGGTGCCGACCCATGCGATTGACGTCTTCCGTGTACTCGAGCGACTCGACAGTGGACATTTCGCGCAGCTGCCACATGCGGTTGGACACTTCCTGGAAGGACTCGACCTTCTTGTCCATCTGGGACTTGGAAAAGCCGCCGTGGCGATCGATGGCGACGTCCAGCTCGCCTGCGGTGACTTTCAGCTGGTCCTTGTGCTCGCGCGCAATGCGCGCTTCGTTGGTGACAAAGTCTTCTGCAGGTGCGTGAATCAGGCCTCGCATCTCTTCCATCAGGGTGAAGCGAAGTGCATGGAGGCGAGTGAACATCTCGCTGACTGCAGAAATGGTGGAGGCCACCTGTTGTCGCCAAAACATGAATAGGATTGAGTTTTCAGCGAGCAAAGTGCACAATGGGGGCATCATCCACAACGACGACGACGACGACGACGACAACCACAAAAAACAACAACTTTGGAACTGAGACACGGTACCTCTGAGGGAGCATCAGAGTTCTTGGAAAAGACTGGTGCGTCTGCTGCGAGCTTGGCGAGTTTGTGCTGAGCTTCATTGTACGCAGCAACTACCAAAGTAGCACAATCACACGGCAGAGGTGAGCATACACGACAAAAGAAAAGAGCGGGAGGGGGAGTGCTGCGGTTGAGTGGACTGGATTGAGCGAGAGAGAGCGAACAGAAACACCCTCCACCCTCCAGTTCGACCACGCGACAACCAGTGCAGGGCAGCTCGAGTCAGAGGATGAATGAGGTTTGTTTTTTGGATTGCTGGTGCGGAAGTGGGGCAAAGTCCGAGTCTGGGTTGGAAATCGGCCTCGGATTGCGTTTGCCGCCTTTCCCCCTCTTCCACCCCGCCACGTCCCCGGTCGCCGCACTCGTGGGACACTGAAGCAACATTCAAAGACCGCAAAGGCCCATAGAATCGAAGCCCCAAGCGCGAGAATGCGAGCAAACTCATACAACCGAGTTGAATCGAGTTGAGGTTTGAGCACCAAAAAAACCACAACCTGACCACCTCACGTCACAAACCCCTCCCCTCTCACTTGTCCCTCCTTTTCGAAGATCGACCGTCATTCGCAGACCAATCCAAGTGTCATGCCGGTGAATGTCGAGGAGCCAGCGCTGAAAGGGGAATGAGCTGCTTTGAGGTGTGTTTGAGAGTTTTTTTTTTTTTTTTCTTATTTCGCTTTGCCTTGTTCGCAACAATCGGCTGTTGCCTGCTTGACGCGCTCCAGGTGGCGACGCGCAGTGTCGATGCGGATTTCGCAGCCGCGGAGGGCAGTGCGATACGCAGGAGTGTCCTTGTTGCACTCGTCGTAGTCCAGCAGCGCAACGTTCCACGCAGGCACAGGAAGCGCCGACGGCGGAGGTCTCATTTCGCTAAATCGAGTAAGCAAGGAAACAGGAGTGAAGCGTGACCCCAATCGTGCGCCAGTCTCACGCGCTCAGACTTGGGATTCCTAGCTTTGCATGCGACAAAGCGCAAAACCGCGGGGATCTCAAACTCTGAGAGCGAACGCTGTTGTTTGTTGTTGTTGTTGTTGTTGGTTGCTGTTGTTGTTGTTGCACTGAGCCGGGTCAAATCAAATTCAGAACGTCAACACAACAAACAACAACATCGACTAGATTTCCCCCCCCCCCTATTTTCGTTGCAGGAGAGGTGAAGGACGAAGCGCGGTAGGTCTGAGACTGGAGAGTGTCAGACTGGACTTTCCATTGAGTTTTTCATTCATCTTTTTTTTTTTTTTTTTTTTTTTTTTGTTTGTAACAATGCTGCGGAGTGCCGTTCCTTTCCTGCGCCAGGCATTGCAGCTGCGCGCTCCTGTCACCGCCGCCGCCGCTGCTGCTGCCCCCGCTGCTATCGCAGGTACGCCTAGTCTGCTTCGTCCAGGCACCTGATCAACGCTCGTCCTCAGCACAAGCACAAAGCAAACGCCAGAAAAAAAGAAGGAAAAAAAAAAGCTGGCGATTTCCTTTTTTTTTTTCGGTTGTGTTTTCTGTTGCTCTTCGCTTTGTCGCATCGTTCGTGGCTTCCCCTCCTATATCAGTGCGGTTCATGCATATTGTCGCTTGGCTCCGTGGGTGCTTGGTCGTCGTCAGGACCAGACCAGCAGCAACAGCAGATCCGACCGCTCTTTTTTTTTTTTCTTCGTTTTTTTTTTTTCCCTCCTCTTTCTTCTTCTTCCTTGCTTCATTGGCGATCCGGTCGGTTCAGCAGCCACTGTCAACGCCCGCTCGTCGACACTCACTGCTCACTTTTGCTACGCTGGGGGCGCTGCCGTCCTTCCTTTCGAAGCGGATTGAACGAGAACTGCTTTTTTTTTTCCCAATGCTCCTTGCTCTCTCCACTCCATCCTGTCTCGGTCTGACGTCTGAGGAGCAGATCAAACAGCCACCAATATATGGCCTTTCGATTGTGCACGCATGATGCACGCGAAGCGATGGGTTGTAAGGAGAAAGAGAGAAAGAGGAGGAGCACCCAACCCAACACTCAACTCTCATGTGGGCTTTCATCCCTCGCTCTGTCTCTCTCTGTCTATCTCTCTCAAGCAACACTTTTGCTGGCCTCTCACTCAACACACTCACCATTCATCCCTTCCCACTTTTGATGCTTGCCTTGTAGCTCGAGGATACGCCACACACGTCTTGGACAACCCCGAGTACGCCGCGCGCGACAAGGAGATCCAGGCTGCCGCTGCTGCATCAGACGCCCTCTTCCGACAGGAGGTCGCCGACCGCAAGAAGTTGACGCAGTCCATTGCCAAGTTGAAACGCGCGTTCGACGATGGCAAGCCCAGCGACCTGCCCAAGGACCTTTTGCACAATATTGCCAACACGCTCGTCAAATACAACGACCGATTCGCCGTCAAGCGTTTCCAGGTCTACCTGAAAGAGTACGAGCTCGAGATTGACGAGGATGTCCGACGACGGATGGATGAATTCTTGACGCGCACTGCGGACGACGATTGGTTTGCAAACTAACAAGTTTTCATTCTCGTTTCTCGTTGATGCTGCCTCGAGTCAGCATGCGCTGTCCTCTGTTCTGTCTTGTCCTGTTCTGTTGTGTGCGTGTGTGTGTGTGTGTGTGTGTGTTTTGTGGTACTGTCGTATTGTTCTCCCTCATATGTCAATTCTCCTTTTTACAAAAGCCTTGTTCATTGTTCTTTTTTTTTTTTTTTTTTTTTTTTTTTGGAGCACTTCGTCGTGTTTGCACTGATCTGCGATGGCAGTCGAGGGCTTCCAGGCCTTTCCAAGCCGCCTGCGTCAATTGCTGAGCGGCTCGTCGCTATCATCGTCATCGGTGGCTGCCGCTGTCGGCGGTCCGTCTGAGCCACTTGCCACTGCCGAGCTCGGTACGCCACTCGCGCCACCATCGTCGCTCTTGCCATCATCGCCTATCATCTCTCTATTCGTGATGTCACTGGGGGAGAGAGAATGGGCTGGTGAAAGTCTCGGGTGGCACATTTTGACAGGACGACGCCTGGTCATCACCGCTCACCGTTGACTTTTTGTTGTTTTGTTCCACTCTGTGCGCTTCTGACCCGTCCAATCTCAATCAACGACATCCCAACATGCAACTCGACATTCACACTCTAGTGTCCTTCGAGGACGACCGAGCAAGCGCCGCATCCGAGGCTGATCAGGTATCAAAATTTCCCCCCGCCCTTCGCTCTGGCGTTCTGCTTCTGTCTGTCACCCAGAATTTTCAATGGCGCTGAAACGACCATGTGCTTTGTAACAGACGGAACAGCGATTCAAAGAAGCTGCACTCTTCTTGCAGGAAGGCACCAACAACCACAAGATGCACAACCACCCGCGCGATCCATCTGCCCTTCGAGCGTACCGGTAAAACAACAACATCACGCATCGTTTCTTCACACTCAATTTCCGAGCTCACCGGCCCTCGCCTCTTGTCTGTGTTCACTTTTTCAAATGGCAAGGATACTCCAATCGACTCCGATGAATCTGGCGGGATTGCTCGTCTCGGGAATTCTGCTCAGTTTGGCACTGATCGAACAGCCAGCCACGCTCGACGGTGTCCCCGACTGGGTGTCTCCCATGATTGAGCTGTTTTGCTTGGCGTTTTTCGCAGTAGAGCTGGCGCTCAAGTATCAGTGGTTTAAGCGCAAGGCCTTCTTCCAGCACACGCGCACGGCGTCCAAGCTGTTGATTGTTGTCGTCATGGTGGCGGACACGATCGCCATCTTGCTCGTTCCGTCGCCGTATGCTCGCTTTGGTCGGTCGTTGCGGCCATTCTTCTTGATTGACAACCAGTACAGCAGCCGGGTGCGACGCGTCTTTCGCCAAATCGCTCTGAGCTTGCCGCCCATCGTTGACATGCTTGTCATCCTGCTGGTCCTTGTGCTCCTGTTTGGACTCGCTGGCTTTTATCTCTTTTCGAGCGATCCCGGCGCTGATGGGTTTGCGACGTTCGGTACGACGCTTGTCAGCCTCAGTGTGTTGATTACCACCTCCAAGTACGTTCGTTCGCTGTGTGGCGGTTTTATTGTGTGAGCGCGTGGATGAGCATGCTAATGCTTTGATTTTTCATCCGTTGTTGCTCTTCCCGCACCCCCTCAGCTTCCCCGATGTCATGCTGCCGAGCTATCGCAAAAACCCGTGGTCGTCCGTCTACTTTATTGTCTTTCTGCTCGTTTGCCTTTATATTCTCTTGAATTTGCTCCATGCCATTGTGTACGAGAGCTTTGCAGAGCAGGAAAAGCTAAAGTTCCGCAAGTAAGCCCTCGGATAGTGGTTTGTGTGGCGGATTTTTTTTTTGTTGTTGTTGTTGGTTGCTGATGATTTTTGCTCCTCCTGGAAACAAACGCCCCACCACCCTCACTCCACAGATTGTTTCTTCACAAGCGATCCAGCTTGCGCCGAGCATTTCAAGAAATCACGGATGGGCGTGCTTGCATGAGCTTTGCCGAGTTCAAAACGCTGCTTCGTCTGTTCGCTACCAACCGCAACGATCAGCAGATTCTGGTGCTGTACAAGGCGCTGAAACGATCGCCAAACAACGTGGAGGGCTTGTCCTCGTTAGAGTTTTACGGGCTCTTTGACGCCCTGTCGCTCTCATTCACCAAGCAAACCCCAGTGCTCCAACTCTATCCTGCGAGGCTTCCTCGTCAGCGCTCCGCTGCCTCGCACGAAGAGACGATACACTTGCAACCTCTTCCACCAACCGAAAGAAGAAACACAATCCCAACTGGCGGCGCGTCAATTCCTTCGGAGAGTCCCGATGTCAGCACCCACCCGGCTTCAGCAGAAGACGCGGCATCACCGATCGTCCGAGCAACACCTTCCGCCCTGCAACTTGACGCCACCACTGGGACGTCACGCACGAATTCCATCAACCTGGCAGGAGAGCTCAGCCAATCGCAGGATTTGACCTCATTCGGATCGCTGGATTCGCCCGCGATTGCGCTCAAGGACCGGTTTGTGCGGTTTGGCAAGGCTTCGGTGGCAACTGCGACGCTATCTCGTCCAAACCCATCAGCAGGAAGCAGCAGTCTAGCGGCGGCCTCCGGCACTGCCAGAAGCAACGAATTACCAGGCAGACTTGCAGCGTCGCTCCGCGAGGTGAAGAGCGCCGGATTGGATACCGATGCCCCAGCACCAAGTCAACAAGGTCGGACTTCCGGCGACCAACTGGCATCTTTTGCAACGTTCGTTCCATTGCAAAGAGGGATGGGCAGCGTGGCGGACAACGTTGAAATGTTTTCGTCGTCGAGCATCCCGTCCTGGCTCGCCACGCCGCTCTATCTCGTCAAACAAGCGACGTTATCTGTGTGGTTTGATCGGATTGTCGCCGTCGTGGTCATGGTCAATGTTTTGCTGGCCATCCTTGAGGCCTCGCTCTTTTCTGAGCAAGTTCTGCACCCAGACCAGTATTCCCCCTTCAAATGGGTCAACCTTTCGCTGGCCTTGCTGTACGTTGTCGAGACGTCGATGCGCTTGATAACGCTCGGCATTGGCGGCTACTGCGTCAATTATTTCAATCGCATTGACCTCTTGGTGATTATGGCCAGTCTTTTGGGGCACATGGGTAAGAAGCAGTTTTGCTATTGTTGGGATGGATGTTATCGGAACATCTCGTCCCAAACAAAACCAAAATAACGTTCTCACTCTCTGTCTTGGACTGAACTGTTTCCTTTTTTGTTTCCGTTGTTTGTTTGTTTCTGTTGTTTGCCCTCAAACACACCCACAGCAAACATCGACGCGCTGTCGATCGTGCTGCTACCAATGCGCATTGTGCGCTTTCTGACGCTTCGCAAAAGCATTCGGCTGATCATCTCGACGCTCATCTCCTTGTTGCCAAAGCTCTTTTACTTTTTCATCACCCTCATGTGCGTTTTTTATTCGTTTGCGGTCATTGGCATGGAGCTCTATGCAGGCTTGATTGTCCAGGGCTGCTGCGGACCGGAATACGACGGGTCGGCGGAAGGACTGTACTATGTCAGCAACTTTGACAATCTCCTGCGCGCGTACGTGTTGCTGTTTGAGCTGCTGGTGGCCAACAACAACAACATAATCATGGAAGCGGTCGTCACCGTCACGTCGTACTGGAGCCGGTTTTATTTCTTGATCTTTTACATTGTAATGATTGTCGTTTTGCTCAAGTGAGTACTGTTCATGGGGTTTTTTTTTTGTTCTGGTTCTGGTTCTGGCAAACCAGGGCCGAGTGCGTGAGCTGTCTTTGTGTACTCACTTTGTTTTGGTGGGACTCGTTTCATATTTACGCAGTGTCGTCATGGCCTTTGTGTTTGACACATTCTTGGTGCGAATCCAACTGCTTCAAGCCGCTCCGCATGAACTGGACGATGACGCTACCATGACTGCTGCCACCGTGACCACTCGGCGAAGAAGCACTTCCGATCCGACGAGAGCAGCTACCGCCACAGATGGACTTGCAGACGAGCGCTCTGTAATACATGCTGGCGGCCAACTGCTCTCGCGGGTGACCATGGGTCAGGCAGCTGTCCGCGTCGCTCTCCTCCCAGACGAGCTTCGAACGTTGGTTCCTTACGAAGGAGCGCAGTACGAAGAATACCAGAGTCAGCGACAGCGTGACACTGCCTCGACCTCCCTGCAATCGGATGTGCCAGCAGTGGATGAAGGCTTGGTTCACTTCGTTGGCCGACGTTCCCTTGCGCGCACAGACATTTACTTGGTGCTCTGCGCGGCCGAGCTGTCGGAATGGGTGGAAGAGTATGATCAGAATTTGCAGCAATCAGGTCGCTCACGTGCTGACAGCTCTGTCTCGCACTCGTTCGAGCCGGAACCGAACAAACCAAGAGACTTGCAGCGCATGCTGATTGTTCAGCGGAATTTCCGGCAGCCCTCATCGACCTCGCTATTACGCCGCAGTGAAAGCGATCTGGATGATCGCTTGGTGACGATCGCTTAATGTCTTGGGTGGTCAATAAATGATCATTCGTTGATAGATCTCGGCGTACAGCAGCGCAAAACAAGGGCCAAGACTCTCAAGCAAAAAAAAAAAAAAAAAAAAAAAACAAAAAAAAAAAAAAAAGGAAAGTGTGTGCAAAACATGGCGTCACGGAAAAATTTGTAAATGATTGATTACAATTGATTGGGCAAAGTCAAAGAATACAGCCCCCAAAGCGATATCGACGGGGGGGGGGGAAGACGAACCAAAACGCAGGAAAATTCAAGAATTTAACAATCGAACGACCTCCCCTTCGTTCGCAAGGCGATGACTCCATTGCACACGAAGCTCATTGGGGTTCAGTCCGAGCTTGGAGCGAATTTGAACGAGCTCGTTGAACAGCTGGGCACGCTGTTTCAGTTTGGTTGCGGTCGCAGTTTTCGCTTGTTGAAAGGTTGCTTCCGCCGTCCGCAAGTTTTCTCGCAAGTTGTCCTGCTCCCGCTGCAGTACCGACATGTTGCCCTGAGCAAGCAAAAAAAAAACAAGCAACAAACAAAATAACACACCCAAGCGACACATTGACAATCATTTAAACAACAAAAGTGAGTTCAAAGACGACCGAAAAAAAAAAAAAAAAAAAAAAAAACAAAGCTGGATCCAGGACAAAACAACCTCCTTACCTCCAAATCAACGACAAAGGACTTTTTCTTCTTGCGACAAACTTGTGCCGCTTCGCGATTCTTGACACGCCGACGTTGCATTTTGAGATCGGAAATCTCTTGCGCGGACAAGTGTACCTTGTTGGCCATGGTGTTGAGGTCGCGCGTGGCAATGTTCATGAGTTCGTCCAGCGAAATGTTGAGCTTTTTCAGGGCAGACATGATCACGGGAGTGATTGCAACCGGGCGCCGGTTTACGTTGGCCGAGCCACCGACCGACACTGCACCGGGAGGGGCAGAGTAGCCTGCCATGTCGCTCGAGTCGCTTGCATCCAGTGCCGCGTCGTCGCTGTCGGTGGCCATGGCGGTCGTTTCATCAGCAGGCTCGGCTGCTGCTGCTGCTGCTGTTGCTGCTGCTTTTCGTCCGCGTCCTCGGCTGGATCGTGGAGACTTGGCACCGGCGACTGAGTGGTCGTCGTCCACAGCCATGAGGCTTTGCGTCATTTGCGAGGTGAGTTGCGCCGGGAAGGGCATGAACGGGGCGTTGAATGCTGCTAGCGACTGTTGTGATTGTTGTGATTGTTGTTGTTGCTGCTGCTGCTGATGCTGTTGTTGAAGTTGCTGTTGTTTGTGTTGCTGCATCTGGAGTAGTTGCATCTTTTGTAAATGTTGTTGCTGCTGGTGCTGCAGCTGCTGCTGCTGCGACTGCTGCCGGGCAATCAGTGCAAGAGCCGCGGCGGATTGGATTGCTGGCAGGGTGTTGAACTGCGGAAGCGGCATGTTCAACCCACCGCTGCCAAAGCCAGGCGAGGATGTGCCTGCTGCTGAGAAATTCGACGAGGTCGGCTGCGCCTTGTTCAGCGCGGCGAGGAAGGCCGAGCTGAGCGGGGGCGTGCTGGTGGCAGTATTGCCTCCGTGCCCCGTGGCGCCAAACTGCAATCCGGGCGTTGCCGGCTGCAGGCTGTTGAAAAGCGACGGCTGGTGGCCCATGGCCAAGGGAGGCGGCGATGTCGAAACCTGGTTGATGGATGCTGCGCGCGACAGCAAGAACGGCGACTGCAGCGCAGAAATTGGCGACATGAGCGACGGCGTCGGGAGGGTCGAGAGCGAGACGAGGCTGTTTGTTCCCGAGAACGGCGCGAGCTGTGGCGCCTGTTGCTGCTGGGATTGCGCTGCCTGTTGAATGGACTGTTGCTGCTGCTGCTGCTGCTGCTGCTGCTGTTGGGCAGCCGGTTGCTGGCGGAGCAGCTGGGGGTTTGTGCCAGAGTGACTCGCGGGTGTCGGAAACACAAACCGGGACGTCTCGAGGGGACTGCTGGTGACTCCCACGGCAGATCCGCCTGCAACCAATCCGCCGTTACCATTGACAGATGAAGCGGTGCCACCTGAAGTCAGCGGCGTGACGATGGCGGGGTTGACAGCAGCGGACGACGAAGAGGAAGACGAAGAAGCGGACGAGTTGCCGGCGGCGGTGGTGGCGGCGGCGGCGCCTGACGCGGCTCCCGTCGCCAGCAGACTGAGCTTGGTTGGCGATGCCAATGGGGACGGCGCTGCGGACGCGTTGACGGAGGCCGATGCGAGCAGGAAGAGGGAATTGGTGACAAAGCTGTCATCTTCATCCTGCGAGGACGGCGCCGACTGGGGCAGCGCAGCCAGGCCCATCCCGCCGCCGCCGCCGCCGCTGCTTGTGCCAGTCCCCATGTGGGGAGGGACTGCTCCGCCATGATTGCCGGACGAGGCAGCACTACCCGACGAGCGCTCGGTCGCTGCTGGAGCTGCGTCTTGGGTCATCTGTTTTTTTCTGTTTCTTTTTTTTTTGTGTGTTTTGAATAATAAAAAACCAAAGGAAGGAAGGGAAAGAGAAAGCAGAGGAGGGATTTCAAACAATAAAGCGAGAGAGAGAAAGTGTGTGTCTGAGCGAACAGAGAGACGCTGGGAGAGCGAAAGAGAGAAGGAGAGAGAAAGAGAAGGAGAAGGAGAGGACGGTTCAAAAAACAAAAAAAACAAAAAAAAACAAAAAAAAAAAAAAAAAGATTGAAACTTTTTGAGTTTTTCTTTTCAGTCAACTTTTTTTTTTTTTTTTTTTTTTTTTTTTTTTTGAAGGTGAGCTTTTTTTTTTTTTTTTTTTTTCATATTTTCTTTCATCTCTTTTCTCTTCATTTTGCTGGCCTTTCTTCCATCTTTCTGATGTATGTGTTTTGCAATGCTCTTGCGATTGCTGCTCAAAAGCTAAACAACTTTTTTTTTTTTTTTTTTTGAAGCGAACCTCTCTTGACTGCGTTTGTGCTTCTGAGCCAAACCCCACCCACACTCACATCTGCACACACACACACACACTTCTCACTGAGGGTTCTCCTGTCTCTGCTGGACTCCTCGAACTCGCCACCACGGCAGCTTCTGCACCACTTTTTGCGTCACTGTTCCCTCCTCACCTCGCCCTCCTGCCCCTCTCCCCTCCCATGTCAGAGCCAGGGCGCATAGACATACACGCACAAACCATCTCACTCACTCACTTGTGTTTGTTGTCGTCGCAGATCCTTTTCTTTTTTTTTGTGCTGGCATGGGTCATCATCGCTGCGCTGGTGGAACTGGCAGCCACGGTGCCACCTTCATGGCCGTCCGACTTGCGCTGGTGCTGGTCATCATTGCTGCTGCGGGCACCACCTCCATCGTGGCTGAAGTGTCATCCTCGTTCATGAGCCGCGAAGACGCGCGACAGTACCATCTCAACCGCCGTTCCTCCTCCGATAGCAATGACAATGACAGCGACAACAGCGGCGCTACCTATGCCTCCAAGTGGACGATCGAACTCGCGCCTGAGCTGATTGCCAATCCTGCACTGACGGACAAGCAGCTCATGGACGTGGCGTCCAGCATTGCCCAGGAGCTCGGCTACGTCAACTTGGGTCCGGTGGGCTCGCTGCGTGGCTTGTTCACGTTCACGCCTGCCGACCATCCCTCCGCCGTGCACCGCCGCAATGAAGAGCACGAGCGCCGCGACGACTTGACCCGCAAGCTCGTCCTCAACGTGCACAAGGATGCCAGTGATGTTTTGGAGGAAGACCTTTCGGTTTCCGCCACCACGCCCAACCTTGGGATTGAACGCGCTCGCCAGGAAACGCTGCACCAACGCTCGCGCCGCTCGGTTTGGGACGGCTTCAACGACCCGCTGTTCCCCAAGCAGTGGCACATCTTCAATAAGGACCATTCTGGAAATGACATCAACGTTGCCCCTGTGTGGAATGCAAATAACTTTGGCGAGGGTGCTGTGGTGGCGATTGTTGACGATGGTCACGACCACACGCACCCCGATTTGCAGAAATCCTACGATCCCGATGCCAGCTACGACTTTGCTGAACAAGATGACGATCCAACGCCCTTATACAATGGCTACAACGAGCACGGAACGCGCTGCGTGGGCCAGATTGGCGCGGGAGCAGGCGATGGTGTTTGCGGCGTGGGTGTCGCGTTCAATGCCAAAGTTGGCGGTCTCAAAATTCTCAATGACGACGACCCCGTGACAGACGCCATGGAAGCCGGAGCGTTGAGCCACAATCGCCACCACATCCAGATCTACTCGAACAGTTGGGGACCCAATGACGATGGCGCGACTGTGGCAGGCCCGAAACAGCTTGCATTGCGAGCTCTGCAAGAGGGTGTGCAGCTTGGCCGTCTGGGTCTCGGCTCTATTTTCGTTTGGGCTGCTGGCAACGGATATGCAAGAGACAATTGCAACTGCGATGGCTACTCCAACTCGCGATTTACCATCGCAATTGGCGCCGTTTCGGCCCTCAACACTATCCCTTACTACGCCGAGCCTTGCGCTGCCCTCTTTGCCGTCACTTACTCGAGTGGCAGCAGCCCCGACATCAAAATCACCACCACCGGCACTCACAACCTCTGCGCCGAGAACAAACATTCTGGTACTTCTGCAGCTGCCCCTCTGGCTTCTGGTATTCTCGCGCTTGTCTTGTCCGCAAAGTATGTCCGACACAGGAACCGGGGAGAGGGGTGCGGGTTGTCAGCTGGAGTTTGGTTGCTTCTTTCGCTTGCATTTTTTGTCTGTTTGGTTGTCTGTTTGGTTGTTTGGTTGGTTGGTTGTTTGGTTGTTTGGTTGTTTGTTTGCTTGTTGGTTGGTTCTCACTAACCCATCCTCGTTTGATCCCACCATCCGTTTCTACAGCCCCAACCTAGGCTGGCGCGATGTGCAACATGTTATCGTGCGATCGGCAGTGCCATTTGTCGCACCCGGAGATGTGAATCTCTGGGCGAGGAATGGCGCAGGCCTCCAGGTGCACAATTACTTTGGCTTTGGCAAAATGGACGCCAGCGCTATTGTCGGTCTGGCGCAACGCTGGGTCAATGCAGGGCCGGCGATTGAGTGTGCTCAGCCAACACAGACCGTCAGGGCCAGCATTCCGGATGCGAGTGCAGCTGGGCTGGTCCAACCGTTCTGGGTTGATGGCTGTGGGATTGCCGCAGCCGAGCACGTCACAGTCAAGCTGACCATTACACATCAGCGTCGCAGTGATCTTCAGATTTTGCTGACCTCTCCCTCCGGGACTGTATCCGAGCTTCTGAGTCGGCGGATTGCAGACTCCACCAGCGCGGGCTTCGTTGACTGGACGTTCCTCTCCGTTCACCACTGGGGCGAGAATCCCACTGGCCAATGGACGTTGCGAGTGATTGATTCTTCTCCGGGCAACACTGGTATGTTGGTTGAGTACGCGGCGACCATTTATGGAACTGCCATCGATCCCTGGCTTGCGACCGTCAGTCCTGTCGCACCTGTGGCCACTTCGACCGTTTCGGACGACATTGCGGCCTCTGTTGCGTCTGTGGCTTCTGTCGAATCAGTTGCATCTGTGGCCTCTGTTGCATCTGTTGCGTCTGTCGAATCAGTTGCATCTGCGGCGTCTGTGGCTTCTGTGGCGTCGGTGGCGTCGGTGGCCTCTGTCGAATCTGTGGCTTCTGTCGAATCAGTTGCCTCTGCGGCGTCTGTGGCCTCTGTCGAATCTGTCGAATCTGTGGCCTCTGTCGAATCTGCTGCCTCTGTTGCATCCGCCGAGTCCGTTGCCTCACTCGAGTCTATTGCATCTATCGAGTCCGCGGCATCCGTCCAGTCCGCTCTGTCCGTTGCATCGAAACAGTCCGTGCCATCCGCTGTTACGGATTGTCCGGCCATTTCTTCAATTTCCCCTCCTCCGTTTAGCAGTGCTTCTGCTGTGACTTCCAAGCCATCATCCGCGACGCCCGTCTCGTCAGTCTCGTCCTCACATTCTGCACCAGCACCTTCGTCAGTCACGCCAGCTGTTGCACCCTCGTCCACCATCGCAGTCACCTCTGATGTTGAGGATGCCAACCACGAGGTTTCCGAGGCCACCAAGGACCTTGCCTTCTACTCGGTCGTTGCAGCGATCGGTGCAGCCCTCTTTGCAGCGCTGATTGCGCTCGTCATCTATGTGCGTCGACGACACGAGGCTCGCCGTCACAGTGGCCACCAACCGCTGCATGATCTCGAGATGGACATGCAATCCTCGAGCGAGCTCATCCAGCAACGTGACGATGCCAATGATGATGACGACGACGACGACGACGATGACGGCTCTGACGCCGAAGAAGGCGATGTTGTCGATTTCGACATTACCGATTTCGATCAAAAGCACAGCTCCAAGCGCTCTGCCTTTACCAAGGTGCGTCTCACTCGATGATGAGCTGAGCTTGCGATGTTGATGTTGCATGAAGATGCATCAAACATGTTAGGTTTGTTGCGTTTTCTTCTTTTGAATGCTTTTTTTTTTCTGCCTGTGCTCTGTTGGTGTCTGTTAGAATTATAAAACTGTATATTTGTTCTTTTAGCATTGTTCTTTGGACACTCTGCATGCCAGTCCAACATTTTCCTGTTTCCCCCGAAACGGTGGATTGGGTTTTGACAAGTCGGGGAGTTATGCTGCGACTGCTCCGTCGCGTCGAGGCCAGGCACGCGCTGCTGGGTGTCGCGCTGACGCAGACCTTCCTTGTCTCAGGGCTAGTGTTTGGATGGCCGAGTCTCAGCGTCATCTTCAAGGTGAGCGGCGGAGGAAGTGGGGGCGGGCAGGAGACTCGAGTCCATCTGTTGTTGCGCTGCTGGGTCACGCGTCTGTGTCTCTGTGGCTGTCCGCTAACAGCTATTCCATTTGTCGGGCATGTTTCTGATTGGTTTGTCTGTGAAATTCCTGATCGTGTTGTATGGAGCCAGGGCGAAGGTCAATTCGGACAACTCTGCACCAATTCAAGCGAGCCGTCGTCAGGCGCCAATCCGACCAACCACTCGTCGGCATTTCACGTTGAATGCTCAGAGCAGGAAACACAGTTTGTGTTCATCTTCCAGGCGGGATTCTTTTCGCAGTTTGCGTCGCGACTGCTGATGGGCATCCTGCTGGATCGCTACGGACCTCGTGTGACCGCTCTGCTCGGTGCGAGCTGCGTGATACTCGGCTGCGTGCTGTTTGCAGTGTCGGAGAACACTGCGTCATCATCACCGACAGTCAATGCTTTTATTCCGGCGCACTTGCTGATTGGATTTGGCGGCCCTGGCTGCCACTTCAGCAACTTTCACCTGTCCAACCTCTTCCCGGCACGCAAAAACACCATCATGAGTACTCAATCTGCCATCTTCTCGACATCCGGCCTTGTCTTCTACTTTTTCCAGCTTGCCTATGATGCGTCCGGGGTTTCTCACAAAACCTTGTTCCTCAGCTTTGCGGGATTGCTGGTCTGCTTTTTCGGCGTCACCTACCGAATACAACCGCGTCGGGCGTACAAGCTGGGCGACCGGGTGCGCTTCTCCGTGGCTCGATGGGAGTTTGTGCTGATGGATTCGTCGCCAGCAGCCAGGACAGATGCGACCGCCTCCGAGGTCGGCGACACAAGCGACAAGATCCCGCTTCGTCTCCATCGTCAAGACTCGGACGGCGAAGAGAGTTTGAGCAGTAGTCCCGAATCCTCCTCGCCGCCTGCTAGTCCCCGGTTGTCTGCTATTGCGTTGGAACAGCGGGATTCGGAAGGCGGTGGGGACTCGGCTGCCCGAGGATTGCTGGCGCTTGAGCCGCCGCCGATGACCGACCATCATCATCAATCTCAGCCAAGCGGTGCTTTTGGTGAGAATGCTGGTCTCGCCTTATCATCATCATTTTCATCACCCACAGCGGATTTGGTGAAACAGAATGTGGCCACGCCCCTCGTCTCAGCGGAACCAACACCAAAGCTTCCGCCTCCGTTGCGCTTCCAGTACTATCGCTCGCTGACCTTTAAGCAGCAAGCGTTTACATTGCCGTATATTGCCATTACGGTCTTTCTATCGGTGACCGTGCTTCAGATGCAATTTTACCTCGGCACGTCGCGTACACAGCTCGAGGACAAGGGCGACACGGACCACGTCTACAACGGCATTTACAACATTCTCGGTGCCATCAATTTCATCTTTATTCCGATTTCCGGGTACATTTTGGACGGACACGGCGGCTACCCCGTTTCTGTGCTTGTCACCCTCGTCTGTGCCCTGCTCTTCAACGTGCTGAACGCCGTTGTGAATCCCCTCCCCGCCCAGATCCCGCTCTTCTTGCTATGGTCGTTCATGCGCTTCATCACGTTCAGCAGCTTCTTTGGGTTTATTCCAGACCTCTTTGGATTTGTCAACTTTGGCAAGCTGGCGGGCTTGGCTTCGCTGATTTCGGCGGCGTTCGGACTCCTCGCCATTCCGCTCGCCACCATGTGCATCTCAACACTCGAGCGGCAATTCTGGCAAACGCACATTGTGTTTGCCGTCGTCATGCTGTTGGAGATGGTGTTGCCACTGTACTTCTGGCGCCTGTACCGACGGGACGCGGCCTTGCTTGCGCTGAGGTCTTCTGGTTGACAATTTGTTCGTGCCCGACAACTTTTGCCTTTGAATGGTGATGCTTATGCAGTATAAAAATCGATAAATTTAAACAATGAGCAAAACCAAAGCAACAAAAGTAACACAAAACAACACCAAAGCCAACAACGGTTCTTTTTGCACGACAATATCAATAGTTACGAGCGCCGACCGAGCACCACCCCCAGCAGCAGCAGCAGCGGCAGCAATTGGCTTTATGCCTTGGTGTCGATGGGGTTGGCCACGTTGTAAACGCTGGCGCCGGCAGAATAGTCAACACCGGCAACGCGCTCGATTTGTGGTGGGAATTGGATGCGCTTGTCGGCATAGTAGGCGGAGCGGAAGTCGCCGTCAGAGAGAGCGTTGTATGTCAGGTAGTAGGCGCGGCGCGAGCGATCGGACACGTTGGGTCCCGAGCGATGGGGCAAGAACGAGCCAAAGAAGAGAATGGTGCCAGCCTCAACTTGAACGGGCTCCCACTTCTTTTCCTGCTCCCACTTCTTGACGAGCCACTCCTCCATGATACCGCCGGGGTGAGGAAGCATGCCCTTGGTGTGTTCGCCGCGAACAACCTCGAGGCAGCCGTTCTCAATCACAGCCTTGTCGGCAGCAATCATGGCAGTCAGGTGCAGGCGCTGCTTGAAGGTCGTGTAGGCAGGAGCGTCCTGGTGCGGCTCAAAGCCGGACGAGTGGGGGAGCTTGAAGTTGATCTTCTCCTTGTACAAGAGGGCGGGCTCTTGCAGCAGGTCGGACACGGCGTCGGTGATCTTGCCACGAATGAGCTGGTCGAGCTCGGGGAAGTAGTCCAAAAAGTTTTCGGTGCGGCAGAGCAGACGCTGGCCGTTCTTGTTCTCAAAGTACTGCATCCACTTGCCCTTGGTCTCGGGCAGCGCCGAGATCTGGTCGGTCCACTCAAAGATCTTCTTCTTTTCAATGGGGGTAAAGAGGTTTGGCACCACGAGGAAGCCGTCGCGGTTGTATTGGTTGACCTCGTTCATGCCCAGGATTTTGTTCGCATAGGACGCGGGGGTCTGAATGGCAGCGGCAGCAGCCGGAGCAGCCGCAGAGACGGATGAAAGGGCGCGCGAGTTTGCGGCGAGCGACGAGAAGAGGCGACGGGATGCGTTTGCAATAGCGGCCATGATGGAGATTGCTGAGATTGTGCTGTTTCGGCTTTTTTGTGTATTCTGTCAAAACAAAAAATAAACAAGTCAGATGCGTTTTTAGAGTCGCGACGTTTCAAAAAACAAAAACTCGAAGCGTTTTCCGGAGTGATCCGAGCACATGTTCGAAAGAGAGAAGGAGTACCAATGATGCTTGGTGATAGAAGTGGTGAAAGAGGAAGGAAGTGGTGCGAGAGGAAGGAAGAAAGTACGCAGATGTCACTGCTTGCCAAGTTTGCCCTGCTGAGCAATAGATGCAAACCTTCTCGATTGTGCTTCGTTCATTGTCTGCTTGTTTCCGCCTCTTTCCAACCCTCTCATCCCTTCAAAAACGCTGCATGCAGATAAATGGATGAAAGGTGCGTATGTCGAAAAACAAAAAAAAAAAAAAAAAAAAAAAAAACGCTCACCAGAAGTCGACAATGTCCAACAAAATGAAGACTGAAGAGCAGACTGACACTCGATTCCTCGCCCTTTTTAAAGCGCCAAAAACGCAGGCTTGAACAAACTTGAACAAACTCTCATGCTTCGAGATCAGCATCAAACGAAAAGAAAGGCAAGACGAAACTTGGTCGCTTTCCCTTCCGCTCTGCAAGTTGGGTCAAGCAACAACACTGCGAACGCTGTTTTCCAATGCAAGCAGAGGAAGAAGAAGCAGGAGAGACGAACGAGAGAGGAGGAAGGACCAAGCCGTGGCAGGTGTCTGTGCAGAAATGCGGTCTCGTGTGCGCGTTGCCGAAATGACGAGCAAGGGGCATATGTCGCTTGGTTGAAAATTCATGCACATGTGGCCTCGGAAAAATCATTCAAAAAACCGGAAAACCGCAAGGTGCTGTAATTGCTCGCTGATTCACACAAACCGTTTTACATTCGCCTTGCTTCTTCTCCCTGTGGTGCGAAGAGGAAGACGGGGGAAGAAGGGGGAAGAAGGGGCGACCAAAAAAAAGAGGAATTAGAGGACAAGAACGCAATAATCCTACCAATGTCCTTTCCTCCACGCCGCACGTCTCTCCTGTCTCGCACTCGACTCTATGGGGGGGGGGGACAATTCGTGAGCGGTTTGATGGCGTGAGAGAGCGAAAGACGGAGCGGAGCAAACCGATTGGACGCGACCAAATTTCCGATGCGAAAGTGGCAGCTGGCACACTTCATTGTGGCCCTCCTCCCAGCCTTTCCTCTTCAACCCCATGCCCGCTGCTTGGGCTCAGTCGCTGTTTTGGTGTTGCATGAGCTGGAAAAAGTGCAAACAACCCCCCCTTTAGCGAAAGCACATGGAAAAAAAGCAGCGGTGGGGTTGCTGTAAGTTGCTCGTTTTGCTGAGCGACAATGTCGAAAGGAGACAATGCATGAAAAGGAGGTCATCGATCCAGTCATAGATTCCCAAGATAAAACCAAAAAGGGCTGTGCATTCATGCAAATGGTTACAACAAGATTCCAACGAGACACGAGGAGGCGGGAAACAAAAACACACAATCTGGTCTGGTCGCGACATACACCAAACAATGCACACCAACCCTTGCTCCAGAATGCTTGCTTGAAAACAAAGGCCTCGTCCAGGGTTTGTTTCGTTACTTGTACTTGTGCGAGTCAATGGACGTGCCGGCACCGCGGTAACCGCCAGGGCCAAACAGCTTCATGTGGCAGGGGGTTGTGCAGTAGGGCTTGCCGTCATGCTGCGATGGTTGACAATGAGTTTGATGACGGCGCAAGTCAGAGCAGGGGTCATCGAGCAACAAGGCACAAACCGTAAAGGCTGTTCAAAAAAAAAAAAAAAAAAAAGAGACAAAGGTGCATCGTTTTTGGCTTTGTTGCACAAAACAGATCGAGGTCACCGGCCATTGAATACATAGCTGGCCGACATGTTGTGCGATTTGCACCATTGCGCGTTTTCAATGCAATGCAATGCAATGGAACTCGACAACAAAAGAATTCTTTTTTTTGATGCTGGAGTTTCTCGCTCCCCCCCCCACTCACCCACCCGCACAAGCTCACGTCGAGTGAGTCTGCCATGCATATCAACGCCGCGCAATGATCTCCAGCCGCTGTACTTGCCTCGCTGTGGGCGCCGCAAGTGAGCGTCTTCTTGCATTCGACGCACTTGAGGCAAGGGCCGTGCCATTCCTTGCCGAGGCTGGTCTTCTTCTCCGCTGCGCCCGCACCAAAGCAGAGCAAAGCAAAGCCGAAAGGGCAAGTCCACCCAAGAGAGAGAGAGAGAGGGTGGGGCGGTGGGAGAGCGAAGCCAGGCAATGGAAACGCAGCGAAATTGTCAAAAAATAAAATAAAAAAAATAAAAACAACAACCGTTAGATCCAAAGCAACAACAAACAACAGCAGCGATTGCAGATCAGCCTCCGTCCACGCAATGACACATCCACAAACACAAGGCAAAAGGGGGGTGATTGACACATACCGAAGTAAACTGCGAACGGGAGGGCCAAGCCAGCAGACACAACAACAGCAACGACAAACAAATAGAAATCAGTCAAAAAGATTTTTTTTTTTTTTTTTTTTTTTTTTTGGTTTTCGAGTTGATGACACAGGCTCGAGTGGCAAAAATCACTCGCTCGGCACATCAGAATCCAAAAGTGCAAGACACAAGGCAACACATCCTTGCGGGGGGGGGAGGAGGCGGAGTCACACTGACCTTCCTTGCCGCACGCTGCGCACTTGCCCATGGTGACTGATTTGAAATTGTGGTTTCAAAAAAAAAAAAAAAGTGGTTTTGGTTTTATTTTGGAAAGTGGAACCAGTTATACAGAACACTGTAAGATGGAGGATCGGCTTGCATCATTCAATCGCGACATGGGACACAACTAAACACACAAGAGTGGTGAGTGAGGAGCGAGGGGAAAGAACGATTTTCAATCCAATTTTTTTATTTGGTGTTCGCTCTCGAACGAGGCTTTTTGGGGTTTTTACAGCAACTGCACACTTCGAGAAAAGTTGGCCTGCCGCTCGAGCATGGCAGCTACAGACTCGAGAAGAACGCCGAGTGGCGTGGTGGACGAGGTGTGGTGAAGATCGCCACGATCGCTTTGCACCTTCAGATTCGCAATGATGCCATTCGACCAGTCGAGTGCCGAGCCCGAGTCTGGCAGCGAGTCAATGGTGAGGTTGGCGCCGTCAGCAAGCCGAAGACGGATGGACGTCGGGCTGTTATCGACACGGAACACATCCGAGAGGGCGATGATGCGAGCTGGTCGCGTTGTCGGCTACACAAGCAAAAAAAAAAAAAAAAAAAAAAATCAGAACAGCTTCCATCAACACACGCAGCAACGAAAATGTCAAAACCCAGAACAAAACCTACCACATCGGACAGGAAACAAACGAGATCGGGACCAGCTAGAACGGTAAACATTCGCTTGCCATCAATCAGCAGGTGCCCATTGAGTGTCACGTACGCGCCCGCCTGAGAGGACGGCTCGGAGTCCGGAGGAACATCGGGGACTGGGTTGAGACGATTGGATTGGACAAGACCCGCAAAGGGCTCCAAGGTGAGGATTGCAAAGCAGTTGGCGCAAACGCGTCGCGGCTCGAGATGCTCGGGTCCAAACTCGGGGATGCTAACTGTGTGATTGGAGCACATGGCACTGCAAGAGATGGAGGCAGGAGTCGGCAGATGAAACCCCAGTGAGCGAAATCATAACGGTTTGGAAAAAAAACCGACATTGCGGCGAAAAAAAAAATCATCCAATACAAGTAAAAACAAACAAAGGCGTACCAGAAAATCTTGCCACAGTAACGGCAATGGTGCCGGCGGAGGGTCACGTTGAACCGGCGTTTGCAAATGTTGCATTGGTGCACAAGCCGATCGGATTGCCAATTCGGCGGCGTCGTGCGAGTTCGCATCCGGACAAATGCAGTGCTGTCGTCCACAATGCTTTTCAACGACGGTGCTCCATCCACTGCCATGACTGGAATAGGCGTTCCATCAGGCGCTAGCTTGGGCAGCGCATCCAGCATCGAAGGCCCGAACATGTGGGAAACGCGTGAAAGCGGGACCACTTCCGCCTTTGGCGGCGCGTCATCGGGGACTGTCATGCAAAAGTGGCACGACCACCCCATGCTATGCAAGCCAACAATTGGAATTGTAAGAGACCATTCAGGGGAATAAGATCATCGATTTGATTTTTGTAAGTGACCCCCACCCCAAGAATTCGTTGACATTCCAAAACAACTCGGCCCTCTCCTCCTCCTCCTCCCCCCCCCCTCAATTCGACTCACCTCGCCTCGTGAAACTGGAACATGTTCAGGAAACCAGCATTGCTCAGCTGCTCGGCAAGAGAATCTTGCTCTTTGGCAGTGAGGAATGGCTGGCCGAAAAACTGCACAAATGTTCGGTAGGGATGCGAGTTGTACGTCTTGTATGCCTCTTCCAGCGCCTTAAACCCTCCTTGCTTGTTGATCTCAAAGACACTGTTGCCAACCATCACGAGACAGAAGGCGAGTTTCAGCCAGCGAATCCATTCCTGGGTATCGGTGCTCCAAGGGCGAGCTGACAGGCAAAATCAAATGCACGTCCGGTGAGCAACAACAACGGGTGAGGTCAACAAACAACAACGAGAAAAATCCGCGCTCAACGACCGCAACTCACAGGGAGGAAACAGGCAGCCGTTGCGATGGTGCGTGCAAGAAAAGCTCAGCTTGAGGCTCTTTCGCACGCCAGATTCGCCCCAAAACTTGGTGGGCAACGGCAGCCGATGCACGGTATCGGCGAGAAAATCACGAAACTCTTGCTCGTGCTCTCGAACATACTTTTCCAAGTCTTCTGAAGTTTTTGCTGCAACCGCAATCTTGGCGTTCTTGTCTGCAATGGTGGCCGCGAAATCTCTAATACAGCCCCCAAAAAAGCAAAAAAAAAAAAATAAAAAAAAATAAAAAAAAATAAGTGGTTGCAAACATTGAGATCAAAGAAAAGACCTGGGGAGGACAAAATGTACGCGTCACAAAGACAAACACGCTGTAGTCGTGCTAGCATACCGTGAAGCGAGACCGTCCAGAGCGTCGATGCAGTGCTGAACTGCGTCTACAACGGCGACATTCTTGTGGGCGCTGAGCGCAAGCAGCTCTGCACGATGAGCCCCAACAGGCTCGGGATGGTCACGTGCGAGAATGCGAATTTCAAACAGAATAGCGAGCAGAACAAAGTCCGCTGCCTCAGTTTCCACGGTGCTAAACTGCTGCAGTTGTGCCATCATCCACTGGACAATCCGTACCAGCACGTTGACATCATGCTGCGCAATCAAGCGCGCAATCGTGACAAGCAAAGTGCGAGGAGTGGCGTGGGCCTCAACCATGGCTGCGAGAGGCGAGCCGCAGAGAGCAACAGGAGCGAAAAAGTGGTGGTGGTGGTGGTGGTGGTGCTGGTGGAGGTGGTGAGTATGGTGATGGTTGTTGTTGTTGTTGTGGTGGGGCTGTTGGTGATGATGGTGATGCCCGTGGTGGTGCTGGTGGTGCTGTTGGTGATGATGAGGGCTTTGGTGGTGATGATGAGACGGCGAGTGCCCTGCGCTGTTGTGGAGCGGCGGATGGAGAGGCGAAGGTTGAAACGGAGAGTGGGGCGCCTGGTGATGACCAGCGGTAGGGAAGTTGGGCGAGTGCATCGTGTGCTGGGGCGAACCGGCAGAGCGAGGCATGCTGCCGTCAGCATAAGGCTGTCGCGCTGCCGCTTGCACATTGAGGACCAGACCAGAATGGCTCGACTCCGAGTCGATGGCATTCGCCACGGAGGTTGAAGGACTGAGCGCCGCTGCAGCGTCGATTGCCTCGTGCGCCGTCAGCCCCAGTAGTGCATCCAAGAAGTGCACCATTGCCGTCGCATGCTCGGTGGCGACATGTTGCAGGGTAATCAGGCCTAGGGACAAGGCTTTGGCGACGTTTGGTCCTTTGCGCTCCACCAGACGAGACACAAGAATGTCCAGGTGCGGCATGATCAAAATGGGCGACGAATGGGCAATGATGGCAATGCAATGCAGTACGGGAATGTCGGTGGCTGGTGTTTGGGCTTTAAACAGGGCTGAATCCAAGGGAAGGTGAGTGAGGTTTTGGGTCTGACCGCACAACCAGCAGCAAAAGAAGCGCAAAACAAACAACAACAGCACCAAGCACATTCAAACATTCAAGGACGTACAAATGACTTTGTGAAAGTTGGTGGCAAACACATCGCTGTTGGCCGCTTGCAAGGCGGGCAGAGATGTCAGCAGCGCAGGCGGCAGCGAGTTCACCTGGCGCAAGAGCCGAAGCACATGATCGCCAAGAATGTCGGTGCGACGTTCGATGAGCTCGCGCATGCAGATGGTTGCCTCCGGTTGCGCTGAGGGGTGCAAGGGCCGTTGATGAAAGAGAGATGTGAGCGACGGGTATAACAAAGAGAAATGAGAAAACAAAAAGGAAAAGGGGGGGGGGAAGGCAAACAGAAACAAACAAACAAACATCGAAAAAAACAAAAAAACAAAAAAACATACCTATCTCGGGCTTGCCCAACGCCAAAAAAAGCAAATCAAGCAACGCGCCCACGTCTTGTACCGTCACAGCGCCGATGCACTGGCGCAGGACGTCCAGCATGACGCCGGCCTGTTTGGCCTCGGCCGTATTGGTGAACGATATGTCGTCGGTAATCATGCCACGAGTGATTTCAATCAATGTGGCAATGTACTCTGGGCCAAAGCCGTGCATTTGCAACGCCACAATTTTCAACACCTGACCCAGACACAGCACCAGTCAGTTGGCACACGCGAACAACAAGACAAATCAGCCGAGCGCAAAGGAACGAATCTGCAACTGCTCTCACCTTTGCCAGATTGAGAAGCGTGCGGGGCTGCATTCCTGGCAGCTGCATGCACTCCATCACGCTCTGTCCAGCCTCTGCAACGCTGGCTGGAGATGTTTCGGCAGCATGTTTGAGCAATTCGCTGGCGGCCAGCGCAGTGGATCGCGTTGCACAGCTCAGGTGAGCAAGAGTGTCTGACACTGACACGGTAGCTGTGCCGCACAGCACGCTGGCCAGCGTTGGCAGCATGGGCAGGTTGGCCAAATCGGTGTCGTGCATGCCAGGCGAAGGGACCACGACTGTTGTGCCTTGGTGATGAGGATGCGCCTCTGGTTCTGACGTTGGAGTGGTGCCGCCTATGATGCAATACGACCATTCATTCACAAACAACAAGGCCAGGCAACCGTTTCAAATCCAAAAGTGAGTCATGGTGCTCGGTGTCACCCGGAAGTGGAATGTTTGAGAAGGGGACGGGGGGGATTGGTCATCAAACTACGAAACGAAGAAGCCTTCCCACTTGTTTTTGTAAGTGTTTTTTTTTTTTTTTTCGTTTTTCAAACTGCCCAGCCAGATCGAAGCTCAGCAGTTTGAAGTATGTGAGTAAGTGAGTGTATCTCAACAACGCAACCAAGAAAAAAAAAAAAGAAAAAAAAAAGGTCGCCAATTGAATCTTTTCAATGCATTGCTCATGATCTGGGACTGACAAACACCGTTCAACGACTTGTTGAAACCCCGACGGCTCGTCCATCTCATCGGGGGGGGGGGTAGTTAGTTTGAATTTTGGGTGGAGTGCCACGAGAGATGGGGGGGGGGGCTGCTGGGATATACCTTTCTGGGATGAGCTCTGAAATGCATGCCGCCGTCCTCGTCCTCTTCGTCGTCGTCGTCGTCGTCGTCGTCGATGCTGTTGGTCGAATGAGGACTTGCATCTTCAACATCGCTGCTCAGATCGCTGGCACTTGCGCTGGCACTTGCACTGGCACTCGCTCTGGCGCTATTCCGATAGTGCGAGGCGTGGTACTCGGCCAATGGCGCTGCTTCTGCTGCCTCTGCTCCTTCCGCTGCAGTCGCATGCTGGTGGTGGTTGTGGTTGTAAAGCGAGTGCTGGTTTGGCCGGTGGTGGGCTTGGTGGTGACCGTTCAGATTGCCAGCCAGTCCGTCGGACGAGTCAACCGCTTCCCCGCTCGAGGTGACACTCGGGTCGGCTCCTCCAGCCCCTGCTTCTCCAGCTCCTCCATCATGATGGCCGTCCGCTGTCAGCGCCGCCTGCTCGCCGCGATGGTAGGCTGCCGTGGCAAGCAGCAACTCGCTAATGTCGCTTGTCTGGATGGGCGTTGAGCCGCTCGTCATCTCGGATCAATCTCGACTGCTGTGATTTGTGCACCCAAAACCCAGACACAAATAAACATGGAGTGGTTGCCCACCCCCCATCAGGACAGAAACTTTTGTGTCTGATTCAACAATCGGATGGAGATCGCCCCAGATTGTGCTGATCGCGAGCCAAACACTCAAATACTGCAGGGTCGACCAGTTCAACCGTCAACACTGGCGAAATGACAATGCTATGCATCAACATGGACAACTGAATGTATCATACAAGAAATCACGTCAAACAAGCTAAATGGAACCGGTTTGGACCACCTTAAAAAAAGCGAACATGCGAAAAAAAAAAAAAAAAAACGTACAAACACACAACAAAATAAGCCACCTAAAAATTGAACGCTATGGCGCGCCTCAAACTCGCTTGAAAAAGCGGTCAAAACGACCGCGGTTTAGTAATATGCAGGGGGCTTCTCGGACGATGATGAGTTGTAATCTTGATCGCTTGAGTTGGAGTACAAAAAGTCGTTGTTGTAGCTGGAGGGCGCTGCGTGCGACGTGATGCTCACCGAAGTCGTCACCATGCCAATGTCGTAGTCGTCGCGATGCGGGGCATTCACGTAGTACTGCGAGTCCATCTTGCGGAAGTATTTCGCGAGACGAACGGCAAAAATGATCAACGGAATGCTGAATGTGGAGCACAAGCCCATGGCAAACATGAATCCGTCCATTGTGGCGCTGTGCGAGGAGAGTCAAAGTCGCGTGCGAGAAGCAAGAAGAAGAAGAAGACCAAAAAAAAAACCACAAAAACCACAAATGCAGTCAGAACGCGGACACAAAATCAAGCCATTCAGCAGATCCAACTCTTGCGGTCTTCAACGTACAGAGCGTAATCGCAGGTTGCAGACATGACTGCATCGTACACGGCGTACGCTGGTGCACAGCCGCCAATAACATTCTCGATTTGGTCAACGGCATTGTCACGGAAATCGTGGATCAAGAACGTTGCGGTATCAATCAGATCGCCCACAGTCTGCCCGCCCGGCGAAGAAAAGAGCCAACGCGTGAGCATGGGCGGTCAATCAACCAAATGCAGACAGACACACACACACATACACACACAAAAAAAAATGCCAGCAGCCACTCACATTGTTGATGAACGTCTGGAAAGTGCTTGTCAAATCGTTGACGGTGACCTCGGCAATATCAATGGCAGCGGTAACCGCAACCTGCAATGCATGGGCAGCACAATCGAATATCAAAACGCAAAATTCACCAAAGTGAGAAAAAAAAACCGGCGAAAAAAAAAAGCGACACCATCGCGGCATCTTGAGGATGCTAGACACCGACAACAACTCACCGTCAAATTGGAGGCGGTCTCGTTGAGTGAGGACAAGTCGGTTGCAAGATCGTAAGTCGTGATGGAAGTTTGCAAATTGCTCGCCATCGCGTTAACCTGCAAATGGAGGTTTTAAAAAAATCAAAAGGAAGAGAAAATCAAACGGAAGCAACGTGCCATGTGAGTGGAGTGACAACAGCCCCGACACAAGCACTTTTACTGTCTGAAGAAAACCTACAGCGGTGATGTTGGCCTTGATCGCGTCAATCATGTTGGAGACGGCAAGTTCTTCGGGAACCACCGGGTTCAATTCACTCTGAAGCTGGTCGAGGTCATTTGTGACGGTGGTAGGGTTGAAGGACAGGCCAGGGTTGGCAACCATGTTCTCGTACAGCTCATAGTCCACCTGAACCAAGCCCGAGTTGGCGAAATCAAGCAACAAGTCTTCAGTGGCCTGGTCAAAGATGACAATATTGTCAATGTTCACGCTCGCGGAAAAGTCGGAAATGTTAAAGTAGCTGTCAACGTCAGTGAGTTCCTGAATGTCGATAAGGGAGCTGAGATGCAGAGCGGTGTAGGCTGCTTCGTTGTGTTCGCACGCGTGAAGAACACCAGCAAAGGTCAGGGGGCAAGGGACGGTGGAAATGTTGGCCAGCTTGCACAGCGGGTGCTCACTGTTCGACCAGGTGCTGTCGACGTCGAGAACTTGCGAATAAATGGTGCCCTCGGTGATCGGATCGCAAACAGTATGCACACCGCTAGACAGAAGGAATCCAATGGCCGCAAAGAGGAACATGAAGAAAATGAAAATAAAGGCAAAGACGACGGACGCCATCAAAAAGTTGCCAGCAGCGTTGGAAGTACCACTGCGATCGCACGGGAGTGCAGCGGCGTCGTTCGAAAGAACGCCCATGAGCAGGCCAATGGACGCCAGCACGACCACAATCAGAATCATGCAGCACAGCGCAACACCGCCCTGGTAGCGGTACTTGTCGTAGGTTTCTGCAGTATCCATCGCGTCATCAATGCTCTCGTGGCGCGCGGGGGCATCGACTTGGTCTGTAATGACAGTGTTGACCGTGTCACGCGCATCATCAATGTTGTCGTGGATGGTCGCGGAAATGTCGTCAATGGCCTGGATGGCGTCGGTGCGGTAGACATCGATTTGGTCTTGAACGTCGGTGGCGAGGTCGTTGAACGAGCTGTTGGCCGTCGAAATAAACTGGTTAATGTGCTGGTCGTACACTGCAGTCATGGCAGCAAGCTCGATCGAGAGGTCGGTGATGGAGGAGAAATCAAAGGCTTGGCCGAAAACCGAGGCCGCAACGATCGCGCAATCCGGCGGCGGGGACGTCAGTGCCTGGCATGCAGTGATCATATCGTTCGTCGCGCTTTGCATCCACGCCAGAGTCTCGTTGATGGCGCTGGCTTGGCTGAGAATGTCGTCCAGCTCGGTGTGGACCTCGTCGACGAGCGTGTATGTCGCATTGATGCTCTGATCCATTTGCACAAGAACATCAAGCATGCTGTAAACGGTGGGCGCAATGTCGTCCTGCACGAGCGCGCCGACTTGGTCATCCACGAGGTTGATCAGATTGCGCGCTTCGTCGACATAGGCGTCAAAGTTGTTGATCAGCTGCTCGGCCTCGGCAATGGTGTTGTTCAAAAAGATGCCCACATTGTCGACGCCATTGTGGCCTGCCTCGCTGGCAACATCCAGCGACTGGGAGAAGCGCTTGTTGCTCACAAACGCCAAGACCATGCCGGCAAAGACAAACAGGATGGACACGAGCAGGAAGAAGATGAGCCAGTTGCGGCATTTGCGCGTGTTGTTCTTCTGGAGCGGACGAGCGCCGCAGTTGCCGCAGCAACGGCAGCAGCAAAAGAACAGGCCCACAATGGGCACAATGATGGCGCAGACAACACCGAGGCCAATCACAATGGCTGCCGGCGTGAAGAACGAGATGGCCTCGTCCTTGACCGCATCCGAGTCCACGCCGTTGCCGTTCTGCTCGGCCTGGATTTGCTGCTGCACGAACGTCATGCTGAAGGTGCCGACCGCGGTCCGCACCATCGAGCGCGCAAAGTTGACCGAGCCCCGCAAGCCTGCATTGTTGAGTTCGTTCACGCTTTCCAGGCTCTTCGTTGGCGTGTAGTTGGCCGCAGGAAGCGGCTCAAAGGTGACATTGACGGGCAGAACCACAGCCGCGGCGGAATGTGCCAGCAGCACCAGTGCGAGCGCCGCCGCCAGACCGCTTGATGAGAGCTTCATGAGACTAGAGGAGGGGGTGTTCTGTGAGGGGCAGAGGTGGGGGTGGGGGCGGGTGAGCCAAGCATGAGCGGCGATTCAATTGAAAAACAACCAAACGAAAAAACGAAAAAAAAAAAAAAAAAAAAAAAAGCTACATTCAAAAACAACAAAAAAAAATAATAATAATAATAATTCATAGTTTCGGAGCACGATGCAGGTTTTTTGTTTTGGTTTTTTGTGTCTGTGAAGGCTGATCCGCCAGCGCTTCAACGAGGTCAGAGCGCAAAAGGTGGTCATGAAAGATGATTGCTGGAGTGGAAGCAAGAGGGGAGGAGGAAACGTGGAGCAGAGGAACGGCACTCGGCCGAGCCAAACGGATTTTTGCTAAAAAAACAATAGATAAAAATAAAAATAAAAAATCATCATAATAATAATAAAAAAGAGCGGGAGAGAGAGAAAAGGAGGCGCCGAGCGAGCACGAGCAGTGATTTCGTGTGCATGTTGGGATGCTGAGTCAAGCACGACAACGGCGCAGCGACATGGCTGACTGAAAGGGAGCAGCGATGGGGGGTCGTCAAGGGCGCAATAACCAAAAAGAACAAAAAGGCGGTGGCTTTTTCGGGTGAATGCTTTTTGTATTTTATTACTGGCATGGCTTTTTCTGAACGGGAGGGAGAGAGAGAAGAGAGACGGGTGGTCGCAGCAGGAAGACATGTCCAGCAAAAGCCACAGTGCTGCAGCAAACTTGCGAGCGCTGGGGAAGGGCGAACAACTGGCGCTGTCAAAACAAAATATGAAAAAATAATAAAAAAAAAAACTCACCGAACCAAAACAAAGAGAAAACGAAAAAAAAAAAAAAAAAAAAAGAATGCCAACACAAATTCAATTCAAAAAAAGCAGAAAAAAAAAAAAAAAAGAAAAAAAAACCAAAACCAAAAGTTGAACGCAGATCTATTCACACCAAAAGTGGGATTGTGGATTAGATCGTTGCGGACGACAAACACAAAAACCACGCACTGAACACCAACAAAAAAAAAAGCCACCCACTCCAGGAAGGTTCCTCTGTACCGTGCTTACCATGAGCGCGTGGAGACGTGCGCGCATTGCCCACGCTTCGTGCGCGGTGGCGGTGGGGACGAACAAAAATGAAGTTTTGCTTTCGGCTCGTTCTGCATGCCCCCTCCAATCAGTGCGAGAGGTCACCCCCCCCCCAAATTGGATACATGATGGATCAAGCAGAAAGGTGCAAGTATATATCGCATGTATCCCCCATTGCTAGACTATTGCTTTCGAATGGCAGACGACAGCACTTTGGTGATTTGGGAATTTCGCACAAACACCACCCCCCTCCTTCAGTCAACCAACGCAACCACCAACCCGCTGGCTACTGGTTGCTCTCAAAGCTCCCCAAGTATCTGCTTTTGTTTGTGCGTGGATTCTGTTCTTGTTTGATTGTGGTTGGCTCCCGGAAAAGTCTGAATTTTTGGCACCACGATTGAAGTCACGGAACGCCAACATCACCGCCGCAGTTCAAGGTCGGCGATCTGTGCAGCAACACTTGGGATGTGCTTGTTGGGCTGGAGACACTCGAGCTCAAGGCCTGACAGTCTGGTGACTTGGATGCCCGCTTTTTCGAGCCGATCAATGCCAATACACACCACAAATTCGGCGGGCTCCCGCACGCCAATCACAACGCGTGCAATTCGATTGTTGATAATGTGATCTGTGCAGCACACATTTCCCGACAGGCCTGCAAGGCGAATCGAGAAGATTTCCAAAAAAAAAAACCCCGTCGTTGTTGTTGGGGGTCAGCACGATGGAAATCGGGCAAGTTGCAGCCCTCATCACCCAGCAACACTTTGCGAATACTTTACGCGTCGTGCACGGCTCCATTGTAGTGTAAACAGTGGCGCCCTGTGCTTGCTCGGGCGTCAACTTTTTCAGCGCGCACTCCTGTTGCAAGTGTTTTCATCCATGATGCACAACTGAGTAAGCATGGGAGCATGAAAATAATCTCAGAGCTATGCTATGAACATAAACCACGGTCATGTCGCCTGCAACCCCTCGATGACATGATTGACGACAACGGTGTGGGCGACAGATACGGTCCTCACCTCTGCGTGAGTATTCCCGGGCAGCTCGCGACTAAATCCAGACGACAAGACAACGCCATTTTGGACAATCACACACCTGTGTCACCAAACCAGAAATGTCCATGATTTCTGAGCAGCATTTCCACTTCCAGCCAATTCAGCTCCTGTGTCCCACTTCTCCCCTTGCCCTCCCCCCCCCACGCCCAGCCCAGCCGTGCGATTCCACATGGCCGCCTCAACGGCAAGGCCATGCAGGAACGCAGCATGTCCGGATGGCAAAATCGGGTCGGATTGACTCACCCGACGCAATACGCCGTTTCAACTGGGACACTCTGGTTGGCTTGCTGAATGGCCATCGCCATGTACCGCCAATCATTGCTCTCTGAATCCAAAGACATGTTTGGCAATGAAGTCTGGATTTTTGAGCAAGAGCAGGTGCTTTTTGCGCGAATCGAAAAAAAAAAACCAAAAAAAAAAAAAGACTGATTCTTGAATGGAACAAGCACGCAAACCGTGTCAAACAATGCGCCTCAGGCACTACACAACAAGAATGGAGTAGATCAAATAAACATGAAGCAAAACCAGATAAACGAGCGCGGAAATGCGCACCAACGGGCGAGAGCGCAAGCTGCGATTGGCTTGAATGCTGACAGTATTCAGAGCGCGTAGAGCTTTGCGGCTGAGAATCTTGGCCTTATCGATCGGGTTGGAGGCTGCACATGGAACAAGGAAACACATTCATGAGCGTTTTGATCAACACGCACACTCCTGGCCAAAAACAAAAAAACCACAAATGCTTTTTGTCGCTTCCTCACCTCGCTCGAACGCGCCGGCCTCGACGTCGAAATCGCCAGTTTCGTTTCCAGAATCGTAGTTTGCGCCACTTCCCCACGAATCCATAGGAGTCTGTTTGAACACGGAAAGGTTGGTGTCAGAATTGGTTGGCATTCGCTGCGCCTCAGAATTGTTTGTTCAAGCAAAGAAAGAAACGAAAAAAGAAAAGCCCGAAACTGCCCGCCCCGCCTCCCCCAAAAAAAAAAAAAAGCAAACAACACTCACGCTGCGGAAACTCACGTGCGGCTCGGCAGCAGATTGCCTGTTGGCGACTTCACGGGCGAGCTCGGCGCGAAGTTGGTCAACTTCACGACGATGCTGCTGCAATTGCTGCTGCAACTGTTGCTGCAGCTGCTGTTGTGTCTCGGCACTTGCAGAGGCAGTTTGGAACTGATGCTGTTGTTGCTGTTGCTGCTGTTGAACGGCCACGGCTTTGGTGTGCTCGAGCTCCTGCGTGAGCGCCCGGACCCGCTGCTCCAGCTTGTCCACCGCGCCCTGCGTCTCCTGGGACGGTGCTGCTTGAGCCAGCTGCTGGTGTTGCACCGAAACTTCATCCAGGCGCTCTTTCAACTGTGTTGCGAGCAACGCGGACGCCAACTCGCGTTGTTGACTTGCCGCGAGCTGTTCGCCGAGCTCGCCCACAGACGCGCGAATGCGGTCGCGCTCGTCTCGCATCAGTTGCGCTTGGGCGGCCAGGCCAGTCGCCGTTGCAAGCTCCTGGCGTAGCTGCGTGAGCTCGTCCGCTTGCGACGACTCGAAACGCGACTTGCCAGCAAGTGCCGCTTCCAGCTGCCCGACCTGGTTGCGGAAGGCCGCGCGCTCTGACTCAAAGGTCTGCTGCTGCACGGCAGCGTGGGACTGCTTGAGCGCAGCTTCCTGCTCAAACCGGTCAACAGTCGCCAGCGCTTCGGACAGCCTGCTCTGCAGATCGTGCGCATGCGAGCGCAGCGAGCTCAAGTCGCGAGACTCGGCACTCTGGAGTTCAGCGTTGCGTGCCATTTCACCGCGCAGCTGCTGCTCGAGTGCGGCTTGACGCTCCAACTGCGTCTGCAAATCGGCCACGAGAGCTTGTGTTTGGCCGGCAGCAGAAAGCTGGGCCTGCAGTGCCGCCACCTGATCCGTGGCAGACTGTGCCAACGCGGCTTGCGCGGTAGCAGCAGCGAGCTGCTGCGTCAAATCACGCACTTGCTCAGCAGCAGCACTCATGCGAGCATCAACATCTGCGCTACTGGAGGTCTGCTGCTGTTGAAGCGTGGCCAGGGTCTGTTCCAGCTCGGCGCACTTGGAATTCGCGGCAGACACTTGTTGCTGGAGCGAGGCTTCGCGATCAGCGTGTTGAACAGCAGTGGCAATCGCGTCTTGACTGGTCTGCTGAGCCGGTGCTGATGCGGCTTGTGCAGCTGCCAGCTGCGCCGCCAGGTCGCGAATGCGCTCGTTCAGAGCCGAAACTTGCCCCTCTTGCTCGGAGGCGGACGCCGACGCAGCAGCCTCGGCCTGAGCTGCCTGCGCTGCGAGTTGTTGACGAGCAGCAGACAGTTCCGTGCGAAGCGCATCTTCGCGTTCGGAGCCCGATGCAAGGTGCTCGGCGTGCACTTGCCGCAAGGTTTCGAGTTCTTGGGATGCCTCTGTCGAGGATGCAACCGCAGCCGATGCAGACGCCACCTCGGCCTCAAGCTGCTGCACGCGCTGTTGGAGTGCCGCTTGTGCTTGGGTTGCAGCCTTTGCCTCGGCACGGACGCGCTCCAGCTCGTCGGCGTGTTGTTGGGCGATGAGAGCGGTCGCTTCGCTCGCAGTACTGCGAAGCTGGGCAATCTCCGAAGAGAGGGCGGCGCTCTGCTCCATGCTTGCAGTGGCAGACTGCTTCGAAGAATCCAGCTCGGCAGTCAAGGAAGCGATCGACGCCCGCAAACGCTCGGCTTCGGCAGCACCTTGCTCGCGGGCGGTCTCGGCTTCCGCGGCCGAGTTCGCTTGGGCAGCGGACTGTGCCAACGCAAGATCCGCGCTGTGCTTGGCCAAAAGCGCAGCATGTTGCGCGTCTGCCGTGCTGGCAGCTTGACGGAGGACATCAACTTGCTCGACCAACACCGCGCGAGCATCCGATGCCGCGTCCAGTGTCTGTTGAAGCTCGGTCGCACGGGCGGCGAGCTCAGTCTTCTCCTCCTCGGCAGCAGAGGCGGCAAGCTGGAGAGCAGCGACTTGGGCTTGGAGCTGAACGACCAGGTCGGCCGAGTTGTCGGGGATGGTGGCCTGCTGTTGCGACGCAGCAGCGGCAAGCTGCTCGCGCAGCACAGACACTTGTTGTTGTGCCTCTTCGCCGGTCGCGCGAATGCGGGCAAGTTCGCTTTCATGCTGCGCACGGGGCACAGAGTTTTCAAGCTTTTGCTCCAACTCTTCCTTTTCGGTGCGTAGCTCCTCTGCCGAGTCCGCATCCCATTGTAGCTTGGAAATGAGTCGCTGGGAGTCGGCAAGTTGCTGCTCCAGCCCAGTAACGCGTTCGTGCAGCTGCTGCTCCAATTCGGCAACACGTTCGCTTAGCTCTTGGTTGATGCTGCTCTCATTGGCCGCCGGGGCGGGTGCGGATGCGGATGCGGATGCGGTGGACGACTGCTGGCGGAGTAAATCAACCTCGGCCTGGAGCTGCAGCACGTGCGCACGAGACTGTTGCAACGCCTGGTCGGTCTGCTGCTGCTGGAGGCCGCTCTGCTGAGCCTGCTTGAGTGATTGCTGAAGCTCAGAAATGCGGGTTTGCAAATCGTCATTCTCTTCGGCATGCTCCTCGCGGAGCTGATCCAGCTTTTGCTTGAGCTCTGCATCAGCTTGTTGCCGGTGCTGCTGCTGGGCCGTCGCGAGCTGGGACTCGAGCTCCGACACTTTGGATGTCAACGCGCGACGCTTGTCCTCGGCTTCCCGCAGCGCCGAGTTGGCCACCGCCAGCGCGTTCGAGGTGGCCGAGTGGTCTTCCGCGGCGAAACTCGTATCTCCAGCCGCAATGGCGCTCGCGTTGAGGCTTTCGTTGAGCACACCGGCCGAGGCAGGCGTTGCTCGTCCAGAGTTGGCTGCAGACGAGGCCATTGAGTCGCCTGCACCGGCACCGGCACCGGCACCGGCACCGGCCGCCTCCTTGTACTGCTTGAGCTCCTGCTTGACCGCGGCGAGCTTGGCTTGGGCCTGGTTCTTGAGCTTGTTGAACTTGAGCTCGGCGGTCTGGTTGAGCTCGACCAGCTGGGTTCGGAGCCCAGCCGTCTCCTGCTCGAGCTGCTCGATGCGGCGCTGCTTGTCGTCCGCGTCGCCGCTGGGATTCCAGCCACTGGTGCTGTTGGCCTGCTGCTGCAGTCCACTCTTGCTGCCCGTCACGACCTCGGGCGTCGATGAGGGTGACGACGTGGCTCCACCGGCTTGATCTCCTCCTGCTTTCGCCGCTTCGGCCGGGCCGCCGTCGCCCGCTCCACCTCCAGGAGCAGCAGCGTTCATCCCGAGATCCTCGACGACGTGCTCAATCCGGTCCTGCACCGTCTTGGTGAGGGTGTTGAGCCGCGACCACATGTCTGTCATGGCGACTGGCGTTCAAAAAAAAAAATTAAATACAAAAAAACAAAAAAAAAAAAAAACTGAAACGCTTCGGAAAAAAAAAAAAAAAAAAAAAAGAAATTCAATGAAAGCTCAAACAAACAAACAAACTACGTCTACAAAACTACCCGAACTCAAACACAATCTGCTACCTCGAAGTGAGCAAAAGTCATCATCAGAAGAAAACACAGCATCACACCACCAGAGAAAAGGAAGCGAGCGTTCTTTGGTTAATTCGGCGGTTGATTCTCGCTCAAGCTGTTTGAAGTGAGAAAGCCAGGCCATACCGTCAAACAGTAAGTACCACGTGCATACACGACAGTATCAGCATCAGAGAAAGGGGACCCATACTTGAGCGAGACAAATGCAGACTTCTGGTTGAGTGCGTTGTCCAACGCAAGCTCTCCGGCTTCCCCGATTTCGTTATACCACAAACTGTTTGCATAGGAGTGAGCAAAAGCACTGCAGATCAGGACGTACACACATTCATTGTTGATCTCAATCTGCAAAATAATGGTCACATACTCGAGTACTTTGAGTGTGGTGTTTCGCAGGAGCGCTTCTGCCAACCTTTCGGCGCCAGCATCGCCAATATGATTCTTTCCGAGACTGTGTACAATGCAGTGAGTAACATGCAGCTTGTTCAATTACCAGTGCGACACGAAGCAGCAGAAAAGCGAGAGGAACATACTCGAGAGTAGTCAGTGTTGTGTTCTGCGAAATCACTGCCGCCATCGCATTTGCACCACTATCGCGAATAGAATTGCGGGACAGACTGCTCTCAAAAGGTAAGTACCGCTATCACTGTTCATTAAACGACATGCTCAGCATGCAAGGTAGCAAGCGAACGGAAACGTACTCGAACGAAGTCAATCCCACGTTGTGCTTCAGTTCCTCCGCCAGCGCCATTGCTCCTGTACTGCCAATCCAACACTCGCGCAGGCTGCTCAAAGCGTCAGTATCATCAACGTAGTGCAGCAGCAAAAGGGCGCAATAAGCAAGGGCAGAAATAGCCATTTCGTACTTTAGAGTGGTCAGTGTCGTGTTCACCCTGAGTGCCTTGGAAATCGCTTCCGCTCCTGCATCTCCGAGCTGAGTGGAACTCAGACTAGAATCGTGTCGTGATTGAACAAACCCCCGACATGATCAAGCAGCGATTAGTTGACGACGCCGAGAACGACAACAATCAGCAAGCCAGCGCGATGGAAAGACAACATACTTGAGTATAATGAGCTTGGTGTTCTGCGTCAGCGCTTCTGCAATCGCTTGGGCTCCAATCGGGCCAACCTGACTGGAACGCAGACTGTTGTCACGGTGAGCGCTGATGTGCTCGCATCAAAAATCAATCCGACCGACCACCGACACCACCGACGCCACCCCTCCTCCCCCAGAACAAATAACATCAGCGCGAAAGAAGCAAACAAACTTGAGCTCGGTCATCCAAGAGTTCTGCTTGAGTGATGTCGCAAGCACTTGCGCTCCAAAGTCGTCAAGGCCAAAGTAAATCCTAAACAGTGTCGTGAACAACAATCAATGTGAGTTGCAATGAAAGTCACAACACCAACCGAACACGAGAACTTACTCAAGCTTGCTTGGCTTGATCAAACTCAGAACCTCTTGAATCACTTGCACTCCAGCAGAGTCAACAATGTTCTCACGCAAGCTGTCCGCATAAACTGAGTTACTTATATCCATCGAAAGAAGCATCACATGCGTCGTCGTCATAGAAGGGGGAACAACAGGAGAAGGGAGAAGGAACATACAAAAGCCTGGAAACCCGCGACAGGGCTTTTTCGAGTCCAAATCCATGCGGATTACGCACCTGCGGCAGCAGACTGTGACCACACGGTGACAAGTTGCGTGAACGACCACCTCTGGCCACTTCAGAGTGAATGTCAACTGCAGGACAACATACCGCTCTGTGGTCAATGGTTCTGACATTTCACGCTCGAATTCAGGGTCATAGCGCTTCATGTCGCGCAACCTGGAATCACGCCGTGAGTAATCGCATCAGAAAGAATCATTTTATGCGCACACGTGAGATTTTGACCGGCACGAGGGATTGCAACCTACTTGAACGTGGTCAGCGTAGTGTTGTGCTTGAGTGCGGCTGCGATCATTTGCACTCCTGAGTCAACAAAGCGAGCCGTCACCCTGTGATGCCATCACGGTGAAGAAAACAAACAACCAAACAAGAAAACGAACCATGAATCATCAATTAGCACTTGCTATCGCTTTCGGAGCATCAAACGACACACAATGAAAGGTGACCGTACTCGAGGGTGGTGAGCTTGGCGTTTTGCTTCAGCACAGTGGCAATCGAGTGCGCTCCAGCTTTGCCAAGCACGCCGTTCCCTAGTCTAATCCCAGAAACAGTGTCAGTTTCAGTGAATCAAGCATCGAGGCAAATCAGCATGCCGGTTGGTACATACTTGAGCGAGGTTAGAGTCGTGTTCTGAACAAGTGCGGGTGCAATTGCCTGCGTCTCAGCATCACCAATGGAACAATCCTCCAACCTGCTCCCACATAACAAGGAAAGTAATTACAGTGAGGCATGACAACATCAATCACCGCGGAAGATTGAACATACTCGAGCGTGGTCAGCGCAGTGTTCACTTTGAGCGCCTCGGCAATAGGTTTCACACCAGCAGTGCCAATGGCATTGTTATTCAGACTGCAACCACGTGCTAAGTGAGAATACCAACAAGCAGGTCGCCCCGCCTTCAGGTTTCACATCAATCAGCAAACAAAGAACGTACCGCAGCGTCGTCAGGGTCTTGTTCTGCTTCAGGGCCTCGGCAATCGCCTGCGCTCCAACAGCGCCGATAGGGTTAAAGGCAATAAACCCACGAGCATTGGAAGATAAACTGATTGAGCAAAGCCGTGAGTAATAGAACGGTCAAGGAACAGCAATTGTGTATGAGTGACAGAAAGGTGTTCGAAACCCTTACTCGAGTGTCGTCAGCGCCGTGTTCTGCTTGAGAGCTTCGGCAATCTCGTGCACTTTAAAACAAAGTTGACTGCAACTCAGACTGTTGGCTGACCGTGAGTAAAAGCAGCAACAACCAGTTCCACAACAACAGGAGCATAGAACGTACTCGAGAGTGGTCAAACTTGTGTTCGACTTCAGCATTTCGGCAATGCTGTTGGCACCAACATCGTCAATCGGATTCCTTGAAAGACTGTGTTTTCAAGTGGTAAGAAAGTGAATCACCAGAATATAGCCTCGCTCTCAACAACAGCATTCCCAAACGTACTTGAGCGTGGTCAACGTGTTGTTCTGCGCGAGTGCTCGTCCGATCGCTTGGAGTCCAGCAGTGCCAATCCTGCAGTCATTGAGACTTGACACGTGACACGCAATACAAGAAAAGTTAATCTTTGTGCCTTTGCAGACGAGAAATGGGCCAATGTGCGGCCGAAAAACATACTGCAGAGTGGTAAGCGTCTTGTTCTGCCGAAGAGCATCCGCAATGGCCTGAGCACCGGCATCACCAAACCAACTGTGGTCCAGACTGTGCTCAAGCAGTGAGAATTTCAAATTACTTTGATAATCAAGAGTGATAGCGTCAAACCGGCATGACAGATTGCAAACATACTCGAGTGTGGTCAGTGTGGTGTTGCTCTTGAGTGCTGTAGCAATCGCCTGCGCTCCGGCTACTTCCATTTCGTCACCCATAAGTCTATTCCCAAAGCGATGAGCCATACCATCGGATACCACAATACAGCACAACATTCATCAACACAAAGCGAAGATCTCGTACGAGAGTTTCGTGAGAGAAGTATTTTTCGCGAGCGCTTCTGCAATTGCTTGGAATCCAACGCTGTTCAAGTTATTGGCACCCAGACTATAATCAATGTGTGAGCATGCGCTACTTGAAGGCAGAAGGCAACGTTGATTGTCTCGATTTTCGTTCTCTTCATCTTTCTGCTTTTCGTTTGGGGTAGGGGGATAAAGGTAGGAGCTGTCACGTACTCAAGCTCAGTCAGCGTCGTGTTCACTTGGAGCATCCGTGGTATCGCCGCCTGCGCGCCAGAACCGAGAGTGATATTGTTTTTCAAACTGCGAGCATTGCAGTGAGCGATATGACGAGTGGAACAGCACGTGCAGTTACAAAGACATGGATTCAGTCAAAATGAGAAGGGAGGATCATACTTGAGGGAGGTCAGCGTCGTGTTCTTCTCGAGCGCGTGGACAATCGCTTCAACTCCAGCATCTCCAATCGAACACCAATACTGCCTGTGGCAATTGATGTCAGCGATGGCATAACAACGCAGCAGTGGCACCCAGAGTCACAACATCCATCCGGCAGTACGTACGAAAGCGTGGTCAACGTCTTGTTGCACACCAGAGCCTCAGCGATCGCACGTGCTCCAGCTTCGCCAATCTCGGTACTCAAACTATTACAATGAAGTGAGCAACAAACATCACAGCAGCTCCAATAATGATCTCAAGCAATGATTCAGCATGAGAGTGGCACTGACACAAGCGTAGTCAATGCCAAGTTGGTCTTGAGTGCCTCTCCAATCGCTTGCGTTCCAGCGCTGCCAATATCGTTGTCGATCAAGCTGGTGACCATGCAATGAGAATCAATAATTCAATATACGATTCAACTTATCAGCGAACAAGCAACTCGCAGACGAGGAAGAGAGTGGTGGAATCCTTACCGGAGTGCAGTCAAAGTGGTGTTTGATTTCAGCGCTTCTCCAATCGCATGAGCTCCCAAGTCTCCAATCTTCGTATTATCCAACCTGGCCGCGACATACAAACAGAGTTAGATTGATGTTCGCAATCAGACACGGAAGTGGTCAGCATGAGAGGGAAGAAGCATACACGAGCGTGGTCAGTGTCGAGTTTTGCTTCAGGATGGCGGCAATCGAGTTTGCCTCGGCAGGGCCGAATTTGCCCGAGTGCACACTGTTACCACAAAGTGAGCGACGCCATCGAAACAAATGGAGCGTTTGCAATGGTTCACTGGAATGCAATCAAAATGCGAAAGTGGGTGCGTACTGGAGCGTGGTCAACGTGGCGTTCTGCGTCAGTGCCTTTGCCATCGATCGCGCTCCATTGGCATCGAGGTAACCCCTGTCGTCACACGGTGAGCCAATTACCTCGCAAAGCAACACGGGCAAATGGTGCAAAAACAACTTACGAGAGTTCAGTCAGAGTGGTGTTTTGCGTCAGTGCATCGGACATTACTGCGTCAATGTAATTTTGAGTCCTGTTATCAGAAAGTAAAGTAGTGAGCAAGGGGGACTTTGCACAGCTGCCATTATCATGGCATTGGCAACGGATCCTGCTTTACATACCAGAGTGTTGTCAGCGTTTTGTTCTGCGCTAACGCGGCCGCAATCGGCTGCATTTTTGTATCGTCAACCACAAGGTAACCCAAGCTGAAACCATACGGTGAGTCAAGGCATCAAACAAACATGGAGTTAGCAGAAGACGACAAGTACATACTCGAGCGTAGTCAGTGTGGTGTTTTGCAGGAGTGCTTCACCAATCGCTTCCTCCCTGCTGAGCTTCTTGCTGTCCTGGTTGTCGTCGCCGTCGCCAGCAGTGTCGTCGTCGCAGTCCTCGTAATCGCCGTCGTCAGCATCGTCAGCATCCGTTTGACGAGCCTTCTTCTTGTTCTTCTTGGATGTTGAGGTGTTCTCCCCGGCCATTTCAGCAGCCCGACGCTTGCTCCGGATGGTCGTGGGGGCGCCACTACTGGAAGTTGAACTCGTCTTGCCAGTACGCGCAATTGCAACCTGAATGGGTTTGCGAGCACGAAGATGGTAGCTCACAGTCTGAGATCCTTGGTTGGTTGGTGCAGTGGCCTTCTTCTGAGCGGTCTGGCGTTATGTGAAAAATCAAACAGTAGGAATCACAAACGAAGCAAACAAGATGTCAGCGACGAGCTAGTGGAGTGGCATTACGCCTCACAACTCTTTGGGCAGGAGCGGCACCTTGCTGAGCGGCGCTGAGATTGAAGTGGCAGGGACAGGTGCGGCTGCCTTGCTGGTCCTGCCTCGCGGAGCAGCAATAGTAGTAGTAGCCACTTGTACTGCTGATGTAGCAGCAGTGGCAGCAGCAGCAGTGGCAGCAGCACGGGCAGCAGCTCGCTTGGGTTTGGGTGGATCGACCTCCATTGGCGCGACCACACGATCGTCTTCCACTGCGTCGGTGCTACTGATGCTGCCACCAGTCTTTGGCTTGGTGGCTCTTGTAGCGCGCACAGGAGTAGGAGTAGGAGCAGGAGCAGCCGAGGGTACCGCCTTCTTTGCCATTTGAGAAACGCAAAGATTTTTACACAATAAACAATCCACAAGAAGATCAAAAACAAAGACTGATTGTTTCGAATACAATGCCATCGTCGAGCCAGCTCTAGCGTGCTTGTCCCTGCTTTCCTTCTGGTTTCTTTGTTTGTTTGTTTGCTTGTGTGGTTGTTTGTTTGTTTTTGTGCTTGACCCTTGCTTTCTTTTGTTGTTAGTTGTGATTTTCTTTTGTTGTTTGGTTGGTTGTTTGTTTGTTTGTCGTTCTGTGTTGCTGTCCTCCTGACTGTCAAGCACCCGAGTCTGGAAAAATTATCGTGCCCGAGACTTGAGCTTGTCGAGGAGACTTGACTGCTCATTGCTCACCTTACCGATTGTGTGGGTTCTGACCAAACGAGGTGTCCAGATACGCCACAGAGACACTCTGCAGCGTCAAATGCAAACGTGGTTTATATTGGATGCTGGAAGACACCCACGAGCTGGACACCAAGCAGTGAGGCAAATCTGAGCATCTCATCCGTCCGTTTCGTTAAAGCTTGGAAAGCGCGCGGCCAGGCTTGTGCGGGCGAGCGAGCTCCACAACATCAGCAGCACAACCGTAGCTCACAGTCCAGCCGCAGCCTCCGTGTCCATAGTTGTGGATGAGTGGGAAACCTGAACACAAAACATGCCAACCACCACCACCACCCGTGAGCTCGCTGATTGGCAACAGCACTCTTCGACAAAAGAAATTGTTCAACGCACCGTTTTTCAGTTCCTTCTCGAGGCGAACTTCAGTGCGTCCAGGACGCAACCCGACAAAATGCCCCATCACCTTGTGCATGGAGGTGTCATTGATGCCAGGAGCCAGCTGGGCACACCGATGACTGTTGTGGCATGTTGTATGTTGTGTGCAACACAAACATATCAAAGCGAAAAAAAAAAAAAAAAAAAAAAAAAAAAAAAAAAAAAAAAAAAAAAAAAAAAAAAAAAAAACAATCGGCCAAATCGCATCCTGGTGAGCAAGAAGCCCCAACGACTCTAACAAGAATACAAAACATCAGTCTCCCGCAGCACGTACCGAATGTCCGCAGCCACCTTCATGTCAACGTGCGTGTCCCATTGGCCTTTGTGTGTGGTGCCACCAATGACGATACGGTCTTGGCGAGGGAAAATGTAGGTGACATTGTCAACTTGGTCCTCGACAATGTAAAACTTGTTGACGGGAGACTCTGGTGTCGTCGTGAGGTAGGTGACTTGGCCTCGGATGGGATAGACGTTTGGGTCGGGCACGAGCGAATACGCCTCAAGTCCAGCGCAATTGATCACAACATCGCCTCGGCCAACCACGTCGTACACGCTAGACAGCGTTTTGCACTCGAATGTTCCACCCAGCGCCTTGATGCTAATGCACATTGTGAAAGCACCAAGATTGTTGGATTTGTTGGAAGGGGAGGTGGGGGGGCGGCGGCCAGAAAATGTGAGGTTCCAAGGGAACGAAACAAACGAACAAAAGGCGTTTATCAGAGCGATGGAACTCGTCGACGTACCGCTCTTGCAAATACAGCAAATGCTTGTGCGTTTGGGTTACAACGGCGGTGATCAACCAACCCTCGGACATGCCCGCTGGGAGCTCGGCGCTTGTCAACTTGCGTTGCGGGATGTTAAACACGGTCCAATACGGTCCTTCTGGTCCGTGTGTCTCCTTCTCGTACACTATTGCAGCACAGAAACACACGCGCATACATTTCATGAGAAATACATCCCCGCGCATTTTTAGCACTGCGGCTCCGGCCCAACGGTCGCGAACGACACTCGCGCTTCAAAAAGAGCGGCAACACACCATATGGAACTCAACAAAACCAAAAAACCCTCCGCTCCAGTGCATGCGACATGAAGGGTGGCATTCGTCCCCTTGCTTGCTGGCAAGCAGTTTCACACTCACGGATGTAGCCTTCTGAGAATTCGCAGCCCGTTGCGGCGGAGTCGTGGGTCGCGAGGTACTGCCAGCGCGAGAGTGTCTCGCTCGACCAGCGAACAATCTTGTCGAGTGGCTGCGCAAAGTACGGAAACCAAAAGCCAGCAGCGCCATCGCTCGTCGTGCTTGGGGAGAAGTTCTTGGCAACCACAGTCACCTTCCAGCCGTCTTCCAGCAGGCGCACTGCGCACGTTAGGCCGTTGACGCCCGCGCCAATCACAATCGCAGACATTTGAGGATTTGGTCAAAGTGGGGCAAAGGACTGAGAGTGAGCCCTTGCAATATGATGCACATATGGAAACTTGTACAGTATGATTTATAAAGGGCCAGCTCGGGCGTTGAGATGGCCTCAGATGATGGTTGGGGCCGTCTCAGACCAATCTTGAGAATTGATTGATTCACACTCAATGCAGTCGCTAGAAATGATTGTGATCGACGACAGCCAGATTTACCCTGAGACACGTTAGTATGCCAGACTGTCCACTCACTTGCAGGTTGCTCACTTTTCATTCTTCTCACCAAAAACAGCGCACAATGTCGGATCGCGCGACGGTGCTGATGCGCCATCTGCTGGGCTCTGGTCGTTTTACTCCCGTCCATGCGTCTGCTTCGATGCCCTCCTCCGCCACCGCCTCGTCTGCGCAGATGACACAGTCATCGTCGTCCACTCCATCCACTGCGGCTGCTGCTAAGTTGGGCACGGAGGCGGCTGCGGCCACCAGCAGGTGAGTTGGGACGGCCGTGACTTTGAACCGACGGTTGGATTCCGTCGGCGTTTTGCGCGCTCTTCTACTCCAAGCCACCCCCCTGCCCCTTTAAGACGTCTGTCGGGCTCACTCACATGCGCATCGTGCTTGCGGCACGTTTGTTTGTTTACTGCTTTGTGGCTGTGCGGGTGTGCGGCTTGTATTGCCATTCCTGCCAAAAGTAGCAGTGCAGTCGGCGGGATTAACTCGCTCACAGTGGTCGACAACCGGACTGGGCGCAAGTACGAACTGGCCATCCAGGATGGAACCGTGCGGGCAAGCGAGTTCAAGAAGATGGCACTTGCAGCTGCAGACACTGAAGGCATCAAGTACGACGTGATTGGTTTGCAGTTCACCTGGTTGTTCTCACTGAATCTGGTGGCTGGCTAGAATTTACGATCCCGCGTATACGAATACCGCCGTGGCACGCTCAGCAATCTCTTACATTGATGGTGACAAGGGTGTCCTGCTGTACAGAGGTTTGTGCAACATGCTTGATGCTTTGCTGTTCCAAATGCGACGGTTGAACGCTCATTTTTTTTTTTCGTTTTTTTACACTCGCACCAATAGGATATCCGATCGAAGAGCTGGCAGAGAAATCGTCCTTCTTGGAAGTCAGCTTCTTGCTCCTCTACGGCGAGTTGCCCACAAAGGCAAGTGCCACAAAACGAACACGGTCGGTGTTTGCCAATTGTTACACTCACGCTCCGCGCGTCCAACTTCCAGCCTGAACTTGATCACTGGAATTCAATGATCATGCATCACACATTCATTCACGAAAACCTGCGAGATTTTATGCAGTCCTTCCGCTACGACTCGCATCCGATGGGCATGCTTGTGAGGTAAGACGACCCCCCCCCCCCGTCGTGAACTTGTGCCAAACACAGATTGCTCATCACTCGCCTGTCTGTCGGTCAGCTCGTTTGCTGCCATGTCTACATTCCACCCCGAGGCCAATCCGGCGCTGTCAGGAGCCGACATTTACAACGACATTCGCCTGCGCAACAAGCAAATCCATCGCATTATGGGAAAAGTGCCCACCATCGCCGCGAATGCCTACCGCCACCGCATGGGTCGCCCGTTCAACCACCCGGTCAACCATCTCACGTACACTGAGAACTTTTTGTACATGATGGATCGCCTCAGTGAGAGCAACTACCGTCCCAACCCGCAGCTCGCGCGCGCGCTTGACATTCTCTTCATTCTCCATGCCGATCACGAGATGAACTGCTCAACTGCGGCGATGCGTCACATTGCCAGCTCGCAAGTGGATCCTTACACGGCCATGTCTGGCGCTGCCGCTGCTCTCTACGGCCCCCTTCACGGCGGCGCAAATGAGGTATGGCGTTGCAACAAGAATGCAGAGGGGGGGTGTCTGTGTGAGCGTTTTGTCTTTTTGTTGTTTTTTCCCCTCATTGCATATTGACCTTTGCACGCCCCTGGCTCTTTCCTCAAGGCTGTCCTCCGCATGCTCGAGCAAATCGGCACTGTTCAGAATGTGCCTGCGTTTATCGAGTCCGTCAAGCAAAAGAAGGGCAAGCTGTTTGGATTTGGCCACCGCGTGTACAAGAACTATGATCCTCGTGCCAAGATTATCCAGCGCATTGCGTATGAGGTCATTGAAATTTGCGGCGGAAACGAACCCCTCATTGAAGTTGCGGTCGCTCTCGAGAAGGCCGCTCTCTCCGATTCGTACTTTATCGACCGCAAGCTGTATCCCAACGTGGACTTTTATTCTGGTCTGATTTACCGATGTGAGTCGTGCTTTGCTTTGTCAGGCGCAGAGACGCGGGGCGGGGGAAATTATTCTCAGACTCATGTTTCTTATGTTTCTTTGGCCACTCGCCTTCCCCTTCGTGGTTGACAGCCATGGGGTTCCCAACTGACATGTTCCCGGTGCTGTTTGCCATTCCTCGCGTGGCGGGCTGGCTTGCTCACTGGAACGAGGACATTGAGAAGGGCGAACGGCGAATCTGGCGTCCTTTGCAGGTATGTATGGGTTTGACAGCATCGCGAGGCCCCTTTGTCTCGGACGTGCAAGGCTTGTGATTTTTATTCTTTGTTGTTTCGTCTATTCTTTGCTGTTTCGTTGTGTGTGTGGTCAAACCAGGTCTATGTGGGCGAGAAAGAGCGCGCGTACGTTCCCCTGCAACAGCGTCAAGTCGCCTCCAGCAAATCCCTCGCCGGCTATCCGAGTCAATTTGGGAAGCGCAGCAGCATGGCCAAGTGATGTGGACTCCTTCCCTGGCTGCTATCTGAGTTGATGTTTGTCCGAAGTGAGAATTTTTGGGTGTTTTTTTTTGTTTTTCTTCCAATACAAATTCGGATAACACGGTAGGGTATAATGTACCTTTGATTATCTCTTATTCCACGTCGTTTTCTTCGATCTATGGCAAAGGGATTGGCCAACTGGGAAAAATGGCCCAAAATTTCACAAAAATGTTGATTGAAGGACATTCAAAACACTATGCTTCACAAATCAAAGAATGCAACAATCCGCAGCCTCCAAGCCCCCAAGCATCCAAACACCCACCAACACATAGCAAAACACTGCAATTTGATAAATCAATTGTCAGATGCTGATACCGGCGGAGTGGTTTCCGGACTACCATCCAATAAGACCCGCCTCGCCTCCTCGTCCGCCTGTTGTCGTCCTGGAGATCATCTTGCTGTCGGTCTCATCTTTATCGGAATTGCAATGATATTTATCACCGATGCGTGCATCCCGGGGGGTTGTCGCTCCTCTCCAGACAACGCGACCGAGCTGCAACGGAAGGCGATCGAACGTGCAAAATATTTCATCATCACTCGCAATCACGGCAACATCGTTTGCTGTAAGTGGTAGTTTTTGCGCTCCCCTCCCCAACCACCACCACCTTTCCCACGTTTCGCGTCGCAATCTACTCTGCCACGTCCACAACCATTTCGCGCCTGGATTTGGCGAGGTAAATGGAAAAAGCTCTCACTCTTTATTTTTTTCCCCCTTATTTTTGGTTGTCTCGGCTCCAATTTCCCGCCTTTTTTTTTGTTTTTAATTTCCGCTTTTTTTTGAAAGCCTTTGTCACCGCCACTCTTCTCACCAGCGATGGCCGTCGAGCTCCGCGTCGCTGGCGCCATCCGTTCCATGGGCGAGTCTCGCCTTGTGACGGACGCGCGGGGTGCTCCAGCCACCTCAGGAAACAGCACGGATGGCTCTCACGTCAGCGCAAACGTTGCGTGTTTTGCGCGCGTTTCAGCGAACGAACAACGTCAGCCTGTCGCAAGCCACCTCGCAGCGCCCACCTCCGCCACCTCCGCCACCTCGAGCACCACTCCAACTCTTCCTGCGACTGATGATACTATTCAAAGCGATATGCGCGCCTGGGAAGAGACTGGACGCAGTGTCGCCTGGCAGACACGGGGCGAAACCGCAGTCCTGTCAAGCCAACCGCCGATTGCCGAAAATGGCAGTCTTCTGTCCTTGCACCACCGCTGCCGCCGTGAAGAGTCGACAGCCATCTCCGACCTCGAGCAAGGAATGAACGAGCTCTCCTTGCAGCGCATGCAGGTCGAGGGGCTGCTGCGCATGGCCCTGCACAAGGTTCTGCTGTCCCCGCCTCCCGTCCGAAAACAGCACCGCGCTGTCACACCTCCGCTTGCTGTCGTCCGAGCAACCGCGAACGCCGCCGCCGCCGCCACCACCACGACCACCACCGCTGCCGCAGCACCTGCTACTTCCACAACTGCTGTTGCCGACAATGCCAAGAGCATCCCCGACCGCGAGCCGACATCGCCACGCCAACTCGAGCCGGCGCTGCGGCGGTCGGTGCTGCTCAACAACTCGCTCAAACGAGCCTGTCGTCAGCGCCGAGAATTGGAGGAGCGTGAGTTCCAGGAGCGCGAACGCCTCGTCCAGCTGACTCGCGCTGCGCGGCAGGCAGCCACGATGGCCAGCAACATGGAGGAAATGCTGCATCTTGGCTTGGACGATCTCTTGCGCGAATTTGACAGCGAGGGCGATGACGATGACGGTGGCCTGCCGACCGTTCTGGAAGAAGAGCCCGAACCACCGCAGCAAGAATCTCCCTCGACAACCATGGTGCCCGACTCACCCATCGCCCTGACACACGGCTCGAGCGCATGCGCCACGCAACCGAGCAATCTTGCTGCTGACCACCATCGCCAAGCAGACCAAGAAAACCAAGCGGTTGCCAGCACATCCCCGCAGTTCCAGTCACACCACTTGCTACAACAAGAACAGCAACAACAACAAGAGCAGCAACAACAACCACAGCAACAACAACAACACCATCGTCGACAAAAGCGCTCTAGTGCCGGGCAACACGAGCCAGTTTCTCGTCGATCTCTGACCCGGAGGAGTTTGAGCGTTTTGCACTGCCACAGACGCCAACCGGTGCCAATCGTCGCAGAGTTTGAGTCCTTTGCCGGGTGCTGCTCCCCTCGCCAGCATTTCGCTGCACCTCTGAATCATCGAGGATGCATTGCATAAGGCAGCCTTGCGTTCCCTTTGTTTTCCTTGATTCGTTTTCATCCATTTTACCTTGTCAATACACGATTGTTTTCTTTTTGCCATTTTCCTGCCATATTCACAACTTGCCTTTTCGTCAAATATTATTGTCTGAGCACTCTTTTTTTTTTCTTTCTTCTCCTTTTTTTTTTTTTTTCTTTCGTTGTCGTTGTTGTTCCAGCGCAATGTCGAATCGCAAGTCCGGCGAGACAGTGCCGCTGCTGCAAGGCGAACCGCAGGGCTCTCCGCGAACACAATCACAATACTACAACAACAAGCTGAATGAGAGCACAGTGAGCGCCAAGTCGCTGTCGCAGAGCTTCCAGCAGTCTGCGAGCTCGAGCAGCGCCGCCGCGACCAACGCTTCGCCCGCGACCCCCGCGCCCACTGGCTGGCGCAAGGCCGTTTCCGGCGAGGGCTTCAAGCTCGGCATGCTGCTGCTGACGGTCGTTCTCATCGGCACAACCAACCGCGTGACATTCAAAATCATGCAGTACGGCAACACCAACTACATGTACTTTGTCTCGCAGGTGAGTTTGCAGTTGCAGTCAGCCGGCTGTCGTGTGCATTGTAGTTTTGGTGGAGGCGGGTGGTGTATGCATGCTTTGTCGGCCCCCCTTCGTCTATGTATTCCATTCAATGTGAGAAAGCAGAAGGCAGAAAGTGTGTTAAAAAAGAAAAAAAAAAATGGACTTTTTGTTCGTTTGCTCCTTGTCGGCACTGGCAGTTGGAGCGACGGACGGCAATACGCCCCCTCCCCACAATGGAGCACGTTTGCTTCTTTGCTCTTGTATCGCGGTTGTGGCTGCGATCGATCGCCCCCCGTTGTCTCTTCTTTATTATTAGAATTATTTTTATTTTTATTATTTTTATTTATTATTTTATTACTTTTATTATTTTTTGCCCTCGCTCTCTCTGCGCTTCCATTCATCTTTGGCAGTTGTCGCTGCGCACAGCTGTCTTCATCCACTCCTCACCATCCTCTGTGTCTGGATGGTCGGTGGTCGGTCTTTCCCCCCAAATGCAAGAGGATGGCTGGTTGTGGCTGAAGCGAGTCTTCGTGTCCACGAGTTTTCTTTTATTTTTCGATTTTCTCCTCTTTTTTTTTTTTTTTTTTTTTTTTTTTTTTTTTTTTTTTTCCGGCATCTCAACTCATTCGTTTCACACTTTTGCATTGGAAGCATCACTCGGTCGTCTTGCGTGCGTATCAACTCACCCATTGCATGGGATTTCCCTCCCCCCGCTTGTTTGTTTTGTGCGGACAGTTCACCTCGTTCATCTTCATCCCGATCTTCTTCGCCGTCATTCTGTTCAAGCGCCTCTTCACCAACGACATCACTCCCGACCAACTGGCCTTCCCAAAGTACAAGTTTGCCGTCATGGGCGGCCTCGACACGCTCCAGGGTCTGTTCATCACTGTCGGCGGCCGAAACGGTAGGGCATGCGCATGGCTGCTATTTATTCCCTTCCGAGAGCTCAACCAACTCACTTTTTTTTTGTGTGTTGTTGCTTTCCTTGTGCTCGTGCGTCGGCTTTGGGTGATTTCGTCACGCAAACAGTGCCCGGCATGATGCAAAACCTGCTCTTGCAAGGCGCCGTCCCAGTCACCATGCTTGCCTCCATCATCTTCCTGCGTCCAACTGGTTGCGAGTGAGTATTATCTCTTGCTTTTTGCGATTCCTGGTTGTCTCTGGACTTGTGCCTTGCCAACCTTTGGCCTTATTTCACACACCCCCGGTTCTTGTCTGTGGTTTATTTTTTCTCTTTTGTTTTTCCTCGTGATCAGCAACTGCAAAAAGATGCGCAAGGTCCTCACCACGCGCAAAATCAGCTTCTCGGAGCAGTCTACTCTGCCAACCCTCAAGTGCACTGACGACGAGTGCAAGAGCTGGGCCTCGCTGAACGGCACGAACGTTCGCAACGGCGACGTGAACGAGCTTACTCGTGTGCTCGACAACGAAATGCCATCCACCCTCAAGCCCCAGGTCACGCTCTACACTAGTGCACAGCCCTGGAAGGAACATCTCAAGTCCTTCTACAGCGTTTGGCAATACGTTGGCGCTGTCATCATTCTTGCTGGTCTCGTTGTTTCGGTCTGGCCCGCTGTTTCTGGCGGCGGTAGGTCGTTCCTCTCTCTCTCTATTTCCCTCTCCCTTCCTCGGTTTTTGTTTGGTTGCTTCCATGCTTCTGTACGTGATGCGAATTCCAACCCTATTGTCTTGTTCTGCTTCTTCGTCATGTGCCTGCAGATGGTGGTGGCCCAGTTGCGGACGACATGCTCTTCTTCACTGCTACTCTCCCTACGGCTCTTTCTGGCGTGTACAAGGAGATTGCCTTCCGCTCCTGCGATGACATGGATGTCTGGTACCTGAACGGCTGGGTCTCGGTCTTCCAGTTCCTGCTGGGTCTTCCTTTGGCACCGCTCGCTGCAGTCATGTCCGATCTTGCCGTCACTGACATTCCCAGCAATCTCTGGGAGGGTATCGAGTGTCTCTTTGCTGCTCACAACACGATCGTTCCTACCAACTCGTCGAGCTCCTGCGTTACCTTCTCCAACTGCAGTACGTTTGAATGCTGAAGTGTTCGTTGTCTCTCATTTTTGTTTTCTTCTTCTTCTTCTTGTTGTTGTCGTTGTATCGTTTGTGTTTTTGTTCACTTCTGCTTCGCGCCGAACTCACTTTGCCTCATTCTTACGCTTGTTCCTGCTGCTAGCCACCAATTGCTGCGATTCTTGCGACGGCTCCTTCTCTGAGGTCTCTGCCCTTCCCGCTTACGGTGGCATGCTCATGTATCTGTCTGCCAATCTCATCTAGTACGTGTTTCGACAACAGCTTCGCGCGTTGGGTTTCGGTGGCTCGTTGACTTTGGCATCACTTTTATGTTTCTCTCTGCAGTAACGTCGTCCTTGTCATGGTTATCAAGTACGGTAGCGCTGCGTTGATGTATGTGGCCAGCACGGCTGTGGTACGTTTCTACATATGCAGATTGACGCTGTGGCTTTGGGTTCCGGGGTTTTTTTCTTTGCTCTCGTTTTGCTCTCGTTTTGCTCTCGTTTTGCTCTCGATCTGCTCTCGTTTTGCTGACTTTGAAACTCTGCCCTTCGTTCTGTTCGGCAGCTCCCTCTCGGCGCCATCTGCTTCACTATTCCCGCCTTCTTGGGCGATCACGCAAAGGACTTTACCGTGTACGACGGCAGCGGTCTCGGCATTGTGCTCGCTGGTTTGATTGTTTACCGCTTTGTCGGCGGCCTCATGAAGAAGCGTCAACAAGTACCGTCAAAGGCTTTGATCTCCATCAACATGACCGAGCCTACAATGATTGAATCCGATCATGTTCGGCAACAGGTATGCATGCACAGCGCGTTTGTCCCCCGAGGCTTTTTTGTTTCCCCGCCGCTTTTTTCGCGAGACTAACACTGGTTGTTCTCGGCCGTAGGAGAAATTCAAGCCACGAACAGCAGCTCGTATGCGCAGCGACCTTTACATGCGCCTTGGTGTACAAACTCCGCCCCCGCAACATATGCGGATTAACATGGAGACTCAGTACGACACCGACGCATAAGCGACCTTTGTTGGTTTCTGTTGTTTCATTTTTTTTTTCCCCCTTTCTTTCTTTCTGTGTTTGTTGCCTTCATTCCGATTCCCGTTTTGAAATAACAATCTCCCCATCCCCTCGATTTTTTTTTTGCATTCCATCCGTCTTTCTTTGATCTTACTTTATTATTTGTATCTTTCAGTTCACTTCTCATTCACTCTCAGATTTGAGCTTTTTTTTTTTTTTTTTTTTTAACAAGAAGTTTGAGCTATTTTGAGCCTTGTTCGATGACAAAGCTGAACTGGACACCGACCACGGTCATTCCGCTCGCCGATCTGGACGACCTCGCGCGGCAACTGCAGCACGAACTCGATGCCGCTGCAGACGACGACGGCGACCAGACCAGTAGCACCGAGAGCCCCGTCGCCGGTACGACTGTGGTATCTGGTTTGACTGAGCGAGACCTGTTCTCCCTCTCTCGCTGTGTTTGGAGTCCCTTCACTGACTCGGCTGTTGGATAACTGTGTGAATGCCTTAGTGATCTCTGCGCCTGCGATCGCTGGTGCCTCTGCGCTGGCGTACACGATCGACCAGCGTGCTGGTGCGGCGGACGACGAGCACGTCGCTGCCGCTGCTCACATTGTCGCATTGCTCGCTGCCAGTGGTGAGTTTGAGTATTAGGTTTGCATTTTTATTTATTTATTTATTCTTTTGGAGGGCTTACACTGAGCGATCTGATTGTTGGATGAATTTTGTCGCGCATGTTTGGCAGAAAGCAATCGCGGAGCTTTGCGAGAGGCTGGTCTTGTCGCTCCGCTTGCCAAAGCACTGCAGCCAGTCTCGGTCGCGAGTCTCAACGCCAAAGCACCCCGTCAGATCATGCGTGCGCTGGCCAACATGAGTTTTGATAATGGTGTGGCACACTCGTTGTGACTTTTGCTGCAGGATTGGTTGACCAACCATGACTTGTGTATTCATTTCGCCTCGATGCTTTTGCTCTGGCAGATGAGACTCGAGCCCAGATCATCGCTGCAGGTGCCGTTGCGTCTCAAGTCGCCCTTCTTGTCGAGGCGGTGGCTGCTTTGCGTTCTTCACCCGGATCGGTGCGCGAGGGAACTGTGTTGCTGCGCATCTGCGCGGGCTTTGTCTTGAACGTTTCTGCAGACAATGGTACGCACCCCCGCTGGAGTGGTCGTTGTTGTTGTGTTATGCGCGGTTTGTTTTGAATTTGTTTGACTGGTTCAACGGGGGGGGCGGGGTTTCGTCTGGCCGAATCTCTCTGATCTCTCGTGACTACTCGTCTCTTTTTTTGTGCGCAGCGGACAGCCAGAAGGCGTTTGTGGAGGCTGGCGCAGTGGCACCCCTTGTGACTGTCGTTGAAAAGTTTGTCGACACTGCACCGGATGCCGTCACGATGAGCTTGCGTGCCCTCGCTTCGTTGGCTGAAGTTGGTACGTGCGCGCTGGTGAAATTTTCATGCGTTGGTTGCGCGCCATGCTTTTTGTTGTCTCTGACTCGATCGGGCCATCATCATCATCATCATCATCATCATCATGTGTGCACTGTAGAGCAAGGCAAAGCTGCGCTTCTGGGTGCGAGTATTGTCCCTGTGCTGGTCGACGCTCTGTCTCGCACTTCGGATGAGGGCGTGCAAGAGCTATCGGTCGCCGCTCTCGAGCTGCTTGTCGAAGACGGTGAGTTTGGCTTTTTGTTTGTTTGTTTGTGTTTGTTTGTTTGTTGGGGAATGCACTTCAATTCTCCTCACGCTCCCCCTGGCTTTCATCGTGCTCTCTCTATTCCAACTAGAATCTGGACGCGTCCAGTTTGCGGGCCCGCTCTTGCTCCACAAATTGATTGTGTTTGTCAATTCCGGTGGTAATGGCTTGGCTACATCGGAAGTGATTGGTTCTGTGGCCAAGGTGGTTTCGACAGCTCTCACCGAAGGTAAGGCCTTCCCACCCCCCTCCTCCATCCCCTCTGTGCTGCAACACAAAAGCTGCTACAAGAAAAGTCAATCCAGCTTGTTTTTGCATAACTTTTAACTTTGTCTTGGTTTGGGCAGACGAATGCATGCTTCCCATGTTCCAACCGTCCACCGATGGCAATCCCTTGAGCGAGTTCTTGCGATGGATGGAGCACTCCGAGGCTACTGTTCGCATGGCTGGCGCCTTGTCGGTTGGCAATCTCGCTCGTCGCGACGACCACTGCATGCAACTGTTCGCCGCCGGCATTGTTGCTCCTCTGAGCAAGTTGTTCCCTGCGACCGACGCACGCGAGCAGCACGCGGCGCTTGGCGCCATCAAGAACCTGTCCATGCCAGGTACGTCAGATCTATGATGCGCCAGCCACCCCCCCCGTCCTTCTGGCCCGTTCCTCGTTTCTTTCAAGCAACTCACACGTTTTGACCCGTTTGCGTTTTGTTCTACAGCCGACAACAAGGAGAAAATGCTGACTTCCCAGTTGCTCGACGACTTCAATCCGTTGCTCCACTCGCCGCACACTGCCATCCAATACTTGGCCGTCTCCACTCTGCGGAGCTTGTGCAACAATTGCGGTAAGCCACCTCGCATCTAACGGCCGCGCAAAAGTCGTCAGCATCCTCTTTTCACTTCTTGTTTCACTCCTTCCCTTTGTCTAGGCGCCAACGTTCCAAAGCTCCTTGCTCGAGACGAAATTCTGCTGCGATGCATCGAGTTGCTCAAGTCAGAGCATGTCGGCACACAGTGCGAGAGCGGGCGATTGTTCTGCAACCTTATTCGCTACGTGGATGTTGGCGGTGAGTTTTCCTTTAGGAGTACGTTGCGCGAAAAAACCGACTGCCCTCGTCTCATTTCGTTTGCCCTTCGGATATAGAAACGATCGACGCGGTGATTGCCATCCCCGGCGCTCTGGATGCCGTGTCGTCCCTATTTGCGTCCGAACACGTCATGCTGCACGGCGAAGCCATCTTTGCGCTTTCTGTCCTTGTCAAAGTTCGACGTAAGAGCGATCTTCGTTTTGATTGTCCAAAAGCACAACATGCTGCACTGACCTTTTTCATTTTTATTTTTGATTTCTTCTGTTGTGGTCTCTCGCTTGTGCAGCTGGTACTGTCGACAAGCTGCTCCACCTCGAGTCAAAGCTGTTGAAAATCGCCCAATCTTCCACAACTGCCAACGCGTCTCCTGTCGTGTCCGCGAATGCGCTGACCTTGCTGCTTCACCTCTTCACGGCAGGTAAGTCATGGCATTGTAGCGAGAAAGTAGTTTCGACCATCGCAGTCAGCAGATTCACTCATCCTTTTGTCGTTTTCCTTTTTCTTCGTGAAACTTTTTTTTTCTTCAGCTCCCACCCAGCAATTGTCAACCGAAACAACGGAGGGCATCCAAGATCTGGCGCAGGACGAAACTGTGGATCCGATTCTCCGAGCCAAAGCCAAAGAGGTTGCGGACGCTTTGGCCAGCCTTCATCCGTGAGCGATTCTCGCGCTCCTTCCGCCAGCGTGTCTGTTGTACACTTTTTCTCTTGTACTACATTGAATCGAAAAACATTTTAATTTCCAAAAACCAAAAACAACAACAACAACAACAACACAAACAGACAAACAAACAAATAACTATTTAAATACATTTTAAAAACATTGTTCCAATAGATGGCGCCTCTGACCCAACAACTGCCATTGAGAAAATCTCAAACAACTCTCCTCCACCCAAAGCTCTAAAGTTCTGTACAAGTAGGGGGAACGGCTTTGGTACTGTAACCCACCACGCCCTATTTCGGCCGTATCATCGAGTTAAAAAATGTAGTGGTCGAGTGCGTCTTCTTGGTCTGTTGCATCGAGATCGCCAAACAAGTCAAAAACGCCCGTGGTCTCAGCCATGCCTTGCTGCTCATGGGCTGCAGGGTCGGCCGCATCACATGCGTTCTTGTCGTCATCGTCGGAGTGTGTGACTTGGCCTTCTTGGTCGTCTTCATCGCCGGCCATGTCGTCGTTCGCACAGGCGCGTGCACGAAGATACTCCAGATACTGTGCGCGCTCTTCGTCTTGCAGCTCAATGGACTGCTGCATTAGGTCGTCCACGCGTGCGGGATTGGAGCCAGTCATGTGCGAGTGGACAACGTGGTGGCGCAAGCTCGTGTCGGTCGTGTACCGCTTGCAGCATCCTCGCACTGGGCATCTGTACGGCTTCTTGCACTGCGCCGTTGGGCCGTGTCCGTGGTCGAGATGATAGCGCAGCCCGCCTGGATTGCGGTACTCACGGCCGCATTTTGCGATCGGGCAGGTGAACAGCCGGCGACGGCGCGGGCGGCGTGCAGCGCCGTCGCTGTGCGCCAGGCCTCCTTGCTTGCTTTCGCTATTGGTCAAGGCATGGCTGTCCTGACAATGCGCATCCCTCTCTTGCCTCGCTTGGGTCTCTTGCGGAAAGAAATGGCGGGCACCCAAGCCCAAATCCGCCGCGGAACTGGACCGCGCAAAGTGAAACTCTCGCTTTGGAGGAACAGCAGTCTCGCTAGACTGCGGGCGGACAAGCCATTCAGCAGCCATGCTGGGAGAATCAACCCCGGCCGAGCCTGCGACCGAGCCACTAAACGACGAGACTGAGCTCATCGAAATCCCAGACATGCGATCAATCGAGGCGGACCGCTTGCGACCAAAGTGGTCGGCGCTGTCCATGAGAGCTGCCTCCAGCAGATTCTGCTGCTCGAGCAAGCTGGACGTCCTTTGTGTCGCATCAGCACCCGTTGAGTCTCGAGACGGGCTGACACGATACAGGGGGCTGCTGTTACTGATGCTGGTGCCGCTGGCTGCTGTAGTGCGACCGCTGCCCGCGCCCTGAGCGACTGGGACGTTCGCACTGGCAGCCGACGCCGCAGCAATGGCCATATCCAAGGTCGCTTGCATCTCTCGTGCGTCTTCAGGGCGCAACGTCCCGATGGCACGTCGATGCTCTAGCTCGGCGAGCTGCGCAGCAATCCGCTTGAGGTCAAAGTGTGGTCGCACCGGCAGACGCCGAGACGCCTCGGGTTCCAGGTGCAGCTTTGAGTTTTGCCAAATTGCATTATAGTCGGCGAACGCTATTGGCTGAGGCGCGTCAGAAAATGTCTCGAGGCGCGTTGCCACAGGTGCATCGGTCTCCACCCGACCTCGCGACTGCGGCAGCTGCGCAATCGGCGCCAAGTCATCAGGCTGTTGGAATGACAGCTGCCAAAGGTGCTCCAGCTGCTCTGAGGAGAGCGATGGGAGGGTTTGTTCGACGGTGGCGAGCAGGTCTGCAACGTTCGCTTCGGACGGCAGTTCCAGTTCCGGCACGTGAGCTTCAAGTGTCGTGGCCCGGTCTTGCGCGGTTGACGGCTTGTAATTCATCTCTGTTGTTGCCGTGGGCATGCTCCAAACATCGAACACAGACTGGACGGGGCCTGGCGGCTGCAATGATGGTGACGTCGTGCTCGCACGCGCAGGGTTGGCGGCAACCGCGGGTTGACTCGACCAAACCCACGCAACCGCCTCGGGAATACGTGATTCCGCGTCACACAGTCTGGTTTTGAACAAAAGGTCCATGTCAGACGACATTGCGGCTTCCAAACTGTCGACGTTGCCGAAAGCGCCTCCTTGATCGTACCCAAGTGGCATTCTGCGTTGCGAGTCGAGGGGCAAGTGAGTGTATCCCGTCGCCAAGAGCAAACGACGTGAAGACATTTAGTTTATACTAAAGCTTAAAGGTTTATAGATTAAAATGAAGAGTGAGGTGCGCGCTGGAAAGGCAAGGCTGAATTTGGGACGACGCATGCGAAAACGAACATGGACCTAATTATCACGTTTTCTGGAGCAAAGTGTGACTTGTCATGGTGGCGCGGTTGCCAATCGCGGTTGGAAATGGCGTTGTCGCGACAAAAGAAAGTAGCTGTGGTTTTTTGTTTTTCGCTAGTTTTTCGTTTGTCGACATGCCGTGTTCACAAAGCTCGCGAGCTCTTTACTCGACATGTTGATACATAATGGGTGTGAGTAGAGTGCAACATCAGATCTACGGGTCGGTGGATTTGCCCGAGTGAACGGCGGGAAAGCCGGAACGACGGCAACTAAAAGTTACGGCGAAATGTCGTTGTGGACTCTGAGCAATCGCACTTTACTATGCCATCGGCCGCGTATTTGCGACTCTTCACGCCCATTCCATACGACATCATGCACTCAAATGGCGTCCCCCGACGTGTTGTCGACACACCTCTCTCATGACGTCCCAATTTTGCGACATGTTAATCACTTTCAACACGACTAGCTCAGTTGTGGGAAACTGGAGTCTGGATGCTTGAGGGGACAAAACAACAAAACGAAAAAACAACCGAGCAACATGCCGCAAGGACAAAAAGGCCGACAAGTCAGCATGAAATGAGAATCAACGCGGGGGCGTTCTCGAGTTGGGAATTGAGTTCCTACCGCGCTGAGCGTTCTTCATCATGTCACTCTTTCCTTCCTCTTCTCTTGCAAGTTCGACTCCCCAGCTCTACTCGTTGGCAATGTCTAACTGAAATGCCCACAGAATAGACTGGATCCAAACACCTCCGTGCTCCAGTGCTGCCAGGTTGCGGGGGAGGTGTCGCGAGCGGTCGCAACTTTTGGCCAGCTCCACGGCATGCCCCAAGTTTTGCGGCAAATTCGGTGAGGACAGCTTCAATTGCACCACATGGTCCCTCAAACGCGCTGGACACACAGACACACACACGCGCGGCCAAGCGAGCCGAGTGCGTCACTCTGATGCCCGACGGCACCGCCGTGCTCGCTGATTCGAATCATTCGGGATTAGACCACAGCGTATGCGTGCGCTTTGCTTCGATTGCAGATACCCTTCCCTTTTCGTCGTGGAACAACCAACCGCCACTACTGCAGGCCGCGAGCGAGAGCGCGAGATGAACGCCCTGCAAATGTCATCCGTTCGTCGTCCAGAAGACGCGAGCTCGAAGGCCCCAACTCCCCGTGTTGTTGTTGGCCTTTTGGTGGTGGTGGCAGCTCGATTCTCAGACTCTGCTACTGATTTACCTTCTTGCGTCGTAAAATGGGGACTGAAAAAAAAAGAAATGTCAGTTCCTTTCTGAATATCTTTCTTCCTCCTTCGAAATTGATACCAAAGAGGGAAAAAGGCGGAGGGTTACTTCTCAGCCGGTTGGAACGCATTCCAATCTGCGACGACACCGCTAAGCGGTTCCCCCTTCCTTCTGCGGACTGTGAGCTGTGGTCTGGTTGTTTGGCGTCTCCACTCTTGCAGCTGTGACACTTCGGGTTTGAACGACAGCTGCGAGTACCGGAACGATTTCTTGTTGGTGACATCGACCTTGTAGCGAACGCCAACGTGTCAACGCCCGTTCTCTGCAGTTGTACGACCCTCCGCTCTTTGCGTGTCGATCTCATCTTGCTGGGTACAGGTAGCAGAGGCCGGAGAATGAAGATGCATGGTAATTGGCGACCGTCAGACGCAAAACATTCAACGTTGGAGGGGTTTCGCATCAGTTAAATACTTTTCGTGAATACTGTACATCATCGCGTTAACAGTGAAAGTCATGACACACAAGAATTGTAAAAGTCATGACACGAAGAATTGGCTGGCTACGGTAGCTGTGGCCAAATATCTGCAAAATCCACCCGGAGACGTTCCGCCACGAATGCCGCAATCTTCTCGTTGCCACTCTCGCCCGGGTGGCTTCTGCAGCCCCAATCGGACGGGCCGATTATATCGGTGACATTGAGAAACGTTCCTCCAACCAGATCAGCGACGGCCTTGATGGCCTCGCATCCAGCCTTCTCAAAATGCATTGGACCACATAAAAGGTAGACGGGGAGGTTTGGTTGGTTGTGAGCCACCCGCAATTCCTGAATGAGGGACTGGTAGCCTGCCACAAGCCATCCAGCCCATATTTGGTTTGTTAGAGTTGCAAAAAAAGGAAAAAAAAAGGAAAAAAAGAAAAAAAAAAAAAAGCAGCCCGTCAAACGCGCACACCCATCGTTCAAACCGCATTTACCCTCCGTGAACGACGCTGCAAAGGCGGGAGTAATGCTGCCCCAGCCAATAAAGTCGTTCGTGCCCAAATTCAACACGAGCACATCCGGCGCGAACAAGGTCGTGTCCCACCGCGGAGCAGATGGCGCTGCCATGGAAAGATGCATGACATCCTTCATGACCGTCTTCGCTTCCACAGAATTGCTCCTGTGATGCATGTTACACGGTAGAGCACGACGAGATGAGATGACGGACACCTTTGCGAGCCTCAAACACAAACCAAACTAAACAACCAAACAAACAAACAAACAAAAAAAAAAACCCAAACAAACGCGACTCAACAAACATGTTTTACCGTAGCACGCCCATGCCCGACCGCGCAATGTAATGCGCCTCTGCATGGAGAGCTTTTGTGACTTTTGAAGAGTAGGAGGCCCGGACGTCTCTCACGTTCTTGGCGCATGAAATGTTTTGCAAAGCTGCCGAGCCAGCCGTGACAGAGTCGCCGTAAAACACCAACCGAGGCGGGTTTGTCAATCGCTGATGGACAGTGCCACCGGCTACAGCATTGAGCATGTCGGCATGCGAGCCATGCGCAAAAACGGCAGGTCGAGGTGGCGGTAGGAGGCGCGGTGGCATTTGCCCAGTCGAATGCAGGCGAAACCCGTAAAACGCGCATACACCTTGCCGGACAGATGTGTGCAGGGCTCGCGAGTCGGTGCGCTTGACAATTCGAACAGAATGGACGGCAGTTTCGTCCAGTCCCGAAACCAGCTGCTGCGCGGCCACCATGTCTGTCGACAAGCTCAGCACGGGCGTCTTTGGTGGCAGCGGCGAAAGTTGCACTCCGTCAACGTACACATTAAAGTCACAGTCCGACGAGTGCGGACTTGGATCCAAGCCTTGCTGAACGTCGTTGAGATTCACAGTGACGCTGCTATCAGTGCCAGCGAGCTGGGTTGCAATGACAGGACCAGCTAGGACGGCAGCAATGCTTGACGCGCCAGTGAATACCGCATTGATCTCGAATCCCGGCCACCCAAACACGACCGCGTCGCCGGTTGCATGCGGATCGTGCACTGTTGCATAGCGCCCAAGGAAGCCAATCGGGTGTGTTGCAAGCACGACCAGTCCGTCTCGTTGATCATGACTGTCCAACAATTCTGCGCTTGGGCGCTGGATGGCCTGGTCTGGCTGCCTGAGCAGCTGGCTCAACTCGGGATCGAGCGCCTGCCACGCCTCGACGAACGGATTTCGCTGGTCGTCGGCGTAGTAGTCGACTGTTGTGCCTTGCTCTTGCACAAGCATCATCGAGGGCCAGAGCACGAGCCCAGAGCAGAGCAGCACCGCCGCTGCGAATGGGATGAGCACCAACGCCCTTGGCTTCATTCGGGCCTGCAGGTAGCGCAGTGGCGGGTGGGTGTGGTTTACTGCGTTGCTGTCGTGGTGAGTCGGTTCGATGAGGTGGTGGTGGTGGTGGTGGTGGGAACGATGGCCAAACCTGGAACAATACGAAACAAACGGACAAAATCAAAAACTGAGACTGAAGCACTCCTGATCTCAGATCCGTCGTCCGTTGGCATGGTCGGTTGTGCTACACCCGAGGGGAGGAATAGGTGGATTTCGATGCAAAGTAGTGTTGAGCACTGAGCCGGCAGATGCGGTCGGGGTTGGGAGTTGACCGAACTACAGAAAGCAAATGGCCAAGGTTTGCTGTGTCGGGGTTGCCGCATCGCTGGTGAGTCGGTTGATCGTACAATATTGACGTGTGAAGATAGAAAGGCAAATACTAGTATGGCTTAAGGGAGTCTGCGAACGTGGGTAAAGCGTTATATTACAATTCGCAACAATAATTCAAAAAACGAAAAAAACAATACGACAACACACGTTGCCAGCTCGTCCCCCCCCCTTGGGTCATGGAAAGTATTGAGGAAAGTCTTGCTTGACCTGATCGAGGACGCGAGCGGCAACTTTGACGTTGCTACTTTCGCTGGGATGCTTGCGACAGCCATACTCTGACGGATCGAGCGTATCTGTGACATCGATATATTTGCCACCAACGCGAGTGGCGACGTCCTTGATGGCGTCGCACGCGACAGGAGGCAAGTCCATCGGTCCACAAAGCAAGTACACTGGAAGGTTGGGTTGATGGTGAGCCGCTCGCACGCGCTGGATGAGCGATTCGTATTCTGTCAACCGAAAAAAACAAGCAAACAAACAAACAATGAAATGTCTTGAGTTGGGTGATCACAGAGCGCAAAGGGGAAAAAGTACCGCGATAGTCTTACCATCAATGAATGCTGCGACAAATACGGGTCCGTTGTCACCCCATCCTCGAAAATCGTTGGTGCCCAAATTGAAAAACGCGAGGTCTGGGGTAAAGTTTGCATAATCCCAGGGAGTGGCCCCTGTCCCTCCAAGAGAGAGATGCGCAATCTCCTTCATGACCGTCGTCGGTTCAGTCGAGCGGCTCCTGATTCGGGGTGCGGGTGAGTGGGCAAAAGCGGAAGGAATGCAACAAAGTTGGCGGGTGCATGAGTACGACCGCGACAATCAACGCATAAGGGGGGGAGGGCTACAACCAACGCAGCTACCTTATCAGGCCAATACCCGAGCGTGCAATGTAATGCGCTTCGGCAAGCAGGGCTTTGGTGACCTTGGTGGCGTAGGAGGCTCGAATATCTTCAGTATCAAAGCTGAACTTGCATGGGTCGCGATCCAAAGCCCCGAATCCAACAGTGATGGAATCTCCGTAGAACTCAAGGCGCACAGGGTGGAGCAAGGATTGGCTGACGGCCGCAACGTCGTTCATGGCGTTTAGGTGATCCGAAAACGCGCCATGAGCGAACACGGCCGGACGCGGCGGAGGGAGCAGCCGTGGAGCGGCGCGGCCTTGTGAAGTGAGCAGCAGCCCGTAGAATGCGCAAGCCCCTTGTCGTGGGGCAGTACTGGCTGCTTGCAATTCTGTGCGCTTGACAATGCGGATTGAGTGAACGCTCGTCTCGTCCAAATTGGAGGCGAGCAGGCGAGCACCAAGTGCGTCCGAGGTCAATTTCAGCGCCGCCTCTGTCGGAGGAGCTGGATGAAGCTGAATGCCGTCAATGTACACGTTGAATTGGCACGACGCTTCGCGGGTGTTGTTGATGATCATGGGCAACTCGGGGTCGAGCCCGGCGCGCTTGGCTGCGAGCTGCGGACCGGCCATGACCGCGGCAATGGACGACGCGCCAGTTACCATTGCGTTAATCTCAAAGCCAGACCATCCAAAGACGACGGCCGAGCCGGGCTTCTGCGCGTGCAGCTCGCCGTCGAATCGGCCGAGCAGCCCGATCGGCTGGACGCCCAGCATCGCCGTGATGGGCTGGCTGTCCAGCGTGTCGCCCTGCTGGCCATCAATCACTGGAATCGACGCACTTGTCGACGCGACGGCGCGGTTTGGGTGCTGCAGCAAGTAGCTCAGGTCGAGCTTGAGACTGTCGCCATGGTCCCCTGAGCCGCCTCCGCTCCAGCGGAGCTCGACTGGCGACGCTGCCAGGACGAGGATGCTCACGAGCACACACGACGACACAATCCAGACCGCGGCGGTCAGTCGGTGTCGTTGGGCGACGTGCATGCTTTTGGGTAAGGGGAGAGGTGAGCAGCCGCTTCCACCCTGCTCAGTCGGAAGTGTAATGGAAAAGTCAAACAGATGTGGGACTGGAGGGCTCATGCTGGAGCTGTTTCATGCTGGCGACAGTATTTGGAAGCTCATTTCCCCTTGATGATCACGATTTTGACATGTCGTAGGTGCTCAGAAGCAAGTGTTGTTGCTGAATGAAGCTGCTGTTCTGAGGCCGCTCAGTGTTCTTCCCCCTCTAATGCTGCTCTGCTCGTAATGTACCAAAATTGCATTTGCAAATGTATGTACCTACCATCTTTAGCTATTCCTTAGTCTCTTCATCACTCAGTCTTTTTTGTTCTTTGGATTCGGACAAACACAAACAAAATGGCGTCTCCCCTCAATCTGACTGCTGGAAACTGCCGCGTTGGCTGGATTGGCACCGGCGTCATGGGTCGCTGGATGTGCGAGCACGTCATGAAGGGTGAGGCTTTGCTCAACCAACAGTTTCTCCACCCCCTTCCTTGGTTTCTGAGTCAAAATCTCCCGCCAATTTCGTTTTTTCCCGCCACCAGTTGACTCTCTTCTCCCCTCCCCTTGATTCGCACCACTGCTCATCAGCCCATGCAAGCATGGAGAATCACACAAAGCACGCTTGTACACCCAACAACAACAACAACGCACGCACTCACAAAGCGATTCCGTTTGCTGGGGATTGGCTGACGATGGTGACTGCGGAGAAACCAAAATCCGAATGCTTCAACCTGCAAACTCACTGCCCTGCTGCTGCTGCTGCTGTCGTGTGCTGTTGTGTGGATTCGTATCGTTTGTTTTTTGTTTCCCAGCTGGATTCACCAATATGACGGTGCACAACCGCACTGAGGCCAAGACGGAGCCGCTGCGAGCACTGGGCGCACGCGTTGTGGCCACTCCGCGCGAGGTCGCCGAGAACTCGGACGTCGTGTTTACGATTGTGGGCTACCCGAAGGATGTCAGAGAGACGTATCTCGGCGCCGACGGCGTGCTCGCTGGGCTCAAGGCGAACGGCGTCTGCGTCGACATGACCACTTCGCAGCCGTCGCTCGCAGAGGAGATTGCAAAGGCGGCCAAGGCCAAGGGGATTTATGCTGTCGACGCCCCCGTCTCTGGAGGCGATGTCGGTGCCAAGAACGCCACGCTGTCCATCATGATTGGCGGCGAGGAGGCTGCCGTCGAGGCACTGCGCCCGCTCTTCTCGGCCATGGGCAAGAACATTAACCGCTTGGGCGGCCCGGGCGCTGGCCAACACACAAAGATGGTCAACCAGGTGCTCATCTCGACCACCATGATTGGCGTCGTGGAGGGGCTGCTCTACGGCTACAAGGCCGGGCTTGATCTCGTCGATGTCATCAAGGCGGTCGGCGCCGGTGCCGCCGGATCCTGGTCCATCAACAACTATGGTCCTCGCATGATCAAGCGTAACTTTGACCCCGGCTTCTTTGTCAACCACTTTGTCAAGGACCTCGAGATTGCCCTCGACGAGAGCCGTCGCATGAACCTGTCGCTGCCCGGTCTCGCCCTCGCCCACCAATTCTACGTTGCCCTGAAGGCCCAAGGCCACGGCCAGCTCGGCACGCACTCTCTGCTTCTTGCGTTTGAGCAAATGAACCACACCAAGATTGACCAGCCCGAGAAGCCTGCTTCCCAGTAGAAAAAAACCAAAAAAAGTTGTGTTTATTGGTGTTTCTGTTTTGAGTGTTGTTTCTGTGTGCATTTGTTGCAGAAGCGTGTTTTTTTGCCTTGTTGCTCCTTGTGATTTGCTTGAATGAACGTCGTATCGACAGTTGAGGGTTGTGAAGGAACATAGGGGTTGCTTGTTCGTTTCATTCTCCAGCGCAGCGCTTTCTTCACTTTCCGCAACGAGATCGATATCACCATGTATGCTGCACTATCGATGTGGTGAATTCATTCACTTCTCAGTCTTTGTTGTTTGGCGCACATTGCGGATGAATCCCACACGAACTCCTTCCAATCGAAGCCAATCCGTCAGCGACGACGATGCCGTCCGCGCGACCAACGACGATGCTGCGACTGCCAAGCTGTGAGCGACTGATTTGCGCGCGCACCTTTGTTGAGCCCCCCCCCCCTCTCTTCTCACCCGCTCGTCGTTGATGTCGTTGTCGTCGTCATCACAGGTCGGCTGTGAATCTCGGTTACTGGAGCGACCCGTTCATCTCGCTGTTTGTCAAGCGCACCGACAAGAAGATCCCGCTCATCCATCGCGGTGAGTCGCCATTGACCAGAGCGAGCGAGCGAGCGAGAGACAGAGAGAGACGAGTCAGAGGTTGAACGCGTTGCTCACTCTTGGCTTTCGGTTGAATGGACAGGCTACTATGCACGAGTCACTGCCGTCCATTCGATACTGAAGCAATTCATGGCTGTGACAACCGAAACCTTCAAGCAGGTTGTCGTTCTTGGAGCTGGGTTTGACACGAGCTATTGGTAAAGTCTGAGAGGCACAATTCTTAAACTGAACAATTTTGTTGTTTGGTTGGTCCACCACGCACTCATCCTAGAAACATCATCAATCTCCGCTACAATAGGCTGTTAAAGCTGGCCGAGCAACGGATACGATGGTACGAAGTCGATTTCGAGGCTGTTGTGATGCGGAAAGCGGCCGCCATCCATCGCCAAACCCCGCTCAAAACCGGACTGCGCGTCAGCGAAGATGAGCCCGATGCGCCTTACGTGTATAAGAATGGTGAGTACCCCCCATGCACTGCCTGATGTGATGGCAATGTTTGATCTGTCGGTGAACGACAAATTGTTGACTGATTGATCTTCGTCGATTTTTGTTTTGTTTTTTTTGAGCAGACGGGCAGCAAGTGCACACAAACCGGTATCATTTGATATCTGGCGATTTGAGACAGTGGGATCAGCTGAAGGCCAAGCTTGCAGGCTGTGACTTTGATCCCAGGTGCGTTTCAGACGAAATTTTCTTTGGTTGGTCAAACCAAAAGGTGTGGATTGCTCACATTTCCCCCCCCCCTTTTTTGTTTCTGTCCGCAGCCTTCCAACTCTCGTGCTTTCAGAATGCGTATTGATCTATCTGCCGCCAGAAAATGCAGCAGAGATTATTCGCTGGGCTGGCAGCCTACCACAAAGCATCTTTGTCAATTACGAGCAGATTCTGCCCAACGATGCCTTTGGCGTAACGATGGTTTCAAATCTCGAGGTAAAGCATTTGCTATGCGCCGACATTGTGCCTGCAGATTGCCCAGCGGCTGACAGTCGTGGAAAATTCATTGGTTACGTGTGCTCGCTTTCTGCAACAGCTCCGCCAATGTGCTCTGCTCGGTATTCAGGCCGTGCCAGATCTGGAAGCACAACGACAGCGATTTTTATCGAATGGGTTTGCACACGCACACGCTCTGGACATGATTGAGGTGTACTCGGCTGTTGTTCAGGGAGCCGAGCGAACACGGTATGATGATGTTTCTGCGCTGGTGGCTGCCAAAGCGTTGCGCTTGTTCTCCATCTCTTTTTCATACGCTCACACGTGCACTCACCGCTGTCCTTGCGATTGGCTTGATAGAATTGAGCGCATCGAGCGATTTGACGAAATGGAAGAGTGGGACATTATGTTGCGGCACTACTGTTTCAGCTGGGCAGTGACCTCACAGCCATCTGCCTTTGCAGACATTGTACTTCGCCCTAGCTCTCGATGACCAGCAGGGTGCATCCGCGTACACCCTCCTGTACCTTGTTCTTTTTGACGCGAATCGTGTTTTGTGTTCAACCTCTGTTTGATTTTTTTTTGAAATGGTTTCTTTTCAAATCCACTTCCATTTCAAAACAACGTCTCAGTCCTCTTATTTTCACTTTTTATTTTGTTCCATCATGCTCGCAACAGTCGTGTCGCGTCGAGTCGGATTGCTCGCGATGCCGTTCGTCCAGCGTGCTCAGTCGACGGCCGCCGCTGCTGCTGCCTCTGCTGCTGCTTCTGCTACTGCTGCTGCTTCTGTTGCTACCACGACTACCTCTGGCACCGCTGATACACACTCATCTCCAACCAAGGCGGGCGACTCGGCGTCGATCGGCAAGTTCCGCGCCAAGCTCGCCCAGGGACCCGGCCTGGAGCACTTCATGTCCCAGAAGCAGCAGTCTGCATCTGCATCTGCTGCGTCGTCATGCAGCAGCGGGGGCAGTGCGGTGCCCGAGGACGCCGAGTTTGAAGGCGACGAGGAGCCGCACGAGGCCGCGCATGGCCACACAGCCACGGCCACGGCCACTGCCAACGCAACCACTCCGACTGGGGCTGCCGTCGATGCTGCCGCGACAGATGCAAGGCCAGCCAGCACAAAGCCAGCTCGGTAAGAGCATTTCCACACAAAGACCCTCCTCCGTCCTGCGCTTCTTCAGCGAGTCACTGCCAGTGCTCAACGAGTGCATGTTGGCTCAGCGCTTCGACGCGACTCGTTTCGTCACGCCCATGTTGGAAAATGCTGGCTTATTGCATCAGCACCATGCGATGGGGAATATTGGGCTGTTGTCGGAGCCGTGGATGAGGGTTGAGGGCCACAGCGAGTCGTTGCTTGAAAAAGCGAATCTGAGAAATCGCGAAACCGGTTTTCGTGTGGCCACCATTGGATTTATTTTGTTTTTGGTCTTTTTGAATTGTTATCGTTTTGGATTTTACGCTTTGGGTGGTCACTCACCTCTTGCGCTTCCCGGTTTTACGTCCGTAGGCCTCGACTGCCTCGCTGGCTCAAGACCGATATTCCGGTCAGTGCCAGCTTCAACCAAGTCAAGAACGACTTGCGCGGTCTCAAATTACACACGGTGAGTCTCTTGCCGCTATTGCCGCTGTTTTGATTTTGTGCAAAAAAGGGGGCGAAATAAGTTTGTTGTTGTGTCGCTGACGGCTGTGTGGCCATTGTTGTCCTTGATTCCCATTTCCCTGTCCGGCCCATTCCCCCTCCCCCTCGTAGGTTTGCGAGGAAGCTCGCTGCCCAAATATCGGAGAGTGCTGGGGTGGAGGCAAGGGTACCGCGACCGCGACCATCATGGTAAGGAGCACAAAGCCGCATTTTGCTTGGTGTATTTTTGTGTTGTTATTGTTTTGGGGTCATCGTCCCTCCGTTCCTCCGTTTTCTGGTACTGATTGCGCATTGTTCATCCGACGGCCTTGGCTAGCTCATGGGCGACACTTGCACTCGAGGATGCCGCTTTTGCTCGGTCGGTACCAGCCGAAACCCGCCGCCGCTTGATCCCAACGAGCCGACAAACACAGCGCAGGCTATTGTCAAGTGGGGTCTTGACTATGTGGTGTTGACGTCCGTGGACCGCGATGATCTTCCGGACGGCGGCTCGCATCATTTTGCCGAAACCATCCGAGAAATCAAGCGCCAGAAGCCGTCTCTACTCGTCGAGTGCCTGACCCCTGATTTCCGCGGCAATCTCGAGCAGATTGAACGCGTCGCGACTTCCGGGCTCGACGTGTATGCCCACAACGTGGAAACCGTCGAAGCGCTACAGAAGGTAACGCGCCACCTTTCTCCGCAGCGCTGAGCTGCAATACCGAATTCAATGTGTGTGTGTGTTTGCCATGGATGCTCATGCCATTTTTGCTGCTCATTGTGGGTTTCACGCAGCATGTCCGTGACCGCCGTGCCAACTACAAGCAATCGCTCGCCGTTCTCACGCATGCCAAAAAGGTTCGACCGAATCTGGTGACGAAAACGTCCATCATGCTCGGCCTTGGCGAGCGCGACGAGGAAGTGATGCAAACTTTGAAGGGTACGTTTTTTGGATGGATGCTGCTCGCCTAGAGTTTGTGCTTCAAAACGCGCCCGAGTCTGACGGGAATGTTTTTTTTTTCCCTTCTTCTTTTCTGCCTTCACCCAACAATCAGATTTGCGTGCGATTGATGTCGACTGCGTCACGTTTGGCCAGTACATGCAACCAACAAAAAAGCATCTCAAAGTCATCGAGTATGTCACGCCGGAAAAGTTTGCGTACTGGGGCAAGGTCGGAGACGAGCTCGGCTTCAAGTACACTGCGAGTGGCCCCTTGGTGCGCTCCTCCTACAAGGCGGGTGAGTTTTTCCTCAAGAAGATTTTGAACGAGCGTAAAGCAAAGCAGCCCGCCGAGGCGTCGGGCTCGTTGTAGTGCATGTCTGCAATTTTTGGTTGTTGTTTTTTTGGCAACTTCTACTGCAAAGTTGAATGATGAAAATTCAACCAAATGGGGGTTTCAAGACTGGCGCACGGGCAAGGAAAAAAATGTAACGATGGAACAAAATGCTCAACACGAGGCAAAACCAAAACAAACCAACAAAACAAATAAAAACGAACAATGGAAGAAATCTCTGAAAGTGTGGATCAAACTGCTACTGCGTCTAGCACCGCCTGAACTTCTTCTTCAGTTGCGGGTTTGCTCAACACTAGTTGCTTGAACTTTGGCCACGTGTCGGTTAGCATGAGCTTGAGCACTTCTTTTTGGGCAAGATCGAACGCCTCGACAGGCGCATTGAACGTCTGCACGGCCTTCAGAATGGGCTCACGCGCGGCCGAGGAAATGTTCACTCCCATGAGAGCGTGCTCGCTGATGAAGAGATCGTAGATTTCGTTGAACTTGTTGAGCAGAGAGGTTTCGCCGATAATCGACGTCTGCTCACCGGTGAGCGCCGACTCGGCCTTCTTGCGCTCAGACAAAGCGCGGAATTGAGCGACTTCCATAAAGAAGAGAATATTCTCCGAGCAGTACACGCCCAGCGAGAACTGCTTGAAAATTTCAATGTACGTTACAGACGCCAAAACCTGCTTGAGCGTGGAAGGTCGCACTCCTGGTGGCAGAGAAATGTCGGCCGCAACACGCTCGGCTTGCATGACGCTGTTGTGCTGGCCGTAGGAGCGCGCACTTCGGTTGCTCGCAGTGCTTTCGCTCCGGGCCACGGAGGCCACGAGCCCCTTTGGTGGCTTGTTGGTGGTTGCTGTGGAGAAATTTGTGGTCAAGGATGGCCGCTTGTTTGTCGACTGGGCAAAGGCCGCAGAGAACGAAGGGCGACCGGGCCGCTCGGCCACAGACCGGCGCGCTATGGATCCTGGGCGTTGCACCACGTCCTCTTCGCCGAAAGCCTGCTCCAGCTCATCCTCCGGCTCGGCCTCAGCCATCGTCGCCTCGGCTTCCGAAGCAGCCGCTAGGCGGGCCTTGTGCCTCGCAGCGGCAGCGATCGCGGAAGCGGGCTTGGCGTGTGCAGCAAAGCTTTCTTCTACACGCCGCGAGTTTGCCGCCATCGTGGCGATGCCACCAGTGCCGAGCACAAGCGCCGTCCCCTGAATCTTGGTGCGTTTTTGAAACCGGCGGTCGAGTCGCGTGACTGCGCCCAGCTCTGCTTGTTCGAGACGATCTTGCTCCCTGCGCAGCTCTTCCTGCAGCGGATCCTCGTCGTCCACATACTGGTACGCGTTGGGATCGTCTGGGAAGAACTGGCCACTGGCAGCCGAGGTGTTGCTGATCAGCGAGCTGAGTTTGCCATTTAAGTTGGCTGATGTGAGGCTATCGGCGCTTGCAATGCTGATGCCGGATGGCGAGAGCGGTGGCTGCACCATTTCCAAGGCATTGGCGTTGGCGTTGGTGTTGGCCTTTGTACCAGGAGCGAGTGACAGACGAGTGCTGTCCCGCGTGACACTGGCACCGATGATGGCGCTGTCAGAGCTGCTGGAATTCATCAACGCGCCAGGGTTTTTGACAAGCAGGCGCAGTGTTGTCCCGACGGGCCATAGACAGTACACGACTGAGACAAACATGGGCACCAGCATGACAAAGTACAGCGTCCAAAATGCCGGGTAGAAGAGCATGATGATGGCAAGGACGCAGAACAGGGCGCAGACAATCACCATGGCACGAGCGTGAGCAACAAGTTGAGGCGCGGTGGCGTCCGGCCGCCGCCGCGCAGCTCGAATGCGGTAGGCAATCAGGATGGCAGTGACGGCGAGCAACAGCAGGTGCAAAGTGGCCCACTCTGCGTCCGCCCACCAACAGCCGTCAGTCAATGCATTGCTCTCGTAGTAGGATCGTGCAAACTGAAGAATGAACGCCACGACGATAAACACCAGCAGCGACAACACATATTGGATTGCCGTCATGCGTGGCGGCTGCAATCGCGCTCGTATTTGGCGAGCTGTTTCCGCGTCGCCACTCGGCACCGATTGTCTCAACAATTCTTCTTGCAGAATGAGCGGTGTGAACGTCATTGCCATGCCAAAGTATAGCAGCCACAGCGCAGCGGGGCAGGCAAAGCGGTTTTCGATCAAGGCGAGCAACGGATGCAAGGACAGCAGAAAGCATCCGATTGCCACCGATGCCACCAGCAGTGGCTGTTTCGGTTGGAAGACTTGAATCTGCGAGAGACGATTTGCGAGCGAGTCAGACCGACGGATTGAGCGAGAGAGAAGAGGTGACGAATTCGGAGCCATTTGAATGGACAAGTCCCCACTCCCCGTTCTCAAACCAACCAAAGCAGTGTCAAGTAGTCGTGCATGACAAGCGCATGAGGGGATGGAGCTCGAAAGCCTTTCCTCACAACTTGGTCGAATTTGATTCGTTGTGGCTTTTTTTGCGGTGAGCTTTTTTTTTTTTTTTTTTTTTTTTTTTTTCCGTTGTGGTTTGCTTTTCGTTTCCTGTGTTTCGCATTCAACCCCCTCCCCCTCTCCCTCCTCACCTCGCTGTTGAGCAAAGCAGAAAAACTCAAAGCGTGCTGATGAGCGACAACTGCAAATCCACAAGAAATAAGAAGAAAGCGATTTTGTTGTGCGCGAATCCGAATCGACCTTTTTTTGGGCTGTTGCGCGCGCCCAAAATTGAAAAGACAGCCGAAAGTGGATCACTTTCAAGATGTGATGCGAAATATGCCAATGACACTGAAAACGGGGGGACGGCGTGTCTGAATAGCAGAGTCCGTTGGAGCGAAAACACAGGGTGGAGGCTCGTTTTTACCTGTCGCTTCCATTCAAAGAGAGCCACGCCACAACCCAAGGAGGCGACGCAGACGAGCGCATGGACGACTTGGAGCACAACGAGCCAGCCGTGCTCGCCGTCCGACAGCGCAGGCCGCGCGGGACCAGGGTAGCCTGCAATACAAAAGGATGAGCCACACACACACAAAAACCCGACACAAGCGAGACGTGAGCGACAGACACAAAACGAAAACAAAACGAAACGCAGGCGAAGCGAGCAAAACAAAAGCAGAGACCATCGCGTGTCGTGGTTTTTTTTTTTTTTTTTTTTTTTTTTTTTTTTTTTTTTTTTTTTGCGGTTGGCGGGTTGTTTTTGTCAAAGATTCGCATTTCGTCATTCGGTTGGCGTTTGAGTCGTTTTTTGGAGCTCGTGGAATGAATGGGAAGGCAAAAGAGTGGAAAGCGAGCGGAAGCAGGGGGCGATGGAGGAAGGGCGAGGACGAGAAGGAGAGAGAGCAGTTGTTTGTTGTTTGTGTTTTGTGAAACAGAATAACAAACCAATGGACGAGCCAAAGAGGTACGAGCCCATCGAACGAATGAAAAACAACACGACTGACCTCGACCTTTTGTCATTTGGCATTGGAAAAAATAGATATCGATGAAAATGAAAGCAAAAAAACCAAAAGAAAAAAGAGAGAGAAAGAGAGAGAAGGGCGGTGGAAGAAAAGTTTCAAAGCTGGGGCATTCTTCCAGGTACTCGTGGTCAAAATCAACAGCCGAGACAGGAGCTCCAAATTAACAAGCGGATTTCACAAGGGTTGTCCCCCAATATCCAAGCGGGAAATATCCCTCCTGCTGGAAAGGTTTAAAGAATTCTGACTGCAAAAGCCAAGTCGTCCGCCTCAACGAGGATCGAAGAAAGGCCGAAAAAACTTAACAATTGGGGTTTTATTCTCAGAGCGACGTCTTCAAGATACAATACAGATGCTGAGAACGCATTGCAACACACGAAGGCGAGGTTGGCAGAGGGTGAACGCTTGAAGATGGCTCAAGAAGCCAGAAACAAGGGACGGCCCTACGGTCTCGTGCAGTTCAGCAGGGTAGACACAGAGCGCTGAACGTGGCGCGAGTGAAGGGTGTAGGTCTTGTTGGGATGGTAGGCAAGAATGTTGATCTTGGTGGCGAGGAGTTGCTTGGTCAGATCGACGCCTAGCATCTCGTGCACGAGGCTATGCCCCAGAGCTCCACGAGTGAGATCACAGAGTGTCTGGTGCACAGAAGATGTTGCGTTGCTCATTTCAGAACGGCCAATCAGGCGCAGGAGAGAGTCTGCCGTATCCACGCGAAACTCTTCAAAGATCTCGTCCACAGTCTTGAACAGAAGGTCGTCTGCTAGATTGTTGAGCAGAATGAGACGCCCACCAGCAATTTCAGCGACCGCACGCTTGGCCAAATCCTCGTGGATGTCACGACGCACCAGATATGTGACAGCTTGTTGGTCGGTGAGATCACCCACTTCAACAACGCGAGCACGGGTCATTGCTGACGATGCCTTGAGCTCAGGCAGATTCGAAACATCGCAGGTGACGAGAACAACATTGAGCAGCTGCTCGTCAGCAGCCGCCTTGGCAAATTTTTGAATCGCATGCAACAGTGCTGAACCCTTCTTGGCGATGAGGTCCACGGCGTCGATGACGAGCGTGGCAACGTGACCATGCTTGGCCTTGAACTGTGCGGCGACGTCCCGAAGACCGAGCTCGAGTATCGCCCAGCTCTTGAACGGCTCTTCTGCCGATGTGACTTGCTCCATCTCCACACCACGGTCTTTGAAGTAGCCTGCCGTGAAGGTGAACCGGTTGAACGCGAACGCGAGAGACCCCGCCAGTCGTTTCGGCACATCAACGATTAGCTCGCTTTGGACGATGTGGTAGACAATGCCAGTGCTGTTGGCTCGGATGGCGTCGAGGACGGCGGTGGTCTTGCCGCAGCCTACTTCGCCAATGAAGACCGTGTAGTCCTTCAACAGCGCGGGGCGCAGCACCCCTTGAAGCATAGCAACGGCCTCTGGACGATCGATGTGGGACTGTCTGACGGGCGGGATGACGGAGCCGGCCTCGAAGCGTGCGAGCATGCGAGCTTGAACGACTTCGGGCGAGTGGGTCTTGGCGATCGTGTTCTTATCGTCCAGCACGTGCCGAGCAACAAAAGCCGCCACAACCAAAATGATGAATATGGTGGAGACCGCGTGGGCGACCGCGCCGCCTATGAAACCGAACACACGCCGAAAAGTTGGCTGTTGCTGAGCCAGGGCTGCTAAAACAGCTCCAGCTGCAGCCGCAGCCGAGATTGCGGGATAAAACAAGAAAAACAAAAGAAGAAGAAACTAAAAACTGCGCTGTCATCTTTCTCAGCTTTGGCAATCCAGTGTCAACCCATAATGAGTGAATGATTGTATCATTGTTCTTCCAAGACGTTCCTGATGATGCTGCATTGTGCCGCTTTTCAAAGCGGTTTGAGTGTTTCCGCAAGGCAAATGGTTTTTCCAGAGCCCATTGGTAATTTGATGATGAGCATTGGGGCAGTCAGGTCGATTGACTTGATAATAATGTCTCTCTTTTCGCTATCAGCGAGGTCGAGGTGCGTGTGGGATTTGTTCATCTTGGCGGTCATTGGTAAATAGCAAGATACATTTAATACATTATTCGTATTTCTTAAGGCGGTTTCAAAATTTCCAATTCCACTTGCGCCAAAACGTGAATATAAAAGCGCCCGCCTGTGGGTGGGTGGCACCGATATAAAAGGCACTGAAGGCACTGAAGGGGGAGTATGGGGCAAGTCTGGGAGTTGTTAGAAACAGTGCTGCCTCGGATAAGAATATATTATCGAATAGGTAGCACTGTTGATTTGGGAGTTGTTACTACAGCCCGAAGGGCGACCACTGCTATGCGAGCAAGCGCAAGCGCGCGATAGCCCCCCCCCCAAGCCACAGCCGCTCAATGATCAAAAGCATCAATCGCCCTTCAAAGGCCACGATGCAGAATCAGGGCAAATCAATAAACCAGAACTAGATCTACACAAAATACACAGCAGATACAAAAACCGAACAGGGAAAACAAACAAACACAACCAAAACCAAACGCCACTTCTTTTGCGTCACTTCCACGTATTCCGAAACTCTTCAATGCGACGCTCATACTCGGCCCATGCTTGCCTTGTGGCAGCCTCGTCAGAGGCTTGCTGTGCTTTGGAGCGTTGGTTTTCGAGCACAAGCGCGTGCTGATCGTCCACCGCACGGATCATTTGCGCGGCTGCGTCCACGCCTTTGGTATAACCAAGCTCTGAAGAGATGTGCCCAAAGAGCTCGAGCAGACGCAGGTCACGCTGTGCACACAAAAGCCCATCACTGATGGTCTTGGTGGCTTTGCCAAAGTCGTTGCGCTGCTCGCGGTACAGCTTGGCCAGCTCCACAAAGGCCTCGACTGGGCACTTTTCGAGCGCAAGCGCCCGCTTCAAAAGCTTTTCGGCGACATCGACATCACCGGAGGTGCGCAGCGAGGCTGCGTACTCGACCAGGAGAGCGACGTCTGCGGAGGTGGTCTCTGAAAGCGGTTCGGCTTCTTGCTCTGCAGTGCTCGAAGCGCTCGCGTCACTCTGGGTGCTCGATGGCGCAAACAGTCGACTCAGCAGCGGGAATTGATCACGCAGGTGCGCAACGGCGTCCGCGGCTCGGGATGCCAGCCGCAACGCCTTGGCGTTGAGCACGGCGAGTTCCGCCTTGGCAAGGGGCAGCGCTTCTGCAACAGCGCGACGAAGATAAAGAGAGGCCGCGTCTGGCTCTCCAATAGCCAGCGCAAACTTGCCTGCAGTGCCAAGACGTGACAAAATGCGTTGGTGCATTCGGGCGTGCCATTCTTGCAAAGAGAGGCCACGGCGAAGCGTCGCCTCCTTTTCTGCAACTGTGTAGAGGCGCGATTCAATGCGATCGACAATGCGCTCCCATGATAGCTCGCTGTAGGCAAACTCGAGGGCGTTCAGCACCAGCTCCGAATCAGAGGAAGAAGAGTCAGATGAAGAAGATGAACCTTGTTCGTCGGATTGCTTTTGCAGCCACTCCTCGTACATGCTTTTCATGGCTATTTGCAACGCAGCACGGTCGGGCACGCCGACAACGGGATAGCCCATGAGATCAAAGTGGCGATGCGTTTCGGTTTCAGTCTCTTCGCGGTGGCCCGAATCGTCGCTGTGGATGTCTGCAGCGTCTCGCGTGGCGTGGCGGTGCGAGTCGGCGGTGGCATACAGGAAGGTTTGGTCGATGCAGACCTTCCGCCCAAATTCACGGAAGCTACCGTCTTGCGGGGCTGGCACTTGGACACAACGTGTGGACGAGCAGAGATCGCGCGCTGCGCCAACTGCCGTCACAATGATGGGTAATCCGTGCTCCATGGCGGCAGTCACCTCCCAGCCTGAGCCGTCCATCCGATAGGGGAGAAGCACGGCATCGACGGAAGCAAAGACGGACGAAAGCATTGTGACTGGGACTACCCCCCTGGGCAAATAGCGGATTTCAGGAGTGTGCCGATCAGCACGGATGCTCTCGTACATTTTCTCAACAATGTGGTTGGTGTCCGAGTGGTGGTGCTTGAGGCCGGCGTCGCCGTAGCCCGCAATGACCAGCGTGACATTGTCGTGATTGCGGAAGGTGTGGCGGAAGACGTCAATCACCAAATCAAACGACTTGACCCACCTCGGATCGCCGAGCCACAGGAACCGAAACGCATTGGCTTTGCCATTGTTGATTGGGAACGGTTTGACTTTGGCGAGCGGGTGGACGGTCTGGTCGGACATGAATCGAGACGCCTGCTGGCGCTCTTGGCGCAGCTGAGTGCGCGTCCTGTGCACCATCCTGGCCGCTGGCTCTGGGTCGGCCTTGACACGTGGACTGCGAATGTCGGCAAGCAGCTTGGCAAAGAAATTGGGCATGGTGCGCGGCGGCGCCCCTTGGACGCATGGCACACCGGTCGAGAGAGCCGTAAGCGCACACAAATCCGTGCCAGCCATGCGCACAACCTGCACAAGGTCTTTGGAGACACCACCGCGCTCAAAGGCCTCGGCAACAGCGTTCGAAGGCACCCAAATCTCGTCCATGGAGGAAGCGAATGCGCTCGGCCACACCTTGGGAAGCTGCCCAAAGTCCCACTGCAACACTGAAATCCAATACGGCGTCTCGTTCACGAGGTCGGTCGCGGCCGAGTAGTTGGCAGCCAGCGGCAGTGGCGGGTGGAAAAAGTCGGGCAGACCAGTGGCATCGGCTGTGACGTGCAGCACTGGCGTCCATGCATCATCAGCATCTGACGGCGAGCCAGTGCTGGCGCCATGATCATGGCCATCTCGCAACAACGGCGCATAGTAGTACTGGCGCAGCGCTTCGCACTTGCGGGCTGAAAATGCGCCTCGAAGTGGTGAGTCGCCTTGATTGCTGTCCTCACCATTGGGCAGGAGCGTCGCGTCTTGCTCTGCCAGCGCATCCTCCGATGGAGCCCGACGATGGTGGGCTCCATGGTGGTGGTGGTGATGATGATCTTGACTTCCTGGCGTTGTTGCGTGGTCTGCCATCTCGGCGACGGTGGTGTACGGCGAGTGGTACAGCGACGCGCCACGGCCACTCAGCGCCGCGTCCCAAGCGCCGGTCTGACTGCTGCCCCGTGCCGTGCGCTCGGAGAAGGCGTCCGAGGAGGTCTCCCGGATCCCGTCGACAGGCTCGCGCGGGTGAATCGAGACGCGATGGCCGCGGGCAATCAGTCGCGAGACGACCTCGACGTTCATGCGCTGCACGAACGAGCTCGTTTCGATCGGTCCTTCCCACTCGATGCGCAACGGCAGTCGAGCGTCAGCATCAGCGGCATGATGATGGCGATGATGATTTGGTTGGTCTGCAGCGAGGCAAGTCCAAGAACAGCCGCCGCTCAGAATGCTCAGAACGAGTAAAATTGGCGCCAATCTCGCTCCGAATCTGAGCGTCATTGCATTCAGGATTACAAGGACTGAGTTTTCTCCGACCCCCCCCCCCAATGACATGCACACACCCGAGCCGATGCAGTGATGAGCTGTTGCATGTCAACGTTGTCCTTTTCGAGGCTGGTGGTCGGTGAGGGTTGAGAGTGAAATGCTCGGAACTCTGAGTTTGTTCGCGTTTTCCGATTCTCCAGCGTACATCTACCCCGCAGAATCGCATCTGTTAGACTTAGAACTACGAGGTTGCAGCTCGAGCATCTTCTGAATGTTGGATTTCTGAGTTCGGTTTGTCTCAGTCTTTTTGTTTCTTTTCTCAGTCTTCAATCTCCAACCATGTTCCGCCTCGCGCTCAAGGGATCGAGCTTGTCCGTGGCGTCCGCGTCGTCCCGTCGCTTGGCTGCGATCGCAGCTGGACTTGTCTCGACCGTGCCCGCCGCGTCGCACGGCACACACGCGTCGTCGTGCTCGGCGGGACCAATCCCAGCGAGCATGAATGCGATCGTTCTCACCGCCACCGGTCCCGAAGAGAACTTGAAGATGACCAACATTCCCGTCGCAGCTCCAGCAACCAACGAGGCAAGTAGCAGTGTGGCGCCTTTGCTCGAGTCATTTGTCGCCTCCAGCAAAAAGCAACACGGAACTTGTCGGATTCACAAAATTTCAATCTCAGATTCTCACAATCTCAGCGTGTTTATTCACCATCATCCTGATCGAATCTGTTGAATCTCAACACCAGGTGTTAGTGAAAATTGCAGCATGCGCCGTGTGCTATCGCGATCTGCTCGACCGGAAGGGCGCATTTCCTTTCATCATGACGCCAATCGTTCCTGGGTAAGCGTACATCCGTTCCAAAAACCGCTGCCATCGTTTGATGGATTGAAAAATGGGGGAGGGGGGAAGCTCCTCACTTGAGTCGAGCCTGCTTCTGAAGTCACGAAATTGCAGGAACGGTCGCCCAGGTCGGCACCAACGTCAAGGACCTGTCTGTCGGCGATCGCGTCGTGTCGTTGCACTGGGGATCGTGCGGCCAATGCCCTGCATGCCTTGCCAACCACACAACCTCGTGCGAGCAAGCCAGGGCTTCCTTCCTCGGCCTGACTGCCAACGGCGGCTATGCCCCGTTCATCACTGCCAGCGCGCGCACGTTCACCAAGGTTCCAGCCCAGTTCACCTCCATCCAGGCCTCCGCCAGTAATAGATCTGGCCTGTCTGTTTCCGCGTGTCTCAATGTGTGTATGTTGTCTGCTGCTCACCACTGCTCTGATGCTTGGACTAAAGTCATGTGCACTTTTGCGGTGGCATGGCGCGCTGCCGTTACGCGTGGCCGTCTGAAGGCCGGTGAGAAGATTGTCGTGACTGGCGCAACTGGAGGCGTTGGCTCGGCCATGGTGGTGCTTGCCAAAGCAATGGTACGATTCGTTTCGTCGTGCACGATGTGTGTTTGTGCCCGCTGACATCGCCACCACGCGACTCAATCACTGCAACCTGAAAAAAACAAAAAATAGGGCTGCACGGTGACGGCGGTGACGTCGAGTGACGCCAAGGTCGATTACTTGAAAGGACTTGGCGCCGACCACGTTGTGGTGGCCAAGAACAGCACCTTCAAAATCCCAGACGAATTCAAAGTAATGCAGGCGTTGCCATTTCGAAATTCCCCCCTTCCCCCTTGCCTTTTCCCCATGCTCACTTCAACCTGTGCCCACAGCCTACACTGGCCTTTGAAGCGGTCGGCGAGCCTACTTTCAACTCGTCGCTGCGGTCGCTTCACACAGGAGGGCGCCTCATTTTGATTGGCAACGTCACGGTTGGTGCCATCAACTTGAAGCTCGGCTATCTCATCATCAACTCGATTGAGATTATCGGCAGTGACAGGTAAGTTGATTTGTCTGCGCACCTCGTCCCTTCTCCATTCCCACCTCCCTTGCTGACTTTTTGTCTCCTCCTTTGTCTCTCTCTGCTTTTTGCCAGCTGTACCGCCACCGAACTCCAAGATGTCATGGCTTTCATGGTCAAGCACAACATCCGCCCCAACATTTCTGCTGTTCTGCCCCTCGGCGAGGCAGCCGATGCTCACCGCATGCTTGCCAATCGCGGAGCTACCGGACGCGTTGTTCTCAAGGTTGATGAGCAAAGCAGTTGGTAGAGATGTGGAAGTTTTGCCATTCAAAACGAACCGAACTTGTTTGTTGTTTGTAAGGCAATTGCAAAACAGTGCATTCAATCCCCCATGAAACAGTCCCGTCAAAAAACGAGAACAAATATCTATCAAAAAACAAAAAAGCAGTGCATTGGAAACACTGCACATTGAACCATCACAGCAACTTTTCCGACAAAACCCTGTGCTGTGCTGACTTTTTGAAAAAACAAAACAAACAAACAAACAAACAAACAAACAAAAAAAAAAAAAAACAAACAAACAAACAAACAAACAAAAAAAAAAAACAAACAAACAAACAAACAAAAAAAAAAAAAAAACAAACAAACAAACAAACAAAAAAAAAAAAAAAACAATCATGCTCCGTAGCCCATCAATGGCTGACGCATCGGTTGACTACTGGCCTGCTTTTTGCGCAGCAAGAGAATCTGCTGGACTGCAATAACGAGAATGGCGCCACCGAGAAGGCAGCCCAGCGCAAGCGGGACGGCTTTGTCGGCGGGGAGATCGCTCGATTCCGAGAACTCGTTGGCAAACTGGCACTGCGCCGAAGGAGCGCCGTTATTCTCGCACAGAATGAAGCGAACCATGTCCGGGTTGTCATAGCAGGACGGCGTGAGGCCCAGGTGGTGCTTGATGTCCTGCACCAACGCAACGAGCGAGCCGCTCCCGCATCGCTCTGTGCCGTTGGTAATCACGTACACATCGATGGCAGTAACGAGCGACGTGTTCATGTTGGGCAGCTCGTACAGGGCAAAGAAGGACGAGTTGCGGTAGGCCGAGCCGCCGTACGGAGAGCCCAGGAGCACCGAGACGCGACCGGTCGCTTGGCGAGCAAACGTCGTCGACGCGTGTTGCCAGAAGGCCAGCTCGGCCCCATACCAAGTGTCTGTCGTTGTGTTGCGGAATCCTGGAGGGCAGCTCGTGTAATTGTACCCCGACGAACTGCCGCACCAATGCAGCCCGTTTTGGACAAACCCGCCGACCGTGTCCTCCATCGTAAAGTAGCGGAGGCCAGCGTCCGAGAGCTGGTGCACGTAGTACTGCGAGCCTATATTGGAAGCAGGCACACCATAGCAGACAACCAACGAGGAGGACATGTCAGAAGAGCGATTGGAGTGAAATGGGGGCGAAGGCGGTGATCATTGCACATGTGGTGTCGACCCCAATTTGACCCCCAAATTGTTCACAACGATCACTCACACCACATCGACCACAAGAAGCAAAGGGCGGGGGGGAGCCTCACCAGACCAGAACATGGCCTTGTCGACGGGCGTGGAAAAGTTCGCAATGGCAAAGTACGGGTCGAAGCTGGCGGCGGTGACGCTGAGCGGATCGACGTCCGCAACGACCTGGTTGAAGGCTGCCCACCACGCATTGCAGTCCGCCACCGTGGACTTGTCAAAGCAGCGGCCAACAAAAATCTCGGCCAAGTGTGCAGTGGTGCCTGGTGCGTCGTCCCCGCGCACGCCGCTCGCCAGTGCGAGGCCTGCAACCAGCATCAACAAGGCACTTTGCATTGCAACAGAATGGAAAAAAAAAAAAAAAAAGGAAAACTGGATTGATTTGGATTGATTTGAGTTTGACAATCTGAGATTTTTGTTGGGTCGAAACTGGCAATCCAGTCTCCTTTTTTTTTTTCTTGTTTTGAATTATTCTGTTCAATGTTGCGGGCTGGGACGATTGTTGCTGCTGCGCGATTTTACGCCAGTCCGGTTGGACGTGTCGCAGTGGTTGCTGCAATTTCGGCTGGTTCGGCCGCTGCGCACCGATCTGCGCCATCGAGGTCGCTGTCGCTCGCGTCGTCTCCGCTCCAGTCACTGCTGCACACTACGACCACGCAGAGGCAGCCGATGCGCACTCGTCATCGCGTCCATGACCAGCTCGGATTGTTCGCAGCGCGCCGATTCATGTCGGCGAGCGCTGCCGCTATTGCCCAGGCCACTCCGCCGCCGCCTTCCTCCTCCGCTGCGCCTGCATCTGTACGTTTCCTCCATCACCATCTCCCTCGATGTCGCGTCTGCGCAGCGGTGTCGTTGGTGCGATTTTTCATCAAGCTTTTTTCGATGACGAGCTTCCAAATTTCCAAATTGTTCGCCAGCCATTTTTTTAAAAAATCCAAACATCTAAAATCTGGATTTTTTTGTTTTCGGTTTCGGAGTTGCTTTTTGGTTGGTGATCTTGATCAGAGTCGCTGGTGAAGCGGTTGGGTTGCGCATGAGCACATCCGAGGCCATCGGTCGGCGTTCTGAGCCCGAAAAACAACGCCGTCGTCGAAACAACAACAAAACAACGCATCCAAAAAAGGACATTTGAATTGGAAAAAACATTAAAAAAATGTTTGTTTTCAAAAACAACCTGTGATCACTGATGCAATGAATGTCTGTCTGCCAGTGTCAAGCGATCAGAAAAGGGCGAAAGGGGGGGGGGAGCAAGCGACGGGCAGACAACAGTGAAAGAACAGAACAAACAACCTGCAGCGGCCCTTTACGTCCGTTTTCGGCTTTGTTGATTTACAGCCATCGCTGCTGCAATCATCGCTATGTGCCACACTCAACTGTGGATGATGATTTTAACAGGGGAAACAAAAACAAAAATCTCACCAACAACCACAAAACACTTTGAACTCAACTCACCGCCTGTACTTACAGGACACGGCGGGCGTCCCATTCAGCAGCCTCACGGTGGGCGCGCCGCGTGAAATCTTCAACGGCGGAAGCGAGCGACGCGTTGCGCTGACCCCCGACAACACGCGCGCGTTGGTCAAGGAGGGATTCAAGGTCGTGGTCGAAAGCGGGGCGGGTCTTGGCGCCAAGTTTTCGGATGCCGAGTATGTGGCTGCCGGCGCTCAGATTGTCAGCACGCCCGCCGAGGCCTTTGCCGCCGACATTGTGCTCAAGGTTCGCGCGCCAGAGCTCAACCCGACGCTGGGCAAGCACGAGTCGGAGCTGGTGCGTGCCGGCGCCACGGTCATTTCGTTCCTGTACCCCGCCAAGAACAAGGCGCTGCTGGACACGCTGGCCAAGCGCAAGGCGAACGTGTTTGCCATGGACTGCATCCCTCGCTTGAGTCGCTCGCAGGTGTTTGACGCCCTCAGCTCGATGGCCAACATTTCCGGCTACAAGGCGGTGATTATGGCCGCCGAGCACTTCCCGCGCTACTTTGCCGGTCAAATGACAGCTGCGGGTCGCGTGCCGCCCGCAAAGGTCCTGATCATTGGCGCTGGCGTGGCTGGCTTGCAGGCTGCCGTCACTGCTCGCAACATGGGTGCCATTGTTCGTGCGTTTGACACGCGTCCCGCCGTGCGCGAGCAGGTCGAGTCCCTCGGCGCCGAGTTTCTGGAAATCAGCGTCAAGGAGAATGGCGAGGGCACTGGCGGCTACGGCAAGGAAATGTCAAAGGAATTCCACGACGCCGAGATTGCCTTGTTCACCAAGCAGCTCAAGGAGGTGGACATTGTCATCACAACCGCGCTCATCCCAGGCAAGCCCGCGCCGCGCCTCATCACCAAGGCCATGATTGAGAACATGAAGGCGGGCTCTGTTGTGATTGACCTTGCTGCCGAGGCCGGCGGTAACATTGAGACAACGCGCCCTGGGGAGCTGTATGTGCACCACGGCGTGACGCACGTTGGCTACACGGACTTGCCCTCCCGCCTGCCCACCGTCTCGTCCACGCTGTACTCGAACAATGTGGTCAAGTTCTTGCTGTCGATGGGCACCAAGGACAAAAAGTTTAGGATTGACCTTGCCGACGAAGTCGTGCGCGGCGCGATTGTCTTGCGCGAAGGTGAGCTTTTGTGGCCGCCGCCGCCGCTGGCCGTGACGGCAAAGCCGGCCGCCGCAGCCTCTGCCGCAGGTGCTCCAGCTGCCTCCGCAAATGCTGCTGCTGCGACTGCTGCTCCAGCTGCCAAGCCTGCGGCGTCAAAGAAACCCGCCACAGGTGGCCACGGCCATAGCGCGGCCTCGTCCGGTCCTGCGACATTTGCCGACACTGCTAAAGACGTCGCCCTCACCTCGACGGGCATCACCACTCTGCTGGCACTTGGTGCCACGGCTCCGGCATCGCTGTTGCCGGTGGTCACCACCTTTTCCTTGGCTGGCATTGTTGGCTACAAGGCCATCTGGGGCGTCACGCCCGCCCTTCATTCGCCGCTCATGTCCATCACCAATGCCGTGTCGGGCATTGTGGGTCTGGGTGGTTTGCACTTGATGAGTAGCGGTTATGCGCCGGATGGTGCTGCAGCTGGCTTGGCCGCCGGCGCCGTGTTCATCTCGTCAATCAATGTGTTTGGCGGATTTTTAATCACCCAGCGCATGCTGGACATGTTCCGTCGCCAAGATGACCCGCCTTCACACAACTACCTGTACGCTGCTCCGGCCATCGCCTTCCCCGCCCTGTTCCTCGGCGCCTCGTCGTTTGGCTATGTCAACGTCCCCGCGATGGGCTACCTGGCATCGGCTCTGTGCTGCATTGCCGCACTCTCTGCCCTTTCTTCGCAAGAGTCTGCGCGCACCGGCATCGTCCTGGGTCAGGTCGGTGTGGCCATCGGCACGGCTTCGTTTGTCGGCGCTCTCTCGCCGTCGACCGAGGCGCTTGTGCAAATGGCCGCGACCGCCGGTGCTGGCGGTCTGATTGGTGTCGCCATTGCGCGTAAAGTTGCCATTACCGAGCTTCCGCAGTTGGTTGCCGCCTTCCACAGCTTCTCTGGTCTGGCTGCAGTGCTCGTGTCGGTTGCTTCATACCTGCACACGAGTCAGGGTGCGATTGGCGCGGCGCACGGCGCGGCAGCTGCAGCAGCTGCGTCCTCGGCTCACGAGCTTTCCGCCATCAGCAGCTCGTCCATCTATTTGGCGACCGTGATTGGTGGCATCACGTTTACTGGCTCGTTGGCTGCGTTTGGCAAGCTGCAAGGCTTGCTTGCATCCGCGCCCCTTCTCCTTCCCGGTCGCAACGCCATCAACCTCGCCATGGCCGCCGCCACGTCCTACGGCATGTACGAATTCATCCAAAACCCCTCGCTCGCCGTGCTGGGACTCGCCACGACTGCTTCGTTTGCCCTCGGCGCGCACCTGACGCTGGCCATCGGTGGTGCCGACATGCCCATCGTCATCACAGTGCTCAACTCGTACTCTGGCTGGGCCCTGTGCGCGGAGGGCTTCCTCCTCGGAAATGACCTGCTGACGATTGTCGGAGCGCTCGTTGGCTCGAGCGGTGCCATTCTAAGCTACATTATGTGCGTGGCCATGAACCGCTCGCTCCCCAATGTCATTTTTGGCGGCTTTGGCACGCAGTCGAACGCTGGCGCCGCTGCCAGCGCACAGAAGGTGACTGGCACGCACACCGAGGTCAACGTGGACGAGGCAGTTGAGATTATCACCCAGAGCAAGTCGGTGGTCATTGTGCCCGGCTACGGCATGGCTGTTGCCAAGGCGCAGTACGCCATCGCCGAGATGACCAACATGCTCCTGAAGAACGGCATCAAGGTGCGCTTCAGCATCCACCCGGTTGCTGGACGCATGCCTGGTCAGCTGAATGTACTTCTGGCCGAGGCCCGCGTTGGCTACGAGCACGTCTTTGAGATGGACGAGCTCAACCCGGAAATGCCCGAAACCGACCTCTGCCTTGTGATTGGTGCCAACGACACCATCAACTCTGCCGCGCAAGAGGATCCCAACTCGCTCATTGCCGGCATGCCCGTGATTGAGGTCTGGAAGGCGCGCCAAGTCATTGTCATGAAGCGCTCGCTCGCCGGCGGCTATGCCGACATCCCCAACCCTGTCTTCTACAAGCCCAACACGTCCATGCTCTTTGGCGATGCCAAGAAGACCTGCGAGGCGCTGCAGGCGAAGGTTGCGTCGCATTTCGCCAGCAAGTAATTTGTTTCTGAGGCTTGTGTTTTGTGTTTGTTCGTGTCGCCTCTCGTTTCTTTGTTTCTCTGTTGTGTCGGCTGTGTCCTTGAGCGGATATGTGTAGCACGCTTGAATGTGAATAGTTTTGGTCAATCCAGTGCCGTTTTGATTGGATCATCGAGTTTATGAGAATCGAAAAGGAAAGGGATGTTAAAATGGATTGCGCTCAGCGACTGAGTTCGAGGCGCTTTGACACTGTCAATCGCTCGTCTAACCGACCGAGCGATGTCGTCCATTTTGTTCTTCCAAATCCACTTCACTCTTTTTTTTTTTTTTTTTTTTTCCATAGCGAACATGTCTGCACAACTCCGCGAGGTGTTTGCGCACTGCAAATCTCAAGGCGAGTTTGTTTTTTTCTCTGGTGCAACAACGACGCCCAACATTGGCCTGCCTTCAACAAATCCACTCTCATCCACGATGACTTGAGCAATGTCACTGCGCGCGTTGTAGTGTGGTCGGTTCGGTGGCAATGACCTCATCGCCCCGCCTTCGCGCGTGATGTGATTGGGTCACTGTAATCTCCGCCACGCACCACCCGCCTTGCATTGTTTCATCCGATATCCAGCAGACAGACAGACAGACAGACACGAGTCGCACTTCAGCCCATCCGCAGCAAAAAGCGACCACTGCGATTGGGATGTGTGGCGGTGGATTGCCAGCGGCGAGACCCACTCAGTCATTCTCACTCACTCACTCGCTCACTCACTCCCACTCTCATCACTCACTTCACAATGTACACTCTGCTTTTGTGTCATTCTCTTTCTCTCTCTCCGTTGTTGTCGCCTTGCTGCAGGTCGACCGGCATTCGTTGCCTTTGTCACTTGCGGATTCCCGACCGTCCCCGAGTTCAACGACGTCGTGCTGGGTCTGCAGCGCGGTGGCGCAGACATTATTGAGATTGGCGTGCCATTCAGCGACCCGATCGCAGAAGGACCCGTCATCCAAGCGTCCAACAAGGTTGCCCTCGAGAACGGCGTCGGATCGCTTGCCAAGTGCATCGAGCTCGTCAAGGGCGTCCGTGCCGCCGGTGTCACCGTCCCGCTCGTGTTTATGGGCTACTTTAATCCATTCTACGTCCATGGAGTCGAGCGCTTTAATCCTTTCTACGTCCATGGAAGTCGAGCGCGCCGTGGCGGAGGTTGCCCGACGCGGGCATCAACGGAATTTATCATTTGTGGATTTGCCACCGGAAGCATCGCCCGGGTTTGTCGGCGCGTGCGGCCAGCACGGTCTGTCCATGATCCCGCTTGTCACGCCCACAACGACCGTCGAGCGCACTGCAAAGCTCGTGGCCAACGCCGACTCGTTCGTCTATGTTGTGTCCATCACGGGCGTCACTGGCGCGCGCGATAACGTCAGTGCCGACCTCCCCGCGCTTGTGGCGGGCATTCGCAAGCTCACGAGCGTTCCGCTGGCGGTTGGCTTTGGCATTAGCAATCGAGAGCAGTTTGAGAAGGTCTCTCACGTTGCCGATGGCGTGGTCATTGGCTCGGCCATCATCAAGCTGCTCCTCGCAACGCCTACAGCCGGCGAAACGCACGCTTCGCGTGTCGAACAGTATGCACAGTCTGTGACCCTGCGCACTGACGCTCAACGCCACCCGGTGGCGCTCGCCTATCGCCGAACGACCGAAGCCAGCGCGCAACAGCAACAACAACAACAACATCAGCAACATACTCAGCATCTCGCCCCATCCACACCCGACTTTTTCGGCGCATTCGGCGGTCGCTATGTGCCCGAGACGCTGGTCCACGCGCTGGACGAGCTCGAGCGCGAGTACAACAAGGTCAAGGACGATCCGTCCTTCCTCGCCGAGATTGCCTCCTTTTGCGACTACGTGGGCCGCCCCAGCTCCTTGCACGCGACCGACCGCTTGGTGGACTCCACCAAGGCTGCCAAGATCTGGCTCAAGCGCGAAGACCTCAACCACACTGGCTCGCACAAGATCAACAACGCGATCGGCCAGGCTCTGCTTGCGAAACGGCTTGGCAAGACACGAATCATTGCCGAGACGGGCGCAGGACAACACGGTGTTGCCAGTGCCACCGTGTGCGCCAAGCTCGGTCTCGAGCTGGTTGTGTACATGGGCGCCGATGATGTCAAGCGCCAGTCCTTGAATGTGTTCCGCATGGAAATGCTTGGTGCCAAGGTAAAAAAGGAGCGTGTTACTCTGATTGCGAGAAACAGAGCCTGGTGACTCGAACTCATTTCGTTTGTGCGTGCGTGCGTGCCTGTTTTGTGCTTTAGGTCGTTGCCGTCACAGCCGGATCGCGCACGCTGAAGGACGCAATCAACGAGGCAATGCGAGACTGGGTGACCAACATTCGCAACACGCATTACCTGGTTGGCTCGGCGATCGGCCCTCATCCCTTCCCAACAATTGTGCGCGATTTCCAGTCCGTCATTGGTCGCGAGATTAAGGAGCAGGTATGATTCCGGTGTGTGAAGCCGCACAGGGTCCGCACGAGGGTCTCATGCTCATTTTTTCGCGCAATTCAATTCGCCCAAATTCCAGATGCTCAAGTACACTGGCCGCTTGCCCGACGCCTGTGTGGCCTGCGTTGGCGGAGGCAGCAATGCCATTGGTACATTCTACCCCTTCATCAACGACCCGTCTGTTCGACTTGTTGGTTGCGAAGCTGGCGGTGAAGGTACACGCTTCTTAAGCTTTTCTTGTTTGTTGTGACTTGAAGGCAAGCTTGTTCTCGGCCAAAAAGTTATCGGATGACTGAAATACTTGTCAACTTGTTCTTGTTGATCTTAGGTGTCGACACCCCTCACCACTCTGCCACTTTGGTCGCCGGAACGCCCGGCGTTCTGCACGGAACTCGCACGTATCTGCTCCAGGACGCTGCCGGTCAAATCCAAGAGACGCACTCGATCAGCGCGGTATGCATTGGAGATGCGACTCTTGCCCAACCTGCCTACTAGAAGGCTCACTCGGAGCGTTTTTCTTTGCCTTCAGGGTTTGGACTATCCCGGTGTCGGTCCTGAGCACGCTTGGTTGAAGGACACTGGTCGCGCCGAGTACGTGGCCGTCACCGACCGAGAGGCGCTGCTGGGCTTCAAGAAGTTGACCCAGCTCGAAGGTCAGTTGATACGGTTGGAAATGGTGTCTGCGCTTGCGTTCAAAGTATTGACTGACTCTTTCCCTGTGTGATTAGGCATCATCCCAGCGCTGGAATCGTCGCACGCCATCTTCCGTGCCATCAAGCTTGCTGAAGAGATGGGTCCTGGCAAGAACATTGTCGTGTGCTTGAGCGGTCGTGGTGACAAGGACATTGACACTGTCCGATCCTCGCTCGCCAAGTTTGGGTGCTCGCTTCGCATGCGCTCTGCGGACGATTTGGCCTAGATCTCGAAGCGTTTGGTTTTGGTTGTTGTTGTTGTTTTGTGGCTCGAGCGATTCGCTTTTTTTGTTTGGTGGTGTTGATGCTTCCCGCTTTTTCAGTACATGCATTCATGCATTTTCTTCGTTTCTCAGACATCTCTAAAACAAAAAACCCAAAATCATTCCATCTTTTTTTTCTTTTTTTTTTTTTTCAATTCTATTCTCAATGCGCCAATTCTCGCTCCTGCTGCTGCTGTCGCTCGCCGCGCTGGCTCCCTCCGTCGCAACGGCCACGCCCGAGTGCGACGCCATTGCAACCAACGGGCCTTACTTCAACCACACCCAGGTCGCTGGCTGCCTGCGCTCGGTGGCGTTCGACGCGACCCAGGCCGCGAACATTTTGGATTCGCTGCTCAAGATGGTCCCGTCGTATGTCTTTGTGGACACGTCCAAGGCGTCGCCCGACCCAGTCAACATCCCGATGAACACGGATCTCATTGCCCGTCTCCAGACCATCAAGCAGACCGCCGCTGCCGGCGGATACGCAGTCGACGCCGATTTCCAGCAAGACCTTGCGGATCTCTTTGGCGAGCTCCACGATGCTCACACGCGGTGCGTCGTATTGTTCGGCTCGCTCGCTCCGTTGGGAGGGGAGGGGGCAATCCCCCAACGCTCGATCTAGTCCCGCACAGATCGATTGTTGCTTTGGAGGGGTCGATGTTCGCTTGAGATGGCGCCATCTCTGAAGCATCCGGTCGAGTTTGGAGCGGGGGGAGTTTTTGGGTTGTAAAAATCTCCGATTCATCCGTGATCTGAGACAATCCGAGTGGGTTCTGAGCAGATGCAAAAAAAAAGAATCTTCCGAGCGAAAGACGGGCAGACCAAAAACATGGATTCACAACATCATGGCGATCGCAGTGCACAGTGGAATGACTGTAAACTGACAAAAATCACTTTCTGAAATTTCTGCATGTCCATCACAGATACGCCAAGCCATCGCCGTACACAAACAGTGTCTTCATTCTGCCATTCATCTTGTCGTCCGAGGTCGATGATGCCAACAACCAGGGCATCACAGTCCACGTCCAACCCGACTGGATGGGCAACTACACTGCCGTCTACGGCGCGGCTCCATTCAACGGTGTGAATGTTGACGGCTTCCGCGCAATCTCCATTGACGGCAAGGTTGGTACCATCGCTCTTCAGGATTGACGGAAACAGACCAAAAAATGATGCGACGGCAAACTGATTTTGATGTGTGCGTGTTTTTTTTTTTTTTTTTTTTTTCGTTTTTCGTTTTTGTTTTGGTGTTGCAGGATGCTCTCACAACCGTCTCCACCTTCGCCAAGGAAAAGATTGGCTACAGCAAGGACGTCGGCGCTCGCTTCAACTTGGCTGTTGATGGCTATGGCGGCACCTTTTATGGCATGTTCACCTTCCGTCAGCAAAACCTCCAAGCCATTCCCGCCCCGACCATGCTGTGGGTGCTCCAAAACCCTGCCACCAACGAGACCTTCACCGACACGATTTCCTTCCTCGGTCGCTACATTCCTCCGGCAACCTCCGCTGCCCTTGCAGCTCGCGCCTCGCCACGCATGCCGCAGGCCATCATCCAGGAGGAGCAGCTGACTCTTGCCGAGAACTCTGCGCCGCTCTCGTCCTTCCACACCCTGCTTCCCAAGTCGGCTTCGACGGCCAAGATTGCTGCCACTGTCGGCGACGAACCTGGCGTTCAGACCTTTGTTCAGGACGCTGCCAGCGGCGTCACAGTGCAGCTGGTCGACGGCGTGACTGGCGTGCTCAAGATTGCCACCTGGGCCCCGGCCAACAACTCGCAGTTCATCTCCAGCGTCATGACGGGTGTCCGCGCTTTGACTGACGCCAACATGCAAAACCTCATTATCGATCTTCGCCTGAACGGTGGTGGCGACATTTGCCTTGCCTATGGCGCGCTTCGCTTCCTCTTCCCGGACGTCACACCCACCATTGGCCGCTACGACATGAAGCACTCTCCTCTGTGGAATGCCCTTGCCGAAGCCGGCGCCCAGCAGATGCAAACTTCGGCCCCTGGCTCCATCCCATGCGGTATTGGTAACCGTTGTACCCGGAATGTGGTGCAAGAATTTGTTTCCGCCCCTGTTTGATCTTGTTTTTTGCTCACCATGCTATGCTTGTGGTGTGTGTGCAATTTGGGGTGGCTTTGTTTTGCAACATGCGACATGCGAATTCTCCAGATCCCGAGGTTGTCGGATACTTTACTCCCTGCGCGTGGTCGGCTCCTGGCGGCGTTGGTGTGGAATTCCTGCCCTTCTCGGACGACTCGTGGTTCAACCCTGGCGAAACGTACCCTCGCGGTGGCGTGGCCAACTCGGCTTACTCGTCGCTCATCCACGAAGGCTGCCAGGTAAAATAAAAGGCCCCCGTTGTTGTGTTTGGGTTTTGTGCTTGACAAATTCTTACATTTAGAGCTTGGCTTATTCAGACGGCCTACGACATGTGGATCCCGGCCAACCCTCTCAAGAGCCTGACCGCAGATAACATCATTGCCTTCTCGGACAGTCTGTGCGGCAGCTCTTGTGCCGTCTTCTCTCGGTACGCACGATTCGTTGTGTTGCTGTTTTTGTTGTTTTGCTTTTGCAGTTTCAACTCACGCCATTTACCATCTTCCAGCCACATGCAACAAGCTCGCAAGGTCAAGACTCTGACCGTCGGTGGTCTGCAAGGTGTCAAGTCTGGCATTGCCTCGTTCCCAGGTAAAAAAGAAAGGAAAAACATAAAGAGATAGCTGTGAAAGATCAGAATCCCTCGCTACGCCCCCACCCCACCCCAACCAAAATGCATGCTCATCCGGCATTGTCTGACATCGACGGCGCTTTTGTTCTGCGTTTTGAATCGTCTTGCCTCCTTCAGGCGGCGAGGTCGAGGACTTGCCGTTCGCCATCTCGATGGCCGCCAAGTATGGCGTCACGGATCCCAGCCTTGTTCCCGCGGCCCTTCCCGGCAACACCATCTTCCGTTATGCGATTCGCGAAATCTACCCGTTCAACAGCGCCTCCCAGGCCGTCCCCCTCGAATTTGTGTTTGACCCCGTCGACTTCCAGCTCCCGTACGGCAGCAGCGGCTTTGTGGCCGGCGATCCGCTTGTCGGACCCATCTACCGCGCCGTTGCCAAGCAGTTTGCCACCTGCGCAGCCTGGCAGACCAAGCCATGCACCCTTGCTTCCGGCTCGGGCGTCCACACGTGCGTGAACGGCGTGTACTCGACCACCTGCTCCGCTGCCTCCTGCAACGCCGGCTTTGGCGAGGTTCAAGACGCGTGCATCGCCTGCCCTGCCGGATTCTGGCAAGACGGCACTCAGACTGCCTGCCAGGTGAGTACTTTTGAAGCATGTGAGACGCGACACAAAGCTTTTGTTTGTTCTCACACCTCTTGTTCGTTTGTCCTCGATTCCATCTCCCACACACAAATATGCAGCAATGCACCAATGCCCCAGCTCATGCAGTGTACACTGGCACCAGGCAAACCAGCGCCACTTGCGCGTACTCTTGCCTTGAGGGCTTTGGTGGCTTCACTTGCAGCGAGTCCGTGCCCAAGCAGTCCAGCAGCAGCGGCTATTCCAGCGGTACGGTTGCCGGCGCTTCGATTGGCTCGCTCCTTGCCGGCGCTGCGATGGCTGGCGTTGCCACTTACGTGTACTTCCGTCGCCGCGCTTCTGGCTATTCGCCGATCTAAGTTCCTTCTTTGCGTCATGGGAGTTTGTATGGTCTTGCAAACGACAGTAATACACAATTACACAGTACATCGTGCAGGCACGGAGTGGAGTGGACCACGAGTGCCCAAACAGGGCGAACTGCAACTTCTTCGGAAATTGTTCGGACTGTTAAAAAAAAAATGGCTCAATTCAATTCACAGGCACGTATCAAAACGTCAAAGTCAACACGCAATCAAAACAAGAAGTGCGCGCTTTTTTTTTCTTCGTCGTTTTGCGGCATTCTTTTAGGCATCCTCGGTGGTGCGGAGAAGTCGGCGACCGCCCTTGCCGGGTGCCGAGGGTTTTGCGAAAGCCTTCTTGGCCTCCACAGCCTTAGGGTGGAACTCTTCAAAGATGAATTGCTCAGTGACCTCTGCAGCATCGGAGACTTCGAGCTGTGATGGTTTCCAAAACTGAATGAGTACTGTGACGACTGAAAACATGATGAACACGCTCGTTTGCGAAGCATACAATACCTTCTTGTCAACGGTAATACCAAGATCGTCCTCGACAACGCTGAGAATCGGGTTCTTGCCAGAAGAATAGAGCATGCGCTCCTTGATTTTGCAGGCGTAGCCGGGGCACGAATAGATGAAAACTGCAAGGTGAATGAATTCAAACGTGAGTATTTACGGATCGACGCATCTACAACGCAAAAAAGTGCCAAAAGCCAAGCTTACCGATGGGCTCAAGACGCTGGCCTTCGTGCTGGTGGGTAAAGCGGAAGAAGTGGTAACGAGGCTGGTCGCCGGGGATGCGGCTGGCAATTTGGCTTGCTTGGATGTTCTCGGCAGAGGCGAGCTCGATAGTCTCGCGAGAAATATCAATGGACTGAAGGAAAAAACCAAACACACACGGTGCAAGTGAAGCACACAGTCAGACAACGACAGACCGACGGCGGGTCGGCAAAGACAAACGCAACAACCAAAATTCACGTACCAGCTGAACGTAGGAAACAGAGCCGTCCTGGAGGGCGCGGAGCTTGGCAAGACCAGCGTCAGAGACGGGGAAGTGAACAGCACCCATGTGCGCGCGCTTGGTGCTGGCGCCAATGTCGACACCGACCTCGCGAGCCTTGATTTCAGACTTTTCAATCTCCTCTCGGGAGAGCGGCGGGGGTGCGTTGTTGGCCTCAACGTGCTTGGCAAAACCGTCGCGGCTGACGTCGCTCTAGCGTCACAAAGTTCAATGTCAGCAAACAACAAAGAACGAAACAACAAGGGAAAAAATGTTCATCTCATTGAAAAGTAGACTTCCGTCGCGTGACTCACAGGAGCAGTGCCAAAGACTTCGTCGACAACGCGGTAATCGCCAAACTCCTTCTTGAGGGTGGCGCGGGTGGATGCGTAAAGCATCTTGTCGCGGACCTGCCCAGACGACGACGACAAGACGAGGTGAGTAAAAGGAGGTGCGACTGAGATGGTTTGCCAAGAAGCGGCATCAAAGGCAGAAAAACGCAAATCGCACCATGGCAAAGTCGGGAACGTAGCAAATCAGAATCCACTCATAACCGTGGGCGTTCGACGAGTCCAAGCGGTACAGAATGTAAGAGGGGGCCTTTTCGTCGAGCAGAGGAGTCACGCAGCTGTCATAATCGCTCTCCCAGGTGCCGCGCACGGGTTGCGAGGTTGCCTTGACGAGGGATTCTTTGCCCAGTGAAACCCCCAAAACAAACGACAAGCAAAAACAAGTACCGATGAGCGCTGATGATTTCTGAAAAGCAACGCCAAAACAGCAAAACAGCAAAACAGCAAAAGCATCCACGCTAAAGACAAATCCAGTAGCTCACTCACCGCCAGAGATGTTGACCTTGATGGCACGGACGTTGTCGGCCTGATGGATTTCGGAAAAGTACGCCGAGAGCTCGCGGGACGCTGGATGTAACCGATTCATCAAAATGATCAGGACATGAGGATCACGCAACTATGTCTTTCGCGTTCAAGCATCAGCTTGCTTGCGGTTGGCAGTGGCCACTTACCAGTGATGCCAGATTGGTGCGACATTGTCGGGTTTTGTTTTGTAAATGTGGATGGATCTGCAAACGCAACAGAGCAAATGAGTCATGTCCGATGTTTGAGCACAGTTGTAGTCGTAGTAGTAGTGTCGGTGGTTGAATGAGAGTCGTTGAGTTTGAGTTTGTAGAAAGATTCAACCGATCACGCTCACTCTCTCTCTCTCTCTCTCGCTCGCTCAACTCGCTCTCCCGTCGTCCTCATTGCATCGCTTCATGCATCATGCAATCGCTTCATCATCCATCATCCTTCCATTCCATTCGTTCTCTGTGCCACAATTTCAAAAGAGATCTGGGTTTTTTTTTTTATTATTTTGATTTTTTTTGCCGATTTTTTTGTATGAGTTTCCATTGAAGTCACACGGATAAAAAATTAGATAAAAAATAAAAAATAAAAAAATAAAATAAAAAAAAGTTGCCTTTTCCAAACTGCAACAACTGAACCGAGAGTGAGAATGCATTGAAAGCGACGAGTTGAGCGATGCAGTGAAAGAGTGAAGGAGGAAGGACAGCCAATGAACGAAAAAAGGGGGAGCAGAAGAACGAAACGCGACAAAGAGGGGGGATCGCTTGCACTGAAACTGAAGGAGAATGACCTCGATTGAGTCGCGGTGATCCGAACACTCCAGCAAAGGGGACGGGAAAGCGGAGCAGAGGGGGAAAGGGGATGGATGGTGTGAATGCAGCTTGGGAGGGGAGGAAGCGGGCTGGAGAGGTGGGGAGAGGGGTATCGGTTGGATTGCAGAGAAAAGAGATTGAACGCACTTTGAACCAAATGGAAAAAAACAAGGACTGAGGTTGTCCTTCTCATCATCATTCACATCATCATCATCATCACAACTATGAGAGCATGCTTCATTCAACGAGGTAAGAAGGGGGGGGGGAAAGAACAGAGTGGATTGGAAGAAATCCAAAGGGAAAACAGTATTTTTGCTTTCGAGTTCTGCAACTCACAGTCAGTCAGTCAGTTCACTCGTGTTTTTGATTTTACTTTTGATCCTGTACCTTCTGTGATTTGAGTTTCCTGCTTGTAGACTGCTCCAAATGCTGGCGATTGCTGCAGCGTCGAGCGTCGCCGTCTGGTACTCGAACGCAGCGAGCGATCATCCTGCGCCTGCTGGCTCTGACACTGCCGCCGCAGCCCTCCCGCCGCCGACCATGACCCACTCGATCAATACAAAGACACCCGTTGCGGCTGTGCGCTGGTCGCCCTCCAGTGAGTGCCGTGGTTTTCCCCCTTTCTCACTTTCGTCCCTCGCCTTTGTCCGTCTCCGCTCGATCTCGGCTCTGTCCCCACCTCTGATCTCTGTTTTGCGTTTGGGACTGGAGCGACGACAACCACATCAGTCTGTCGTTTGTTCCGACCGAGTCTTCGCGACTGCCTCTCTCACTGTTTCGTTTTCGAGTCGAGCGTTTTCCCGCGCAAAATTCAATCTCACTCATCTGCTCGATTCTTGCTCGACACAGGTCAAGTCCTCGCAGTCGCCACCGAGTCTGGAGACATCCACCTATCGTTGGCATCCAGTGCCGATCTTGGCACGCTGAGCACGGCGCAGGTAAACTCCCCGCCAACAGCCAACTTCGTCTCGTTCCGTCTGACACACATCTCTGACATCTCCATGCAACGCCGTCTGGACAGAAACTGAGTACCATGGACTTCTCGCCGAATTCAAAACTTATTGCGGAAGCAGGTGCTTCGCGGGTCGTCACACTGTGGGATGTCAAAACGCAGCGTGTCAGCAAACAACTGCAGGTAGGATTGATTCATTGACCAGAGCAGCTCAGCTAGGGCACATCCCCCCGAGTGTAAAGTGGTATCGGACCTCATTCTGGCAACTTTTGCTCATTGCGTTCACCAAGGGCCACAACTCGTCAATTCTGGCCGTACGGTTTGCCCCTGTCGATGGCCTTATTGCGAGCGCCTCGGCCAGCGGCGACATTCTCGTTCACTCGGCCGTCACCTCTCAGCTGACATCCAGCTTTACCAGACCCATGGTGCGAGCTGCGCGTGTGTCTTGTGTTTGTTTCTGCGAGGATGATCCCTCCTAACCATTCACCTGTTTCATTCGCTCAGGCTGTGCGTTCCCTCGACTTCTCGCTCTCGAGGCGCGGGCTATTGGCATGTGCGGGCGATGATGGAGCTGTGACTTTGTTCGATGTTATCCAGAATGCGACGAGCGCGAGCTTCGCCTCGCACATTGCCCCGGCCATTGGTGTTGCGTTCTCGCCAACCGCCGCGCACATCCTAGCATCCGTTGGTTTGGATAAGCGATTGTCCTTGTTTAATGTGAACGAGAAGCGGTATGTCACTTTGTTTTTGGGCGCGAAAGGCTCCGTTCGATTTGCTTTGCTCAACGTTTCGCACCATTTCTTTCTTGGTTTAGTGCAACGCTTCAATTACACGCGGAAGAGCCTCTTACTGGCATCACATTTCACCCAGACAAACCGCTGGTCGCCATTGGAACACAATCCGGTATGTGGGCGAGAAAGACTCGAAAAGCAAAAAAACAAAACAAAACTAAGGAGAGCAGCACATCAACTGCAGACACTAACCTTCATCTCATTTCATCCTGTACTGTGGCAGGCGCTGTTCATCTTGTCGACTTGAGACGCGCGTCCGACGACCGAGGCAACTTGCTTCCGTTGGTTTCTGTGCACGCACCGGCCTCAGTCACCTCTGTTGCCTTCGCGCGCGCGGCGAGCCAAGATGCGTCGTCGTCATCTTCAACCGTTCGTTCGCAGCAGGTATAAAATGCACATGTCCGTTCTGCGTTCGTGGAAGGTTGAAACAACGACGATTTTTTTATATTCACAACCTCCTTCGCTCCTTTAGCCTGCATCCAACTCCAAGCCCGCACCCACACAGACATCGTCCTCTCTCCTCAAGTCTACGCTCGACCCAAGGGGTTCTCGGGAGGTCGCCAGCACTGTTTTCTCTCCATTGCGAGGTCAGGATGGCCGCGTTCTGTTGTTGCTTGATTCTCGCACTTTGGCGCTTTCTTCTAAACTCCAGGCTCGTTTTTTTGTTTATTTGTTGACTCTTACAGGACCTCAAGGTGACACTCGAATGGCCGCTCACTCGCCTGTTGCGCCACAGACGTCTAGCGCTGCCCCTCAGTCCATCATCTTTTCTCCGTTGGCTCCGCCAGCAGCGGCCGCGGCCAGCAGCTCGGCCGCGTCGCGGGTGACATCAGCCGTCCCAAGCACCGCGCGATCTTCTTCGGTGCGCCCAGAAAGTCATGGCACTGTCGATCCCGTCGTTCGCAGTGCCTCTCATCCATCAGCGGTCTTCTCCCCGCTGGCGTCCGCCGCTCCCGACTCGCGACATTTTCCGACGACTCGCGACCTGCATCACCTCCAGCGCTCAGTTCCGCCGTCTGCCTCGAGCACCGTTAATACCAGCCATCTTGCGCACACGGGCCGCGTTCAGCACACCCCCGCTGACATGCGCAATAACGTGACTTTCACCACGCCAGATCCGGTCGGCGCCGCTGGCCTTGCACGAGGAGCGACGCTAGCTCCGGCCGCAGTTACAAAGGCAGCACAGCAACCGACGCGCGAGGCCACGACAGCTGCTGGAATCCCGGCTGGCGGCGCTGTTGCGCAACCACAACAGCGGTCGATCAGCAACCCTGAAAGGCTACCATCCGTGCCACTCACGCTGCCTGCAGTAGCAGCGCTGCCAGCTGCGCAGTCACAGCAACCCATCGAAACTCTGTTGACGATGGAGATTCAAGCACAGCTCATTCGCTCGACGGTCGAAGAAGCAATGGATGGGCTTCGTCTCACGATGCATCGAGAAATCCAGAACATGCATTTGGAGCTGCTTCGTCAGTTCCAGATTCAGCGAGTGAGTCGTCGGCTCGCGAGAGCGTTTTGTCTTTTGTTTCGGAACGTTTTGTCCACTCACCTTTGCTTTCCCGCGTCCCCTGGACTCTGTGTGTGCGTTTTCTTCTTGCCCCAGAACGAACTTGAAACGCTGATTCAAACAAACTCGGTCAATGAGTCACTGCTTCGCGAGATTGATCGGCTCAAACGCGAGAACGAGCGATTGCGCCAAGCTCAACTGTGACGCTCTGAAGCTCTCGGCGACAGCTTTTTCCCCATTCCATGTGGCATCACATCACGGGCATGCCATGTCTCTTGTTTGTTAAAATACTGCAATTCTTCAGGGTTGAACTCGACTGCATGTCAATGTTGCAAAGTTTTCCAATGAGTGCACCACAAACCCTGCTCTTTTCTATATTTCGTGATTTCGTTGCTCTCCTTCCGTTTTGTTATGTTCATTCCCTGTTTTCTTTCATCATGCCTCACCAATACTTCCCAGGCAGTGCTTCGCTGCTGGAAGAGCTCGACAGTGCGTTTATTGTTTTTTTGCATTGCGCAACCCTCCCCACCCCAACCCAAGCCCCCCCCCCCCAACGCCAGCAGCATCTTCAGAGCATGCATCGTTCACCTGTCCTTCCGATGAGTCGGCAGCACAGCCAGAAATGAATGGGGAACAAGGGAAACGCGGACCAAAAGCGGAGATCTCGCTTGAACGACTGCCTGCTGTGTTGACCATTGCCCTACGAAAGCGACCCAGCGATGACTGAAGCATTGCCAAATGAAATGGTCATTCCTGGCTTGGAGTTTGGGCTGTGTGGCTGTGTGGCGTGGGGAAAGGGAGGGGGAAGGGCACCTTGCAGCCAAAGTTGCTTCACACTCGTCAACCCATACATCGCGCACCGCCGCCACCCCCGACTCACTTCTGCCCATGTTGTATTCTGATGACAGAGAAGCTCATGGTTGTCCTGCGAGACGGACGCAAGCTCATTGGATTCCTGCGCTCGTTCGATCAATTTGGTAACCCATCACTTTGTTCCAAAGTCGTCTAAACGTCTATGAGCAAATGCAAGGTCGAACCCAATAGCTCACAATCGGCACTGTCAAAACTTTGGGCTTTAGCAAACTTGGTGCTGCAAGACACAATCGAGCGCATCTATGTCGGTGATGCGTACGGAGACATTCCACGAGGCATCTTCCTCATTCGAGGCGAGAACGTCGTCTTGCTCGGCGAGATTGTAAGCCAACTCGACACAAAGGCTGAGAGTTGCTTGTGGACGCATGTTGTGGAACTAACCATTTTGGTGCGTGTATTTGGGGGGGATATCTGCTTGGATGTTTTTTTGAGCAGGACTTGCAAAAAGACGCACAAACCACCCTGCGGCAATTACCAGTAGAGGAGATTCTCGTGTTGCAGCGCGAAGAGCAAGAGCGAATTGAGGCACAGCAGAAAATACAGTACAAGGTCATGCTTGATCGTGGCCTCCAGCCGGTTACAGACGCTCTCTACGAGGACACATACAGCTGAACAACCAAACAGTTGTTTTGTTCGTTCTGACACTTTGTGGTCGTTGATGGTTATGAACGACGGCCCAAAAGAGGAGCAAGGGTACTATTGTATTACGTGCACACTGTGTGCTTGTAGTCTGTGCCAAGTTGACTCGTTTTTGCTACCATCCGTTTTGTTACAATACAAAAAATCAGCATCTTAGAGCGCTTCGTCAACCAAAGGGGCATGCAGTCGTATTCTTGCGTGGTCGTTGTTTGCACGGATTGTCGCAATCGCGTACATTTTCAGTTCTTTTTTTGTTTTGTCTCAGTCTATTTTTCTAAGCGCAACTCAAATTTTTTCAACATGGGCGGCGGCGATCTCAATTTGAAAAAGTCGTGGCACCCGCAGACCTACGCCAACCAGGAGCGTCTGTGGAAGGCCAAGCAGCAGCGCGAGGCCGAAGACAAGAAGATTGCCGTCCTGCAGAAGGAGAAGGAAGAGGAGCGGCGGCAAGAAGAGCTGCACCGTGAAGCTGTCGAAGCGGGAATAATCTCGTAAGTGAAACCCCCACCCAAAACGCACAATTTTGTTACTGATACCAATTATTCTGAGCCGAATATTCTGAGATTGGTCTGAGCGAGGTTGTCGACGTAACGTCGTTCCGTTTTCGTGCATGAGTTGGACAACTGACTCTGTCTTCCCCACCCCCACCTCCCTTTCTTCTTTATTGAACTGCGCAGGGCTGGCGCACAGCGACTCGAGTGGATGTACACTGGCCAGGCGGTCGCGGCGTCGAGGCAGCAGGAAGAGTATCTGCTTGGCAAGCGCGTCTCGGACACGACGTCGGCGGGCGCTCCGGCCTCGTCCCTGTCGCAGGCGTCGGGCGTCGCAGGATCACTGTTCGTCGGTGCTGGTGCTGGTGCTGGTGCTGGTGCTGGCGGGAGTGCTGGCGGGGCCGGCAAGTCCGGATTGCCGGCTCAGTCGGGCGCGGTGCAAGGCTCGCTCGCGGCCATCACCCAAGTCGCACCAAGCGCGCTGGATATGGCAAACAAGATCCGTGAGGACCCGATGTATCTGATCAAGAAGAAGGAGCAGGAGAGCCTGCAGGCGCTGCTCAGCAACCCGGTCCAACTGCAGCGCTTGCAAGTCCTCAAGCAGCAGCAGCTCCAGGCCCTCACTGCAGACAAGAAGAGCAGCAAGGAAAAGAAGGAAAAGAAGGAAAAGAAGGACAAGAAGGACAAGAAGGAAAAGAAGGACAAGAAGGACAAGCATGACAAGAGAAAGGACAACAGGCATCCTTCTTCGAGTGGAAGCGACTCGGACGAGCCCCAAGAACCCAGCCATGATGCTGATCGTTCATCTCGGTATCGCAATGATGACCGCCGACATTCGCCCGATCGCTCTGATCGCAACCGTCGCAGCATGGACTCGGATCGCGGCCGCCGCCACTCACGCTCGCCTCCTCCTCCTCCGCGCCGGCATTCGCGTGATCGTCGTTCGTCGCGCTCTCGATCCCCAACCCGCAATTCATCGCCAGAGCATCACCGGCCCCGTGGTCGATCACCCTCACGGCATGATCGTTCGTCCCGGAGACGTTCGAATTCTCGATCGCGGTCGCGGTCTCGCTCTCCGCCTCGGCGTCAGCATTCCCGCTCTCGCACGCCACCCCGCCGGCGCTCCCGTTCGCCCGTGTCGCGCTACCAATCCTCCAATCGTGATCATCGGCGATCCCCTTCACCAGACCGTCGCCGCTCGCAACCGCAACGGTCGCCATCGCCCTCGCGCCGTAGAAATGATGCCGGGGATTCGCGCCACGCACAACAGTCACACGCACCCTCCGAATCGAGCTCCAATCGCCAGTCTCGCTGGGGACCACGCGACGATCAATCCAGTGGCGCCCCTCTCGCTGCAACATCCGCTTCGGCATCCTCTGCAGCAGTTCCAATGGATGTGGCGCCGCCACGCTCCAAAAACGAAGAACTACAGCGCCGTCTTGCTGAGATGAAGCAAGCTGCAGAGGAAGTCCAGGCAGAGCGTGGAGCACGATTGCAGCGAGTGCAAGCAGCCGAACAATCTGAAGGCGCCGCGTCCACAGGCGATGCTTCCTTCTTGACGTGAGTGACGATGAGTTTGGTGTATGAATTCATGTGGTGGCCTGCTGTTGTATCTGACTAATCTTTTGATCTTTTGGGGCGCACCATTGTAGAGATGTTCAAAAGACGGCCTTTTCGGCAGCTACAGCGGGCTCGTTGGAGGATCAGATTCGGCGAAATCGGTACAACGTTCAACGCACCAGTTCCTCATTGTCTAGTGGTCTGCTAGACCACTGATTGCGAGAAATTGCAATAAACGCTTCCTCCAAAGTTACTTTTTTGGCCTTTTTTTGCTCACAACAAAAAATCGTTTACTTGCACATTCACATTCCATTTGTACGAGTTGTTGCATTATCTGCTTTTTCGAGGATTATCTGAGTGGGATCGGGTTATTGCGTGGCACCGCCTCGGCCGCCACGAGCACCACCGCGACCGCGTTGCGCGCTCAAAAGACCTTGGCCACCGCGAGCGGCGACGCCTCCTCGCATCGGACCTCCGTGTCGGACGGTAGCTAGTTAACAAATGCACAGACAAGTGAGGACAAAGCCCTCAAAGCAATACAAACAGTCTCGCAACGACTTACAACCGCCTTGGCCCATGAGAACGTCCATCAACGGAGTGCTGCTAGCTGGGCCGAAGCCGTGGAAAATCGCGGCAGCGGCCGGTCGCGCGGGAGCCGCAGCAGCAGCACCGACAGGAGCAGCAGCAACTGGAGTTGTCACACCCGACAACGAGATGATACGGCGAGCTGCACCAGGTGCGCCAGTGGCTACAAGACACACACGATTGGAGAAAAGCGTTAGAAATAATTCGAAAAAAAAGCAAGAAAACGCCAAGTCCACAAAACAAAGAACAAGAAAAAAGTACCTTGAACACCTGTTAGCGGACGGACTGGAGCAGCTCCGGCGGGAACAGCTGCGGGAGCTGCCTGTGCTGCTGGGACAACAGCTGGGGTTGGAGTCGCCTGCTCGGCAGCCGCTTCGCCGGCGCCAGTCTCAACAGCAGCATCCTCCGTCGGTTCAGCAGCAGCAGCAGCAGCAGCATCCACACTGTATCACACACAACAAACCATGAGAATCCGATTGAACTGCACAACCACAGCAAACCAGTTGTTGACTCACCTCGAAGCTTCGATCGACTCGGCTTCGCCGAGGTCGTGAAGATTGCCGATGGCCGGGCTACCGTACGAGTCGAACGTGGCCATCGGGTCGTCGTAGTCGAGTGCGACATTCTCTGTCGTTGAGGCTGGCTCGCTTGGTTCGGCTTCCGCCGCAGCAAGTCTGCGAAATGAGGCCAAGGAACACCAACAATGAGCCACGCAGCGTTCTTGCGATACAATCGCAAAATCATCGTTCAACACACTCACCCTTCCTCTGCTGGTGCTTCCACGGCTTCCTCGTCTTCTTGAGGTGGAACCTCAGAGTCCTCGGCGATTGGCTGCTCCTCAGTCTCTTGAGGAGCACCAGTGCCGTCATCCTCGTGCATTTCGGCCTCGCCCTCGGCTTCATCCGCGCCGGCCTCAGTGTCCATGTACTCCGCCCCCTCGGCGGCATCGCCTTGTTCTTCAGCTTCCGCGCCTGCCTCTGCAGCTTGCTCCTCGCCGACCATTTCGCCAGCCTGCTCGTCCTGCGCCAGTTGCTCGGATTCCTCGGTGTAAGGCTGCTCCTCGCCTTCCATCGCGACGGCAGAGTCGTCGATCGGTGGCTGGGCGGACTCGACATTGACGGCAGGCGCATCCATGGGAGTGGCCGCCGAAACATCTTCGGCCTCTTCTTCTGGTGCTGCCTCCGTGGTCGGTTCGTCCACACGCGCTCGCTTCACGGTGTGCGATTCCTCCGGGGGGTTGGCAGGAGCCTCGACAACCTCAAGAGCGGCGGGCTGCTGAATTTCGCTCGATGGTGCAGCAGCAACCTCGACATCCTCTTCGCGAGCACGCTTTGCTCGAGTCTCGGGCTCCACAGGCGCGGGAGCGACAGGGGCAGCGCTCGTTGCGGGCACAACAGGACGAGCTGCTGCGGGAACCGGTGCAGCAGCAACAACGGCTGCTGCAGGCGCTTGCTGTTGCGCGCTGCTGCTGCTGCTGCTGCTGCTGCTGCTGCTGCTGCTGGCAGCTCGCTGGGCAGTGAGCTCGGCCACAGTCGCTTTGAGTTGCTCATTCTTGGACTGCAATAGCGAAATCTTGAGCGTGTTCTGACGCTTCACCTCTTCCAGCTCGGCCTTTGACTTTTGAAGCTCGGCATCCGCCTCGGACACCTGTGCCTGCGCGGCCTTGGCTGCCTCTAGCTCTTGGGACGTGCGCTGAAGCTTTTCGCGATACTGCTTGAGCATCAACGTGCCTTGTTGCATTTGTTTGCTGAGGCCGTCGCGCTCGGCAGTCACAGCTGCGAGCTGCTCTGTCAGAGCGGTGACCTTTTCAGTCAGCTCAGTAACTTGCTGGGTCAGGCCAGGAACCGCGTCCGTCGCAGCGCGCGCTGCGTTCTCAGCTTTGAGTTTCTCGAGCGCATTCTTGAAGGCAAGTCCATTCTTGCGTGTCTGCACCACACACACACACACACAAACACAAAAGAAAAACCCATGGTCCAACCAATTTTCAATCATTGAGAAGGCAAGATCCTTCAGCGCAAACTAGCCTTCCCTTCTCCAAACAAGATCAAGTTCCAAAACAGCCAAAAAATTGCGTACCCGCTCGAGATTCTCCTTGACCTTGTCCAGCTCGGCAGATTGGGCAGCTGCAGCTTCAGCGTCTTGAGCGTGCTTGGCTTGGAGCTGTGCCAACTCGGCGCTGACCGTGGCGAGCTGTTGCTGGGTCGTGGTAACCTCTTCGAGCTGAGCAGCCGCGGCGGTGCGCAGCTGCTCGACTTCGCTTCGAGCAGCAACCACCTCCTGCTCGAGACGCAAGTGCTCATCGGGGTCGATGCGCGAATACTTGTCAATGAGGCCTTGGACGCGGGTCTTCCAGCGCGTAATGTCGTTCTCAAGGGCAATCTTCTCCGCTTCGAGACGTTCAATGTCGGCCTTGAGTTGCCGCTCCTGTTCTTGCAGCGGGCCAACCTGAGACTCCAGGGTGCGAACGCGAACCTCCAACTCGCTGGCGCGTCTCGTCTCACGCTCTGCGTCTTCGCGCAACTTGACGTTGCTCTCGCGAAGCAGATTGTTGTGGTTGATCTTTTCGAGCAGCTCGGCGCGTTGAACGGCGCTTTCGGCGTGCTCTTGAGCGCGGCGCCGCTCTTCGGTCAGCTGGGCGCGGCATTCGTCAAGCGTGCGCTGAGCATGCATGTACTGCTGCCGGTTGCGTGTCGCCTCCTGCTGCGCAAGCTCGTGCTGGCACGTCGAAATGTCCTTTTCGCGGCGCAAGAAGCGAACAATCTCGCGCAGCTCTTCCACGCTTCGCTCGGCGTCGCGTGCAGGCGAGGAGGCAAGCTCGGCGGACGCAGCAGCGGAAGGCTCTTCGCCTTGCTGGCGCTCGGGCATGGAGAACAGAGTGGACGACTGGATGGGACCAGCCTGCTGTGCGCGCAGAGCTTGGGCAGTGACCACATCAAGCTGAGAGTGCAAGAGCGCGTTCTGGTTGGCGAGTTCGTCGCGACGCTCCTTGAGCGCCTCTTGGTCGGCCAGCAGCCGTTGCTTTTGCTCCTCCCAAGAGACCATGCTCACGCGGAGCGTTTCTTGTGCCGTCACTGCGTTCGATTCGGCTGTGCTGAGAACTGCCTCGAGGTCGGCAATCCTAGCCTTCGCGCCGGACAGCGCATTGACGCTGCTGGCGTGCAGCACCACCTCGCGCTCGTAGTTTGACAACGCCTCCAGGGTGCGCTTTTCTTGGGTTTTAATGTCCGCGCGAAGAGCGGCCTCGCGGGATTCGTTGTCTTGGACGCTGAGCATGGCAACGTCAAGCTTGGCACGCACCGTGTCCAGCTCCTTTTGCGCTTCCTTCAAGGCTCGGTCCGCGCTCTCGTGCAAGGCGACGGCCTCGCTGGCGCTTTCGAGCTGTGTGCGCTCGAGGTCGGCAATTTGAGCAGTGTAGCTCTCAATCTGCTTTTGGGAGGCGGCCAGCGCAGCCTCCGACGACTGCTTGTACGTCTCATGCAGCTGGTTGAGATCGCGCAATGCCTCCTCGTTGGCCGCAGCGATGGCCTTGTACTGCTCGACGTGGGTGCGGCTTTCAGCGACACGCTCAGACAGGGCCTTGTTCTCGGCGTCAAGCGTGCTGATTCGGTTGTGCAGCTCCTGTGCCTCAGCCATAGCGACATCCGTAGCGATGCCGTCTCCGCCAGCGACAAGCGAGCCACCAGTTGCTGCTGCAGCTGCTGCAACACCGGCAGTGGTCGAAGCGAGGGCGGCCCCGAGACGTGGCGTGCGGCTCAGAATCATGCTCAGACGGCCTTCGCTGGCCTCCAACTGCAGCTTGAATTGTGCAATTTGCGCGTGCAAGCCCTGCACCGATGCATTCGCCGCCGCCAGCTCCTCCTTGGTGTGTTGGTGGGCACGGCCAGCCGCCTCCAAAGAGTCGCGGAGCTCCTTGCACTGAGAGTCGTGGGCTGCCCGAGCGAGCGAGGCGTTTTGGCCTTCCTGCTCGAGTCGACGACGTGCAAGCGCAATCTCCTTCTCGAGCGACTCGATGTGGACGTTCGCTTTGCGACGAGCATCGGCCTCGCGCAGCTCCAAGCTCTCGTGCAGGGACTGCAAGCTTGTGATGAGCTCGTTCTGGCGCGCCTTCTCCTGGCGAAGTTCGGCATTGTCCTTGATGGCGCGCTGCTCAGAGTCTTGGAAGAGCTGGCGCTCGGCACGGGCGTTGGCGAGCTGAACCTCGGCGTGCTTCAGCTCTTGGCGGAGCGCTTGCGTTTCGGTCATGGCCTTGTCCAGCGTGCGCTGGTGCTCAACTACCGAAGCAGACGACTCGGCAATTCGGCGACGGGATGTCTCTGCCTCGTTGCGAGCCACCTCGAGCGCGGATTCGTGACGGGTGATGCGCTCGTTCAAGAACTGCGCCTGCAGCTCGGCACGCTGGCACTGCGCGCGCGCGTCATCGGCCTCCTTGCGCAGTCGCGCAATCTCATCGTTAAACATGCCGTCGTTGACCGACTTTTCCTTTCGGTAAATGTCAAACTCTTGCTGCAGCTCCTGCAGCAACCGCACATTTTCGTTGAATTGGGCTTGCAGTTGCTGGTGTTGGCGCTGGGACAATTCGGCTTGGAAGGAGTCCGAGGAAGAGGATCCAGCCTGCAATGACTGTTGCTGGTGCTGCGGTTGTTGCTGCGGTGGTTGATGATGATGCTGCTGCTGCTGCTGCTGGGATTGCGCCGATGGCTGAGAACCGGTAAGCGCCAACATCTGGGACGTGGGTCGCACGCCTTCGTCAATCGAAATGTTGAGCAATGCAGACTGATCGGAGGATCCAGGTGCAGCGCTTGCGTTGTGCGCTCGCTCGTAGAGCACGCGCCAGGTATCGCGGTGTCGGGCAACATTGTCCAGCGTTTGGCGCTCGTGGTCGCGTGCAATCTGCAGCTGGTCCAGCTCAGCTTGCAAGCGCTCGTTCTCTTCGCTGAGATGGGTGATGCGGTCGTTGACAGCCTCCTGCTCGGAAGCTTCGCGCTGCTGGCCGAGCTGACGAACGAGCGTGAGCAGCTCTTGGTTGCGCTGCTGTAGCTGTTCGATCGAGCGGAACTCGACGACACGCGCCGAAATGACATCGTCGGCGCTGGCGAGTGACTCGTCCATCTGCTGGTCGCCAGACTCGACGACGGTGCGGCCTTGCAGCTCAGTGTTGGCCCGGATGAGCGCCTGCACCTGACGCGCCAAATCCTGGACAAGGGTCTCGTAGCGCACGCGCTCGCGTGAAGCGTGCGCTGCTTGCGAGCGCAGGGTGCGGGCTTCGTCGTCCAGACTGGAAGTTTGGTGCATGGCGCGGTCGAGTCGCTCAGTGAGACGCGCGCAAGATTGGACGGCGTGCTCGTACTCGGTGCGTTGCTGCTGCAGAATGGGCGCTTTCTTTTCCATTTCTTGCAGAATATCCTGTAGGTAAGCGTTCAGGCGCGTGTTTTCGTCCTGCGCCTCGTGCAGCTGCTCGGCAGTCTGCACGTACATTGAGTACATTTCAGTGATGGACTTGCCCTTCTTCAAAAGCTGGCTGGCAATCGACGCTGTGGGCGAAAGCACGCTGAGCGCGTCAGAGACATTCAGAGGCAGGCGAGCGTCGGACGCCGAGTCAGAGTCTCCTGCTCCGCCACTTTGGCCGCCGTGGAGCAGCTCGTTGGCGTGGCGAAGCTCCTTTTCGAGCTCAGCCACCTTGGATGCCTGCAGGCTGAGAGAGTCGGACGCCTCATGCTGCATGCGTTCGAGGGTGGCCGAGTGCTCGACCTTCAGCTCGTTGACGTGACGATACAGCTCGTCCACGGTCGAAGCCAGCTGGGCCGACTTGGTCTCCATCTCATCGAGCTTGCTCTTGTACAGGTCAACCAACCGCGTCTTGCCGATAACCTCCTGGCGGAACTGATCGGTTTCGACTTGCAGCGTTTGCTGTGCCTGGGCCAGCTGCTGCGCGTAGCCGTCAGACGTGCGCTCCACGTCAGCGAGGCGCTTGGTGAGAATCTCGTTGGTGGACGTGGCCGTGCGCAAATCGAGCTTGCACTGTGTCCACTCGCTCGACACTGTCGAAAACTTTTCCGTCAGCGACTCGCGCGTCGAGGCAAGCTCGCGCGCATTCGCTGCGAGCTCCTCGTTGAGCCAGTTGATTTGCTGCTGCAACATGTCTCGCTCTTGCTCCAGGCGGCTTTCGCGGAACTAGTTGTGGGAGAAGGTAAAAAAGCGAGGTGGTAAAAGTGAGGTGGATTTCGTGTTCAGGCAATGGAGGAAAGCAACAAAAAACGTGAAAACCAAATCCAGACGAGCTATTACCTTGCTGGTCACGGCTTCGTTTTGAAGTTGCTCGTTCTTGACACGCAGTTCGGTTTGCGACGTTGTAAACTCGGCAATACGACGGTTGGCAGTGACTGCTGACTCTGTGGAATGGAATTTTCGGGGCGCTCCTTGGTGAGCATCTGCGCAACAACAACGATCTGGCCGACAAGCAAGCGGGCTCGTGACCGCAACGAGCTCATGTCCTACCATTCAACTGGTCAATGTCGGCGACACGACGTGTGACCAAGTCGGCCAGCTCCATCTTTTCGAGCCCGAGCGCCTCGTTGGCGGTGGTCAGTCGGCGTGATACTGTCTGTGCCTCCTCCAGAGCTGCATGAGCGCGTTGCAGGTCTGCGGAAGCCTTTGCGATGCTGGCGTCTACGGTTGTGACGAAAGAGAAAGGAGCGGTTCAGCGCGCGCGTTCTTGGCCAAAATGAAGGCAAGATCCCCAATCACCCCCCCCCTCCGCATTCGCGCTCTGCCATCACACAGGAGTGTTCGGCTTACCACGCTCGGCAATGGTCTGCTTGAGCCGGTCTTGCTGGTCTGCCATTGCGCGCAGCTCGCTCTGCGTTTCGACGAGCTTTCGTTCCAGCGCATGGAATTGTTGCTCTGCCAGACACACACACATGACATGACACAGTGAGATGGCGATGCACGATACAAGTGTCGTCATGTTCGGAAGCTTTTGTCAATCTCATGGAAGAAGCGAAGAGAGAGAGAGAGAAACGGTTCAGCGATCTCAAACATTACGCTGAACACCGCGCTGCTGCTTCCCCCTGCCCCCTGCCCCCTTTGTCAAACAATAACGCTGATGACAATGATGATGATGATGCTGATGATGATCACGAATCCGGTGGAGCGGTGGAGGAACGCTTGTCGCTCCCCCCACTCTTTGTCGCCTCTTTCCCCTCAGTCTCGCGCCCCGCTTCACCCCAAAACGCTGCTCACCAGCATTGATCGCAGCAATGTCGCGCTCGGCCTTGGTCGCCTCGAGGGCGTCGCGCCAGGCGTGCGCCTTGAGTACAAAGGACTCTGCGGCGTGCAGCACCGCGTCGAGTGCAGGATCGCTCGCTCGCAGGCCATGGTAGGCTTCGCGTGGCAGTTCGAGCGCCGTGTAGACGTCCACGGCAGCCGCTGCCATTTTAAAATAATTGTATTCAGGGGAACGAATGAACACAATCACAAAAAAAAATGTGAGGAAGCAGGAATGAACCAATTCAGGTGAGCTCAATGAGTTTGAATATTTAATGCGCTTTCCGAGCGTCGTTTGTGCTACGACATGGAGGATCATTAAACGCGAATGTACGGTATTGGAGAACAAAAGCTGTAACGGAAGCGACGTAACGTTGATTGCAAAAAACCAACGGAGCAAACAAATCGAAAACACAACGCGAGCAACAATAGCAGCAAGTTTGCCGCTCAGATGCGAGGCGTGAGCCAGTCAATAATATCCTTCAGGACAATCTGCAGGCATCAGTGCAAAATGACAGCGTCGTGAGCTGTGCCAAAGCAAAAACAAAGCAACAACAAAACGCGAAACGAAAGTGTGCTAAAGCATAAAAACACAAATCGCCTGTCGCCTTACATCAGAATACTCCTTGGGCTCGTTGAGCAGCTCGTGGTAGTAGCCCTCGTACTTTTTGTACGTCTTGTCCTTTGAGGCAGCTCCATTGTACAGGGTCTCCGCGCCAGCAAAGTTGACCAGCTTGTCTTCGGTGCCTTGCAGAACAATGAAGGGCCACTCGATGCCAGGGATGGCGGCCTGGATGACGTCGAGCTGCTTGAGGAGAACGCTCGCCCAGCGGGCCTTCAAGCCGCCGTGCCAGTTGAGCGGATCGACGGCATAGGCGGCGACGACAGCCGGGTCGCGGCTGATAAACGTCGGAGGAACGGCTCCGACCTGCAGCTGCGGGGCAAGCCACGCAAAGAACTTTGCAGCCGCAACCTTGACCGGCGTGGCTGTGGCCGGATCCGGGACGATGGCAGGTGCACTGAGCACAACCGCGTCAAAGTAGTGCGAGCGAGTGATGCCAGCAGAGATGGCGATCGCGCCGCCCATCGAGTGACTACAAGAACCAAAAAAAGGAGGAAGACAAAATAAAATTGGGGTGAGATGCAAGATCCATGCGAGATTGAGCAAAAGCAAAGTCATCATTGTTAACCAAGTGAAAACCCAAAATTTTCTGAGCGGATTTTTTTTTTTTTTTGGTTTTCCAGCCATTTTGACTTTTTGCTTTCGTGCTCACCCGAACAAGAAGACCTTGGTGCGCGGGAACTCCTGGGTCACGGCATCGCAGTGCTGGAAAATGTCCTTGACGTAGAGCGAAAAGTCCTCGACGTCGACCTTGTGGCCGCCCGAGTGGCCGTGGCCGTAGTGGTCGTGGGAGAAGGCGAGGATGCCGAGTTCGGCGAGCGCGCGGCCGAGCAGGTTGTACCGCTGGCAATGCTCGCCGACGCCGTGCGAGATGAACATGAGCGCCCTGCGTTTGCCAGGGTTGTTCGCGGTCAGTCGTGTGAGTTGCACAAGTCGAAGCAGTCGGTGAGCTTTTTGAGATCAGGATGGACATTTTTCAATCATTACAACCGAGGTACTGTAAACGAACTGACTTTGGCTTGGCGCCGGCTGCGATGGGCCATCGCTTGGTGAAGATGCGCTTGCCAGACGCCTCGCTGGTAAAAAAGTCCTTCTCCGTGGGGACGGCGGACGGCTCGGCGCACGGTGGCACAGCAGCTGAAGTCGAAGCCATTCAATGCAAATTGGGAAAATGCTACAATCAAAGACTGAGATTGGCTCAGAGAAATCTTCATCATCGGTAGTACAGTATCATTGTTCAGAGGCATTCCGAGAGGTTTCTCAATGAATAAATGCGAGGTCAGTCGTCCATACACAAGTCACAAACAAAATGGCGAGCGTCGCTGCAGAACCCGACGCAGTGTCCTCGACGCTCAAGAACGTCAAGCACGTCGTCCTCGTGCTGTCCGGCAAGGGCGGCGTCGGCAAGTCCACTGTTTCGGTGCAGATTGCGCTGTCACTGGTCGCTGCTGGCCACAAGGTAAAATGTTCAGCTGTATCAGCCGTGTGGCTCTCGCATGGCTTGGCGAACGGGCTCACATGTAAAAAACCACCGTGCTTGTGTGTGAATCAGGTTGGCTTGCTGGATGTCGATTTGTGCGGACCGAGCATCCCGACCATGCTGCATCTGCAAAACCACAAGGTCCACCAGTGTCCACAAGGGTAATGCGCCGCTGTTGCTCTGACTGGGCGTTTGGTGGAGCTGTGTAGAAGTGAAGCCCAAGATTTTGCTGAACATCGAGCGCGTTATTTCTCCGTGACCCTCCGACACACAGGTGGGTGCCCGTCTTTGCAGATCAGGAGCAGCGGCTAAGCGTCATGTCCATCGCATTCTTGCTGGACAGGCAGGACGATCCTGTTGTTTGGCGTGGACCAAAGAAGACCGGTAAGCAGCAGAGCTCCGCTTGTTCGCGCAACCGTTCCTTGTCTGTGTGTGCAGTGTGCTCTCTGAGCTCTCTTGTACTCGCGTCATTCAAGAAGCGGGGAGCTCGCGGAGTTGCCATCACGGCCCGGCAGCGCGTTGCGAAACTAACAAACGAACGAACATTCACATTTCATCCCATCCTTCCTCCACTCGCGCAGCTATGATCAAGCAATTCTTGGCGGATGTCTACTGGGGCGAGCTGGACTATCTTATTGTTGACACTCCGCCAGGTACCAACGCTCTGCCATGATGCTTGATTTTGTTTTTCGTTTGGTTTGACATCGCTCTGACTGCTCACTCTCAACCCTTTCTGCCCACAGGCACGTCGGACGAACACATCTCGATGGTCGAAAACTTGCGAAAGGTGTCGCCGGATGGTGCCGTGCTTGTCACAACGCCGCAGGCCGTCTCGACAAACGATGTCAAAAAAGAGCTCAACTTTTGCATCAAGGCACACCTGCCCATTCTAGGCATTGTCGAAAACATGAGCGGGTTTGTGTGTCCCCATTGCGCGGTACGGACCACTGGCTAGGATTGCACGCCTTCGAGTGACGCTCCGGGTTCTAATTTGTTGACTTCTCTGTTTTCGACAGGAATGCTCCAATGTCTTTTCATCAAAGGGCGGCGAGTTGTTGGCTGCCGAATTCAAGGTTCCGTTTCTCGGTATTGTTCTTTTTGGAGAGCGTGTTGCGAGTTTGAGTGGATAGACCATCGATCGAAATGCTGACTTTCTATTCCGGTTTGCCTTTTTCCTTCACACCCGCATCTGCGTCTCGCTCAAGGTCGAGTACCACTTGACCCTCTGCTCACACAGTCTCTCGAAAGCGGACAAAGCTTTGTGGCGCTCTACCCTGAATCGGCAACACGGACGGCAATTGACGCCATTGTCAAGCCGCTGCTCGCACTCCCACCTCGCTTCTAAAAAAAATTAAAAAAAATATGCGCCAGGCGAATACACAGACTTTATCAACTTGCACATACAGTATTTACCAAAGTGCGCCCAGGCGGTGCAAGATTCCAAAAATTGTATTTGGCACTAGTCACAGACACACAAAGAAAAAAAATTACACAGCCAGGAGCAGAAACAACATCCAAACAGTGACTCGACTGTTTTGGAAAAATGAGGGAACGGTGAATGGATCACGGGGGAGATGAGGGGGGAATAAGGAGGACGAAAGGGAGGAGGCAAACATGCTCGCAAAACAACAGACAAAAAGAAATCAAACAACCAATAAACACACTCGCAGACGAACGCCCCACGCACACATGTGTGTGTGATGCGCCAGAGTATGTTGATGCTTGAAATTGTTGTTTTTTTGGGCTTAGTTGAGGGCGGAGGCACCCGAGATGATTTCAATGAGCTCGCCAGTGATGACGGCCTGACGAGTGCGGTTGAAGGTAAGGGTGAGCTTGCCAATCATCTCGCCGGCGTTCTTGGAGGCGTTCTCCATGGCAGACATGCGGGCAGAGAGTTCTGATGCCGACGACTCGAGCATGGCGTAGTAGATGGTGTTGGCGAGGGTAAACTCTTGGTAGTTTTGCAGGACGTCGTCGTCGAGCTCGTACGAGACAATCTCGGGGGCCTCGGCGAGGGCGTCAAAGCTGAGCAGAGGGAGGGCACGCTGCTCGTACGAGATGACAGTCCTAAAGTGGTTGTACAAGATCTTGCCAGAGTCAAACTTGTAGCCGGAAGCAAGAATCTGCTGGGCAATCAGGGTGGCCTCGTCGAAAGTTGGGGGACGCTTGCCAAGCTCTGCGAATTGCATGAGAATGTGCTTGCCGTGGGTGCGGGCGAGGATGGTGCGTGCCTTGTCACCGGCAATGACAAACTTGAGGTTGTCGGGGGTGCTCTGGCCGACCTCTTGCTTGACCTTCTTGGAGATGGACGAGTGGATGGCGCCGCAGAGACCACGATCCGACGAGATGACGACAAAGAGCTGGTTGTTGCCGGCGGGGCGCTTGGCCAAGTCGGTCTTCTCAAAGAGCGACTGGACGGCGCTGCCGAGAACGCGGGCAGTGCGGAGGTTCTTCTCGGCACGGGCGAACTTGGCTGCGGAGACCATCTTCATGGACTTTGTGATCTTCTCAATGTTGCGGACCGACTTGAGGCGGTTGCGAATCTCCTTGAGAGTGGCCATGCCACGAGCCGGGGTCACGGCGGCGGTCGCGGGTGCGGCGGTAGCGACGGCGGAAGGGAGGATGCCCGCGAGGCGAGAAACGCCACTGAGTTATTACCAAGCAAGAAGATGAGAGCAGACGGTGCCATGGGTGAGTGAGCAAAACCAGGCGATGTGATGTGATGCGATGGGGAGGGAACGAGGGAAAACCGCCAGCAGTGATCGATCCATCACGACCCTTCCAGTCTGCCCGCCCCCCAGCACATCCCAGGGAATGACTCCGAGAACAACGAAGCAGATCAAGGGCAGAGGATTTGGTTTTGAGGGGTGGATGCGTGAATCCAAGTCAGAGGAAAGAGGGGGAAACGGGGTGAAGCAAGAAAAGCGATCGCAGCTTTTTTTTTTTTTTTTTTTTTTTTTTTTTTTTGGGCAGAGTTTTCGAGATGCTTGGTGTTGCCTTCCAAGCAGCATTTGCTGCGCTGCTTCTGGACGCGACCTTGCAGTGAGTGCACAGAGTACGGCGCACCTCGACCGATGGCAGCCACAGGACGACGATCGCCAAACGAGACGAGAGAGAAAGAGCAGGAACATGAGGACTTTTTTTTATTTTCTTTTTTATTTCCCCAACTCTTCAACGAGCCTTTTTGCTGCTGTAGCTGTTTGGGGAACGGTGAGCACCTGGATCGCAAGGAGGGCCTACAAGTGGCCGATTCGATGCAGTTGATGGTGTGTGACAGCGAAGAGAGCGAGCCCTTCATCCATCGCAGTGTCGCTCAGCAGCAAAAAGACGGGAAAAAAAAAAAAAAAAAAAAAAAAAAAAAGAGCGATCTCAAAAAGCAATCCTCTACTCGTTTGCTCCTTGTCGCCTCCCCTCGTCCCCCCCCCCAAACGTTCGTTGAGCATCAAGAATTGAATAGAAGCAGCTCCTCCACTGCCTTTCCTCCCCCAAGAACAAGCTGCAGTCGGTCGGACGAAGCAAGCAGAAGCGCCTGATTCAATGCAATGCAATACTCGTGCGTTTTGGTCGCTTTTTTTTTTCTTTTTTTCTTTTTTTTTTTCGATTTTATTGACTTTCTTACCCAAGTCGGCTCAACATCATGGTTTCAGAAGTGAAGACGAAGAATGAGCTCAAAGATCGATGTCACAAAAACAAAATACAACAGGAAGATGGAATAAAAGTGAAACGTCACAAGCGGAGTGAACAAGCGCTGAGAGTTAGAGAAGAAGGTCAATGAGAATCCAATGGAAAAACAGACCTCCCCTACCTCCCTTCCCTCCCTCCCTTCGCTCTCCTCCGCTCTACGCAAATACTCATTACACATGGATACACCCGATGACCATGCCAATTTTTTGCTGCAGTCGGAAAAAAGCTCACTCTCTCAACTTTCTCAGCATTACACAATGAGCGGTCGCGACGGTGAGTTTGGCTGCCCCGCCCGCATGCGCTGTGTGCTGCCCAACCAGCCATTGTGATATCCATCTGGTTGTTCTGCGAATGCGACACGACCTTGTGGCCCGCGGGTTGGAGGGCGGCGAGCGCGAGCGAGCTTTGAACGACGAACGCGCTCGCATGTGGGAATGGAAGACCGCTATTGCCAAGTGCGCCGCGCCATCCGCTGCTGAGGACATAGCCCTGCTTGGGAGCGCATGCTGAGGCGCAGTCCTTGTTGATGTGGGATGGCGCAAAAGCTGCAGCACTGAGAAACCAGAACGAACAGCAACTTCCAATGGAAGAACAAGCCATTTTTGCTGCCCTGCCCAGTCCCGCGCTTCCTGCCGCCCCGCTGTGTCGCATGTCCAATAAACACTCACTTTAACGCGCAAATTGCTGTGTTTGATTTTTGCTCAGGTGGCAAGAAGAAGCCCTTGAAGCAGGCAAAGAAGGAATCCCGCGAGCTCGACGACGACGATCTTGCCTTCCAGGCCAAGCAGCGCGAGGACGCCAAGAAGCTTGCAGAGCTCAAGGCCAAGGCTGCTGGCAAGGGTCCCCTTGGTACGAAGAGCTGGACTGCTACGTCCGTCCTTGTCGCTCGGTTCTTTTTCTTTTTTCTTTTTCGGGTTTTTATCAACGAACTGACCTCATTTCGTCATGTGTTTTCTATTGGTGTGTTTGGAACATAGTTTCTGGTGGCATCAAGCACTCTGGCAAGTAAACTCCCAGCCAGCAACAGGCGCTCCTCCAAGGCCAGCAGCTTTGCGCTTTTTGGAGATTTTGCGAAACAAAAAAATGCTGTTGTTTGCTTGTTTCAATGCCTGGAGCACAACGATACGAGTTTCTTTGACAAATCTTTGCTCGCAAGAGTAACAAGGCGGTTTTACGCAGTTGCAGGACGAGGAGCTGAGACGGCGTAGATCTCGATAGGAAAACGCTGAAACTGGTCGGAAAACAAAAACAAACCCGCGCGCAAAGTCAACTCGCGCTGCACAGCATTGTTCTGGTTATGGGTGTACGTGTATGTTTGAGTGTAGGGAGGGTCTGCAACGCCGTGACTCTGTGATGGCGAGCTGCAGCACCACAACTCGTTGCAACGGATGGAATCCACTGATCGCCATTTTCTCCTGCCATCCTCCACCCTGTTCCCGTTTCACCTGCAAATCCCACCCGCAAATCTCACCCCCACTTGATCACCCATAGCAATGATAGCAGCTGGAACGCAAATACGAAACCAAACAAAAACATCACACCACCATTAACCAAAAAAGAAAAAACAAATACCAAAAAATCAGTCTTTTTTTGCTCTTCCGCCGGAAACAAGAAAATGCTTCGCATTGCACTGCTGCTGTACTTCCTGTCGCACATCCCGATCAGCATCCTGATCGACTTCCAGGCCATCCTTCCCCGCGACTGGTTCCCGAAGTGTGAGTCGTTGTGCTTTTAGAGCCACAAAAAGCGCGGGTTTTTTAAAAAAAAAAAATTCAAGATGATATTTTTTTTTTTACAACTTCTATCGATCGAATGCTCACCGTTGCGCACTTGCTCTGGTGAACAACTCACTCACACACACGACAGTCGCACTGGATGCCACCGCCTGGTACACGGAGGCGTTCGGCGACTACCTCCTCGCAAACCCGCCGCAGTGGTACAAGAGCTTCATCTGGATTGAGCTCATCTTCCAACTGCCCTTCTTCTTTGTCGCCTTCTACGGCATCTTGACCCGTAAGGAAGGAGAACGAACGAACGAACAAGTTGTGCTTGTTGGATGTCGATACCCTTTTTTTGTTTTGATTCTGTTTCGGTTTGGACGTTTCGTTGTGTTTTCTATTGAACGCGCGCTAACTCTTTGCGTTTTCAACTGGATTTTTCCCGTTCTTCTCGTCACCAGGCAAGGCGTGGATTCGCTCGCCGCTGCTGATCTACGGTGCCCACGTCGTGACCACTGTCACCGCCATTGTCTACGAGGCGGTCATGTCCGGCAAGCTCACCCAGGCCCAGCTCCCCTGGTTCCTTGCTATCTACGCGCCGTACTTTTTCCTTCCCCTCTCCCTCGTCTTCCTGTGCTCGTGCTCCAACTTCCCGGTGAAGGCCCAGGACAAGAAGGTCAAGAATAATTAGTGCCCTTCCAGATCGTGGAACGATCAGAACTTTTGCGCACGAACTGAACGTATATGACAAACATTCAGAACAAAAATACAAACCGTTTTGTGCTGCACAACATGGAATAGTGTGGATGTATGCTCAATGTTTGGGAGGAGAAGCTGCACATGCTCTGTGCAGCCAAAAAAAATGGTAAATGAAAACAAAATGAAACACTCGGGGGCAATCAAAACTCATAACAGACACACAAACTCAACAAAGCTAGTGTTGCAGAGACCCTGAGGAGGACCACGAGCCGACCATCGCCGCAAAGTTTCCAGGACCCATGCTCGCGGACGAGGACAGGCTTGTTTCGCCAAGAGGAACCGAGACATACGGGTGAGGGACCGCGGTTGAATCGAAAGCAGCTGAAACACCGTGCACCTGCTGGTTCAGCAAGGAGGGCATGTAGGAGGACTGGGTGAAGCTCGAGTGCATACCTGCCGCGGCCGGCGCGACATTGAAAGAGTCCATACTACCATTCGAACCCAGCATGAACGCAGCATGGTGTTGTTGTTGTTGGTGCTGGTGTTGCTGGTGTTGCTGGTGTTGTTGCTGCAAGTGCTGCTGCTGCTGTTGGTGCTGCAGCTGAGCCAAATGCTGGTGTTGCAGCACTTGCTGCTGGAGCGAGTGCTGCGACGGCTGAGGCGGCTGTTGGTGCAAGGGGAAACTCATCGGCTGCGACATTGGAACAGCGTCATTCCCGAAATTTGGAAAGGAGGTATGCACATCGGCACCAAAGTTCGGGAACGAGGAAGAAAGGGCTTCAGTGGTGAAATTCGGGAAGGAAGCCAAGCTCGAAGCAGACGACAGATTTGAGCTCACCGACGAGTTGCGACTCATCATTGTCAGCGGCGGGTGCTGCGATGATGGTTGTTGTTGCTGCTGCTGCAAGTGGCCCAAATTCGTTGCATGGGCAGAGCCTGTGGAGGCCGCACCCGTCGACGACGACGTGACTGATGAAGCCGCCTTGCGTGTCAGGTCCAACTCAAATCCTTGCTGTGCTCGAAGCTCCAGTTCGGTAATGCGTCGCTGTGTCTCTACTTTGGTTCGTTGGTGCGCATCATCTGACGGCGGCGGCACGTTGCTGACACTCGTCGAAGGAGCCGAGGTCGTGGGGACAAGGTTGTTCGAGCCAAGCGGAACCGAGTACATGTGTGCATGTGGAGGAGCTGACTGAGGTACCGAGCCGTCGGATGGGAAATGCTGCTGCAGCTGTTGTTGCTGTTGTTGTTGTTGTTGTTGCTGCTGCTGCTGCTGCTGCTGCTGCTGCTGCTGCTGCTGCTGCTGCTGCTGCTGCTGCTGCTGCTGCTGCTGCTGAGGTTGAGGCTGGTGAGTGCCAGCAACGGCTTGCGCGTAGCCAAAGGAAGGCTGGCTTGCATGGCTACCCGCACTGGCTGAGCTCGTCGTCGTTTCGTGCGCAGGAGTCGCGGAAACATAAGCAGAAAACTCGCCAAAGCTGGAATTGGGGTCATTGGGATCAGAAACATCAACACCATTCTGCTGCGGGAAGAGCTGTCCAGAAGACGTCTGAGGGGTCACAGGATTGCTCGGCCATTGCCCCGAGCCGAACACGGCAGAATTGGTCGAAGCGTTTGGATTGGAAGTTGGCTGAGCGGGAATGGCTTTCTGCGGAGCTGGCATTGATTGCGCAGGCTGTGTGTGATGTTGCTGAACCTGCTGCGGCAGTGGAGGTTGCTGCTGCTGAAGCGGAGGTTGCTGCTGCTGAAGCGGAGGTTGAAGCGGAGGTTGCTGCTGTTGTGGGTTTGGCATCAAAGATGTCTGCTGCAGCAATGGCGTTGCCAAGGGCGTCTGCTGCTGCTGCTGCTGCTGCTGCTGCTGCGACTGATACGACGGCTGAGGCAGTGGTTGTTGAGGCTGCGGTGGCTGCTGTGCTTGAGATGGGAGCGAAACCTGGTTGGCCACAAACTGCTGCTGCGGCTGCTGTTGTTGCTGTGCCTGCGGTAACTGCTGCTGCTGCTGCTGCTGGGTGCTTGTGGCAAAAACAGGAGACTGGGATGCCGCTGAAGGGGGAGAGGTGAAAGCCGCTTGCTGAAGAGTCGGCAGCATCGTGTGGACTTGGTTGACCGGTTGTTGAGGCTGAGCCGGGGTGGCCTGAGGCGACAACATCGTTTGCGGATGGTGAATGGGCTGCGCTTGTGGTTGTTGCGTCGAGGGCGGTGCCGATTGAGGCGCATGCAGTTGCTGCTGAGGCAATGGTTGGGCTTGTTGCTGGGGCATTGGTTGCGGCAGCTGAGACTGTTGTTGTTGCTGCTGCTGTTGTTGTTGTTGTGGAGCCTGAATCGGTTGGGGCTGTTGTTGTTGTTGTTGTTGTTGCAACTGTTGTTGTTGAATGGGCTGCTGTTGCATTTGCGGATGCTGTTGTTGAGCGGACGGCGGGTGCATGCTCGCAAGCGACATGCCAACAGAGCTGCTGAAGCTGGACGATTGCGACAACAGCTGCTGCTGAGCGAGCAGTTGCTGCTGCTCGGCCAGTTGTTGTTGCTCGGCCAGTTGCGCGCTGGCTTGAATGCGCAACAGAAGCGCGTTGCGTTCCTCGCGGTGGGCATCGAGCGCCTCACGCATTTCAGCCAGATGACGCTGGCACATTGTCTCGAAATCAACAAAATGACGGCGAACCGTCTCGTCCCACTCGTCCTGGGCGGCGGCGCTTTGATTTTCGCTCAACGTCGCCTGCAGCTGCATGAGCTGGGAAATTTGGATGCCAAGCATTTGTTGCTGGTGGTGCAACGTTGCGCTTTGCGCTTCAACACCTGGAAGCGTGATCAGGTTCCGGCGACGGGGGAGGGTGCCAGAGACGGACGAGACCGCCGGCTGCGTCATCACTGGCACGCCCGAGTTGATGGGGAATTGGTGCTGCAAACCGAGAATCGTCGGATTCGGCGCGTAGACAGCGCCGTGCGGTTGGTAAGTCCGCTGAGAAAGCTGTGCAGTCAATGGCTGCATCTGTGCCGGCTGGGACGATTGGTGCAAATGCTCAGCCTGAAGCTGTTGTGTTAGCGACGCGTTGACGCCGTCCATGGAAGCAGACGCACCCAACGGGAAATCGTCGACAGAGGGCGCCCCAGAAGGAACGGAAGGGCGTCGGGTGTCCAGCTGAGTGAACGCAACGTTTTGCAAAACAGCGTGCGGCAACCCAGTGACTGGTGGAGACGCGGGTGTGGCGGTCGGGTATTGGGATGCCAAGGGCAAGGGCGGGTGTTGTTGTTGTTGTTGTTGCTGCTGCTGCTGCTGCTGCTGTGGTTGAAAGACCGGCTGCCCTTGGTGCTGGAATGGCGGTTGTTGCGTGGGAGGTTGCTGCTGCTGGTGCTGCTGCGGATGTTGCTGTTGCGGATGGTGATGTTGCTGTTGTTGAAGTTGGTGTTGTGGTTGGTGCTGTTGCGGCACTTGCTGCTGTTGCGGCAGTTGATGCGTTTGGTGCTGCTGCTGCTGCTGCTGGCCGGCGGCACTCTGGGTAAAAGCAGCTTGCCCAAGAGCGCCCGGATGCTGCGGCGACTGCTGCTGAGATGCAACTGGAGACCCAAAGTTCGTTCCTGCAGTACCGACGTCCGGTTCGGAATTGGTGGTGAGCCGCGTATCACTGTCACGCCGCGTGAAATCGACTGGGGGAGCTGACGTCGTGCTGGGAGAGCCGGGAATCGCGCCCAAGCCAGCCACGTTGCGATTGTAAGGGCTGGTGGCAGAGGGCAAGCTGGGAGCTGGGGACGGGGCGACACCATCGGTGGAGGAAACTGGAGAGTGAATGAGCTCGGTTCGAAGACCAGCCGAGTCGGAATTGATCAGAGCGCCGTTCGAGAGCGACTTGCGGGGCAAGGGCGTTGTGGCCGTGGTGGTGGCGGTGATTGTTCGAGTCAACTTCCGATGTGCAGCATTTGTCGCGTCTGTCGTCACAATCGTCATGTTGTTGGCGCCAGCGGTGAAAGTGGCGCGCGAGCCAGAAGCTCGACGCACGTGCATCGAGTGAGGAGACGTCGACAAGCCCGCGCGAGGAGACCGACTGCGAAGGTTGCGAGAAGCGCTCGACGCGGAGGCGATTGAATTGATGGACGATCCCGTGGACGTGGCAGAAGCATCCTGACCGAGCGGCTGGACGAAACTGGCGTGCTGGGTGCTGGGCGGGGTGCGGGCCAGGTCTTCGGAAAGCACCGTGTCATCATTCCCCTCGCCGCTTTGCAAATGCGCCTGCTGGGTGTCCGACGAAGAAGTGGGGCCCGATCCATCGCCATCTGCGCCGCCAGCAGTCGCCGCTGCGAGATTCAAGCGCACAAACTCGGACATGCTGTTAAATTCGCCATTCACTTCTGGCCGCGCAGCATAGGTACCGCTCGAGTCGAGCGGATCGGTGTTGGGATCGAGCATGCCGTCATAGTCGCCGCGCATCTGGAACTGCTGCTCGACGATACGCGTAATACCTTCAATCACACGCTGGCAATCGCTGGCAGCCAACAAGTTGGACTGAACCATCTCCGTGGCAACCTCTTCGGGCGAATCGTCGTACAGCGCAAAATTGAACTCGATGCGCTTCTTTTTCAACTCGTCGCCCTCGCGAACAAACACGAGGAAGCGCAACCGCACGCTGTCGTCCTCGACAGAGACCAGCTCGACGTCGGCGTCCAGACCTTCGCGGACTTGCTGAGCATCGAACTCGCCGCTAGACTGCCTCTCGAGTTCGACATTAGCCCCGGATGCGGCCGACTCCGACGCGTCGTTGCTCAGGGACGCATCCACCGCTTCGTCGACCAGAGCCGGGTCGGGTGCGCTCCCACTCTCATGCAAAGCATTGCTCGCCAACACAGAGCCCGCGTCGCTCAGGGAGGGCTCAAAGTCGCCACCCGGCACGCCGGCAAGCAGCGATTCGCTGTCGCTGTACTGAACACTGGAGCGAGCGTTGACGCTGGACAGCGAAGCGTCCGAGTACGTCCGATCCATGTCTCGCGACGGAAGCAGATCTGGGTCTGACACACTAACGTTCGGGGACGAATCGTCAAGGAACATGCTCTCAGAAACTTGCAACGAGTGTCCGCTGGAAGAGGCCGCCAAGTCCAGCTGCGACGACAACGAGTTGAGAGCCAAGTCCAGCTGCGACGACAACGAGTTGAGAGAGACGCTCAGGCCTGAAGATTGTGATTCTGGCTGTTGCTGCTGCTGCTGTTGCTGCTGCTGCTGCTGCTGTTGTTGCTGCTGCTGCTGCTGATCCTCCTCTTCTGCTTCGTCGTGAAGGAAGATCCTCGTCTTCTGCTTCGTCGTGAAGGAAGGGATGCTGGAGAAGCTCGGCCACAGACAACCGACTCGCGTCGGGCTGAAGACAAGAGTCGATAAACTCGCGAGTCGCGGGATCTGTGACCTTTTCGAGCGACTGCGGCTTGATACCCTGTGTCACTTTTCGGAAGACCTGCGCAGCGTTGCTGCACTCGCTGTATGGATACTCGAGCGTGACCATCTCGAGGACGCACATGCCGAACGCGTAAATGTCCACCTTCTCGGTGTAGTTTTCCTCGTACATTTCCGGGGCCATAAACTCGGGCGTGCCAATCACAGAGGCGGCGTGCGAGTCATTCTTGAGGGTGGCGAGACCCATGTCACCAATCTTGACATCGCCGTTGCTGCCGTTGATGAAAATGTTGTCGCACTTGAGATCGCGGTGGATGATGGGCATCTCGCGCGTGTGCAGATAGTTCAAGCCCTGCAGAATCTGACGACACCAGTTCTTCAAGACGCGAGGCTTCACCATCTTGACGCGCTGCAGATACTGCTTGAGCGTCCCCGAGGTCATCAGTTCGGTGATGAAGACGAGCTGCTTTTTCCGGTTTGGCTTAAACCACGAGTCGTAAAACACGAGAATGTTTGGGTGGCGCAGCTGCTTCAAAATATTGACCTCCTCGAGGAACTTTTGCCGGTCTTTCTTGCTGAGCGATGATGTCTACACAGGTGTGGTTGCAAAAACAAACAAAAAAAAATGATCAGACAAAAAAGGTGAGAGACGACTCGAAACGATCGCCTCAGCTTTCGCAAAGTTCTCGCCAATGGGAACGAAACGGCCCGCCCAAACTACCAGGATCCTCTCTCTCTCAAACACTCATCTCAAACACTCAGCGACACAGCAAACAAATCAAAAGACACACTGGCTGTTTTTTTTTTTTTTTTTTTTTTTTTTGGTGCTGCTGCTAAGGCGTTACCTTGAGCTCGTTCCAGGCGACCTCGCGCGCCTCCTCGGTATCCAGGCCCTTGAAGACAGTCTTGAATGCACCCGTGCCAAGGACTTCATCGTACTGTGCATCCAGCAATTGACAAAACAGACGGTGAGAAAATCACAAACAATAAAATCACGTTCAATGAGTCTTCAACCAAAAAAAAAAAACTAAAAAAAAAAACTTTCAAGCTCAACACAACGAGCGAAAGAAAGAGGGGTCCACAAAACACATGACGATAGGGCAGTTCAAGGACGAGACACCAATCGCCAACCCATCGAATGAAGGTGGCAAAAGCGAAAGCGACTCACACAAATGTAGCGGCCGCCTGGAGACTGGTCGATGACCTGCTCGTCCAGCTCTGGATCGTCCATGTCGCCCTCCTCGCTCGAGTCGTCGTCATCGTCGGCGGCTGCGGCGGCAGAGGCTGCGGCATGCGTGATTGGGGCTGCGGCAGAGTTCAGGGAGGCGACGGGCACGGGCGACACGAGTGTCGAGCCGCGAACGTGGCTCGTCGGTGGTACGTGCGACGCGCTCGTGTCGCCAACTCCCGTCCCCGCTGCTGTCGCCAGTGCTGTGGCTGCCGCTGCGGCTGCGCCCAGGGACGGCGACAGAAGCGGAGATGCAGAGCCTGCTTCGGCATTGGCTGTTTGAGCAGACGCAAGACTTGCATGCTGCAGCTCGGCCGACTGACTGCTGCTGCTGGCGTCGCCGTTGCCGTGGCCGTCCATGTTTCGTGCGGTATGGGGAGGTATGTGTGTGTATGTGCGCCCGCGCGGTCTGCAGCACGATTGGCCAATTGGACGGGGAAAAGAAGACGAAAAGAAGGTTAAAACAATAAAAAAAAAACCAAAAAAAAAATAAAAATAAAAAGGCAGAGTCAATGCAAAAAGGACTAAACTCGAAATACATAATAATAAAAAATATTGAAAAATAAAATGAGAAAAGCTCTCGTGAAGCACAGCAGCCAGAGTGTTTGTCCATTACTAGTGAAACTTGCACAGATGAATGTCACAATTTTGGTCAATTGTTAGGCCAAGCGACGGGGCAATCAAACGAGTTTTATGCAAATTGGAGGTCAAGTTGGTCCTTCTGACACATTGTGCAGAGAATACCTTTGCTTGGTTCATGTACGGGCTGCAAATCAAAACCAACCACTATGCTCTCAAAAGCAGCTCAAAACGCATAAATTTTGAGTGAATATACCAAACCTAATGAAAGAAAGGGACAAAAAGAACGAATACGCGGCGTGCAGCCGTCGTTCAAAAACGCGATCGCCTGATCGCTGATTTGACACACGGGATACCACCCTAGCCAAGTTCACGCACCTTGACATCGTTGTCAAACATATTTTCACCGTAATGAAAAAGCAGCGGCGGGTGGAACGCACTCGAGCGATACCAATATCGATCAACAAACATGGGGTTTTGGAAAATATAAGAGTAATGGTTTACGTCGTGACAAACAGTAACAACAATCATCACATCCATGGTGCTGCACAATACCGTCAAAAAATGCAGACAGAAAAACGAGCAAAAAAATAAGACCAAACCGAACAAAAAGCACAGCTAGCACATGGCTAGGCGAAACAAGACAAAAGCAGAACAAAAAGAAAAAAAAAAAAACACCAAAATTGGGGATTGACCGCCATCCGATCGCATGGGGGCAGACTTATTTACTACCAGTGTAAATGTACTTTGCGGTCAAGTTCTGCAGCATTTCCGTGCCATGTGCGACACAGAATCTCTTGTTGTTAAAGTTGTAAAACTGCCCTCCGAGCACTTCAGGGCAGCCTGGGCGTTCGCATGTGAAGCAGGTCTTGTGATAGTACGACGAATTGAAGGTGAGAACCTCACCGACAATGGGTTTGCTGCAAGTAACACAAATCACGCCCGTAACCGCTTGGTAGTCCAGAATGCAGTAAGGGTGGCCTTCGTGCACAAAGAAGCCGCCGTCTTGCAACTGGCTTCCGCAAGTCTGTGTTGACAATGAAGGGGTTTTGTCTCAATCCAGTGAGTGTCCAGCGGAATGGGATGTGGGTGTGGGTGGGAAAATCAGCTCCATCAATCAATAATAGAGCGCCAATGTTTGAAGCAGCCAGATCCCCACAATGCTGCATCCGCGAAGCAAAACACACAGACAGATACCATTACCTTGCAGCAAAAGCAAGGCTTGTGCCAATGAGCACCAAGCGCGACGAGAAACTCGTCAGTAATGAGCGCTTGGCATCCACGGCAGTGGTCGCCCTGCTTGACATCCGCAGAGCTGAGAGAGACCTTGCAGGTGCCTTCCTGGCAGTAAGGCTTGCCATTGACCAGCATGTACTCCTTGAGAGGGCTGCCGCACTTGGCGCAGGCAAAGCATGCTGCGTGCCAGTCCTTGTTCATGGCGTGCAAGCCACGTTCCACCACCGGCAGGTTGCAAAGCGCGCACTTTGGTGCAATTGCGTTGAGGTAATCGCGGTGGCAGTACGGCATGTCGTTATGGTGGAAAAAGTTGCCGGTAATGGGCAGCTTGCACGCGTGGCAAACAAAGTGGTCGTGGTGCCATGTCTGCAGCACAGAAACAAATGAATGTCACGAAACAAAAGGCAAATGGGTGAGTTTTATAGGGGGAGGGGTGTTATCGCGGTGACTGACTCGCTCCTGTCGCAAAGAGAAAAAGCCCCAAAACAAACGCATCCAAAAAAAAAACAAACAAAAAAACCAAACCACAAAACAACAAAAAGCACTTACTCGACCAAGCGCTTCCAGCGCGGGCTGTGTCGACGTCACAGGGTTGCGGCACGTAGCGCACAAGGGCACACCGGCAGCGTCGTGCTGAGGGACGGGCTCGGCGGCCGGCTCCTCCTTCTTGGCGGGTTCGGGCGCAAGGGCCTGGGCGGCTTCGGCGCCCGAGGCGTGAGCTAGACTGGCATAGTTGAGCTGGGCAGAGCGCGGAAGCGTTGCCGGTGCCTTCTTGAGGTCGGAGAAGGACTCGTATTCGGGGCTCGAGACGAACGACTGGGCCGAGGTGAGCGAGCGAGCGGCGGCAGCGCTCAGAATGGTGTCTGCGGGCACATCGTACACGTCCGACTTTGTGCGCTCAGCAGGATGGTTTGCCGGCAGTGGTGGCTTCTCGCCATCGGGGAAGAACAGGCTTGCGGGGCGCGGGGCCACGAGCGGCGAGGGAGCAGCGTCGCGGAAGGCGACCGTGTTCATGCCTGCACCCTTGCCCGCGCTGAGGATGGCCGAGGCCATGATGTCGAGATCGTCAAAGACAGAGTCGAGCTCGGCTTCCGTGAAGCGATCGTGCGGGCGCGGGGCGGCATTTCCCAGCACGGCCGTCTTGAGCTTCTTGTCGACAACGGCGTACAACGGGTCGGACGTCGTCGGTGTGGCCAGCGTCGCCGCTCGTCCACGCGGGGGCAGTGTCGGCGGGTTGAAGTGGCCCGGGGCCTGCAGGTACGACGTGCCCAGCGTGTCGCTCGAGGGGACTGGCGCGATGACCAGCGAGGCGAGCTTTGGCTTTCCAGTGGCAAACGGATACAGAGTCAGCAACATGTGCATCCAATCGATCAATCTCGCGTCTCACCCCCGGTGGCACATAGTCGGAAGTTGTCAACAAGATGTAAAGGCGAGTGAGCGGAATAGGCAAGTGTGGTGGGAGAGAACGTTGAGTGCGTGAGATCAAGTCATCAGTCTTTGGCTTCGACCTGTTGTTTTGCTCGCGCTCTCTCGCTCTTTTTGCCGCCTTTCGAACAGAGCAGCCGTCTCAAAAAGCGCATTCGCACACAACGTCCTTCTGCCTTACAACAAAGAACAACGAACAAACACCCCTCCTCATAAAACCACAACCAAACCAGTGTGTGTGTGTGTGCGGTTTTGTTGTTTCTTTGTTTTTGGAAAGCGATTGATTTTTTTTTATTTTTTATTTATTTTTTCAAATCTTTTTTTTTTTTTTGTAATTTTCCGCTGGTTTTTTTGGGCGTTCGTTTCGTGTCGCATCATCGTTCGTCGAAATGCGCAGCGGTTGCAGTCGCCTCGTGGCAATGCACTTTGCGCAATGACTGCACGTTTGACTGCGCAGTGGCCTTGTGCGGAACACCAACACAACCACGTCACAACCCACGTCTGTTTCGCCTGGTGTCCCTCCCATCCCCCTCCCGCGTCATAAACGCAGCCCTCAATTGTGTGTGCAACCGACAAGCAGATGCGCGTCGAGGTGGCGGCGGACCTGACTCGTATTTCTCGCCATGCGTGACGCGAGTTCCCAAACAAAACACAACGTCGAGCTGATCAGCTATCAGCTCGATGGGGAGCACAGTTCGACCCCACTGACACTCGCTAGCAAACCCCAAATGTAAGCAAAACACACACACAGTGGAGAGAGTGTGTGTGTTTGAATGATGATCGGTAGCGCAAAAGGACGAACACACCTGAAGTTCGGAAATGTCGGCGTAGTCAGACATTGAGATTTGCAAAGAGTGGACTGGCACCTGCACCCTGTAGAATTCTAGATAGTATGTACTGGATCCAAATACGCTGATTGATGGATGATTTATGCCTGCGATGCGAGGCGAACATCAGCGAGCCAGCCAATCGGAGCTTTGTCGATGCCAAAACTGGACAAGGTCCATGTTCAAGCACTCCGGTCAATATGCCCACCAATGAACCAGGTCGCAACGATCCCTGTTGAGAGTTTTAGCGTCATTGATTTGACATTCTGGAGATTGTCAAGATTGAGCGCCCATATTCAAGATTTGAGCTCTCTTGTCATAATCAAAGATTGAAGCCGACAGTATTCATGGACCCCTCATCCCCTCTTACTTCATTCATTCCTTTTTTTTCTTCTTCTTTTTCTTGTTTTCCTCAGCAGTCACACACAATGACAGATGCAGCCCCGCGCATCCCGACCGAGGTCACCGTGAGGGGTAAGTAGATCCTTCCCTTCGCCTGTCATTTGCTTCTCCCCATGCTCTCTCTCGCTCTCTCTCGCTCTCTCTCGGTCTCTCTCTCTTCCCCCATTCCATCATCTCATTCGCCTTGGCTCACTCTGCGATGCAAGTGCGAGCTCACCGAGACGCGCGGATTGCGTCGAGATTCGGTCCATCGCAAACCGGTTTCACGTCCTTTTTTTTTTTTTTTTTTTTTTTTTTTTTCTTTTTTTCCATTGCAACACTTCGATTCGCTCTGGCAATCTCGCTTTTTTTTTTTGCCTCGGTTTGCTTCCTGTCGTGTCGCTGTCTCGCTGTCTCACTCACTCTGCGATTTGTTGCCGACCCTCTATTTGGCCAGTGTACACGGCGCGGAATCTCCAGAAAGAAGGTACTTGTCGTCGAAGAAAAAAAGAAAAAAAAAAGAATTGGGTTCTTCAGGTCGACTCACTTGCTTTTCACCGAACGCATCCTGCGATGTGTGATGAATGGCGACGATACAGTGACGGGCTACGTCAGCATCAAGCTCGGCCGCGACAAGTTCAAGACGGGCACCTCGGAGAAGAAGGCCAGGCCTGATTGGAACGAGGAATGTGTGCTGTGAGTTGAACAGCCGGTTTGCTTCCCCCCCCCTCCGCTTTGGCTTGCGGGGCAGTTGCAAAGTGTGATGGGTTGGCTGTGGGATCGGTAGTTCAAGGGGGTGGGGGTGGGTCGGGGCGAGGCGAGGAGGGTTGGGGTTTGGGGGAAGCCCAACGCCAAACTTGACCCGATTGGATCGATGATGACGAACATGTGTCGCTGCAACCTGTCATCGTCGCCCATGCCGAGACAGCCTCGACACGAGATGTTGCGTCTTATCATGATCTAACTTTGTGGCGTGATCACGATCTCACCCCGCTGCATTTCTTGCTTGGTTTTTGGTTTTTGGTTTTTGGTTTTTGGGCTTGTGCGCCGGCGTTCACCCCACATCGCAGCAAGGTCAAGGATCCGCGCGGCGCCATCAAGGTCCAGTTGAACGACAAGGGAACGGGCGACATTGTCGGCTTGGTGCGATGGCACGTCGCCGAGTTGCCCACATCGCCCATGGGTCGCAAGTAAGCCAAACGTTATGTTTCGCCATTTCGTTGGTACCTGCATGTTCCAGGAGCTTACCGAAACCCGTTACTCGTTTAGATGGATTCCGCTGCACCCCAAAAAGGTCAAAACCATCAATAACATTGCCCCCTCGGCGCTGGGAGAGATTTGCGTCGAAATGTTCATCAGCAAAACGGCCGATGCAGCACTACACGCAGAGCACCACCGCAAGTGGCCAAGTTTCAAAGTGAAGGGCGGAAGCGACAAGGTCGACAAGTCGCTGTCCACGTCGAGCAACTCGCTGCATCCACCAGACGGCAGCAACCTGCAGCGAAGCAACAGCAGTACGAGCGTGGCCACGGTTGCCGCAACGCCGATTGCCGCGCCTCTTGACGCGAGCTCGCGAAGGAGCAGCCAAGTCAATATCGAGACGCCGCCCCCAAGTACTAAAAAGGACTCGTCCAAGCGCGTCTCGGTCGTGGGCGAGGCCGCTTCCGCCGCAGCCTCCGCACAGTCAGGTCCGGCGCCAGAAATCAGCGGCGTCAGCCCCAAGGAGTGCACGGTTGCCGGCGGCGTCCGTGTGATTGTCAAAGGGTCCAAGCTCGGCACCAACACGGATGACATTGCCACCGTCCGCTTTGGCGACAACGACGCGCTTTCGGTCGAGTGGATTTCCAGCAGCAAGGTTGCCGTCGTCACGCCTCCACGAAACAAGGCCGGCAAGGTGCCTGTGACCATTATTCTTCGAGACGGGCGAGTACGTTGACGGCAGCGCGCTTTATTTTGACCCTGATGGTGTTTTTTTTTTTTTGTTTTTTTTTAATTGAAGTTTGACTGACGCCGAGTTTTTTTTTTCTTGTTGGTTGACAGAATGGTGGTGGCTCCAATTTCACCTACCGCGAGGATCCGAACGCCGATCATTCGGTCAGCAATGGCCATGCGAAAGAGAGCAGTTCTCTAAGCGCAGCCGCTGCTGCGGGCGGAGGCTTTGAAACCCCATCGTATCCAGCAACAACTGCAGGTAATGGATTTGACAAGCCGTCAAGGCTTGGATTGGCGTTGTGCATTTTGGAGCATTTGCGTGCTTGAAGTTGACATTCGCTCACAAAAATCAACTCGCGTACGTTTCTCTGTGACAGACGAAAACTATGATGCCATGTCCCGTCCCCGCCTGATTGCTGAAATCCAAAAGCTCAAGGAGGAGAACATAAGTATGTTGTGACCCCCCCCCCTTTTTTTTTCTTTCTTTCTTTCTTTTGAATGGAACGGGTTTCATCTCGGCAGTCAGTCACTCATTTTCGCTCAATGTCAACTCGCAGAAATCATGGACACCAACGCCGCAATGAAAGAGTACATTGATGCGTTGATTATTAAGATGCTCGAAATGGACGTGGATGCTTTGGAGAAGCGGTGAGCTTCCGTCTACAAGTGATCTGCCACGCCTGCGTCTTGCATTCGCGGCAAACTTTCCGCCTCGTAAAACTTTTTCTGGTTAATTCATTGTTGTGTTGTTGTGTTTGTGTCTCTCTCGCGCTCTCCCCTTCCCTCTTCCTCTCTCCACCCGATCTCCCCAGTTGACTGTTTTTGTATCAATGTTACATTTCGAGTTTCACACCATTCAACCACTGTATTTCTTTTTTTAATTCATGTCAAGGTCAAGGTCAACGTCAGAGGAAACTTGCGCAACATGATTCATCGAGACATTCGACCCACAAAGCACAATCGCCACCGTCTGGCCAGCAAACCGTTGTGCGTGTTTCCGGAAGGCAGCAATAGCAACCCCAGCTGCACCTTCGACGACGCGATGGTGGTACTCGAGCATAAAGCGCATCGCACGAGCAATCTCCACCTCCGACACTGTGACCCACTCGTCGACAAGGTCTCGACACACATCGAACGTCAAGCTACCCGGTTCGATGCCGCCAGCCGTGCCGTCGGAGAGCGTTTCTGAATCTTCGGCTTCGTCCACAATGCGGCCGGCCTCGACCGACCGCACCATCACGCATGACTGCATCGGACTGCACCCGACAATGCGAACATTGGGCACGAGGGCTTTGAGGAAGGCTGCCATGCCGCCAATGAGTCCGCCGCCTCCAACAGCAACAAACACGGCGTCGACGTTGTGCAGGCCTTGGTGCACGACCAGATCCACCGCAACCGTGCCATTGCCACCTGCAACATCCCAGTCGTTGTATGGCGACACGTACACGGCTCCACTGCGCTGGGCGAGCTCCTGGGCTGCGTTCTCGGCGTCGAGGCACTCCCGGCCTCCAACAATCAGCTTTGCCCGCATGAGCTCGAGTCGCTCCCGCTTGGCTCGCGTAATGCTCGATGGCACGCAAATCGTTCCCGAGATGCCCAACGACTGCATGGCAGCGCAGCACGCGAGCGCATGGTTGCCAGTCGACGCAGTCACAATCCGAGGCAGCACTAGTACATTTTGATCTGCGGATTTGCTCGATCCAGCGTCATGATGAGAGCCAGATGATTCCGAGCTCGAACCAGAATCCGCCTGACGCGGCAGCGTCGCTTGGTGCTCAGCTGCCTCGATCAATGCTGTGAGCTTGGCGAACGCGCCGCGGAGCTTGAACGATCCCGTTGCCTGCTCCGACTCGCACTTGAGGAAGACGCGCGTGGACGGTCCTGCCAGCTTGGACAGCCACGGACACGCTTCTAACGGCGTGGTGCGAATGTGCTTGCGAATGCGCGACTCGGCTGCGAGGACGTGCTTGAGCAATCTTGCGCCGGTCGTGCTTGTGCTCAGTGAGGTGGTTGGCTTGGGATTGCTCATCGCCGCGATGTTGGAGAGAACTCGATGAACAGGAGCCAAAAGGAAGGAGTGAAGGTCAAAGTTGATCTAAATCCACCTTTATTTTTGTTTGTTATTTGATCTCTGAGCAGCTCAGTTTTGTTCTTGTTCTTGTTGTTGTTGTTTTTGGGGTTTGTTCTCGTCACTGTTCTTCACACATTTTTGCTGTCTGCTGTTCTAGTGATTGCGTTGGCGTTGGCATACACACACGCACGGGCACCCAAGTGCAAGTGGAGGGGCCTTCCAGTGCAATGGAAATGCCGCGAATCGAAGCAGAGCGAGGCGAGCCTGACGATGCACCACCATCATCCAGTTTCAGTCTCAGCAGCAGCAGCAGCAGCAGCAGCGGGACTCGTCAATGGAGTGGTGCAAGTAGCAGTAATGGCATTGGTGGTGCTCGCTCTGGTGGCCTGCTGCAAGACCAGCTGATGGCGCTCTGCAGCCAGGCCGTCCAAGCGTACCTGCAACAATCGTCCGTCAGCAGCAGCGAGCCAGAGCATCACTCAAGTCAAGCACCAGAGTCATCATCAGAGTCATCACAGCCATCTGAAGCACTCCAAGTCGCACCTGCACTCGGACGGCTGCTGCCTGACATGGTTGAGCTGCTGCGACGCGCGTTGGACAATCCGACCAGCAGCACGACCGCCGCCGCCCAGCTTCTGGTTGAGAGCAAGACCGAGTCAAGTTCCATCATCGGAATTGATGCCACTGCTTTTCGTGCCCCGAGCGACCGCCCCGGAACTGGAACTGGGTCGTCATCCGCCGTGTCCACGGTCTCAGCCAGCAACTCGTCAACGACCCTGACCGCCGATTCCGACGACCAAACATCATTATCTGCATCGACGGCGGGGCCAGTGACCAAGCGACAGCGCTCTGTCTCGATTGACGCAAACGTCGTGGTGCCAACCTCTGACGTTTCGTCGACATCCTCCTCTGTATCCAGTCTGAGAGATTTGGGCGACCACTGCGACGACGACGAGGACGACGACGAGGACGCAGACGGTAGTACTAGCGCCAGGAACTCGAGCGATGACGACGACGACGACGACGACGACGACGACGAGGAGAACGACGCCGACAGGTCCACCATCACCAGCGAGGACGAACTAGACAAGTCACTCGGCCAGCAACGGTCTCGACAGCGTGAGCTGCAGTTGTCAACCTCACCACAATCATCCCTTCGTCAAAAACGGCATCACCTGAGGCGGCAGTCGGTTTGCGATGAAGGCGTCGACCAAGCTGCTCCCTCAGCCATCAGGAGGATTTGGATCCCGTCGTTCGACACCGTCGACGAGCTGCAAAACACTCGCCGGC